GCCCACCTAGTGTTAAGTGATTACTGGAGCCCATAGACATCTACAACGTTAAGGCCGCCACCCACGTTGATAGAAGACTTGAAGATAGCAGTTATGACTATACAACTCAGACTTAGTGCTCATGTTTCATGGTAGGTGGCGGTATCCACTTAGTGACATCTATGAGCTCTAATAACCATTCAACACCAATCCGTTAGATATTTTACCCTCCTGTATGAAGACAAATAAGGCGCCTTGCTTGCCAACCCTTGCCTTCTGTCAGAAATACGTCAAATGTCAAACTACAATGACAGATGCAAATGAATTCAAATTAGACATGTTGACATTTCCACCCTAATCTGCAGGGTCGCGTAATCTTTGATACAATATGAGAAAGGATTTAATACGGAACTCCCACGGGGTTTAAGCTTTTAAATTCACGGGGGCCCGGTCCGCTCGGGCTTTGAGCTTTAAGGATTTATTAATTATTTAGATAATTATTTGTACCAGCTAAGCGAACTGAGTTTCTCGTCGGATCTGTTCAGTGGCTCGCGATTCCGATATGGTTTGTAGATTCAGAGAAGCACTGCTAGGGCAAGTGAGAGAGAAAGATAGAGAGAGAGTATTCTTTATTGTACACCAATAATAGTGCTAACGAATTCTCGCAGGTTGAGCCCGTGACCTCACCTACCTGTCTGCGTGTAGCTAGAATAGCCTAAGGCTAGCAGCGATTACGTAAGGGAACAAAATACCGCCTTACAACACGCGCCAGTAACGTATTGTTAAACTGATACAATCCCAATCAGTACCATCGCCGCTGAGAACACTAACATGGTACATTCTGCCTATCCCTGACGCGCGAATCACATGTAAGATACACATAGTTAACGCTGCCTACGGGTGCTCAAAATCATAGAGTAAAAAGTAGAACTGTTCAGAAAATCCTTAATTAATTTTAAGAAGTCTTATTTGCGTTCAGGAAGAGAATGGATATGGTTTTTTTTTGTAAATTTCTATTGTTTTAGTAAGTAGACTAGCTGATGTGATTAGTGGTGGTCGTCGCGCATGAGAGCCATTCACACAGCTCCAAATCTCAGCCTATCAAAAATAAGCTTTGCAAGAGAAACACTAAATTGATACGACATAAATCTTTAAGTTCGTGCAAAAGTTCGAAAGCTCCGCAACGCCGAGGGGAGTTCAAGCTAACCTCTGATGGATTTTGACATACGTGTTTCGCAAAAAAAGCGTAATAACAGCTTTGAACTACAAACATTTTGAGCTGTAGGGTGTACGTAGGTGAAGCCGAGAATTTAATAATCCGCAAACATTTTGGTTAGGGGTGGCATTGAACGCCCCTCGTATAAGCCGAGGGGTTGAACCACGTCGCACAAGCTATTAAAGTTAGGTTTACCAGCAAAACGGCATCGATGCCTCAGTGCTCTGATCTGTTGAGTGTAATGAGGAAATAGATTCGACAATTGCGTTTTATCAGTTTTCCTAAAATCCATTTCGTAGATGAGTAGATGATCTCACGGCTAATCTGTTAATTAGTTAGGTTATAATATTAACTAGAGGTCCCGCAGTAGTCGAAATTCGACTATAATTAATTGGAATTGTAAGTTTGTACACTATTATGATTGTATTTTATACTTCTATAATCACAAATTTCGCCAAGGCTACACTATAAAAAAATATTAATAAAGACAAACAATACTTAATCTATTCTCAATTTGACCACAGACGTCAAGAACAAAAGTTTGACAATAAATAGTATGCATGCGTGTGTGCGTCAAATAAATGGTATGTAGTGTGTGTAATGTTTTCTTTATTGATTTAATGTATATTTTATGCATTATTTTAAAAAGTATTAGCATTGTGCACTTCTTCTCTATATTTTCTATAAGTGTGGAAAATTTCATACTCCTCCGTCCGCGCAATTTTCGTAAAAAGGGATACAAAGTTTTTTCTTCACGTATTAATATATAGATTAAATCAATAAAGAAAACATTACACACACTACCATGTATATGACATACACATATATACTCTTTGTTTATTGTCAAACTTTTGTTATTGCTTAAAGTCTGTAGTCAAATTGAGAATAGGTTAGTATTGTTTATCTTTAATATTACGAGTATTTGTCTATAGTGTAGTCTTGGCGAAATCTGTAACAATAGGACCATAATAATGTTGAAACTTATAACTTCAATTATTACAGTTGAATTTCGACTACTGCTGGACCACTAGTATTTTAGAAATACCCACACCCCATCAATTAGTAAGTGTGGTTCGTTTACCGTTGAAGTAGATAGCGATGGTGGTATTCCATCAAGAAAGTACCTGTAAAAACATTAATAGAACACAAGTTTCAGGAACGGTACCGATACGGGGTCATCAAAACATTTTAAGCGCTTTTTCGGATAACGAACGCGACGGGACAATGCAAAGCCGCCGTAGTCCGAAACATGTCTTGTCGGATCCCCCGGAATCACTCTCGGTGCTTTTAGGCTTCTCAAGCACCGATCCTCGTCGAACTGTTCAGCGTAAGCGAACTAGCCCATAGACACAGCCAACTGAGTTTCTCGCCCGATCTTCTCAGTTGGCCGCGATTCCGTTCCGGTGGTAGATTCTGCGAAGCACTGCTCTTGCTAGGGCCAGTGTTAGCAAATTCTCTCGTGTTGAGCCCGTGAGCTCACCTACCCGTCCAGGTATAGCTGGAATAGCCTCTGAGGCTACCAACAAATAGGGAGAATAAAAAATCGCTTTTCTGCGAATGAAGTTTAGGTCTCGCCGCGAATTCTCCTTTATATCTTCTAGTAAATGAAAACAGATGTCACGAAGTGGTAAATTGAGTTTAGAAAAAAGAAAGAAGTCGGCTGGAGCCAATACTGGTGAATGAGGTGGCTACCCGATGCTATTTGTCGAGATTTTAGTAAGAAAATCGTTCACAATGACGGCCTTATGCGAAAGCGCATTATCACGGTGCAAAATCCAAGTTTTTTATTTATTTTATTTTTTATTGCATAGATGGGTGGATGAGCCCACGGAGCACCTGGTGTTAAGTTAGAGATATAAGTTCTAAGATCTCATATAGTTACAACGACTGCTCCACCCTTCAAACCGAAACGCATTACTGCTTCACGGCAGAAATGGGCGGGGTGTTGACACCTACCCGTGCGGAATCACAAGAGGTCCTACCACCAGTAATAACGCAAATTATAATGTTGCGGGTTTGATTTTTATTACACGATGTTATTCCTTTACCGCGGAAGTCAATTCTTTCTTTCCTCAGATCTGGCCTTTTTCGTCGAATTCACTCTCTTAAATGCTGCATAACCCTGAAATAATCTATATATTAATACGTGAAGCAAAAATTTTGTACTCCTTTTTACGAAAATTGCGCGGACGGAGGAGTATGAAATTTCTCACACTTATAGAAAATATAGAGAAACAGTGCACAATGCTAATATATTTTTAAAATAATGCATAAAAGATACATTAAATCAATAAAGAAAACATTACACACACTACCATGTATTTGACACAACACATACATAAAAATATATTCTTTGTTTACTGTCAATTGGGAAACTTTTGTTATTGTTTAAAGTGTGTGGTCGAATTGAAAATAAATTAATATTGTTTGTCTTTAATATTATTGATCTATAATGCAGTTTTGGCGAATACTGTGATTATATTATCGAATTATAATAGTGTTTGACAATAGAACCATAATAATGTTTAAACTTATAATTTCAATTAATTATAGTGGAATTTCGACTACTGCGGGGACCACTAGTATTATTTATTTACCGTTTGACCTTCCCACAAGAATGCCGATTGCACAACACCGCGATAGTCAAATAACACAGTCAGCATGACTTTGACTTTTGATCGACTTTGGCGCGGCTTTTTCAGGTTTGGTTTAGTTGGAAAGCGCCGTTCCAAAACTTATCGACTGTTTTGTATGTCAATCTCTTGTATCCACGTCTCCTCACCAGTGACAATGCGTTTCGTGAAATGTTGTGTACGAAATGAATGGTTCTCGTCTACACTGTGTCCACTGGTGGTAGGACCTCTTGTGAGTCCGCGTGGGTAGGTACCACCACCCTGCCTATTTCTGCCGTGAAGCAGTAATGTGTTTCGGTTTGAAGGGTGGGGCAGCCGTTGTAACTATACTGAGATCTTAGAACTTATATCTCAAGGTGGGTGGCGCATTTACGTTGTAGAAGCCTATGGGCTCCGGTAATAACTTAACACCAAGTGCTCCTTGGGCTCATCTACGCAATAAAAAAAAGTGTTCTTTAAATTGTCAAATCTATGGACTATGTTTTCAATCGAAGAGAACTATGAACTCACTGGCGTTTTAGCTTGTTTTCTTTAAATATTTCCACCGTCTCGCCTATTACGACTAAAAGCAATGGTGCGTTCACCCTAATACCAGTAAAAAACTACTCCTAAACCACCCCTGCGTGCAACGAATCAATCCTTAACAAGATATCAAGGGGCGAGTCACCCCTGACTTTAATATTTCAACTAATATCAGAGTAGATCCAAGTGATTGATAGAGAAGTCAAATGGGAGTGTTTCAAAAAAAAATGCACTTTTGAGAGACGTATCGATATTTAAGACTTAAAATTGACTGAGTGGGTAGTGTGGTAGTTAGCGGTCCAGACTGTTGCGTCAAGGATCGCCTGTTCGTTTCCCTCATAGGATAACGTATATACGATGAACAGGCTTGTTTGCTGTTTGTCTGGTTTTGCTCATCTCAATTACATCCCTACAGCTTAGAACCAATGTTTACCGATACTCATAACATGACGTAAATGCAACTTCTATACTTTCTATCCTAGCCTTCAACCGACCCTGTGGCGTGCGAAACTAATTCCACGCAAGTGTGGGCTTCCCTATACAGTCCCGCAAAATCGCCAGGAAATCAATAAATATCCCTACCAATCCCACTTGATCTATGGCCCTGCTAGCCTCGCCTAAGTTCTGATAAGCTGCGTTTGTTTTGATAGATGAAGCTTCGTGAGCGGCACGGCACAGCGGGCTGAGGCGCAGCCAAGATGGAGGCAGGTTGGCTGGTGGTGGTGGCGCTCTTCGTTGCTGCGAGCGCTCAGAACAATCGCAGTGAGTATGACGCTGGAGACGTGGAGAGTCCATAGACAACTGTCATCACACAAAATTACTATTTTCTCTCTAGATAGGTAGCTCATGTGGCGGGTAGCCATCATACAACGCAACATCATACAAGACAGATGCCTGAATCTCGCTTACGACATTTTCAAGATAAGCTCGTATATATCGTCTTCTCGCATTAAAACTGTATAATCTCAAAATTTACAAATTTCACAGGAGAGTGTTTTAAAGGCTTAACATGTAATATTTTTAATATTAATCATATTTGCAATATCTATTATTTTTTTACCAGTTACACTACCTGACTTTTAAAGTATCATAAAATTATGTAATAATTTTGTTAATAATAGTAAAAACATAGGTAAACTAAAAAAAAAAAAACACGCTCTTTTGACAGTATTTATGAGAAAAATATTGGTGATACCAAATGTTTTCGCATTAACTCGATTTCGAATATTTTTGGAAATTGTTCACTTTTAATGCGAAAAGACGATATACAAGTTCCGAACAACAACATTCGGACCGTCGGTCTACCGAGCAGTATCACCCGCTCGGTGGAAGATCTTGCCTCCGTTGCTTAACCATCCCAAAACTCACAGTCTTCCATTAGATGCCTTGCAAAGAAGTCTCAGTTGTATACCTATTTATTTATTTATTTAAAAAAGTACTGCCACATCACAAACATTTAACATTGAAAACAACTTAAACTATTTAATTTATGGCCTGATGCATGTGACAATAATGGCGAACATAACATTGGCAATTCATCGGCTCGAGGATGGAATACAATAATAAAAAGAAAAAAGAATACCTAATGAAAACATACTTTGAAATTCAAATTCAACAAGTAAAACAGCAATAATTATATTAATAATAATATATGAATAATTGTATAGCTGCTAACCAATCCAGCAAGCCGGAACATGATTACTTCGCGACTGAAGCTGGCAGGATAGGTCTCCCAAGAGATGATGGTGGGGCGTTTGCAAGGGTAGCCGCCCTGCCTATTTCTGCCGTGAAGCAGCAATGCGTTTCGGTTTGAAGGTCGGGCACTTGTTATTCTGTTAAAATGGAGACCTTAGAACTCATGTCTCGAGGTAGGTGGTGACATTTACGCTGTAGTTATATACGGGCTCCGGTAACCACTTAACACCAGGTAGGCCGCGAGCTCGTGATTCATAATAACATTATTTTTAAATAACAACAACCGGCAAATCTCACAGAATACAATACGATAAATTTCGCCAAACGAAACACGATATAATAAACGGAACTAACAATAAAGCAATCGTTAGAGTCTGGCAACACCGGAAACGGGTCGTAACTAAGTCGCGCCGCGTTCGGCTCCACTTCCGGGCGCCATTTGCTTTTACCTTGCTCCCTCAAGATGGACGCCTGTGTTTCGCTCTTAATGCATTTTCGTATTTATTGGTGAAATGTAATTTATTAGCAGTGCTTTCTTTTTGTTTGTTTTTATCGTGAAATATATTAAACTAACACCTTAAAATAAACAGTGTAAGTATTAAGCATAAGTCGTCGTGGCCTAAAGGATAAGACGTCCGGTGCATTCGTTGTTGCGATGCACCGATGTTCGAATCCCGCAGGCGGGTACCAATTTTTCTAATGAAATACGTACTTAACAAATGTTCACGATTGACTTCCACGGTGAAGGAATAACATCGTGTAATAAAAATCAAACCCGCAAAATTATAATTTGCGTAATCACTGGTGGTAGGACCTATTGTGAGTCCGCACGGGTAGGTACCACCGCCCTGCCTATTTCTGTCGTGAAGCAGTAATGCGTTTCGGTTTGAAGGGTGGGGTAGCCGTTGTAACTATACTGAGATCTTAGAACTTATATCTCAAGGTGGGTGGCGCATTTACGTTGTAGATGTCTATGGGCTCCAGTAACCACTTAACACCAGCTGGGCTGTGAGCTCGTCCACCCATCTAAGCAACAACAAAAAAAAAAAGAAAAAAAGCAAACCTTGGGGCGACGAAGGTATTTCTGTTTTCCCTATGCTATGCGTACCATATGTTCCTTGTAGGAAGGGTTCTAGGGGTATTATTAAATTTATCCTATTTTACCATCGCAACACGAGAGAAGAGTGAATCTTCATACAGCCTAGTACAATAGTAATAATGTATTGTACAACATAACGTGGGTATGTCGTAACGTGAGTAACAATAACATGTCGGTGACGTGAACCCGTAATATTGCACCCATCCAAAAAAGCACAGCACACGGTCAGGTATATACGATGTGTTATAAGTATAACAACGTAACAAAAGCATGTCGGTGACGCGAACCCATAATATTGTTGCGCGCTGAGGTTCGGACAGAATAAAATTCTACCAAAGTATAAATTAAAACTGTATTAGCACTTATAACACTTAAAACACTTTAAAATTCTCAATTCACTTCTTCCGCTTCGCTTCTGGTGATCCGTTCGCTGTTTCGCTTCGAGTAGTTCCGATTACTGACTGACTGCGTGCCATCTCTGCAACGCTACAATAGCCGATACGACATCCCTAGAATTATCGAGAATATTCCACACAAGTCGAATATTGTATTCCCGCTATCTGACAATAGATGGCGTTGTACTTCTCGAGCGTTCTAGGTGCTACTAGATCCTTCGATATTCTTTTGACTATTCAGCGACAGATGACGTTACTGTTACCGGCGTAACAATATTTCCGTCATTCAAAAATTGCTCAACGTGGCTGTAGAAATTTTCGCTTCAAAAAACTGAATATTAGATCTCACAAAATAGCGACAGACGCGTGTAACTCGCTCCGTAAAACCGACAAAATTACGACGAATCGCAACGGAAATTATATCTGACACTAAACATTGTGATTTCAATTAAATCTGCAAACATTTGTGTGTCTTGCGAACTTCGCTATTGCCGGCGGTAGTGCGGCGACGCGGCGATGACTCCGCGTCATGATTGCGGCTGCCATTATTACTTCCTTCACTCGAATAGTTAGCGGTCGATGGAAACGTTCAAAAGTCTAGACGACATTAGTAAGGATACAGAAGCGAAACTATTTAAATATGCTTTTCCACTTACACTGAACAGAACATGAAGGAATTTCTTGAAAGTGCGGTTTCAACTATGTTTCTTGCTCCACAGATGATGGACCACGATTTCTGTCGAGAGGCCACTCGTTTAGAACTGTGGTTGGAGACACGCTGCTCCTTCCCTGCCAGGTCCAGAACCTTGGTAAGTTGACATAATCTTTTTTATGTGATTTCAACAATCGTCCTATTTCTCAATGACTTTTTAATGCCTCTCCTCAGTCTGTCTGAGCCCAATGATACATTTTTTTGTATTGCCTAGTTTGGGTGGCTACCGGAGCCTTTACACATCTGATTTTAAGGGCAAAATTGGCGCTGTTGCGTCACTCCTTTGATGTACCCTGGAGCACTACATGTAGGTACACAGACCCTTGTTGTACGTCGCAAATAAGCTGGTCAATCCGATGTGAGACGAGCGTCAGCAGTCCCGTGACAGACGGACCACGTATCAACTCTGCTCGTGTGCCAAACATACAAATTAATTCTAATCACCGATTCCAGGATCCCTGGTACTGCTGTGGAGGCGAGGCCCTGCAGTGCTCACGGCTGCGAGTCTGATGGTCACGCGAGATGAAAGGTTTCGTCTGGTTGATGGTTACAATCTTCAGATAACCGATGTCGGGCCTCAGGTGAGGATCTAGGAAATTGTAAAATTAATAATGGACATAATTGACGTTGTTTTAGGTAGAAATTTCTCCTCTGCACTCAATACATGCATTCGAGACATTCAAAGCTCAACTATGTACTGCTGTATATATAACAAGCTCTACTCCGATCGGGGAACCGAAGCCGGTTCAGTGTGCTTCGTTTGCCGCTAGGGGCGCTGTTCCAACTCCATACAAATTCGAATTAACTTTTACGCTATCGAGAACGTTAAAAAACTCGCACTAAGTACACTGGTATCGATAACTAGACCAACAGATTAGGTAGTAACATTGTTACCCTCAAAGCTATCGCACGTTAACTCAGAAAGTAATTTACCCTTATTATTCGGTCTAGTAAAACGAAACACAATGGCGTAAGATACTCCGAGCCACGTCGCTAACGGCGAAAAGAAAAATTTAAACCTAAGCATCGCGAAAAACGCGTAATTGGGCCGTTGAAATATGATAATTGCCGCATAAAAACCTCCGCGGCGTTTCGGAGATCGTTATTTTTTATGTGCGGCAACATTGAATGCGATTTCGCGCGCAATTTCGCTACGGCCATTTTGGTATATTTTTTTTTTTGACGCGAACAATGGGATTATGACTTTTAAGAGTTACGACTTGTATTGGTGAATCGGTTTGTTTTTATTTTCTATTACAAGCGGTTTCCGTATATTCACAAGCTTGGGCCGAGAATAAATAAATACTCCTCACTGAACCACCTATTCATCATTATCATCTTCTGTTTACAGTCCACTGCTGAACATAGGCCTTTCTGATTGATGTCTAGTGCGGTCGGTTCGTTGCCTATCTAATGTGACCCAACGATTTTTACTAGGTCTTTTCTCAGTAGGTCGCGATTCCGATCCGGTAGTAGATTCAGCGAAGCACTGCTCTTACTAGGGCCAGTGTTAGCAATTCTCTCAGGTTGAGCCCGTGAGCTCACCTACCTGTCCGCGTGATGTTTGAATTGCCCCTTACCAACGATTAGGTAGGGAAAACTAGGTCTTCGGTCCATCACGTAGTTGGCCATCCAGCACTGCGCTTGCCAGTACGGGTTACTAATTAAAACTCAATTACTTTGACTGGCTCGGTGGAGCAGTAGTTAGCGGCCGTGACTGTGGCGCCGTGGGTCGCGGGTTCGATTCTCGCATCGAGCAAACATTCATGTGATGAACAGGTCTATTTCTTCTTTGTTTGGGGGCTTATTATGTGGTACTCCAGTAGTCGAAATTAATTGAAATTATAAGTTTGTACACTATTATGATTTTATTATCAAAGACGATTTATTATAGTTCTATAATCACAGATTTCGCCAAGACTATACTTTAGACAAAATATATTAAGACAAACAATATTGAATTTATTCTCAATTTGACCACAGACTAATGCCATTCATTCATTCGCAAACTTAGCGGCTGTGTAAATCGGTTCGGTACTCAATTTGCGAACCCGTTTGCGCTTCCTCCTACACTTGTTTACGAATGTCTCACGAATTTCTCCTCCTTTTTAATTCGTCAATAGAACATTAAAGAGAAAAAGAGTTTTGAATTCTTTCCCAGACATCATTAACAGCCATGCTGTTTTTATGGGATTTCTTTTGATGAAGATACGCTACACAGTAGACGTCACGATCTATGAAAATAGCGAAACGTCCGTTGCCTTCGCAATCCTGGGCGCAACTGGTCACACGAATGTGTGGGAGACTACGCGAAGGATCGCGGTTCGCGCGCTTTCATGTCTGTTAAAAAACCGACACAACTTGGAAAACCACGAATGCAGCGAAAACTTTGCATAATCATTTGCAAATGTCGTCCTACACTTGCGGATTTGCGTATTCGTGCGAATGTGAGTGACCGGTATAAAAGCAATACGAAAAGTTTGACAATAAACAAATCGTATGCATGCGTGTGTGTGTCAAATACATGGTAGTGTGTGTAATGTTTTTTTATTGATTTAATTATTATTATTATTTAGCATTATTTATGCACAATAATAAAAAAGAAGACGTAGAGATCTTTCTCATTGCCACCGATAAATGATCATTAAGAGTCACCCGTGAGCAATAACACCGGGAGCAAGACTAAGCTGCACTCTCATAATATCACTTTTAATGTCTCCGAAATGTTCCTAATCGAACTTAGCTCGCGAATGACATGAAGGATTCCGGTTTGGCGTTTCATTTCGTTTTAATGTGACGTCGTTAGTTGAAGATTAAACGCTTAGTTAATATCCAAGTCGCGGGCCCTTGATTAACTGTCGGACGCTTCGCAAGGGAGCTCAGGGTGCCGCGTTTCTTAATACGTTCGTTATCGAGATGGGTAAGTTTAGTGCAGAGCGGTAAGAGTTATTCGAATCCGTAGTTATAGAGCAGGATTACGATGGTCAAACAGGAGATGAATAGCTATGCCGAAACCTGAATAAGGTCTATGCTTATAAAAAAATTAATTCAACAAAAACGCAACAATTTTTTCGCGTTACGTGCTGTTATCTCACAGTCTACCCAGCGTTTACCAGACAACGGTCAATAGGACCTGGGATTATCAGCCTGATTCACTGAGGTTAATCCAGCTGACTTTTCAACCTAGCCACGCTTCTATTTTTACTAAGAGTAAACCTTAATATTTCGGTACATAATCCTCCATTAGTTCATAATCATTTTTGCATTTGCATTAATAATTTTGTATTTCCATACGAACTGTTTAAATTGGGCTCGATTCAAAGGCTGCGTTTCACCAGCTACGTGCGATGAACGACATCAGAATAATTCACTGAGAACTCAAATTAAACGGAAAGAACAATATTAAAAATTCCGTCCTGGAAATACTTGTGCAATTTTCGGGATCAGTCACGCCGGGGTTGAGTTCATCCGTATTATAAAAAAATCACTGTGTAATAAGTCTTCCGTCTATTTATTTATAGCAGAAATGCTCCCTTCGTTTACACTCGTAAAAGTGACTACGCGTGACGGATACTTGTGTGAAATCATTAATGATTTCATCAGAGCAGCACGGCGACACCTATTTTCGAATGATTTTCCAGGACGCAGGCGACTACGTTTGCCAGATATCTGATCGAGTGGCCAGGGACCAGGTGCACACTGTGGAGGTATTGGTGCCACCGAGCGTTAGAGCCTCTCCGGAGACGAGACACGTGACGGCCAGACGCGGAGGAGCTGCCGTGCTGGAGTGCCGAGCAGCTGGGAACCCTGTACCAACCGTCACGTGGCATCGATTGGTGAGTTTTAAAATTGGATTCAGAATACGTGACCCGATGAATTATTCAAATCAAATCAAATCAAAAAAGTTTTATTCAACATAAATGAAAGTACATACTTGTTGAACGTCAAAAGAACTTCGATATGATCTCTTGTTTTTATCATCACACCGTCCGTTATCGAAGCAGATTTCCCCCCCTTCCCACAAATTACGTGCCCAGAGGTCTTTTTTGTGGCACGAACCCATTCACTTTTACAATAAATTCCATGAATCCGCTTTGAGCTCACTTTTCATATATCGGTGTTTAAGGAAGACTCATTAGAAGTATGTAAGCTAAAGCATAGATGTGCCTTTAACGTCGCTGTTGTCCATGAACAACGATGACTACTAATAATCAGGGGTGGTAATTACGACTCTTTTGACATTGAACGGTTCCAGAAGCCCATAGACATCAACAACGTAAATACTGCCACACACCTTCAGACGTGAGCTCTAAGTCTCGGTTCTACAGTACAACGGCTGCATGACCCTTCAAACTGTAGCGCATTACTGTTTCACGATAGAAACCGTTCTGTATACTTAGTGCGAGTTTTTTAACGTTCTCGATAGCGTAAAAGTTAACTCAAATTTGCTTTGGAGCTGGGATGTTTGCCTACGTTTGCCGCTAAGGGCGCTGTAACAACTCGGTACAAATTCTAGTTAACTTTTACGCTATCGAGAACGTAAAAAAACTCGCACACTAGTGGTGGTGCCTACTCGTTCGGACTCACTGGACGCCATATCACCAGCATAGCTGAAGACAGTCCAGTTCTCTGTCTAGTTTTACCAAGCAATACATGACATATTATGAAGCTTTTCTACCAGAACGACAGCAGCTCTCGTCTCGGCGAGGGCCCGCAGCTGCAGCTCTCCCGCCTGGAGCGGCACCACGGTGGGGTCTACGCGTGCACCGTGGACAACGGCGTCGGGCCACCGGTGGTCACAGAGTTCCAGCTGCAAGTGCTGTGTGAGTTAATCTAGTAGAAATTATTTACCGTAGTCGAAACAAACTAGAAAAGTCACAATGTAGTCACGGTCTTACGAAACCGTAGGCACACGAGTGCTCTGAGGAATTGTTCGATATGATACCGGCATCTCGTTTTTACCATCGCACCGCCCGCCACCGGAGTAGAGTTCATCCATACTACCTGGAGCCACTGCGGTCATCCACAGTGCGTTTCCAGAGATCTTTTTTGCCACGTACCATCCGGCTGTGGAATGAGCTCCCCTCCACGGTGTTTCCCGAGCGCTATGACATCTCCTTCTTCAAACGAGGCTTGTGGAGAATACTCAACGGTAGACAGTGGCTTGGCTCTGCCCCTGGCATTGCTGAAGTCCATGGGCGACGGTAACCACTCACCATCAGATGGGCCGTATGCTCGTCTGCCTACAAAGGCAATAAAAAAAAAAGAAGAAAAAAACATTGAAAATTTGAAAATAGTTTTTATTGCTGTCAGACGACCAGATAGCCTAACATCTACCAACCATCCGAAATTATCGATACCCTCCAGGGTGACCGTCAATCTTCGTATATAAAAATAAAATGGAAAACGAATGTTTCTTACAATTAAATTGCGCATAATTTATCTAATTGTCTTAAAACTACAAAATGCTTCCAGTTGAACCATTTTTTCTGCACTGGTTCACGAATTCACGGTCCGCTGGCTATTAAGTTATGACTGGTCTTTATGGACTAATTGAAAACTGATCCTCTAATTGAGGTATGGTATGTACCTTTTTAAAAACTAATAATGCCTTACTGTTTCGCTCGCAATAATCCATAATAGTAAATGTTCATGTCCATGTTCTTGCAAATTAATTACGAAAAACTCCTCTGTCTTCGATTACAATTCCCTAGTATTCCTTTTCATCTTTAGTTTTCTTGTCATTTCAGATCCTCCAGAGATAACGGTGGAGAGATCCTGGGTTCACACTGGCGAGGGGTTCCGGGCTGAATTAGTGTGCACGGTTCTAGCTGACCCGCCCGCTGAGGTGAGCTTTAAGTTTTGAAGAAGAGTGCAGGGGAGTCGTTTAGTGGCTAGGGCTCTAAAAACATCCTTGGGCCCGCAATCTCGCAGTCTTGCTTGCTTGGCTCTGCCCCTGGCATTGCTAAAGTTCATGGGCGAGAGAAACCACTCGTCATCAGGTGGGCCGTTTGCTCGTACAAGAGCAAAAAAAAACCTACCTCAGCATCGCCATGTATCGACATTGTTAATACCATAAAGTCTATTTATTCCTCTCAGGTTTCTTGGTACCAGAATTCTTTTCCGCTGAGCGCTTCCGAACGCGTGACGATGTCGGCCCGAGGGAGCAACCACACTTTACTAATAGCTGATGTGCAACCCGAAGACTTCGGGAACTACAGGTGAACAGTTTGAAGTTTAGCTGATGTTATTACGCGCTGGGACTCGGGACAAATAAAACTTCCACCGAAGTACAAATTAAAACTCTATTTAAAACTTAGAACACTTTAAAATTCGTAATTCACTTCTTCCGCTTCGCTTCAGGTAGTCCGTTCGCTGTTTCAAATCAGACAAATCATTAAAAACAGACAAATTTTGTTAAAACTTATAACACTTTTATGGTAATCTAACCTGTTTCATTGTCATTATATTATTTCGGAGGCTTCGAATACTGTAGAGTTTACGGACGACATATTGCAATGACGTTAATAAAAGCGAAATTAAAGCTCAAAGCAATTATGATTGTGTCTCAACGACCGCGGTATTTAATTGATACTAAATATTCTTACGCCGGTAAGAGTAACTCCATCTGTTATCAAGTAGCAGAAACGAATACCTAAAGAACTAGTAGCATCGAGAACGCTCGAGAAGTGTAACGCCATCTTTTATCAAATAGCCGAAACAGATCGAAATGGCTCGTACTACCGGGAATGTTCTCGTTAAAGCTAGACTTGTCGTATTGACTATAAAAGCGTTGTAGAGATAACGCTAAGGCAGTCAGTAATCGAAACTACTCGAAGCGAAGCTGCGAACGGATCATCTGAAACGAAGCGGAAGAAGCGAATTGAGAGTTTTAAAGTGTTTGTGAAGTGTTTCAAGTGCTCTAAGTGTTTATTACAGTTTTTAGTTGTACTTTGGTGGAACATTTATTTATCCCGAACCCCAGCGCGTAACAACATTTTACTTCGGTTTCAGCTGCGTGGCAGACAACAGTCTGGGTCGCGCTCGTCGTCACGTGGAGGTGTCGGGGCGGCCAGGCCCCGCACGCTTCACGTCGCCGCCGCTGGCCCGCGCGCCCCACTCCTACACGCTCAGCTTCGCCGTCGACAGCTACCCACCCCTTGATGAGTTGAGGCTACTTTACCGTCAGCTGGCCGTGAGTTTGTTTTAATACCATGTACAGTATACGTCTCGCAATAACTTTTGAGATTAAGTTGGGATATATTTATTCTTTTTATCTCCTTCTTGTCGATTCAACCTATAAGCAACTTTTTAGATCATACCTTTAAAGAAATCCTCTGCATATGATCACATAGATATATTACATTAGAACAAGTTGTAATTTGCAATATTCAGTTTGAAAAGCCCAATTCATTCATTCATTCCTTATTGCTGGACCCGTTGCCCATGGACACCAATAATTATATTGGCAACGCTAAGCCGCTACAATAGAGTTATAGAAGGCGTTTTGACAGAATTTAGGGAAACTGTAATTTTACATATACATGATGTTGGCTACCTCAACGCTATAGTAGTAAGCAAGTAGTACTGCTGCGCGCAGGATACGTCAGCCAAAGCGTACCCTACGCTTTCTGAATCAGGTATATAACTATAAGTTTTATATTTATGTATAACTAGATGATTTTGTTGTCCTTGAGCTACTCAAGCTAAATCTATCGTATTAACAATAACACGAATAGATTCAGTGGTCAATTTCCCAACTATATCGATGACTTTAGGTCTCTAGTATGAACTCCACCGCACGGTAATTCATAAACATTAGGACAAGCATCCGAAATTACGTTTCCATAGAAATCTGAGCGGCTTGGCTATGCTAATGGCATCAACCAATCCCTCCATGCCGTACTATCGTCTGATTTGGAAGATTATAATAAAAAAAACCGCATATATCACTACAGACGAAATAGCGAGCCCTTACTCTGCCATAACCTGACCATCTCTCTCTTTAACGACAGATAAACGAGTCGTTTCAACAACCAGGACGTTGGCACGACGTCGTCCTGGCGGCGCCGGCTGCCAAGGGATCATTGACGCACAGAGTCTCGCACGAGCTGCGCGGACTGCAACCCGCTGCCGTGTACGAGGCTATCGTGCAGGCGAAGAACAGATACGGGTGGAACGAGGTCAGATACGTCGTGCTCTCTTAAAGCGACTCTTTCGTCTGTGCCTGGCAATTTCTTGTTTTCAACTGATTTTTGCCCTATCTTATACCCTGGTAGCCTAGGGGTTATTCCAACTACGCCCGGGTGAGTAGGTGAGCTCACGGGTTCAACCTCAGAGAATTTGCTAACACTAGCCCTAGTAAGAGCAGTGCTTCGCACATTCTACCATCGGATCGGAATTGCGACCCATTGAGAAACTCAGTGAGCTTTGTCTTTGAGTTAGTTCGCCTAACGGTAACCAGTGCTTGAGAGGCCTAAAAGCACCGAGATAGGATCCGGGGGATCCAAGAAGACATGTTTCGGGCGACGGTGGCTTTGCTTTGCCCCGTTGCGGTTGCATAGGGCTTCAAGTATCTATTTAAGTAAAGTAGTAAAAAATTAACGCCATTTCAGTTTTCTGTGATTTAAGATTGGACACGATGCTTTTGGTAGATTGATCAGGGAATCGGGATTGATTTGATGGATATGCTAAAGTTACGATTGATTGCAGGTCAGCGACATATTCCAGTTCCACACTCTCGGCGGGCCCCACACGGCTCATGCAGACGAACTGACCCCGATGTTCTCCGCGGCGCCCGAGCCGCGACTGACCCAAAGTTTGAGTGTACTAGTCATATATACGTGTTACTGGCTGGCGTTCAGCCAATGAGAGTCCGCCTTTTAAAATTAGTGTCGCAACGTTCTATTTTTTTCGAATTCGCCCGATCGTTTGACGATTAAAATGACACCAGTTCTTTTAAGCTTTCGAAGTGTTGTAAAGCCCTTATAGACTTTTTAGCGATTTAAGCGATTTTCGTGTAAGCGATATGTACAATTTAAATTTTCTAGCGTTTCATTTTTACAATGTGAACTAACTCGATTTCATCATTCCGCAAATTTAGAACTCACTTCGAAAACTTGGCTATGGCCATGCATTGACAACAGATGAGTTTACAAGTTCATCTCTTCCTTCTCACCTATCATCATCCTTCTCCTGTTCTTCTCCCAGTCACCTGGGGTCGGCGCAACATGTTTTCTCCTTCCATACTCCTCTATCATATACCATTTCTTCGCTCACTCCCCTCTTACCCATATCGTCTTTCACGCAATCCATCCATTTCTTCTTAGGTCTACCTCTTCTTCTATGTCCTTCCATATTCATAGTTAACACTCTCTTACCAACCTCATTTTCATTTCGTCTCATCACATCTTCCTTCTCACTTAGTTTTAAGATATTATTAGTCAGCAGCGGCCTGACTGTGCCTCTGACATTGACGATATTCATGAGCCGTATGCATCGTGTGTCTGTAAGGAAAATAAAAATAAAACTTGTTTATGTCAACGCTACCCTGAGACAAGAGATTTTGTCTCATCGCAATTTATCTACACCCTACCACGCCAAAGTGTAACCAGTAGTTTAATGTCGGTATTTTAATCACATTACTTGTGTAAATAGGTAAGTTTTCACTATCCTACATTCAGTTATAAGTCAATTTGTATGACTACTTTACGGCCATCAGTAAATTGACTTTTTAGTGTGTATTTACATTAAATTACATACAATTTATTGCAGTATCAAATAAATAGACTTAAAATTACCTCGTTCCATATCATCTTTCTTAAAACAGATTAGGGATGTACATAATATTAATTAATTGAATTTTATAAACTTGATACTGGCAACATTGACGTCGTAAGAAGCTAATTACCATATTTAAAAAAAAGAATGTTCCGCTTTAAGTGACTGGATGAACCGCTGTCGTAGCGTATCACTTGATATATGTCCATGGGCTCGCGCCGTTGATTGGTTATAGGAGATTATAGGCAACACAACGTGAATGTCGTCACTCAAGGACATCAGCAGTACCAGGGGCACGGCCAAGCCGCTGCTGCGTCATTTAATAACTCCCCCGCCTTATGGAGAGCATTACTGCTTAGCGGCAGTGACACGCAGGACTGTGGTACCGATCCTTGCAGACTTACGACCGGTTACCTACATAGAATGATACTTTTGACGGGTTCGATTTTATTTATCAGACGACATTCTTTGGACAGTTCTGAGGGCATTTATTTTTATGCATCAATCAACAACAGACACAAAATGAATTTATTATTAATATTTATATTAAAAATAATAAGCAATAAAAACGTGTTAGTGATAGCGTTTATAATAACATTACGTAATAATTATGTATGTAATTAATTATATGTATAATTTTTAAGAACTATTCTTTTACACGGCAATAATTTGTATGATTAGTGTGGCAACATTTTCAATGTTTTTGGGTTGTGCAGAAAAACTGACAGATTGCGATGTTTTCGGTCAAGTTAATAAGTACTCGCGTAGTTTGTTTAATATTTAATTAAGTCAAAGATAAACAAAAATTGTTTCTATTTAAATAAACAAATGTGTATTTAATAATGTTTTAGTGCAATATTAAGTTAAAATACACTAATTGAAAAGCAATAATTTTAATATTAATTCAAGAAGCGATATATTTTTATTGATCATTTTTAAAATAAGTATCATAATTTATTGCCAATTTTGTGAACTAAACTTTCGTGTTGTATATAAAGTATAAAATATTTATTTAGGATAATACTTAACTCAGAACGTGACATTGGAGATGAATTGTCACGTTAGACGACCGTAAATTTCGGTATTAGATTTGGTATAATCAACATTACTTTGGCATAAAACTTCTTTAAAGACATTAAAGAGATCGAAATCATAAGAAAAATACAAATTTTAAAAATGGTTTTAAAAATAATTATATAAAAAACAGTTTATATCAATAGCAAAGAGAACTAACAATTTCAACTTGTTTTTATCCTGTCGTTACTAGTTAGGTTATCAGAGGGTAGTTATAAAACTGTTGTATCGTCAGCGGTTGGACTTTTTGGCGGGAACGCGAGGAGTGAAGTTGTGTAACTTGTTTTATTATATTTTGTCTATTTAGTGTTTCTCAGGTTTAAATGTGTAATAACGGTGGTTTATTAAAATTAAATATTTAGTATCTGTGAAAGTGCACAAATGTGGGAAAATAAAACAAAACCGATGGACGTAACTTCTCGGAATCCAACAAAAAGTCCACTGAAAGTCTCAGTAAATGACCACCATTTTACTGAGATTATATTTCATCCCATCTCATTTAATTTCACTCTATAATATCATTTTTCATAACAATATAATAAGAATATAAATTAAAATAAGACTCGACCTAAAGGTCATAAAATCCCATAAAAAAATCGTCCTAAATAGACAAAATCAAACAAATCACACAACTTTGCTCCTCGCGTTCCCGCCAAAAAGTTCGTAGTTACACAGATTATACAACACAAAAGTTTTGATTTATACTTACGGAGGGTGGAGGTAAGGAGGACTGTCTCATGCAGGGGTCAAGTTGAGACAATATATAGCTGTGAGCGGACGCCGCAGCTCTAGAGTCCAGCTCGGCTTGACAAGTGCGCGATCTTTATAGTCGTAGTTCGAGCGAAGGGTCCAGACTTCAACAGCTTAATATAATTTTCAACGCCATCTTTGACATAACGTCATTAGCTACGGTGACGCCGCGGTAACCGGTCGCTTTTCGGACACATTTTTATACACAGATAATGTGCTCCCTACGTCTACCCTCGAAATTTATATTTTTCGAAAAAGCCTCTATAATTTTGTTGGGTTAGCTTCTTTTGTTCTTTTTTGTAAAAAAATTAATAGGTAATTTTAATAGAAGACATTCCTTGATAATTAGACGAATGTAATAATTGAAATTTGTGTAAAAATTAAAAAAGAAACCCAATCGGACCGGCTGTAGTAATATTAATCGCTATTCAGTAACAATAAAACGTGAACTCTGTAAAGTAGATAATAAACATAAGTTTATTACAGATGTATGTTTTATTTAAATACCTTATTTATTGATATTGATCCGGCTTAACCAATATTACTCCCGCTAGACCTGTGGGGTTGGGTGGGGCGGTCAGGTGTGGGCTGATTAAGATCGACCCAAAGGCTTCGAGCCCAGCGCCAAATAGTTGTACTACGACAAACGAAAAAAACTGAGAATCTTGTTAAAAAAGTATGGATAGCAACAAAAAAAAGATCTTTTTTTATTAATTTTTTTTACCTAATTTGAAGATTATTGTCATATTTATTTTAATGAAACAGACGCACCTATATCATTTTCTTGAAAAGTTGAATACTGGTCGAGGTAAATTAAACATGAATTTAGATTATATAAAAAAAACCACCTATTTAAAGATCAAGTCTGCATGCAACACTGTCGGACCCTATAATTTATGGATGGGCGACGATGATGATGATTACTCAAGCAGATAAGTGGAATCGGCAAGACTGAAGATTTGGATTATAAAAAAAAATTGCCAAATTCCTTTTTTTAATGACTTTACCTATTTTTTTCGATCTGACAGTTATGACGTCACAATATGGCGCAGGTCCGCGCACATTCTTATTTGAAACGCATTATGCATATATTATTATAAGTATGTCAGTCCCACAGGGGTCAGTAACACGGGGAATCCTAAATTCCCCAATGTACATGCGTGATTTATTCCCATCGGTTATTTCGTTTGAGCTACTTCGCTTAACAAGCGGCTTGGCTCTGTCCCTCTCATTGCTGACGTCCATGGGCGACGGTAACCACTCACCATCGGTGGGCCGTATGCTCGTCTGTCTACAAGGGCAATAAAAACAAAACTTCACTTCAGTGTCACTTCACTGTTGCACTTACAACACCACATCACACACTTTATTCCCACACTTTATTAAACACTAGTGGCCCGCTCCGGCTCTTTAACAAAAATTTCAAAATAAAAAATTATAATACACATCTATATAATATAGCCATTATATTTGCGTCAGGTTTCTAAAGATAGGAAATTGTAAGGATAGTTTGAATATTATCTGATTATTTTAATGAACTTTTCTTTTCATTTAAATAATATTTATTCTTTATCAAGTGTTTTTTTTTTATATTATTATTTTCCTAATTTTCGTGACTTTATTGAGTCAGACCTGCCCCGTAAACGACATTTGACGTTGTTTTATATTTAAAATAAAAGAAAATTTATTGCGGCATAACTATGATAGTTAGACATATGCTGTCGCGACACTTTTTGTAAATAATAATGTGTTATATACAAAGTCATAGTACATTATTTTATTCTATCATCAGTAGCTTTTTCAGCGCACGCGACTAAGGAATATTTTACGTAATATTTTTACACCTTGAGCTACATTATTGGAGTTTTAGTAAGGAACCATATTAAAAAAAAAAGAATATAGCCTATGTCACTCGGGAATAGTGTAGCTTCCAAACAGTGAAAGAATCTTTCAAATCGGTTCAGTACTTTCGGAGCCTATTCAATACAAACAAACAAATCTTTCCTCTTTATAATATTAGTATAGAAAATACAGATTAATTAAGTATACGTTTATTCCTCTTTACAAACAAAAAATGCAATTAAAAGAATAATTCACATTCCAACTTCATAACTTAGTATTCGTATAATTGGGAGTCGCAAATATACAATTTACTACAATTCAATTTTCCTTATGATATTTTCATTTCGTCTAATTTACTAGAGATATGACATCGCAGTAATGACATATTTAGTAACCACGACAACAGAACTACACAAGTTTTGGAAATTTCAAATTAAACTTCACATTACTAGACATATATTATTTACATTTGTTTATTACTCTAAGCCCGTGACCAACTTCACGGCTGTCCTTTAGTCAGAAGAGCCCTTATACCTCAGAACGTGAGTCTCATCAATGACATCAAGACATGAGGTCAAAGACTGAATTATATTGCATAGCCCTTCAATCTGACATATTTTTTTATTGCCCTTGTAGGCAGACGAGCATACGGCCCACCTGATGGTGAGTGGTTACCGTCGCCCATGGACGTCAACAATGCCAGGGGCAGAGCCAAGCCGCTGCCTACCGCTAACAAGCCGCTTGACTGCAGTAATCACTTCTTCTCAGAGAGTCATCTTTGACCATTAACTCATTCATTTAGTCGTAAACAACTTCATAGGTGACCTCGTTACCCATCTCATCAAACAGGACTGCTTCCCCCATATCGTACGCACTCTCACTCTTAACCACCACCTTCTCCTCGTCACTTTCTTCTTTAACATTCACTAAATCACTGACACTTTTAACTGCACGTTCGATTTCAGCATTGCTTCTGCCTTTCTTATCTGAATCGCTTGAAGAATTATTCTTAACTCGCTGCATCGCCATCATCTTCCTGTACTTGCTTTTGTACGGAGCCGGCATCTTCAGGTGCACGGTGCTGACGTGTAGCTTCATTGAGTTAGACTGGCTGAAGGCCTTGCCACATTTCGGGCACTTGTACGGCTTTACTCCGGTGTGGACCTGAAATTCATCACACATTTTAGTTAATAGATGGTCCCACTTTTTTTTTATTGCTTAGATGGGTGGACGAGCTCACAGCCCGCCTGGCGTTAAGTGCTTACTGGAGCTACGGACATCTACAACGTAAATGCGCCACCCACCTTGAGATATGAGTTCTAAGGTCTCAGTATAGTTACAACGGCTGCCCCACCCTTCAAACCGAAACGCCTGCAACCCTACAAAATGTCTAACATTTGTGCTGTCACTGTCATTGTGATTTATTAACAGTACTGGAAAGTATTGGTGGGAGTATAAGTTTACCAGTCACTGGGTCTCTCATAGATCTCATAGATTTCTCTCCAGTGACCGACACCTCTGTTCAGGCCATAATCCAAACGGAACTAAACTACTTTCCCAGCTATCACTTAGTATGATCAAACTCTCATGCTCCCTCATGATACCTACAGACTTGATCAGAAACTAGGCCAAGTTCATGTACAATGTCCGGTCAGAATTCTCAATAGTTTTCAGCCTATTGCAACATCTGATGAGAATCTACACTAAGTGATTCCCAGGTATACTAGATATCATGAAGTTTTCCTGATATAGGTATTTTATCTGAATAACGTACTCTAAAATCTACCAAATTCACAACCCAGACTGAGGCTGATTGGGCCTGGCCCATCCACTCTTAAAATATAATTAAACTCACACGGTCGTGTCTCAATAGAGCTGCTTTGTTACTAAACGCTTTGGGGCACTGGAGACATTGATAGGGCTTCTCTCCGGTGTGAGTTCTGACATGGACCTGAAAATATTTATTTATGGTTACGTGATTACTAAACTAAATTTTATTACTAAACTTATTTTCGTTCGAGATAACTAACCTTACTTAGATAATTACACATATTTCAACTATACAAGGGCGTTTTTTGAATAAATACTTTTTAAATTATTTAAATAGAATTACATACAATTTCAGAATGTCTATTGTATTTTAAAGGGCCTCACAAGGATAGTTTAAATATTAAACCAATTCTATCTGCCAATACCTTATTTTTATACCTTTAAGTATCTTATCTAAGACTTAATAATACACGTGTTACAAAATATCCCCTAAAAATATAATTCATTATCAAAGCCTAAAACCATTTCAACCCTAGTAAGCTGTCAGGGAAACAGATCATTTAACAGAAAAACCTACATACACCTATTTTACCTAATAATTGTCTACTTTAATATTTTTTCTATTTTTCATTCATAAATGTTTGCTACCTCAATACAGGATGTCATTATACTCAAGTATCAAAAAATGTCAAGTTGGAAATAAAAATATTCAAATCTTCTAATCGATATCGTACAACTGTTTAGAGTAGAAAGGTAGGTACATTCTGCGTAGTATACTCTTTAATTTTACTGAAATAGGCTTTGCACATCAGTGAAAATGATATTTTTAATTTTTTTGTGGTATGTTATACAGCGTTACTAGAATTCTTAAATATTGTGAATGAACTCATTATAAGGCCCCGTTTAACCTCCTTTCGGTTTTACAAGTAGTTTTGTAACACCTTGTATATAATTCTTTTATCGGTCTGTATGTTAATGAGCTCCTCCTAGATGGCTGGACTGAATTTGATAGTTTTTTTTGTCTGTGCTTATCTAAATTTTAGAATAGATTGGATTCACAATTCGGCCCACTACATTTTTTTTTTTATTATTTTAATTTTTTTTTATATTATAGCTATTCCACTCTACTATCAAAATACTATGTTAATGATTACCTTCAAGAACAAGGGCATTGTAAATGTTTTCTCGCACATGTGGCATTTGTATGGGCGTTCTCCTGTGTGCACTCTCTGGTGGTACCTCAGTGCTGCATTTGACTGAAAATGGAGAAGATCAATGATGAAACCTGTCCAGTAAATTACATTCAACAGACCAATTTTTCAACAGACCAAAACAGAGCTTGTAATTTGCTATTTGAATCTAGGCATATAAATAAAATTAGAGTGTCTGTCTGTTTGTAATATTGAAATAACCGCTTTTTACTACATGCATATGAATATATATATACGGTACATACATACCAAAATAACATTTTTTACAATTTTTGTCTGTCTGTCTGTTGGTTCCGGCTAATCTCTGGAACGGCTGGACCGATTTTGATGAGACTTTCACTAATAGGTAGCTGATGATATGAGGAGTAGCTTGGGCTACTTTTTTTAGACTAGCTTCGTCCCGCGGCGTCACCCGCAGTTATTGTCGTACCGAGCGCAACATGGCGGGACTCGCCTATCAATAATAAAATTTGATGTTTCCGAAGCGAAGCAAGGGCGGGTCGCTAGTTAAATAATAAACCATAATATGTAATCACAAACACAAATCAAGTCTAACAGAGACTCAAACCTCGTATTGCTCATATACCAGATATATTAGTTACCATCAGAAAGTAGTGAGCTTATCGACATGGATAAACTATGATGAGATATCTTATCAACCAACTTGAAAGGTTAGCATGGCTGTTATAAAACAATAGTTTCATAGTGATTGTATATTTAAAATCAGCTCCAAGCTTGGCTAAAATAAAAACCTGAATATATACTTCTTTCTAATACAGTAATTGTCTAATTTTTAACATTTCGATATAAAATTATTGATAGCTATGCGTATGTTGTCTGCACTAATTTATTTCCTTTTTGTTCACTGTATTTTTCTCAGCAAAACAGTGGAATTTACCATACCCATGGTAGGTAGTATATTTAGATTCAATTTTATAGATATTTTTAGATCGATTACACTAAATTCCTTCCAAGTTTTCCTCAAAAAGGAAACTGGAACCCAATAACAAAACAACCTAAAAATGTCTTGATTAAAGTACTCAAACAATATGTTTATTAAATATTAAAGCAATATAATTAAAATCATTTAAATGTGTGAATTGAATCGCAGACGACTTCAATGATGAGTGTAGGAGTTTCTTAAAAATCATAATGAATAAACTTACAAATAAATATTAGAACTTCAATGTCATACTGGGATGTCTATGTTCTCTGGAGTCCAACATGGTGCTCTGAGAGCTCATACGTCAGTAGCAATAAAACTGGGAGTCCAGTCCCCGTTAAGCACACATTAAATAAATACATGGTGGTACAATAAATGGTGGTAGGACCTCTAGTGAGTTCGCGTGGGTAGGTACCACCACTCTACCTATTTCTGCCGTGAAGCAGTAATGCGGTCCGGTTGAAGGGCGAGGCAGCCGTTGTAACTATACTGAAACCTTAGAACTTATATCTTAAGGTGGGTGGCGCATTTACGTTGTAAATGTCTATGAGCTTCAGTAACCAGTTAACACCAGGTGAGCTGTGAGCTCGTCCACCCCTCTAAGCAATAAATAAAAAATACTTACAGTATATTTCCTGCCGCACACTTCGCACACAATGTTCTTCGGCTGTTTGTATTTTCTGACTTTAGCTTCAGATTCGATGGGTTCAAACTTCAGGGAGCAAATGTGGGTCGTACAAGACTGAAACAGAGAATAACAAATTATTTGTAGTGTAAAAGGTAAGAAGCCTAGTGTATACCTAACAAGTAATGTACATATTTATTTGTGCTGTTCTTAAAATCACTGTTTCGCATACTAAAAACTGATCAAATTGATTTTTATTTAGAGTTTTTTTTTCTCTAGACAGTGTCTAGTAGACACCTATCAGTTTTACGTATACTGTGACATTGGTACAATCAATGCCAAAGGCGATGAAGCCAAATAAAAAAAAATATTAATATATATCATATCCCAAAGGCAAATAGCGCTGCACTGCCTCCTTCATGTACATAACTCGAAGCACTTCTTGTAGATTTATTTAGACTTATAGACATTGATTTGATGATGACTTAAATAACTTACAGCATAAACTTCACCGCAAAATTCACAGACAACTTTCTGAACAACATTCCCTTGTATCTGAACCTCCACTTCATTAGGATCCGTGTAGCCAAGGAATACATCATCGGTCTCCGTACCCTCCTGGTCCAAGTCCAGATCTATGTGCGCCTCCTCGTAGTGCCTCACACATTCCTCTTCCAGAGAGAAGGTTTTGTCGCACTGAAATCATGACAATTGGAACTTAAGCATGTACATCTTGATAAAGACAATTTAGAATATCTTTATGGGAGCTAGCTTCAGAAGAGATTAAATGCATTCTAAATTTTTTTTATGGCTTTGGAGGGTGATGTTGATATTAATGGTTAACAGAGCCTGTAGACATCTACAAAGTAAATGATGCCACCTACCTTGAGACATGAGTTTCAAGTTCTCAGTTTTTATAGTACAACTGCTGCCCCGCCCTTCAAGCCAAAACGCATTACTGCTTCACAGCAAAAATAAACAGGGCGGTGATATGTACTCGTGCAGACTCACAATACGTCCTACCACCAGTAATACTACTGTCTTATTCTTTTAATACAAACATAAGATTGTTTTGAGGTAGAAATAAGAGGAATAGATCCAAATAAATTAATTGCTTTTAGGTCAAGCATTTAATGACTGGGTTTCACCCAGCCTATGTATGTTTGTAGAAGAATGATATTTGAGGTTTGAATATCTATTATTGTGGCTCTTTAGAGCGGTGGGGGAGATTATCATAGCTTATCATATCGCCAACATCTGCTTATACTCATAAATTTTATATATTAGTTTAGTTAAAAGATATCTAATTATTGTAACAGTACTGGACTTCACTTAACTTTAAAAACATGATGTCTATTTATAAATTTAAATACTAGAACAATTCCTACATAACATGCAAGTTGCCTTGCAGTTTGTTGTGGTTGTCTTTTGATAAAGCTGAAGCTCATTTAGGTAATTACATGTTTCCAAGGAAATTTTCAAACACTGCCATTAACACTGAGTAATTTTATACTAATATTTTCGTGATTTGTTTCTATAATTGTGTGTTTATAATTATGTAAATATGTAACAAGACATGTTAGTTGAAATTCCAATAGTAAAATGTGTAATAAACAAGTTAAATTCCGTAATAAAGAAAATGAAACTCTACTTTTATACATTATATTCTCAAATAATTTGACTTTTATATTTGGCAAAGGGTCCAAAACGAATGCCGCCCCTTAAACTACATTTTTCTCTGTTAAATACTTACAACGCCACATTTAAATTCTTTTTTCTCTTTTTTATGAGGATGTTCTTTCTCCAAATGTAATCTAAGATCATCTTCGGTTGGAAATGTCTCGCCGCATTCACAGATTATATAGTGAATACTAACAAATGAGCAATAAAACATACTATCGTCCTCACTCATTTTGTTATTAAGAACTTCAAGCACAGATTAAAATAACGTATTTGTAGAAAGACACAGCGTATCAAACTTTTAGATTTTCTACGACGCCATTTTGGTTTGTTCTGTGCGTAGTGCATAGACTAATTATAAATGAAAATGATCCAAATTCGTGGCGGATGTCATAGCTTGAATACTAAAGTTTGACAGTTACCTACGACAACGGATGTTCGTAGTCATGCACGCGCACAAAAAATACAAAGTCTTAGTCGATTTCACATTAGGATTTTTTTTCTAAAATGTCCTTGTTAGAATGAACTTACAAATATCTAATTAAATAAAACTGATGAAATATATTCCTGATATTTACTCAATAGAGACTAACCCACAGACACATCCTACTAAGTTTCTCGTCGGATCTTCTTAGTGGGTCGCGTTTCCGATCCGGTGGTAGATTCTGCGAAGCACTGCTCTTGCTAGAGTTCATGTTAGCAACGTCGTCAGATTTGAACCCTGCGAGCTCACCAGAATTACCTACAGCAAAATGTACTAAGCTACGATAAGCTTCCTTTGCTGATAGTGGTGACTACAACATTCATACTCGTAGAATCACAACGTTCATTGAAAGTGTATTTACTCGCAGGGTGTCGTCCAGTACTTTATCTCTGGCTAACTCTCTCATGCGGCGCAATAGGTGAGAAGGTTTTTGATCTCTTAGTTCCATCTCTCCTATGAGTCTTTCAATTTGTCGACTTTTGGACTCTTCAAATGTTGATAATAATTTCGTTTTTAGCGCCAGATATTTTCCTGTGTCCGGTGGCTTACCTAGAAAATCTGTTAGTTGAATAATGACTTCTTTTGGTAATTTCGATACGACAATGTCGAATTTAACTTCATCCCCAAGTTTCTGTGGGGCGAGTATAGACTCGATCCTAATGTACCATGCTCTTGGTTGCTCTGTCCAAAATTTTGGTATACGTGTCGATAGCGAGATCGCCATAATGTCCGCTGAAGTCTGCGACAATGCTAGTTGAGTTGCCGGAACTCCTGGTGTCGTCATTATTAATCACAATTCTCGTTTCATATAAATCACTTTTGGGTCACTACTGTAGATGTTGTTACCAATTGTGACTTCAGTAATAAAGAACTAATACACAGTAATGAAAACGCCGTTTATTCCGTAAGATGGTACATGTGTTTACATAAAGACCGGCGCCGGGCAACTGGTGCAGTGTAATGCAATAACTGCATGCGCAAGCGCTTACGTGTCCCTACATGTACCATAGTTATTTTGTCTAATTAAAGTCTCAAATTAATCATCTTCATTTCATTTCACTCCATATTATAATTTTTCATAAAAATAAGAATATAAATTAAAATAAGACATGACTTAAAGGTCTTAGTTACCAGGTCATAAAATCCCTTAAAAAAACAACACGAACAGGACGTTTTGGCGGGAACGCGAGGAGTGAAGTTGTGATTTGTTTTATTTTGTCTATTTAGTGTTTCTTCAGGTTTAAATGTGTAATAACGGTGGTTTATTAACTATTTAGTATCTGTGCAAGTGCACCAATGTGAGGTGTGTTGTATATATTTTTTACTTTATGTTTATGTAGCCGTTCAAATGGTGTGAGCGAGTATTGTTTAATAAACAAGCGATAGTGTTCTGTGGATACGTCCTTTATTTACAATGATACAGACAATACTGACGTGCTGTAGGCACAGTACATCCCCCTTAATAAGTATACTCGTACAATATTATTCTAAACATAGAAAAAAAAAGATTAAGTATTTTATTGTTATAACTAATAGTTTCCTTTAACACTAAACAGAATAATATATTACTACACGCACTTTTTCACTAAGTTCTTGTCCTTAATACATAACACTATATGATAACTCGCGGCATTGGTGGCGGTCCGCTGTCGCAGCTCGGATCACCTCCTCTTGTCCCCACCATCGGAAACTCTTGCAACTCGCGCCTCATGTAGCGCCCGTAGGTCAACTTGCAGCGCTTCCACAGCAAATATAGTATTGCGGCTAAGATGCAGGTGATAATGAACAGCAGATAAGATTCATATCTGCGGTATGTCGTCTCCTTTTCATCGTCAAACGTTGCGGCATTATTGCCGGCACCATTCTGTGCGATTATAATTCGTTCATCCTGAGTCTTGCTTTGCTGCTTGCCCATCTCAATCGTAAAAGCTTTACGGATAACGTTAATAAAATAACAATTATAATGTGCTCACGGTGTGAAACGAACTACGGGTTTGATAGTTCGGCCGTATCGAGACACTTTTGGTTGATTGTTTACAGTTGCCGTATTTGGTGCGGTCGCCGTTGGAAATTCTATACTGTTGTTAAGTGCAAATGCTGGCTTCAATCGATCTATACTAATGATTTTCTCCGTATCTTGCTGCATTATTTTATAATATTTTTCTGTTTTGCTAATCACCTTAAACGGACCTGTATAAGGCTGCGTTAAGGGCTTTGTAACCCTGTCGACACGCACAAATACATGGGTACAGTTTTTAAGATCGGGGTGAACAAATATCTTTCCTTGGTGTGTCTCTTTTTTCGGTATTGCAGCTAAGTTTGCAATCTTCCTGCGCAATTCTTGTAAAAATGCGATGTTTTCAGAGGATACTTGCTGCATAGGCTCGAAGAAATCCCCAGGTAACCGTATTGGTTCCCCATATACCATCTCCGCTGCACTGATTTGCGTATCATCTCTCAGACTTGCTCGTAAACCCAGCAGAACAGATGGTAATTCTGATACCCAATGCTCTGTGTTTCCTCGGCACATAAGTGCGGTCTTGAGAGATCGGTGCCACCTTTCTACAATTCCATTGGATTGTGGGTGGTATGCGGTGGTTCTAAATTTCGTGATGCCCATTCTTTTGGCTAATTGCGAAAACAAACTAGATAAGAAGTTAGAGCCTTGATCGGTTGTTAGATACAAAGGTGTTCCAAACCGCGCAATCCAACCAGTGTACATGATATCCGCAATCGTCTCGGCGGTTATATCCTTAGCAGGATAGGCTTCAGGCCAACCTGTGCTTCTATCTATCATCGTCACGATGTACCGGTATCCGCTACAGTATGTCAACGGACCCACTACGTCCATGTGTAGATGTTGAAAACGGTCTGTGTTCCGAAAGGTGCCATAAGGTGCAGTAGTATGTCTGTGAACCTTGGACTTTTGACATTCGATACATGCTTTAGTCCATTGAGTCACATCTTTATTCATTCCTTTCCATATATAGCGATCCTGCATCAATCTTCGTGTTGCTCGCATTCCGGGATGACTCATCTCATGCACAGCGTTGAAAGCCGATACACGAAATTCTTTAGGCAAATATGGTCGTGTTATGCTAGTTGAAACATCGCAATAGATAGGTAAGTTGCAATTAGGTACGAACAACTTCTTAAATTGTAACGAGTTCGATTCCATTAAAGTTTTTAATTCAGTGTCATTACTTTGCGCTTCAGCCAGTTTTTTATAATCTATGGGCGATGATTCGCTTACGGACTCTATACGTGATAAGCAATCGGCCACTATATTTTCTTCTCCTGATATGTGTTTTATATCTGTACAAAACTGCAAAATAAAATCTAATTGACGTATGCGTCTGGGTGTATCGTTTTTGCTTATTTTATTTCTCTGTAAAGAGTATACGAGAGGCTTGTGGTCCGTGTATACTGTAAATGATCGTCCTTCAACAAGCGGTCTAAAATGTTTGATTGCCAGATAGATTGCCAATAATTCTCTGTCGTATGTTGAATATCGTTGCTGTGCATCGCTTAATTTTGTAGAAAAAAATCCTAATGGTTTCCAAGAACCTCCTTCTTTTTGTTGCAGTACCGCGCCGGCGCAAGTATTAGAACAATCCGCCATAAGGGCTAACGGTGCATCTGGTGATGGGAATGACAATGTAACTGCGTTTTTTAGGCTTTGTTTACATTGTTCGAATGCTTCAAGTGCTTCCGCGTTCCACGGAATCAAGCTTTTATCCTTCTTCTTGGCGTTATGCAAAAATATATTTAATTTGTCGTGAATACTGGCTGCCTTTGGTAAATGCCGTCTGTAGAAGTTCACCATTCCAAGAAAACGACGTAACTCATCTACTGTATTAGGCCTCTTGAACTCGGATATGACCTTTACTTGCTCGTCCAGTGGTCTAATACCGTCTTTTGATACCCGAAATCCAAGAAAATTCAGTTCGGATTTTCCGAATTCACATTTGGCCATATTAATAGTAATTCCGTATTTATTCAAGCGACTTAGTACTTCTCGAACATGTACTTTGTGTTCAAATTCTGATGACGAGGCGATGATGACGTCATCGATGTAAATAAAGATGTTGTTTACGTTGCGTAGCACTTCGTCGTTAAGGAACCGTTGAAATGTGGCTGCAGCGTTTTTAAAGCCAAATCCCAGTCTCATAAATTCGAATAAACCAAAAGGACAAGCAATTGCTGTCTTAGGAATGTCCTTTTCATATATAGGAATATTATGGTAAGCTCTTTGCATGTCTATTCTCGAAAATATAGTTTTTCCGTGCAATAAAAAGGTACCGTCTTGTATACGAGGTATTGGGTAGCGATCTGGCTTGGTAATTGCGTTGAGCTGCCTGTAATCACCACAAGGTCTGAGCTCTCCGTTCTTCTTCACTACAACGTGCAGTGGACTTGCCCAGTTGCTTCTGGAGGGCCTACATATTCCCATGTCTTGCATTTGTTGGAATTCTGCCTTGACCTTTTGGTACTTGTCCGGTGGTAGCGGTCGTGGACGTACGAAGACAGCTGGTCCTGTAGTCTCAATGTAGTGTACTGTTGTATGAAAAGGTGTATCTTTGAAGTTCATCGGCTTAGTAATATCAGGAAATTCCGTCAAAATATCACTATAATCACTTGTGTAGTCGATTGTATTCATTGTAGGATCGTCTTGCAAAACCACAGATGCAATACTTTGTAGAGTGGTCACGGAGTCGATGAGTTTTCTGTTTTTTAAATCTACCAATAGCATATAGTGAGACAGAAAATCAGCACCGATTATTGGTTGCTTGACGTCTGCTAAAACAAATGTCCATCGGAATGATCGACGTAGATTAAAGTCTAAGTTTAAAGTCTTAACTCCATAAGTTCGAATTTCTGTACCATTCGCTGCGTACAGTTTATAATCATCACACTTATTGTTATAAAAACGATTCTTCTTTACTGGTAGCACAGAAATATTCGCACCCGTGTCCACTAAAAATCTAAGTCCAGTATTATTGTCTGTTATACATAGGCGGTGTATAGGAGTGACGGTGCATATCCCCGCCTGCGAGTACACCTCAGTTAGTTTTCCTGAATCACTGGCTTTTTCCAGGCACACGGTTCTACACATTTTCTAGCTCTATGGCGATATCTAAAATGATAAACACATAGCCAGTCCGGGCTGCTCGGTGAACGTCGACTCGTATTACGATTACGTGATGATGACCGTGATCGCGGTCGAAAACGGTGAAAATTGCGACTTTGCTCCATCTCTCTTATTTTTAAGCTTAATTTGGCTATCTCCGCCAGTATAAAGCTATGGTCAGTACTGGAACTACTGCCAGGAGTGCTCTGTACTTCAGACACTTGCAAGGGCTGCGTCGTCTCGATGACTTTATCCGCAATTGCCGACAGGTGCTCTAAGTCTTTTGCTTCGCAGACTGCTAGCACTCCTCGAACTGCCGCGGGTAGATGACCTTGCCACATAATTCTAAGGGTCTCATCGGGCATTTTATCGCGAGCCAGATCCCTCATACGGCGTAAGAGTTGAGAGGGCTTCTGATCCCCCAACTCCATCTCGCTAAGCAATTTTTGAAATTGTCTCATCTCCGATTCTTCATAGATTTTTAACAAACGTTCTTTCAGCGTATCAAATTTCTTCTCATCAGGTGGTTTTAATAGAATGTCACTGACCTGTTGTACGACGTCCTTGCCTAATTTAGTAACAACTAGGTTGTATCGGGCCTCATCACTTAACTTCTGCGGTGCTAGGATAGCTTCACATTGCACGTACCATAAGCGTGGTTGGTCGCACCAAAACTCAGGAATCCTCGAAGTTACAGAAACAACGGCTACTTCTGCTTCAACTGAAGTCATTTTATTACAAATCGGTTCTTAAAAACGTATCTTGCTATCGAGCGGCGTCTATGTTCTCGTTCGGGGTCACCACTGTGTTGTATATATTTTTTACTTTATGTTTATGTAGCCGTTCAAATGGTGTGAGCGAGTATTGTTTAATAAACAAGCGATAGTGTTCTGTGGATACGTCCTTTATTTACAATGATACAGACAATACTGACGTGCTGTAGGCACAGAGGAAATGAAACAAAGTTGCTGAACATAGCTTCTCGGGATCTTCCAAAAAGTCCATTGAAAAAGTCTTAGTAAATGACCACCATTTTACAGAGATTATACTTCATCTCATATCATCTCATTTCATTTCATTTCGTTTTCAATTCATTTCATGTCATGTTTCATAATAATCAACTTCATTTCGTTTCATAATATCATTTTTTATATAAAAAAGTTATCATTAAAATTAAAATAAGACTTGACTTGAAGGTCTTAGTTACCAGGTCATAAAATCCCTTAAAAAAAATTCAACCATAACTCAAAATTACGAATGTCAAACACAAATGGCATCTGAAGTTTGAGAAAAAATTTAGATGTTTGCAACTGAATTAAACTTTTCATCAACATAATGGAAAATAAAAACGTTTGTATCGCTTGTTTAGCGTCCGATACGAGACTGCACGACATGTATCGATACGGCTTAGTAGAAATATATGAGGATATCACAACTATTCAAGTACGTAAAAAATTCCCTCCCTAATTTTATAAATTGGTTGTTCGCGGTCGTGTTCCAGCGTTATCACGTAAGCTTCTTATCAAGCTGCTGGGCCAGGCGCAACATGCGGTCACTGTTTTCTTCTTCCTGAAAAAAAAACCTATTAACATTTGAACTTCCTTATTCCAATAGTTCATGATACTGACCAAAGGTGCATATTCGCTCCACGATTAGCTTCAATATCTTCGTTAAAGTCATTTGCATTATCTATCTCATGTCTTTGCAACACACCCAAACAGGAGACTACATAATTTGTACCCGTTGATTGATTCTAGTCTCACCTTGTCGCAACTAAAATCTGTATTGACGAATGCACTGAGAATTAATTGGACAGTGTTGTTATTGTATAAATGAAAAACACTTTGTACATTTTTTTTATTTTAGTACAATGCATTGTATTTCAGATAACTGCAGACGAAAGTAATTATCAGCACTATTTGTGCAGCGTTTGCGCCACACAGCTCATGAAGTGTGCTACCTTCAAAGAGAAATGCCACAGGGCTCAACGCTTAATGAACATGGTAAATATTTTTAATTTAAACAATAAAATTTAACAAATAGAGACTTTTAGTAGAAAATTATACAGTTGTTAGCATAATATTTAAATGTCAATGATTAACTCCTCAATTGCTTATGACCACCAAAACTACAGTATTTGAAATGTCAGAAAGAATATAGTGATGATCAAAAAGTGAGATTAAACTATAAAACTAGGTTTAATAAGTCCAAGACTGATAAAAACTAAATAAAATACTATATAAATTGTAAAGTAGATTTTGTCAGCCAATTTAGGCTGTGAACAAGAACTACTTTGGCAGGCAGGGGTTTTGGTAGATAGGCAGATATCTTATTGAGCTTTGTTTAGAGATACTATAGGTTCCATTGACTCTACTCTATCCATATAGGATGGACATTTTTTTTTTTTGTTTCTTAGATGCGAGTACGACAAGCCATAGCCCACCTGGTGCTAAGTGGTCACTGAAGCCCTTAGACATCTACAACATAAATGCGCCACCAACTTTGAGATATACGTTCTAAGGTCTCAGTATATTTACAATGGCTGCCCCACCCTTGAAACCGAAATGTACTATTGCTTCACGGTAGAAATATGTGGGTGGTGGTATCTACCCGTGCGGTCTCTAAAGAGGTCCTACCACCAGTAGTAATGAATGCTATTCATACTATCTCCTCCGAATAATACTTTTAGTACATAGTTTCTTTTTTTCGTCTGAATGTAAAATATCTTACATACTTTACTATGCCTCTAAAAACATTTAATGATCAGTTGACATTAATGATATTAATCAGATTTTTTTAAATATTTAATTGTGTTATTTCAGTTAGGTTCGTTACCAATTCAAGAAGTCGACAGAGAAACATACCACTTGAATACACCCCTCGCCATACACACCTTGCATTCTATGTCTCTGTCCACCCAAGTGGATTACATCAAGGAAGAATATGATAATGTGGAGAATTGTGCATATCTGGATGATTTTAAAGGTAATCTATATATTAATACGTGAAGCAAAAACTTTGGATCTCTTTTTACAAAAATTGCGGTGACAGAGGAGTATGCCCACACTTACAGAGAATATAGAGAAGGAGTGCAGAATCCTTATTTTTTTAAAATTATGCATTAATAATACATTAAATCAATAAAAAAACATTACCCACTACCATGTATTTGACACACAGGCATATCATTATATACTCTTCATTTATTGTCAAACTTTTGTTATTGCTTGAAGTCTGTTTAAATTGAGAATAGGTTAATATTGTTTATCTTTAATATTATTTGTCTATGGTGTGGTTTTGGCAAAATCTGTAACTAGAACCGTAATAATGTTGAAACTTATAATTTAAATTAATTATAGTCGAATTTCGACTACTCCGGGACAACTAGTTAAAGTAATTACATGAAATTTAAAATAGCAACAAAATCAATCCGCTGTGAATGACAAGTTTGAAACCTTTTGGTGGTGGATGCGCTAATAACAAAGAATAAAATAGAATAATTCACGTGGTACGGCCAAGCGCGCACATTACTGCATACGGATGCATTTTATATCAAAGTCATTCATTTACCGGTCAGTTCATGGCATCTCCAGCCATCACATACTCGCATATCATTTTTATCATATAAACAGCCACCAATCAGTGTAAGCATATCCATCAACAATTACTCACTATTGGAGTTATCATTATCACAACAGAGGGTTGTGTGGACAAACCGCACACAGGCTTTTAAAGTCTTCGAGACACTGAAATGGTTCAACTAAGCTGTCTTTCTAATAATATTATTTAACACTTTCACTGTCGTGTAGGTCACTGGTACTCTATGTGATGCACTAAAGTAATTATGTCAATTTCTCTCTTCCATCTTTTTTACTAAAATACTGTAATATCTAGTAGACTCTGGGAAAGAATAATCCGAAGATACTGAGAATAATTCTATTACAAAGAGACTAAAATATATATTAAACAAAAGAAGGCAAAGTCAGGCAATCCAGGCGCTTATTAACAGAAATCGACATAATTACTTCAGTGCCTCGCGTAGCGCACTGGTGATCTATCCGGACACCGCCCTCGTCGAACCCGTCGCTTGCGACGAAGGGCACGGCGAGTAAATTAACCCACAGACACAGCCCACTGAGTTTCTCGCCGGATCTTCTCAGTGGGCCGCGTTTCCGATCCGGTCGTAGATTCTCCGAAGCATTGCTCTTGCTAGGGCCAGTGCTAGCAACACTCCCGGTTAGAGCCCCGTGAGCTCATCTACACGTCAAGGAGAAACTGAAATAGTCTCTCAAGGCTATCAGCATAGGTAGGGAAAAAAAAAAGGTGAACTACATGGCAGTCAATATGTTAATTGGAATTTATAGAAGAAAAAAAATACATTAATTAATGTGGCTTGTGTGTTAATGTGATTAAATGATAAGGCAATCAATGTATTTGTATTATGCAGTATATTATGCCAGTATTCAAAATCGTCCAGCACATACCAGCTTACACTTACAATACACTTAAAGTGAGCTGATAAAGGAAATCAAAAAATTTTTGTAATTGGGCATCTTCTTGGACCACAATTGCAGGTCCATTCTGCCCAATGCAGTCACCATCTCCAAATTTTAATCGTAGGACAGTCGACCTATCATCTGTATACAGTTTAATTGTGTATAATATGGGTTCCGAAACTTCTTTTGTCTACTGCCTACTTTGAGAATAAATTATTTTTAACACCCCCATTTTTTCGCTTTCTTAAAAACCACTTACCGCCACCAGCTTAGTCGGTGTCAAAGAGTCCTCCTAGATGAAATTACAAATCCCCTTCCAAACCTTTACACAACGCCCCCCTTTTTTTTTCTGGGTCTCTTACCGGCCCCCTTTAGGCTTGTAGCGCCCACAAGGGGGCGTTATCGCCCACTTTTGGAAAGACTGGAAAATAAAAATATGTAAACTATATATGTTACAAAATGGATTACTGTTGTAAATAGCCTATGTCTGTTTTCACCGATCTTCAGTTATGTCACCAATAAACGAAGAGACGATAGAAACAGAGGACTTAAAAGAAGAAATAGACAGTAAATCCTACGACAATGTGAAGTTGTTTGAGGAAGACATCCATGTCATGATGCTGTCCGAAGAGGAGCAACTAGCCGAGATCCAACGTAGGAAAGAAAGCGTCAACTACAAGTGCTCTTTATACAAATGCGAGAAATGCTATAAGGGTTTCATGACCGATGTCACATACACCAATCACATGATAAGGCACGATCCGGTGAGTACAGGACTCAATGTACAACAGATGATACCTCAATAATAGTATTGTCTTTAATGAGAATAACATGTTCAATGTGATATTTTCAGATCATACTTTAAATTCTGAATACATTCAGTAGTTAATCATAAGTCATAAAACTGGTTTCATTTTATGCATTTAGTTGAGTTGCAATGTTATATTTGAGAGGAAACACAAATATTGTCATTATATGGAAGTTATTGTACAAACAAAATTAATAACATAATGTTTATAGTTACATAAAAGTCCAGGATACCACTGTTTTCTCTTGAAGCCACATTATAGTTTCTGCTTGACACGTCCTTACGGATCCATCAGATCTAATAACCTTTGCACTAAACGCCTTCAGCTCTAACACTAGGAGCAGGCTTAGAGACCCCGGTAACCGTACTCGTCGAATTCGGCAAAGAGTTCGACGTGCAACCTAACCCATGCATCAGCCCGCTGAGTTTCCTGCCGGGTCTTCTCAGCGGGTCGCGATTCCGATCCGGTAGCAGATCCCTTCGCGAAACAGCTACCCTTGAGTTGTTAGGTCTCCTTCGGAGGCACTCCGGCAACTGTCCTGGTGAAACTGAAAAGGCCTCTGGGTCACTAGTAATACTACAACACTAAAAAAAAAGTTTCCTATTTATGTATTTCATTGATTATTTGAGTTTACAATAGTCTGTATATTCTATGTAAAAACGTACTTTAGAGACTGATGTTCTTAGAATTTGTTTCAACGATCACTCCGACAATTGAAGACATGAGTGGATGAAGGGGCTAAATACAATTTTTAAGATTTTTGAATTTTCACATTGAACGAAGGTGTTACGTGCCTATAAAACATATTAGAACTTAAACCTCTGGGTTTGAAGGCAATCCCAATCCTTTTCATCCACTTGTCCCCTTCATCCACGGTCCTCTTCATCCACGGTCCTCTTCATCCACGGTCCCCTTCATCCTCTTCATCCAGTTGTCCCCTTCATCCACTTGTCTCATTCGTCCACGGTTCCCTTCATTGGTCCCCTTCATCCTCTTCATCAACGGTGTCGTCAGCTGTGCGAGTCGGAAGCGACAACTGAGCTACGTTTCCGCCCGTAGTGCAGCGGCGCGCACGAGTGCGGCATATGCGGCATCCGGCGCGCGTCGGTCCGCGAGCTGCGCCTGCACGCCGCCTCCGCGCACGAGCGGCACTTCCTGTGCGCGCACTGCTCGCACGTCACGCGCTCGCTGCACCGCGCCCGCGAGCACCGCGCCTCGCACGGCGGGTACGCACAGGGGGGTCGCCCACTTCTCAGTTCTACAGCTCAACGACTGCCCCAACATTCAAACCGGAACATATTATTGCACTAGCTTTTGCCCGCGTGGGTAGTTCACAAATAATGCTTTATTTTAGAACAAATTTGGTTAGCATAAAAACGTTATAGTGAGCCAACCTTAACATATAGACATGTGCTGTCGCGGACTTTTTTAAGATCATTTAATTTTAGCGAAACTTTAACCGTTCCTGCAGCGCACGTAGCGGAAGCTCTCAAAAGGGGAAAAAACCCGAGTTTGAAACATTATTTATTGGTGCTCCGTTTGTATTGGTCATAGCGTAATGTTATATAGCCTATAACCTTCCTCAATAAATGGGCTATCTAACGCTGAAATAATTTTCCAAATCGGACCAGTAGTTCCTGAAATTAGCGCGTTCAAACAAACAATCTCTTCAGCTTTATAATATTAGTATAGATAACCGAAAGATATTTCCCAAAAACTTGTCGTAACGTGTGCGCTCGCCACCCCGAGGCGAGTGTCAAGGAGTGCTCCCTACCGTCGCCAGATGTCGCTTCCGCTGCGAACGGTGCGGCTCGAGCTTCAAAGCGTCGACCACGTATTTGTCTCATATGAGATTGAGACACCCGACTCATGATAGGTGCCCGCTGTGCCACAAGCGGTTCCTAGGACGGCTCGGCCTCAAGATGCACATGAAGAGGGCGCACGGAGAATGCAAGGTAAGGGCTTCCCACGGGCAGTGGGTTCTATTCCCGCATCGGGCTAACATTCGTGTCATGAACAGGTTTGTTGTCCTTTTTTGTCTAAATGGGTGGACGAGCTCATAGCCCACCTGGTGTTAAGTGGTTACTGGAGCCCATAGACATATACAACGTAAATGCGCCACCCACCTCGAGATATAAGTTCTAAAGTCTCAGTATAGTTACAAAGGCCGCCCCGCCCTTCGAACCGAAACACTTTACTGCTTCACGGCAGAAATAGGCAGGGTGGTGGTACCTATCCGTGCGGACTCACAAGAAGTCCTAACAACAGTAATAAAAATTAGCAACAGACAGATTTACTTACCCATTCATTGTATAGTGTGCGAGTACGGTTACGTTGTGTTGCAGAAGAGTCTCGAGGAGCACGTGTGCGACGGCTGCGACGTCAACTTCAACAGCGAGGACGCCCTCGAGCGACACCGCTCCGTGCTCAGCGACGTCTCCTGTCAGGACCTGAGGTGGGAGTGCGGGGGGGACCGGGGGGGACCTCTTCCCCATGTCGATACTACCAAACTATATATATTGTTACGCACTGGGGTTCAGGATAAATAAATGTTCCACCAAATCACTTAGAACACTTTAAAATTCGTAGTCCGCTTCGCCTTATGTGATCCGTTTGCTGTTTCGCTTAGAGTAGATCCGATTACTGACTGCCTTCGTGCAATTTCTGCTACCCTTTTATAGTCGATACAACATTCCTAAAATATCGAGAACATTCTTCACAAATCGAATATTTTCGATGTGTGTTTCTGTTATCTGACAATAGATGGCGTTGTACTTCTCGAGCGTTCTAGGTGCTACAAGATCCTTTAATATCCGTTTCGGCTATTCGACGATAGATGACGTCACTCTTATCGGCGTAACAATATTTATTTAAAATAGCGATCGCCCAGTGGTTGAAACTCGACCATAATTAATTTAAATTATAAGGTTGAGCATTATTATGATTCTATTGTCACATTTGTATAATCATCAATGTCCTACCACCAGTAAGATTATAAACTAACTAGCTGTACCTGTCCGCTTCGCTGGGCATTTAAAATTAACATTATTATTTCTCACCCCCACAAAGATTCTCATCATTAACGCCCCGGCAACTGGTGTAGGGAGTCCAACGCTCATATAAATATTAACCTATCCATTAAGTACATGTATTTTCTACATGGATACTGATTTAATAATACATAATCGGATGCATGGTTCAGTAGTTGTAACGGATATATATTAATTAGTATAGACTCTATAGTCTATGACATGTATTGGTGACTTTCCAGATCGTGCGCGGAATGTGGGTTCGGTTTCCAGACTGAGGAGCTGCTGCAGGAGCACGTGGACTCCGTGCACGCCGTGGACGAGACTGCCAAGTGCAGCAAGGTGAGCAAGCACTCAAGGCTGCCAGCCAGAGGCTTCTTACGGCCTTCCTTTTTTTCATACTGTTCCCAACCAAACTGTGGATTTTGAGTTTTTACCACGGCAACACTGGTCGCGATTTGACATCTGTCACTTCTTCTCTGAGGGAAAGAGGTGTGTGTCCGCACGCTGCGGTGTCTCATTATCCCATACTTTCCTTACCACATCCTCATCCTGAAACCTCCTATCTTAAGTGATACGACCTGATTTGACGAGATAATCGGTTCTGGTGAGTGATAGGCTAATATTTTTTTAAGAAAATACATACGGTGTTCGATGGGCCCCTCGGGTTGGTTTCCGGAGCTCTAGGCTATCACGAGGGGGCGGGGTTCGGATCGAACACCTACCTAAGCTGATAGCCTTGAGAGACTATCAACGTTAGCCTAGCGTGTAGGTGAGCTCTCGGCGAAGCCTTCCAATCTTGACCCTCGACACTTGTGTTCAAGGACCCACGTTTTGAGAAGAAGAATAAAAACTATGCAAAACTCCACACCAAAACCTCAGCACGAAGCATATATCTTTCTTTCAGACGTCTTTCCTTTTATTTATTAAAGATTCAAAGTTAAAAATAATGATAAATTGCATTCGAAGCAGGGTCGCACCTCCTACAAGGAACACGGTTAATTGTGTGTCTGAGTGAGTGAGTGATTAGTATATGAGTGAGTAAGTTCATTGTGTATCTGAGTGAGTGAGTGAATTACTTATTTGATTGAGTCTATTATTGAACGACCTCTTTCCTTAAATCAGTGTAGATACGTATGACACTAACCTGGTCTGGTGTTGCAGTGCGACAAGAACTTTGCGAACAAGCGGACGCTGTCGAAGCACATCCAGCGGTACCACCTCGGCAACCTGCGCGCCGTGCGCCCCGCCGAGACCGAGTACGTCTGCGAGATGTGCGGCACCAGGTGCTCGGTGAGTCGCGTGGAGCCCAGGGACACTTACCTATTGTCAGTGCCACTCTGTGACGAACTGTGTCTCCTCTCCCGCAGTCGGCGGTGTCGCTGCTCAACCACCAGAGGACCCACACCGGGGAGAAGCCCTACCAGTGCCCGGACTGTCCGAAGAGGTTCAGCGTGTCGCAGGGGCTCCGGGTGAGATTTGTGTGTATGTGTAGCTTGGGCGGGTGCAGTTCAGTGGTGACTGCGGTCCACAGACAACAAGTTCTTCAGCACAACGACTGCCTCATCCTTCGAGTCGGAATACGTTAATGTTTCGTGACAGAATTAAACATGAATTAGAAAATTTGGTATTCGTCTGCGGGATTCGAACCCCGGTCTCGGGTCCTGACGCGACCAGCTACGTGACGACTCCTGATCTGTCCCCAGATCCACATCCGGACGCACACGGGCGAGAGACCGTTCAAGTGCACCAACTGTCCCAAGGCGTTCAAGAACAAGGCGGCGCTGAACCGACACAACCGGGTGAGTGACGCACACACACGAACCACAGAGTCGTAAAGATGATAGTGATCCCCCTGTAGTCGAAATTCGACTGTAATTTTACTGGTGGTAAGACCTATTGTGAGTCCGCACGGGTAGGTACCACCACCCTGCCTATTTCTGCTGTGAAGCAGTAATGCGTTTCGGTTTGAAGGGTGGGGCAGCCGTTGTAACTATACTGAGACCATAGAACTTATATCTCAAGGTGGGTGGCGCATTTACGTCGTAGATGCCTATGGGCTCCAGTAACCACTTAACATCAGGTGGGCTGTGAGCTCGTCCATCCATCTAAGCAATAAATAAAAAGTTGAATAGATAAATATTCTGCGAGCGCGCTATCGAAAGCGAAATCGGGTCATCGACCTCGCCGATTTTCCTTCGTAATACATTGCGTGCAATCTAAATACAATGGAATTTCAGTTTTTCTTGTTTCTCGGCAGGTGCACACCGGCGTGCGTCCGTACGCGTGCCCGCACTGCCTGAAGGCGTTCTCCCAGTCCAACTCGATGAAGCTGCACGTGTCGACCGTCCACCTCAAGATGCCGGCGCCCTATCGCAACAGAAGGAAGAACAACAGCAGCTAGGGACTGCCGTGGAATCCCTAGTCCACCGAACTATCGGCGCGGGCTTCGGTCCAGTTCCGGGGCGCAGCGATACGCACCTCGTAATTTATGAGCTCCAACAGCCGCATCAGGTCGGGGAACGTGAGCATTTATGAGTCCCCGAAGAAAATTGGCGAAAGGTTTTGAAATTAAGTGACAGAATAAGCAGTGCCCCATGTCAGTCGCGGAGGGTAGAGTGAAACGACTTCGCGTGACGAGTGTCTGTGCAATCGTGTGTCGGTGAGATGGCGCTGGTGTAGCAAAATACCCGAATTTTAATAAAACCATCAAGTATTGTATTAAATTAGTGATGATTGTTTTATTATTGTGTATTGTGTTCGAAAGCCAAAAATATAAATTGCGTAATTACTGGTAAGTCAGTCCGCTTGGGTAGGTACCACTGCCCTGGCTATTTGTGCCGTGAAGCAGCAATGCGTTTGCGACATGTCTCAAGGTGGGCGTCGGCATTTACCTTGTTGATGTCCACGGGCTCGGAAAACCTCTTAAGATCAGGTGAAAACCGTACGCTCATTACACATCTAAACTATATCCAAGTTGTGATACAATGCAATACTATTGAAAGTACGACAGAGCGGGTAGAACACAAACATAAATTAAAAAATAATGAAACATCTGCTCGGCTAGTGGACATCACCGTCGGGCGCAGAGCGGGGCCAGTGCTATCTACGCTATAAAGACCCATAGAGAAATAAAAACGCACGACATTAGATGTTCCGGATGAAGTCTTTAAATAGTACTTCTAATGGCGTCAAAGAAATTTAACATTACATTTATTGGTCTAATAACCATGTAAATCATAATAAAATAGTTAAATTATATTATACTAGGCCGAAAGAAAAAAAACGGTTTAACTAGACATGCAAATTAAAATGGTCTTAGTGAATTCAGATACTTTCCTGATATTCGCTTGTTATAACTACAGAGGCCATTTCATAAAAAAATTGTACCTACCAATTTTCGCGGTCATTTTAAACAATCAGCTGTTCGTGTTGTTTTTTTCTTCTTTTTATGGCCTGGTAACTAAGAGCTGTCTGTTTTATGTCTTATTTTAATTTATATTCATAATTTCATGAAAAATGATAATATGGAGTGAAATGAAATAAAGATGATTAATTCAAGACATTAATCAACTGGGATGAAATATAATCTCAGTAAAATGGTCATTTACTGAGATTTTTTCAGTGGACTTTTTGGAGGATCCCGAGAAGTTACGTCCAGCGGCTTTGTTTCATTTTCCCACATTTGTGCACTTTCACAGATATTAAACAGTTAATAAACCACCGTTATTACACATTTAAACCTGAAGAAACACTAAATAGACAAAATAAAACAAATCACACAACTTCACTCCTCGCGTTCCCGCCAAAAAGTCCNTACTGAGATTTTTTCAGTGGACTTTTTGGAGGATCCCGAGAAGTTACGTCCAGCGGCTTTGTTTCATTTTCCCACATTTGTGCACTTTCACAGATATTAAACAGTTAATAAACCACCGTTATTACACATTTAAACCTGAAGAAACACTAAATAGACAAAATAAAACAAATCACACAACTTCACTCCTCGCGTTCCCGCCAAAAAGTCCAATTCTGAATAGAATAAATTTATCACAGATTAGTTCAATATAGTGCACAGATGAAACCTATTACATTTAGTAATCAACAATTTATCAATGTACAGGCAATAAAGGAATTTGTAAATTTTTTTTGTAAATAACCTTATGAAAGTAAAAATGTACAATGGATGGAGTGTATGAATGACGATATGAGAGAGAGAGAGGAGTGAGTATTGAGATGACGGCTGATAGAAGAGAATGGAAGAGAAAAAAATGTTGTGCCGACCCCACCTAGTGGGATAAGGTGGAGAAAAAGAGGAAGAGAAAGTAAGAATGTACAAACTTATTTAACTTAGTAAATCGTTTGTTATTTTATGAGAATTGTGTTTGTATTGATTATTGCATGTTTTGTGTTGAAAAATAAAAGTATTTGTAAATATTGTATAACTCTTTTTATTATTTGGTAATACGAATAACACCTAAGTTGTCCCTAACCAGGAACACTAAAATATACGAAACAGAAAAATCTAAAATAAAAATTAATACATAAAAATCTCATTAAACCCTAAACATAGGTTACATTACATTATTACGGATTCTGTATCTTCTAAAAGTAAGAAATGATGTTATTTTCTTTATATTTCACTTTGATGTAGTAATGATTTTAACTACTTTTTAAGCTATTGCATAGCTTTTATCGCGGCGACCGAATCAAGAAATTCCGTAACGAAAATAAAAACTAACACTCCCCACTCCGCCTACCATGTAGCTCGCGTTCAACACATTCACACATTGTGCTTGTGTAGTGTTTGTGCATAAGCGCGTGGCGTGACGTCGCACTGCATGCGCATCATGAAAAGTCTACCCGTCTCTCTCTAGCGCGATCTACTTTATGAGTGTGAAGGGGACAGTTAATGTTTTGCTTTTGTTAATGTTTATAAATAGAGCATGGTCTTATTTTAATATAAATTATTATTGTTTTTTTTTATTGCTTAGATGGGTGGACGAGCTCACAGCCCACCTGGTGTTAAGTGGTTACTGGAGCCCATAGACATGCACAACGTAAATGCGCCACCCACCTTGAGATACAAGTTCTAAGGTCTCAAGTATAGTTACAACGGCTGCCCCACCCTTCAAACCGAAATGCATTACTGCTTCACGGCAGAAATAGGCAGGGTGGTGGTACCCACCCGCATAGACTCACAAGAGGTCCTACCACCAGTAATTACGCAAATTATAATTTTGCGGGTTTCATTTTTATTACACGATGTTATTCCTTCACCGTGGAAGTCAATCGTGAACATTTGTTAAGTACGTATTTCATTAGAAAAATTGGTACCCGCCTGCGGGATTTGAACACCGGTGCATCGCTTCAACACGAATGCACCGGACGTCTTATCCGTTAGGCCACGACGACTACTAAAATTGTCTAATTATAATTGCATAAGTTGATAAAAAATGCTATGCAACAGCTTTACCGCGGCAGTCCCCGAGTGCCACACATCTTAACTCTTTCAAATTCAAATAAAAGTTACTATTGTAAGAACCGCTCGTAGCATGTCTTGCTTCGCTGTTACTTGATACTTATAAAAAGAGCACCGGATATCATACAAAATGAATGAAAGTCGGAGTTCTTTTGACGTGAAGTTGAGCTATAATGTCCAGCGTTATACCATGGACGGAGATTCATTGAAAGTGCCCTCTGGTTGGTAGATTGATAGGTAAAGCCCCCTTTGATTGGTCCGATTATTAAAAGAAAACAAACTCAGAAACCCAACCTACATTTTGGATGAAATTGCTGACAGATGATAGGAGAAAGTAGTAAACTAATCAATCTAAACAAGAATACCGGGATCGATATGTCCATCTCGACATATTTTATATACAAAAATTTATATTCAACTTAAGAGATATTCCTAGTAGTAGTGAATCTAGAATGCTCATGATTATTATAAATAAAGTCGTCGTAGCCTAAAGGATAAGACGTCCGGTGCATTCTTATGTAGCAATGCACCAGTGTGCGAATCCGGCCGGCAGGTACCAATTTTTCCAATCAAATACGTACTTAACAAATGTTCACGATTGACTTCCACGGTGAAGGAATAACATCGTGTAATCAAAATCAAACCCGCAAAATTTGAATTTGCGTTGTCACTGGTATCTGCATCTTGTGAGTCCGCACGGGTAAGTACCACCAACCTACCTATTCCATCAATAAAAAATAAAAATAAAATTTTAGTTGGGGTACCAGTGGATAAGTAAGAAATAACTTTAAATTCTCATTTGATGTTTCAATTCACCTTTGAGGCCCTCTTACAATAATATCTTAAACTCGCGAGTATTCCACGTTGAATAGCCTGACTGTCGAATAAAAATACGAACAAGTCCAAATCAATGTTGTTGGAGGGTTTTCATTGTTATATAAATGAAATAATCAATTCAATAGAAAATTACAACTCGTTTTGTAATACAAATGACCATTCATCTTCATATTCAACTATCGAGTCCAAATTCTATGAGAAAAACATCGATAATCAATTAAGTTCTGAGCAGAGCACAGTGAAACTGGACTTTTTGGCGAGAACGCGAGGAGCGAAGTTGTGTGATTTATTTTATTTTGTTTATTTAATGTTTCTTCAGGTTTAAATGTGTAATTATAGGAATATACTTAAAATAAAATAAGACATGACTTAAAGGTTTCAGTTACCAGGTCATATTATCTCTAAAAAAAAAGACCCAAAATTTGACGAAGGGCGAGTAGATCTGAAATTACTCTCGCTGTTTTCTATTAATTTTTTAAGTAAAATGTCTGAAAACGAAGAAAAAACTTCGTTATTACCACATCACGTACAACAAGAATTGTGTACGACACGTTTACCTTATCGGCAAGGAAGAAAACTAACTGCGGTGAAGGTAAATACGAAATAGTTGTTTATAACTAAACAATTCTAAGATAACTAATATTAATTCTAATTAATTTTATTAATTTACACCGTAGAACAAGCATGTATTTTCGGCTAGCAGTTGTTTTTATGTTTTAATACATTATTTGCAAACAGGTCTACACTGTCAACAATGAATCAACTCATCTCTTAATCTTCGGTGTTCCATCAATAAATTTGAGACAAGAAACCAAGTCTTTAGTGCAGCGGTATGGTGCCATCAAAAAGTTCAACCTAACCAAAGAATATGAGTGCGAGATATTCACCGAAGCATACCACATTCAGTACGAGAAGATACAATCCGCGCGAATAGCAAAGAAGTACTTAGACTGCAAGAACTACTACGGAGGGGTCCTGCACGTGTGCTACGCCCCAGAAATGGAAACGGTCAACGAACTAAAAGAAAAACTAATGGAACGCAGGAAAGACGTGTTCTACAGATTGCACAAGAACGAACAAGATTTATCCTTTAGCAAGAACACAGTTGTTAATGAAATTGACAATGTAATCCAAGAAAAAGTCATGGAGAAAGCTAAATTGAATATGGGCAATTTTAACCTTATACATTCTAATAAAAGGAAGGCGATTAATAGTAATTTAGTTAATAAAAGGCTTAGAAATAGCCATCATTTAACAGATTATAAAAAAATAAACGCAAAAATAGATGTTTTAGAAAACAATGTCACTATACAAAAAAGTCCTAAAATTGAATTAAAACACAAAGATAATGTCGAACTACAAAAAAGATTGAAGACTGATATTGACATTGTCGATTGTACTAGTACAGAGAGAGAAACGATTACTAACATTAATGAAGCATTGAATTACAATAAATTCGGAAATGAAATAATTAGGAATGTCATTAATAAACCTCCTAATAAAATTATATTTAGTTTTAATAAAAACAGCTAATGAAATTTGAGGTTTTCATTTATTGACCGACATGCTGGATGAATACAATGATTCTATAGTTACAAGGACACAATACTTTAGTGACGAGAACTTAAAGCTTAAAAAGCATAAATATATTCATCCAGTGTGTTTTCAGAGATTGTTTTTGCTGTTTCCCGAGGGCTTCTTCATGTCCTTCTTCAAACAAGGCTTGTGGGGAGTACTTAACGGTAGGCAGCAGTAGTAGGTAGTAATCAGAAACAGAATTGGATAATGGAGAGAGTTCATGTGTACAGGCCGGGTGGGCAAACCCTACACTTTCATAGGTCATGACAAAATACAACAACACTAAGCACGTTTTTTTTTCCTACCTAAGCGGATAGCCTTGAGAGGCTATATCAGTGTCGCCTTAACTAGTAGGTGAGCTCACGGGGCTCAAACCTGATGACGTTGCTAACACGAACCCTAGCAAGAGCCGTGCTTCGCAGAATCTACCACCGGCTCGGAAACGCGACCCACAGAAGATCTGACGAGAAACTCAGTGGGCTGTGTCTGAAGGTTAATTTACTCGTCGAGCCCTTCGTCGCAAGCGACGGGTTTGACGAGAACGATGACCGGTGCTTGAGGTACCTAAAAGCACCGTTAGTGGATCGGGAGGATCCGAAATGACGTGTTTGTGGTGACGTCGACTGCTTTCCATTCTGTCTGCAGGATCGGGAATGTAGTTACCGGCGGCTACGATGAGAGGGTTCTCGTATCGTGCCGCTTTATCGAAGTGGACTAAACATGTAACACCTTTTTCTTTTTTATTGCTTAGATGGGTGGACCAGCTCACCTGGTGTGAAGTGGTTACTGGAGCCCATAAACATCTAGAAAGTAAATGCCGCCACCCACCTTGAGGTATGAGTTCTAAGGTCTCAATTACAACAGCTACCTCACCCTTCAAACCGAAATGCATTACTGCTTCATGGCAAAAATAGGCAGGATGGTGGTACCTACCCGTGCCAACTTACAAGACGTCTTACCGCCAGTACTTACGCAAGTTATAATTTTTCAAGGTTTGGTTTTTATTACACGTTATGTTATTTTTCACCGTGGAAGTCAATCGTGAACAATTGTAAGTACATAATTCATTAGAAAAATCGGTATCCGCCTGCGGGATTCGAACACCGGTGCTTCTCTAGATACGAATGCACCAGACGTCTTATCCTTTAGGCCACGACTTCCTGATATTCCACTCACAAATAAATAAAACGCAATGCTAACCTTAATGAAACAAATTTAATAAACCATTACATTACAAGATGTAGGTGCTTAACATTAAAATATTAACTAATTTCATTTTTTTACAGTTCAGGCAGCACACCTCACATTTCTTAGTCCATTTTGGCAAAAAAAAAGTCCCGAGAAATTTGACTTTTAATTGACCGGTGTCAAAAAAGACAACAAAAGCCAAATTAACATAAAGTAAACAATTATCTCTCTTACTTAATCGTTTGATTTATGGGAGGTAGAAGTAAGGAGTATCAGTGTACTAAAGTGTCCGCTCAAAGGGAGTCAATTAAAGTGGCGCCACAGTAGCAAGTGGAAGGAATTTGATAGCAGCGCGATTATCTATTAGAGCAGGACACTAAATTTTAACTGTAAGAAACACTTTTTACATGAAATAATACAAATAAATAGTTGAGATTTTAAATACAACATATTTTTTTAACTACACAATAAATGACGAATAATATTAAGTTTTTCAACCCGGCACACTTTACACTATTCAAAGCTGCTATATTCACATCATTCCCACTAGCGCTATTTCGGTGAGTCTTCCAACAACTCGCTGTTAACAGGCGGACTTCAACTTGTCCCCTATGCCCGTATACAAGATGGCGCTCCTCACATCTACCCTCCATAAACAAAAGTAAATATCTCTTACTTATTCGTTTAATTATAAACCTCTCAGCCCGTTTCTGCAACGGCGACAATTCATTCAACCCAAATTGTTATTTACATTGTTAAATGAGTTTACAAATAAAATCAAAGGCATCCATTAAACTTCATATCGAGGAGGGAAATGCTATTTTATTTAAGCAACATTTCGATGTAAGATGCGTTTTATTTAGTATTACCATCAACAGTTCGACGTTTTTAATTGAATTTCAATTTAATTTACCCCATTCAAAGAACTTACCTAAGTTTTTTTTGTTACGATATTACGATATAGCTATTGCATAGATTTTATCGCGGAGTTTGAGAGCGGCGACCGAATCAAGAATTTCCGTAACGAAAATAAAACCTAACACCCCCCACTCCGCCTGCCATGTAGCTCGCGTTCAACACATTAACACGTTGCAATTGTGTAGTGTTTGTGAATAAGCGCGCGGCGTGACGTTGCACTGCATGCGCATCATGAAAAGTCTGCCCATCTCTCTCTCGCGCGGTCTAGCTTATAAGTGTGAAGGAGACAGTTAATGTTTTGCTTTTGTTAATGTTTATAAATATAGGGTGGTCTTATTTTATTATTAAATTATAATTGCATAAGTTGATAAAAAAATGCTATGCAATAGCTTTACCGCGGCAGTCCCCGAGTGCCACACATGTTTTTCTAAATTTTAAACCTTTAAATGTCTCTGTTCTAAAGGCGCAAAAATATCACTTAAATCAAAGTCATTCACTCCTCGACATATAATCACGTACCTACGGCGTCAAATAAAACGAATTAACCTTAAAATTAAAACTGTTATTTATTTACTAACTACAAATAATGAAGTGAAGTCGACATGTACACAAGTCCCGGAGTAGTCTGGTCGCAGGTTGCTGGGCACAGGATCTGCCATTCAACTCTGCTCACATTACGTGCCATGCAAAAATGCTGTTATTTCAAGAACATTATCTATGGCAAGGATGAGCAACACGCGGCCCGCCAAGAATTTCTAAAATTGTTTTTATTTTATCGACTTTTCTCCATCAATTCGTTTTTCTGTTCTTTTTCTGTTTGTTTTTTAATAAAGAAATAAAGTTTCGTAAATTATTAATAAAAGTTAATTAATGTGCGCCAAAAAAAAAAATTAATTGGCCCATTGATTAAAAAAGTTGCTCAGCCCTGATCTATGGCATTTCAATGTTTTCTCTCAGGACTCTGCCGCATGTCTTCATTATTGAGAACACGTTTCCCTTACATCCCAAAATATACCTAATAACAACATTTACTTAGGACTCCACTTTTATTCTCCCAAACTATTTTCACTCGCTCTATCATTCTTCTAACCTTAAAAAATATTTGGACATTTCATATTATCATACAATTCGAGTGACGACGAGATCCTTATGTTGAAAAAAAGCGGTACTAACACACAGTCCGACAATGAAAATCGAGGTTTTGTGGCAAGTAGCATCCGTGAGTAAGGTTCAGCAAGGATCCAGGAGTTGCAGAGGTGCGATCAAGCCCAACTCTACTCAAGTCGATAGACATATACAATGCGTAATGATAACAGTAAGTTTCAACAATATAAAAAAAAACAGTTCTTCTCGGGACGGAGGCTAGTTTTTGTGAATTGGCGGTAGTTCTTTTTGACGTTCAACAAGTATGTACTTTCATTTATGTTGAATAAAAAATTTTTGATTTGATTTGTTCAATTTAAGCAAAATAAAATGAGAATAATTATAATCAATGCAGTCAAAGTGCATTGACCCTTAGAGCGCGAACTGTCGATAGATCGACTAACACGTATAAAGTGCGGAGCGTCGGAATACCGACTATTTGCTTGTTGAGTTTGTTATTAAGTCTTAGCGCACGCGTGCACAGCGTTAGTAATAAGTAACAATTATAAATAACCAATCAAAATTATTTCGCTGCGTAATTAGTAACATTTCTTTCTTACTGGTGGTAGGACCTTTTGTGAGTCCACATGGATAGGTACCACCACCCCGCCTATTTCTGCCGTGAAGCAGTAATGCGTTTCGGTTTGAAGGGCTGGGCAGCCGTTGTAACTAGTGGTTGCTGGAGCCCATAGACATCTACAACGTAAATACCGCCACCTACCTTGAGATATGAGTTCTAAGTTCCCAGTTTTTACAGTACAACGGCTGCCCCACCCTTCAAACCGAAACGCACCACTGCTTCACCGCAGAAATAGGCGGGGTGGTGGTGCCTACCCGTGCCAACTCACAAGACGTCTTACCGCCAGTACTTATGCAAATTATAATTTTGTGGGTTTGATTTTTATTAAATGATGTTAATCCTTCACCGTGGAAGTCAATCGTGAACATTTGTTGAGTACGTATTTCATTAGAAAAATTGGTACCCGCCTGCGGGAATCGAACACCGGTGCATCGCAATAACGAATGCACCGGACGTCTTATCCTTTAGGCCACGACGACTTCATAAGACTATATACTCACAAAGTGCCTATTAAACACCACAAAAATAGTTACATGAGACACCATTCAATACTCACATGAGTAGAGGATATGCGAGCTTATAAAGTAGTAGTAAATATATGGAGGGTTGAAAGGCCATTTGATTTAAGCAACATTTTTACAATTTTACAGGAGAGCCATCTAAAGTTTAAAATTAGGAAAAAATTATCATAACAGAAAAAATCTCTTTAGCTACTTTTAATGGAGTAAACATAATTGAAAATTCAATTAAAAACATTGAACTGCTGATACTAATCTATACATATAAATAAAATTAGAGTGTCTGTTTGTAGTATTGAAATAACCGCTTTTTACTACATGCATATGAATATATATACGGTACATACAGCAAAATATATTTTTTTACAATTTGTCTGTCTGTTTGTTCCGGCAAATCTCTGGAACGGCCGGACCAATTTTGATGAGACTTTCACTAATAGGTAGCTCTGATGATAGAAGGAGTAACTTAGGCTACCTTTTTTAGACCAGCTTCGCCCCGCGGCGTCACCCGCAGTTATTGTCTTACCGCGTGCAACATGGCGGGACTCGCCTATCAATAATAAAATTTAATGTTTCCGAAGCGAAGCGAGGGCGGGTCGCTAGTATCAAATAAAACGAACCTTTAATTACAAAGATTAATGTCGCTTAAACAAAATGGTCTTTCACCCATCAATATATATATTTGTGTTCCTATTGGACTGGCACCAAACAACATGTAAGTACAACCGATTCTCACACTAGTCATTAGAAGCCAATATGAACTCACTTCATAAACAACTAAAATTCATATCCGTGAGTCACACATGAAAAATCATTAAGTGTGCAAAGGGAATTGCCTTCCTGGAACTTTCTTAACTTCTAAAACCTTACCTCTTCTCCTTCATTCTTCCTAACTATTCATCCCACATGATAGCGGGCTCAGCTTTGACATCAATATCAAGAATATAATTATTTTACAATACACTCTAAAAGTTCATTAACTTTTGTATGTAACACATTTATGAGGCTCGAGTAAGATCACAGAATGCAAGCTGTTTTCAACAGGTATCTTCAGCAGTGGAGTTGTTTCTAATACAATAGTTTTAATGGGACAATCTCAATCTTCAGGCTTGAAGTGCCATCGGCCAAGTTTAAGTTTGTCTCGTCTTCTGTCACATGCAAACCTCTTGCCCTTCATCCAACTCCTCAACTTCGATCTTCACTATGGACAGATTGACCCCGGTATTCTCACATGACACTATATGCTCATGCAACTCCTGATCATTAGTAAAACATGTACCGCACTTCAGACACTTAGATACTGGCACCTCTTCAGTTTTAGGTTTTTTCTTATTGTGAACTTTCCTCGTGTGCTTGCTCAGATCCACCTGCCTTTTAAAGGACTTGCCGCAGATCACACAGTGAAACTGTCTGACTTTAACGTGTATTTGCTTGTGCGAGGCTAGATATCGTTTCGATGCAAACTCCCGGTTGCATATGTCACAAGTTGCTTTACCGTCCTTCGGATGGACGGTGTTCATGTGAATGCGCAAGTGCATCGAGCATTTAAATATCTTCTGGCACATGTCGCACTGCTTGGCCGCTTCTGGCGGGGCGTGGGTCACTCGCATGTGGCTCTCCAGGTTGGCGGCAGATTTAAAGGTCTTATTGCAGATCTCACAGGTCGCAGTTTCGATGGGATGCACCATTTCCAGATGCCTCCTCATCACATAGTATTCCGTGAACTTTTTAGAACAAATGGGGCAGGTTTTCGAGTTTTGTTGGACTTCAGAATGTGTTTGCTCCAAGTGCCAATAAAGCGCTGTGTTCGTTGTGAACTTTCTGTCGCATATCATGCACGGTAAGGTACCGACCTTCATCTGCTTAGCGGCAGGTCTGCCGTCCTTGTGCACGCATCGCATATGACGGAGCCACGATTTCTTCGATGCCAACGTCCTATGGCATATTTCGCAGGTCATCTCGCGACTGGCGCCGTGTACGTTCCAGGTATGCTTCTTGTATACGGGAAAAGTAGGAAACTCCTTCCCGCAGTCCTCGCACACATATGTTTTTCCCTCTTCCGGATGGCTCCACAGCATGTGCCTTCGGAGCAGCATCTTGCTTTTATATTCTTTATCGCATTGAGGGCATTTCGCTGCTTCGCCGGGATTGTGTACGTTACGGTTGTGCACTCTTAGTTTGTACTTTTTAGCAAATGACTTATTGCAAATTGGGCAAGTCACCCTTTCTTCGGGCTTGGAGTGAGCATAGAACTTATGGTTGCTCAGTTTCTTTTTATTGGCGAATTCTTTACCGCACAAGTCGCAGGCTTTCGCTTCGCCCTCGGCCACGTGGACGCTATCGACGTGCGATTTCAAGTGAGCATACGATTTAAAGTTCCTATTGCACTGCGGACATTCCACGGCGTTCTCGGTGTGCAAATGCGTCACGTGACTTTTCATGTTGGCCTGATTTTTGAACGTCTTAGGGCATAACGGACATTTCACTCTATCTTCCTTTTTGATCTTTTTCTTAGATTCATCAGCATCTTCGGACTCTTCAGGCTCATGTTTCACATCAGTTTCCAATTTAATTTCAGTGTTCAATGAATTAGCCGTAAAATAATATGCCATATTGTTTATTATTTGTTGGGAGTATTGAGGATAGTTGACGGCATTGTGTCCTGGTGCCGGCTCGCTGTGGTTCTGCAGCTGGTCCATATCGCCTTGCTCGAGTACATCCACCGGCTCGCATTTCACAGTTACCACTGGTGTGACGTCCATTTTTTCTTCTGTAAAATACAAAATTATTGCAACTACATTAAAAGTTTCAATAAAATTTTTGCAATTTATATTTTACAAGCGGCCCGCTCCGACTCCGCTCGGGTGTTTAGCAAAAATTTCAACGATATTTGACGTTGTTTTATTTTTTTAAATAAAAGAACACTTATTGCGGCATAACTGTAATAGTTAGACATATGCTGACGCGACACTTTTTGTAAATAATAATAATGTGCTCTACAAAGTCGTAGTACATTATTTTATTCTATCATCAATAATTTTCGCAGGGAACGTGATGTAAAGAATATTTTAGGTAAATTTTTTACACCTTGGGTTACTACATTATTCGGGTTTTAGTAATAATTAAAAAAAAAATGTGTGCGTGTACTAGTGTACACACGTAAGAAGTGAAACTTATTTATGGCCTTATTTTTCGAAAAATGATCTACATGCAACTTTCTAGAAATTGGTTAAATAAAGTTAAATTAGATAAAGTTTAAACAAAAGGATTTTATTATCATAGACATGAATACAAAAAAGTTAAATTAGATAAAGTTTAAACAAAAGGATTTTATTATCATAGACATGAATACAAAACAGATGGCGCGTAACGGAAAAATGTGACGCGTAACCGAAAAATGTGACGGTAAATTTTTTTCCAACGCCGATAAGGAAGTTTCACTTCAAAAAAAAAACGATTATATCCTATGTCACTCGGGGATAGTGTAGCTTCCAAACAGTGAAAGAGTTTTTCAAATCGGTTCAGTAGTTTCGGAGCCTATTCAATACAAACAAACAAATCTTTCCTCTTTATAATATTGGTACAGTGGCAACTAACTACATGCTGCCACTCGCTTTGAGATGTGAGGTCGAGTCTTAATTTACCGTTTAGATTACAAAAAAAAATACAGGTTTGATTGACGAAGCAGGTAGAATATTTCTCAACATAAAACTATAGTTTGGTTTATTATGAGGATTTATTTATCTTTGGTTTGATCTTGTCCTCTTATATAATTTAGGCACCAATCAAACCTGATCCAAAGGTAATTAATTCATCTTACGAGGGCGGGATGATAAGTAACTAGCCTCTGTTATTTAAAAAGTTAAAATAAAAAAAATATATGTCATTTTTAAAGTCGTATCTCTGGCCACCTGTGTTCTAAGTTTCTAAGTATGAATTAGGTGGCGTGAAAATGTTATTGATTTTTTGTCATTTGAAAATATATTTCGTCAAAGGTTTTCAAAATGGATAAAATTGAACAAAGAGCGGTGATAAAGCTTCTTCATATGAAGGGCATGAAGGGGAAAGATATCTATGAAGTTAAAGAATGTTTTGGGTGAATGTGCTCCTTCTTATGCCACAGTAAAAAACTGGGTGGATGAGTTTAAGCGCGGTCGTACATGTGTCCAAGATGAAACCCGCCCCGGACGTCCAAAAAGCGTCACGACTCCGGAAATGGTCGTGAAAGAACATGCTATAGTTTTAACAGATCGACGATTGAAGTTATCTAAAACAGCTGACACTACGGGTATCTCAAAAGAACGGGTACATCATATCCTAATAGAGGAATTAAATATGACAAAGTCATCGGCCCGTTAGGTGCCGCGATTGTTTACGCACGATCAATCAGGGATTCGGGTGCAACACTCAAAAGAATGTCTGGACCGTTTTAGAGTAATAAAGCCCATCTTTTACGTTGATTTGTAACAACAGATAAAACATGGGTTCATTATTACACGCCAGAATCACAAAATTCAATCAAAACCGTGGACGCAATCGGGATGCTCGGCTCCAAAAAAAGCCATGGCTGTAAAGTCAGCTGGAAAAGTGATGGCTTCCGTCTTTTGGGATGCAGATAGGATCTTGATGAGATTACCTTCCTAATGGTAAAAAAATTCATGGGAATACTACGCTAATCTTCTAGATAATTTTCATCAATATATTCAGCAAAAACGACCAGGTTTGGCGAAAAAAAATCATCTTCCACCAAGACAACGCTAGGGTTCACACATATGTTAAAGCTATGGCAAAAATCAACAAATTGAAGTATGATTTGCTGCCCACCCACCTTATTCGCCTGATCTAGTGCCATCAGACTTCCACTTATTCCCTAAGCTCAAAACTTTATTGGGCGGACAGAAATTTGCTACAAATGATGAAGTCATAGCCGCTGTAGAGGAGTATTTTGCAGGCCTCGAAATATATCATTTTATGGAAGGCACTACTGCTTTAGAACGAAAATGGAATAAGTGCGTAAAGGTTCACGGAGACTATGTCGAAAAATAAAATTAATTTTATCACGGAAAGTTAAGTGTTTTATTATTAGGCTAGTTACTTATCATCCCGCCCTTGTAACATATTGCTCTACTTTTTTGCAAGTACCTACATAATTAATCTTTTTGGAACGAAGTTCCTTATGGGACGATGCGGAGGGGTACCCTAACCGGGTAAAGACGTCCGTAAGATTTTTATTAGTAATGCACACAGTGTACGACTTAACTTTGTAATAAAGTACAAAAAATAACATGTTTTTTTTATCATTCACTAGCGACCCGCCCTGGCTTCGCTTCGGAAACTGTAATTTATTATTGATTTCTCCACTTTTTAGTGGATGTTATTATACATGTAAATCTTCCTCTTCAATCACTCTATCTATTAAAAAAAACCGCATCAAAATCCGTTTCGTAGTTTTAAAGATTTAAGCATACATAGGGATATAGGGACAGAGAAAGCGACTTTGTTTTATACTATGTGGTGATTGACCACGATCTCAGAGCGTTGGTTTGCGTAATACACTAACTCTTATGCAAACAACCGTGAATGAAGTGTATCACAATAAATTCGCACGTTACCGAACGACCGTGGGTTGTTGCGAAACCTCCAGTTTTATTTTCTTTATACCTCGAATAGAACTTAAAATTAATATTTTTATAATAAGGAACTTTTCCTATCCGGTGTCCCACGACACCACACATCTTTTTATTTATTTTTCCGGACTGGGGGTCAAACCTCCTACGAGGTCCCCTAGTGTTCCGGAATACCCCGCTGGGCCAAAACCAGCCTGCCGGGTCGGAACACGATACATCGCCGACCGGTTAGCTTTAATGTGTACATTAAGGGATGATTCAAGCTACACCGTGTCGCGACCGGACCGGACCACTCATTCATGTTACACCGGGCTGTTTGGGTATAAAGAATACACGGCCGTGTCTGCGTTATGTGGATTTTGTCAGCTAGTGATTCCATCTGTCGATAGACTTGACGTTTAAGTAAATATGCAACTTTCCAATTTGAATTGGCACTTTATTGCAATTGCCATCGATGATGAAGCATTGGAAAAACGTAGCGAAACTACTAAAAGAAAATTGGGGGTACATCCAATCTGGAGAAAGCGAGAAGCAAAAGGAGAATTTGCTTCACTTTACAAAGAATAAATAGAAGACGAGAGCAAGTTTTCTCATCGTCCATTTTGCTGTTGAGCTGCTCATCTCATTAAGATTTGACGTTTACTGCTCTGCGGGCGCCCGGCCGCTCATGTTAAGGTTAGAACGTGTCGGGGCCAGACCGTGCTGGAGTCGGGAACCAATACCCATCGACATTTCAACGAGATACTGAGACACGGTCGAGACACGGTCAGGCTTGAATCACTTCATACAAAAAGTATACCACAATGTTGGGCCATGCTCCGGCCGGAGTATTCTCCGGTCGCGACACGGTATAGCGTGAATCATTCTTAAGAATGTAGTTTAATCACTAGGGACATTTGGGAAGATGCACAGAGTTTGCCGGTTTTCAAAATTAACACATATCGGTATACAGAAAATTCTATTAAGCGCTTAAAAGACACTATCCATATTACTTGCCTATGATCAAAAGACTTTGCATTACTTTTTAATGACAAAATACATTTTTTTATTTTCAGTATTCATGCTGGAACATTATCACAGGCTTTCTTAGTTTCCTACACAGACTCTGACTTGTATATACATATTTGCTTATCTACTTTGGGATCCTCTTTATCTTGAAGACAAAAACCCAAGTCAAACAAACTGCCAGACATTAAGATAGTATTCATTTGCACAGTGTGAAATAAAACATAAAAAATTAGGAATATTTCTATTACTAAACTAAACGGGAGTTAACACAATATTGAAATGTTTATGAGTCACCTTAGTCCATAGTTAGGTAGCCACTAGAATTGTGAAGTATTCCAAATGCCCAAAATAATATTGAGGGGTGAAAGGAAATTTATTTAAGCAATATATAATTAAACCTTTCACTTGTCGATATAATAACAATAAAAAAAACCGAGACATGAAAGTGTAAAAATAGTTTTAATTATGACCACGACACACAAAACTGAACAAATACAGTGTACATAATATATTATATAGTTTTGCTGCCTTCGTAGGAACTGTGGCCCATCCAAACACATTCAAATCAACAATTTTAAAAGCAGAATAATGTCCAAAATGTCAGTTGTTATAGCCAATATTTTTTTTTTTTTAAATATATATATTTGTGTAATATAAGTAATATATTTAGAAATTTCAAGTTATTGTATTCTCTTGATACAAGCATGTAGACAAATTGTCGCCCAAAGATCGATTCTTGAGAATTTTGTGTTATGCGTTTTTTTTAATGGTTCTGTAGGGAGACCAGCATCCGGCCCGTCTGATGGTGAGTGGTCGATGTCGCCCATGGGCATCAGTAACGCCAGGAGCACAGCAAAGCTGCTAGCTACTGTTTTGTGTTATATGGAAGTTTGTTCAACTTATAAGGTTTATTTGGGCAGGGTAGGCCATGGCCGCGCGACATTGCGTAGTTTACTTCTTCATAAATTATATGGATTTTGGTAATAATCTATCCTTCAGAGGTTATTGCAAACAAAAACATTGTTTGGCCAATGTTGTTTGTTGTGTGATGCGATTTGTTGTGTGATGCGAAATGCTTTATACACTTGATTTATTAGAAAGAAGTTAGCCAAAATATAAAGCTGTTTGATCGCGCCCTTGCGCGACTTTGGCGAGGACATTTTTCTGTATATTTTTTTTTCAATAATTAGTGGGAGTTGACTAAAATCGCTCAAAGATATGCTAAAATGATTTTCCTTTTGATATTTAATTTCTTTCAGACATTTGTCTTCCACTTACGAGCAGGTGTTCTAACACCTGTCATTTTAAGATGCATTTTTCGTTAGTAATCAGATAAAAATGTACACCAAACGATAGAGGAAACGATTATAAACTTATCATTTACATACTCCTTCGTTTATTTAGACTGAAAAACTTGTGAATAAAATAATTTTCGTTCTTAAAGGGCAGCTTACTATCAACAGTGGCACTGCCTGCCATTTTGTTAATAAACTTTTTCGCTTGACATGAAATATTTTATGTGATTGAAGGGCTTTTAACTCACCTATAGCATGATATTACTCCTAAAAGATTAACTAACTTATTTTTATGTTAATTTTATATGAATCTATTGTTTATTTTACGAAAAAAACATGTAAAATTCACTTTATTCACTAAACATTGACACAATATGTACACTGAAAACAGAAATCAAAATCATGACAGAAAAAAAAGGAAAGCGGCGAAGCCTTCATACTTGAAGGCAGTCCAAATTCGAAAAGTTAAAACCATAGATAGAAGTAAAACGTATTAAATCGATTCTATAAGATCATCTTTAGTCGATTCTTTTGCTAAAATCAATTTCGGACTGGAGCTGTATGTGGGAATTGATCGGAAAATATCTTGAAATAAAAACATACGTATGGTGCTTAAAGGTATTTTTTGATTTAAGCTAAGGTTTTTATTTATTTAATTACGGTAACTTCAACTAATCCTTTTTCATTGTTTTAGTTTTTATTTAAAATAAAGCTAGTTAAAAATAAAGAAAGACCCTTGGAATTATAACATTTTAACTTTGGACTTTAGACTACAGCAAATGTAAAATTTGAATTTTAAATTATACTTGGACGTAGCATATTTCAATATGTCCCGCATAACTATAGGTCCTTTTTTGATAATAGTAGTTTGGCATAGTAGCGATAAACTCATCCATCTACTCTGGATAGAACTATTATCGATTAACCCATTTGATATTCTTACTCTGAATGATCATTAAAAAATGACTAAGCCGTGTCGGTTAAATAAAGAACATAATTAATATCGCTAGTTTTTAGAACAGAATGCAATTACATACACTTAATATAAAGAGGTTTATAATCCCTTCCGTAAAGCCTTACACTTAGTCCTGGATTAAAATCTGTTTTACTATTCTTCATTGACCAGAATGCACAATTTAATTCCTGTACGTCATCACGCACCAAAAATAAGTGTAGCTAATGTTATTAGCCTCCAATTGAGTAAAGGGTCGAATATGACATCATGATGATGATGATGATGAGTAAAGGGTCGAATATGACTGTGGTCAATCCTGAACCGATTCTTCTCCTGCCGAATTGCCTGCTAACGAAAATCAATTGGACCGCGAAATAACGCCACCCTGGATTATTTCATATACAAATACCTTTCATATACAATAATGCAAGATAAAAACAAACAAGAACATAATAGAAAAACGAATTGATAGGAGAAAGTTGATAAAATGAATTAAATTTTAGGAATGCTTGGAGGGCCACAAGCGGCCCTTGGACCCCTTGCTGCTCAATCAACCCTGGTGTATCTATGTAATTAGTACCTGCCTCCGAGGGGTCCTGAAGTTTCTTTGCCATATCGCCTAAAAAATGGACATAATCGGGCCGCCGATGGTTGTTGGGACGACCTATGAAAGGGGACCAACAGGTCACAGTCTAACGAGTTGGTCCGACCAAATTCAACTCTCAACATCAAGACAAACACAAAATGAGTAGCAATTAAAAAAATAGATTGTAAACACTCTTTGGAATAATCGCAACCCTAGTAAAAAGCTAGCCCAGTATTCAATTTTTGACGAATAACATCTAATTCGTTTCAAAGCAGTTATTACGATATTTACCAGTATAAGTATAGTAGTTTTATATACTTTTTGGTTCTATTAAAAACCACTTTCAGTCAAAATATAGCTTTTAATGAATTTCCACAATTAAACTCAGAGTTTAGATACCTATGCGTTTCCAGTTGGAAAAATAGAACTACTACTACTCAAAGTCAGCTGTCAATTCTACTGACTGCCATATTGTTTACATTTAGCTGTGTCTCTTGAAACTTATCCCTAAAAAAATTTCGTTCTGTATTTGTTCAATTAAAATGCAAGAAACTACCGTAGAGGATGCAGATAAATATAAATTGGATTTTGAATTAGACAAACAGATATGCAGATGCTGTTTGAGCACAAACAGGCGCATGGAAGGTGTACATAAGTACAACACGTATATTTACGATTTAGCATCCATAGAGGTATGTTAAAAATGGAAATAATCTTGTTTTATGTCGTCTGAATTAAAATAAGACAAGTCAATGTTGATGTGTAGTTTTTGTGAGATAAATTGATGATGCTGTTGCGAAAGAATCTCGACGCCGGTCGGATCAGACATTGTCTAAGGGTAGGGATAGATAACAACTCTTCATCAGCTCACTGAGTTTCTCGCCGGAACTTCTCAGTGGGTCGCCTTTCCGATCCGGTGGTAGATTCTGCGAAGCACTACTCCTGTTAGGGTGCAGTGTTAGCAACTTCGCCAGCTTTGAGCCCCGTGAGCTTACCTACTTGTTCGGTAACGCTGATATGGCTTCTCAAGGCTATCAGCATAGGTAGGAAAAAAAACCTCATCTGTTTACAATACATTGACATTTCACTTATCAAATGTGGACGCAGAATTTGGTAGGCAGCGGTTTGGCTCTGTCCCTGACGTTGCTGACGTCCATGATCGACGGTAATCACTCACCATCAGTTGGGCCGTATGCCCGTCTGCCTAGACGGGTAATAAGAAAAAAAAACAATTTGTGGTGTCCATGGACTCCAGCTGGGCAGAGAATTATTTCACAAATTGCAAACGATTCGGCGGTTGGAAAGTGGTTCATATTCTGTACAAACGTACAAATAACAAAAGAAATCGACAAAGTCTTTTTTAAAAACGTCAATAATTTATTTCAGGTATCGGAGTCAGATGGTCTCCCTCAGTGGATCTGCTGGGAGTGCATAGCTTTATTAAGCAAATCAGTAAAGTTCAAATCTAAAATTCTCAAAGCTCATGGTGCGCTTTTTGAGTACTTGAGCAGATGCGCACCGGTGAGTTGCTTAGAGATTAAAGATTTTTTTTCTATCTGTTATATTTTGAAGAAAGATTGACGATGAGAGATCCTCCTTAGAAACATAACTGTACTAAATATACTGTAAAGAGGGTCATTCTTATTATTCGGTATGCTGCACACAGGTTGGTCAGTTGGACAATTAATCAATTGAACGAGTTTTAGTTAAGGTCTCCTATTTCGCACTAAAATTCATCACTAAACGTTTTTTACAAATGTATGATTGTTTTTGTCTCGTCATAGAGATTCCAAAACACATAGCTAGTTTATAGCGTCCTTTCTAGTTGGAAAAGAATTTAAGGTCAAAATTATAGCAATTGTAACTTTGATGACATATCTCATGGTGGTGATCATAAAATCGTTATGACTCAGGTAATCGTCGGGTCGGTGAGCTTGTCTAGCCATCTAGTGTGATAATATTAGCTTTCGAGTCTATAGCATGCTAAACTCATATCGTCCTAACTAACAGTCTTATATAACAAATCCAACATGTTGTTCTACGTCGCTTTCTTCATTACCCATTGACCTTGAAACTTGACCATAGCCTGTCTCATGAGCTGTCTCATCTCGTCAGGTCCTCAGCTTCTCTTAAGGCGGTTGCGACTGGCAGCCTAGTTAGGATGGTTATTTAGTCACACCAGTGCCTAGCACATTTCACACTTGGACATTTGTTAATAGTTTCCAATTGATGCCCGTGATCAAGAGCTGAGTGAGTATGCTGGACCTTACTTGGAAAGATCATCGGTGCTCACCTTCAATCACAGCGGCATAGGTAGAACCGGGTACCATGAAGATTTACAGGTAAGAGTTATGTTGGTAAGATTCAGTGTTTCTCAAAGATTTTGGTGCAACACTCACTTCAGGAAAAACTGAACATGCAACATCCTCAGAGTCGTCGTGGCCTAAAGGACAAGACGTCCAGTGCATTCGTATCTAGCGATGCAACGGTCTTGGAGTCCCGCAGGCGGGTACTAATTTTTCTAATGAAATACGTACTTAACAAATGTTCACGATTGACTTCGACGGTGAAGGAATAACATTGGTAATAAAAATCAAACCCGCAAAATTATAATTTGCGTAATTACTGGTGATAGGACCTCTTGTGAGTCCGCGCGGATGGGTACCACCACCCTGCCTATTTCTGCCGTGAAGCAGTAATGCGTTTTGTTTTGAAGAGTGAGGCAGCTGTTGTATACTGAGACCTTAGAACTCATATCTCAAGGTGGGGGGCGGCATTTACGTTGTAGATGTGTATGGGCTCTGGTAACCACTTAACACCAGGTGGGCCAAGAGCTCATCCACACATCCAAGCAATAAAAAAAACCTCATACTTGAGTTGTAATATATGGGACTGTCTATATGTTATCTAAAAGCTGTCTATTCGCTTGGTACATGATCCGTGTATACGAATTATATGGTATATGGGAGATCACAGGGGAAACGTTCCGAGCGTGACAAAGTAATAACATACTTTAAGCGTAGTTGTGTTAAGGTCTGTTTTACGTTTTTTATTAGTTCATTTGACGACGTGTCTACAAAAGACATTCGGTTGGATACCTAAGTACATATTGGAATACTTTTTATCAGTGTGCACGTACCGATATAGCGATTAGATCAGCGAATAAAGGATCTTTAGCCACTACTAAGAAGCTTTTACTGTATAAATAATCTCATTGAGAGTGGCAGTGGTAAACAGTCGACGTCGCCCAAAACACGTCATTTCGGATCCTCCCGATTCACTAACGGTGCTTTTAGGTACCTCAAGCACCGGTCATCATCCTCGTCGAACCCGTCGCTTGCGACGGAGGGCTCAACGAGTAAAGTAACCCACAGACACAGCCCACTGAGTTTCTCGCCGGATCCGGTGGTAGATTCTGCGAAGCACTGCTCTTGCTGGGGCTAGTGTTAGCAAATTCGCGAGGTTCTGTGAATCTAGTATAACCCCTCGATGTTACTAGAACAGATAGAGAAAAAAAAAAGAGAGTGGCATGCATTTGTTAGTAAATAAAATTTCAGCACGAAAAACTGACATCACCTTCGGAAATACAACTGTTTGTCCTACCAATGCTACCGATTAAATACGAGGAGGAAGTCAAAGAAGAGAGTTTCTATTCGGATTACGAGGATAACATAACAGTCGAGCAGATAAGGTGAGTATCCAGCCCCCACTCACTCTGCTTGGGTTCTGACCCCGGGCGGAGATCGGACGTCGGACGAGAGACTGCAAGGGAAGTCGAGTGCGGTAGGGCCCTAGAACTTCTTTGGGCCCGCAATCTGCTCCTAACAGTCCCAACATATGCAGACTGTTACATCCCACATATCCCGAGCGCTCCCCTAGACGTGGAAGCTTCGTATGAGGTTTGGCTCGCTGCCGGAAAAAATAATAATTGAGTATGTTGGTTTAGTTGAAGAAGTAAATATTAGCATCGGATCATTAGACTTATGACCCTGAACTGACATAGACTGGAGAGAGGGAGAGGCCTATATCCAGATGTAGAAGTAATTTGAAGCTTTAGCAACTTAAAGCCATTTAAAGTTAGTTAATTTCAGCATATCCCTTCGTACCTCAAAGACAAGTACTTATAATGTTTAATGCATCTTCACAGATGACCTTACTATGAAGGAATAATGTCTGGTTTCTCGATTGGCGGGTAGGTGTCTTATACTGGTAATATGACGTCTTGTGAGTCCGCCTGGGTAGGTACCAGGCCCCGCCTATTTCTGCCGTAAGACAATAATCCGTTTGGGGTTGAAGGGTGGGCAGCCGTTGTACTGTAAAATGAGACTTAGAACTTTTGTTACAAGGTGCGAGTGGCATTCACATTGTTGATGCCTATGGGCTCCGGTAGCCACACAACATCAGACAAAAGATTTGCTTGTCCACTCATTTAATGTAACAAAAAAAAGGATTTGTAAATTTGTTAATTTATCTTCGGACTATAATCATTTTACAACAACTGTGATCAAACACACAGACAAATCTGCTGACAATTAAATGGTATATACATGTTATCTTCCAGAGCAAACGTTGAGGAGGTGGAGAAGTTTTCAGAGGAGGACCTGAATGATTTTCTAGATGAGAAGGAGATAGAGTTAAGGGAGGAATCCGGGAAAAAGAGATCGAAAAAGAAAGATATCCGAATCAAGAAGAGAAGTAGGGTGTGAGTTACTTATAATCTATGAACAGCTGTTAGTTCAGCTGAGGTTAAGCGTTCACTGACAAGAAGGATTGATAAGCATTAACTGGTTTTACATAATTAGTGTCTGGCAAATTATCAAAATTCAACCCTAAACACTGACGTCTCATTGAGCTCAACTATGCTCCTGGCTTGGCTCTGCCCCTGTCATTACTGAAGTCCATGGGCGACCGTAACCACCCACCATCAGGTGAGCCGTATGCCCGTCTGCCTATAAGGGCAATAAAAAAAAGTCCTCATCCCACTCGTGGGCACGCATTGTGGGCTCAATTCATGAATCTAGATGAGAAAGAGTAACATTTTTGATATTTAAAGTTTTGTTTTATTGCATAGATACTTAAACATGCTCATGGACTTAATGGTGTTAAGTGGTTACCGGATCCCATGGAAATCAACAATGCAAATGTCATTCTATAGTGTTATGGTTGCCCCCGGTCGGCTCGGACTGTGATCGAGCCCCACCCCCCGGGGATCCCATCAGAAGCTCGACAAGAAGCCTCAGCGCTAAGCAACGATCGCTTACCGTGAGGTGAGCGAAATGCACGCCTGTAACGGTCGCCCAATATTGAATACCTCTGATACCTTTATAATCCTTCAGCAAACCGAGTTCAGAGGAGCAGGAGCCCCTCAAGTCGTCCATAAGGAAACCCGTGGACCTGGACCCGGAGAAGATCAGGATAATAACTCTGAACCCCGAGGAGCAGATAAAGGCCAAAGAGGTACGTCTTAGGAAGAAATGAAATGAAGATGATTAATTTGAGACATTAATAAACTGGGATGAAATGAAATGAGATGAGATGATATGGGATGAAATATAATCTCAGTAAAATGGTGGTCATTTACTGAGATTTTTTCAGTGGACTTTTTGGAGGAACCCGAGAAGTCACGTCCAATGGCTTTGTTTAATTTTCCCACATTTGTGCACTTTTACAGATATTAAACAGTTAATAACCACCGTTATTACACATTTTAACCTGAAGAAACACTAAATAGACAAAATAAAACTAATCACACAACTTCACTCGTGTTCCCGCCAAAAGTCTTCCGTTGAATATATTTTTTTTACATTTTATAACCTGGTAACAGAGACTTTTACGTCATATCTTATTTGGAAAATGTTCATTACTTTGGGGTCATTCGTTGAAGTTTTGGAAGTACAGATTCGAATATCAACCCCAATGACGTATACATTGTGTGCTATGAAAAAAAAAATCGGTTTTTTTTTCAAATATCTCAGAAGTCAACAAATTCTGCGTTAGATTCTTTGAGGAAATTGATATTGTTTTTTTTGTTAAATCTTTCACAGCTAGAAACCACAAAGAACCTCAAGATGCCGTACCACTGCCATCTGTGTTTCAAGGGCTTCAACTTCGAAGTGAAACTGAAGAACCACATGGAGAAACACAGCCCGGTATGTGTCGCGGGGGCCGCGGGGGTTCTGACTACCAGACGATCCTGCCCGCGCTCCCCAAAAATTTCCCACAAATTTTAAAGCTGGGAATAACTTCTGGAGCCCATAGACATCTGCAACGTAAATGCGCCACCCACCTTGAGATATAAGTTCTAAGATCTCAGTTTAGTTACAACGGCTACCCCACCCTTCAAACCGAAACGCATTACTGCTTCACGGCAGAAATAGGCGGGGCGGTGGTACCTACCAGTGCGGACTCACAAGAGGTCCTACCACCAGTAACTGTGAAACTAACTCTACTGTTATTCCTGGCGAGACGGTCCCGCCTGATGGTGGGTTGGGCCTGTGGTCCATGGACACAAGTGTACGGTAAAGATCAACGAAAAGCAACACTCAGACAATAAAGTGGCTGTTCACGGGAACTCTTCAAGTCTCGTTCTCTGGATAACTGCAAAGAGTTGGAACTGTTTTTTTTTCTAACCGAATACAAAGCAAAGACGTTAGTCAGCGTTCAGCCACACGAATAATTATGTTAATTGCATCTACAAATTTAATGTCTGGTGTTAGAGATGTCACGTGCTCCCATTTCGAAGGGTGGGGAGGACGTTGCATAATTAAAATGGGACTTCGGTCTCGTGTCTTGGCGGCACTGATGTCCATTGGCTTTTCGGTCATTTAAATAATGAAGGGTCATGTCTTCCGCAGTCCCGGGGCACGTTTGAGTGCGCCGTGTGTCACATGTACCTGCCGACCTCGTACAGCCACAGCGTCCACACGCTCATACACACGCGCAGGTACGAGTGCGTGCAGTGCGGGATACGGATGATAGACAAGAATAGCATCGTTCATCATTACCGGTGAGTGTGATAGGGTGTGAGCACCCGTGAGCATTTGTGAGCATTTGCTGTCAGAATGGTCTATTTTGTGTTATCAGTAATTTACGTTTATACTGTTTTTTTTCACGATTCCTAACTGATGAAATTAAACCCCATTCGATATAAACCTGCAGCCGGCTCTAAGACGCTTTCTAAGCTGAGCCTTTTAATAATTTAGCACATTATTATTTACGGGAGGACTCGATTATTATTTCTGCACATCAAACAGCTTTATCAGCGCGTCCGCTCCTTGCTACGGTCGTTTAACAAGTGATCATTGACAATACACATAAATTAGTAATAGATAAGCAACTCAAGCACTCAACAAAAATGTTTACGGGCGTCGGCCACTAGATGGCTTCGCTTCGATTAGTTTCTCATTGCTCCTGTAGATGGCAGTAACCTATCCTATATTTTATTTTTAATGAAGGAATTTGTAAATTTTCCGAAACCACATCGATAAAATTTAATCAATTTATCTGACTACGAAACTGATTAAGACTTGTATGTCTTTTTTTTTTTTCTGTGTTTATTTGTTCAATAATTAAATGCCTTAACCTTAACAGCTTTAAACCTTTTACTGGCGGTAGGACATCTCGTGAGTCCGCGCGGGTAGGTACCACCAAACCTTCCTATTTCTGCCGTGAAGCAGTAATGCGCTTCGGTTTGAAGGGCGGGGCAGCCGTTGTAACTATACTGAGACCTTAGAACTTATATCTCAAGGTGGCTGGCGGCATTTACTTTCTAGATGTCTATGGGCTCCAGTAATCACTGAACACCAGGTGGGCTGTGAGTTCGTCCACCCATCTAGGCAATAAAAAAAAAAACATGTTTAGGGGCATCCGCTACAAGATGTCGCTAGTTTCCATACAAAAAAAATTGTTTTTTTTTTATTTTTTTTATGGCCCTTGTAGGCAGACGAGCATACGGCCCACCTGATGGTGAGTGGTTACCGTCGCCCATGGACTTCAGCAATGCCAGGGGCAGAGCCAAGCCGCTGCCTACAAATGTCTTTGTCTTAAAGTATGGCAGTTTCAGGGCCGTTGGTCATCGAATTTCGAAGCGGTCACTGTTTTTATAAACTGCGCGGTGTTCAAGCAGGTGGGGGACCTCGTAGCGCTTGTTTTGAGTGCTACGGCGTAACGCAATTCGCCTACGAGTACTGCTACGTCGTAGCATAGTTACGTAGGCGATGTTGTTGGGTTATCTGCTACGGCGTAGCACTCGTAGAGTTTGTAGAGCTTTGGTTTTTTGTTTATCAGGTCTAAACACGAAGGACTGTCTTCGGTCTTCACGTGCACCATTTGCGGGAAGATTTCCAAGTAAGTCGCGGCAGCACTCAGGGTTCCACCACCCCGTCGGTTCCGGCTCTAAGGGAGAGAGAGTAAGGAGAGAGGTTGTAAGGCCAGAGACTCCTCGCACCTCCCACCATCGGAGCAGAGTTCATCCATATTATCTGGAACCGCTACGTTCATCCACAGTGCGTTTCCAAAGATCTTTTCTGCCACGTACCATCCGGCTTTGGAATGAGCTCCCCTCCACGGTGTTTCCCGAGCGCTATGACATGTCCTTCTTCAAACGAGACTTGCGAAGAGTACTTAATGATAAGCAGCGGCTTGGCTCTGCCCCTAGCATTGCTGACGTCCATGAGCGACGGTGACCACTTTCCATCAGGTGAGCCGTATGCTTGTCTGCCTACAAAGGGAATGAAAAAAAAAGAACTTCAACCTCTTGTCTCATGGTGGATCCTAGAGAGGACCAGCTATCAACAGGTGGCCTTTGTCTCTCATTGACCCATCTCAGCCATGTGAATAAATCTGGCTTCCTATTATTTTGTGATGACAAATCGCATCGAGCACACGTACCGTCATTGTCCCCAGTAACAGCAAGACGCACCGCGGCCACCTGAGGAACCACCACGGCGGCTCGCGGCCCGAGTGCGAGCAGTGCGGGAAGACCTTCATAAACAACGACTCGCTGGCGGAGCACCTGCTGTGAGTGACAAAACACCCCTCGCCCAACCCCCTCCGCCCCGCGGAACCCCCATTTTTAATAGTTGTACAGGGAGGCAGCAATCTATCTCGAACCGACATTCGAGGGTTAACGAAGCTGATGTCGATAGTGCGCGAAGTAGTCAGCTAAGAAGTTCCTGCGCCTGTCCACTCCGCGGGGGTATCGGACCCGAGATGTCCGCGTACCTTCGCCTGACCTGTTGTAAAGCGGCTACCAGATCCTGTAGACGTCTCAAAGCGAATTTCGACATCCGCCTTGAGATATGAGGTCGAAGTATCAGCTGTACTGCCCCCCTCACCCCCTCCCCCTCGAGAACCGGAGTGTATGGCTGTTTCGCGGCAGAAATGCACTAGATGGTGGTTTGCGATGGTAGTAAACTACAAGGGATAGATGAAGGCGGGGAGGTATTACGACGGTCCACCGCGCCCTCGGGTCCAAGGTCACAACAGATGCTCACTGATCCCCGCGTGTCCCTCCAGTATACACAAGGGCGTTAAGAACTACGAGTGCGAGCTGTGCGGCGCGCGCTTCCGGACCAGGAACCAGGTCAAGTACCACGAGCTGAAGCACTCCTCCACCAGGGACTACTACTGCGTCGAGTGCGATAGCAGGTCAGTCTTCTAATCACTGGATAGTCGATACGAAACCTCCATAAGTATTTATATCGAAAAATATGAATTGAATATCCGTGAGTATTCGTGAGCATGTTGAAAATTATAGATACTCGTGGTGAATTCGTTCAACAGTGTATTACTGCTTATGAAACTCATGTATTTCGAGTAAAATATTGGTGAGCATCTGTGAGCATATCTATTTATAGCTGCATGATGTGATGTCCACGAGCCTCTAATCGCTTTTCGGCCTTTCAGGTTCAAATCTCCGTACAGCCTCAAGCAGCACTTAACCAAGAGTTTAAAGCACAGAGACTTGGACAGCCTCAAGTGAGTCCTAGCGATTAATTTACAATGAGTACGCAGCCATGTAGTGACGTCACTAGTGGGGAAGCTACCACGCTCTACCCTGACCTGCGTCTATATCAAACTGGTTCATCAAACTTTCATTTCCACAAACTTCAAGGCGTCCTATTCTATGATATTTGAATAATCGCCTTAATTTTAAAACTACCCTCTAAGGCTCTGTAAAAAAAATGGCGCGCATTAATTTTTTTTTTTTTAGATAGGTGAACGAGCTCACAGCCCACCTAGTGTTAAGTGGTTACTGGAGCCCATAGACATCTACGACGTAAATGCGCCACCCACCTTTAGATATAAGTTCTAAAGTCTCAAGTATAGTCACAACGGCTGCGCCACCCTTCAAACCGAAACGCATTACTGCTTCACGGCAGAAATAGGCAGGGCGGTGGTACCTACCCGCGCGGACACACAAGACGACCAGTAATTACGCAAATTATGAATTTGCGGGTTTGATTTTTATTACACAATTCCTGCCTGCGGGATTCGAACATCGTTGCATCGCTAGATACGAATGCACCGGACGTCTTGTCCTTTAGGCCACGACGACTAAACAATCCTACATATAAATATGCTCTCCACGCATATCCCCCCTACATTGATCAGGCATTGCTACCCCGGCGGGTAGTAAAGCTAGTCTCCCTCAGACACAGATGTGGCGCGTGCGACAAGCGGTTCAGCACGGCGGGCGCGCTGGCCACGCACCGCGCCGTGCGGCACGAGGGCGCGCGCCCCCACGCCTGCGCGGAGTGCGGCGCCGCCCTCGCCTCCGCCTCCTCGCTGCACAAGCACGTGCGCGCCGTGCACCGCGGGGACCGGCCCCCCGCCGTGCACGTGTGCCACACCTGCGGGAAGGCCTTCAGGGTACGCGACCCCGTTTGTTCATTGCTCGGATATTACACATTTGACTTGTACCATACATATTATGTACATACCGGCCGACTGAGAATATGACCTCCGTCTATGGGAGAGCTGGACTTGGGGTCGCAGTCTCAATAACCTGCTGTTGGAGTGGGGGAGTCTGTGGTGCAGTTCTAGTTCTAGAGGATAGTGAGTGAATGATTTGGACACTGAATGAATGATTTAATGAGAGAGTGAATGGCTTGGATTATATGACTAAAGAGTGAACGATTGAAACTAGTGGAATTAACCAAAGAATTAACAGTACAACATGTTCACGGCACAGAGTTCAAGTGTACTGACGAACCACGTGCGGACGCACACTGGAGAGAAGCCCTTCTCGTGCGAAGTGTGCTCGCGACGGTTCTCCCAGCGGACGGCCATGAGGACTCATCTGAGACTGGTTCACTTGTCGAGGAGTTGAACGGTCCCCCCGTAAATAAAAGAGAAATAAAAATTGATTGTTTTATTTGCATCTTTTGCTTGGAGACGCATCTACACCTTTCCTTGTTTTCAGTGCAGTCGCTCAATTTTCCCCTAAACGAACCCTGTAGAGATGAGTCGGATTTATTAGAACAGATCCGAGTATTAGGTATTTTACGGAATTAGGCTGCACCTAATCCCATTTTGTCAATGTGTTTAATCCACCTGTTCCACCTAATCTTCGTATTCTTAAACATAAAATCGAATGTTCAGCATACGCTCCCACCTGTTGCTGCGCTATCTCACTCATTATACGTTGCAACGTATCGCACAATCCCTAAATGCCTAATCCTAATCATTGAAATAATGATCCAACGATCACATTAATCAAATCCTAAGAACGAACTCACAGAACTTGAGATTAGGAATAGGCAGATTGAGATTGCTTACTAAGTAAAGTATTGGTTGTGAATGAGATTAGGAAGATTATGTGGATTAGGTATTTCTTAAGAATAGGAACAGGTGGACCTAGTATCTGATTTACCTAGTACGGCCCATCTCTACAACCCTGGAATGATTCTTCGTTGTTAACGAGTCACAGTTGGATGATCCGGCTCGTTAGATCACGAGAGAACCACGGTCTGAAGATGCGTCCTCGGAGACCCTTGGACGATTGTTTTGTTCATTATAGTCCTGGGGGTGAGTTGCGTGGAACACCAGTGGTTATTCGGCGAAATGCAACTTCATCTTCTTTATTTTCTAACTATGCTAGAAGCCTTAGAGCGTTACATTAGTGTTCCGAACGAGAAGGACCTAATTGCTATATCATTTCCCTTATACATATATATTTTGGGAACACACATCGATAACGCAACTTAATTTTACAACTAACGCCATCTATTGGCGACATTCACGTAAATACACCAGCTGCCAATGAGTCGCAGGCACAACTAAAGCTACTGTTACGCGCTGGGGTTTGGAATAAATAAAAATTCTACCTAAGTACAAACTAACACTGTATTAACACTTAGAACACCTTAAAATTCTTAATTCACTTCTTCCGCTTCGCTTCAGGTGATCCGTTCGCTGTTTCACTTCGAGTAGTTTCGATTGCTAACTGCCTCAGTGCCATTTCTGCAACGCTTTTATAGTCGATACGACATCTCTTGAATGATCGAGAACATTCCTCACAAGTCGAGTATTTTCGAAATGCCTTTTCGCCATTTGACGATAGATGGCGTCGTACTTCTCGAGCGTTCTTGAATTTACTAGTTCTTTTGATATTCGTTGCTGCTATTTGACGATAGATGGCGTTACTCTTCCCGGCGTAACACTACTATTAAGGTACAACCTCGCGTTTGTTATCGTTACTATATCTCTAACACTTGAATATTGTTCTAACTACCCTCCATTTTTCTATTAGAAAACATTTCTAGAATTTTTAATTTTCATTTCACACAGAACTGTAATAAAACTTAAACAGAATAACGACAATAACAAACACAAGATAAAATCGTAAATATTGTTTTTAACTTCATCAGGGACGAACTTTTAAGGAAAAACAAAAAAAAGAAAGTGAACTTAATTCATTATTTATTACGATTTGTTCATTTCGTGTTGAAAACAATTTAATAAGTAAAAAAAACAACAAAGTTAGTAACTATACATTAAAAAAAATATGTACATTTATATGGCTATATTATATATTTATAGTAGAATTAAATAAACAAATAATTAAAAAACAAAACGAAACGTCCACATATATCGAGGAGTGAAAATCTGTTTGTGTTTAAGCGACATTTTTGCAACTTTACAAGAGAGCTTAGAGATTTAAATTTAATAATTTGGAATTTTTATTATCACAACAAAAAAAACATCTTCAGCTATTTGAATGGGATAAACTTAAGTTCACTCGAACTGTTGATGCTAATCTATCTTCTATCTATATATATAAAAATGAATTGCTGTTCGTTAGTCTCGCTAAAACTCGACCGCTGGACCGATTTGGCTAATTTTAGTCTTGAATTATTTGTGGAAGTCTAGAAAAGATTTAAAAGGTATATAAATATGAAAATTCTCGAAATTAAATAAAAATAACAATTTTGTTTTTGATGTGTCCCCCGTCGGACGGATTCCATTTATTTGTTTTAAGTTTATTTTATACAAATGTTTAGGTCTTTTATTTATCGACTGAGGCACTACGGAATCTGCCGGGTCAGCTAGTATTAAATAAAACGCACTTTTAATTACAACGACAACTGTTGCGTTTTAAGCGAAATATCGCTTAACACATATAGCTTTTCACCCAATGGTAAGTATATGCCAATGTCCTCGAAGAGGCAATTTTACTACAATAGCTTTTGGGGCCATCTTTGAATTAGCGCCACTCGCTCCGGCAACGCCGAACTAATCGGTCGCTTTTTGATGGACACTATTTCATAGACGAGAGTGCGCTCCGTACGCCCGCCGGTGAGGAGGACAGTAAGTGCTTAGCTCCCTTCCTGGCTGTGTCCGCACGTGACCAGGTAAACGGGTGTCGGAGAAACTAGAAATACCGGCGCATCTGAAACCATAGTAGACGCGATTAGTATTATGAACTCTCACGCTACCCGCTGAACTGCGCGGTAGCTACCCTAGATCCTTTTGATTCGCCCTGTTGTCCCTTGCAACCTTTTGTACTGCCCCAAACACCTCAATTCTCCTCCTCATCACCATCCCACAACTGCTCACTGTAGGACATAGGCCTCTCCCAATTTCCGTCCGCAGATCCTACACAAACAATATCGGTTGACACACAGAAAAAGAAGTTTTTTGGCTTTATCTAATAAATTATTTATGACAACCGTCTAGGATGAGAGGATGATGGAGACTGATTTGCTAATGTGAGCCCGATGTAGGTGTGTCATCAAGAGTGCTTAGCGGGAAAGAGTGCTTGGTTAGCAAGAAGGGGTACAACGGGAATGTATAACAGCACGCGCAGGCGCATAGGGGTCTACAGGGGGCATGAAGGAGCAGAGAAGGGGCATGAAGGAGCAGAGAGGGGGCGTGAGGAGCATAGAGGGGAGGTGAGGGAGCGTCACAGTGTACCATACTACCAAAACACGCTAATGCGTGTTTCGCAAAAAAAACAGGTTTAACGACCCACGTATAAAAGCTATTCCCGTGTTACGACGGTAAGTGACGCTATCTGTCGTCGAATAGCAGAAACTAATATCAAAAGAACTAGAGAACGCTCGAGAAATGCAACGCCACCTTTTGTCAAATAGCGGAAACATATATCGAAATGACTCGCCCTATCGGGAATGTTCTCGATAATTGTAGAGTTGTCGTATCGACTACGATCGACTATTAAAGCGTTGCAAAGAAGACACGAAGGCAGTTAGTAATAGTATCTACTCGAAGCGAAACAGCGAACGGATCACCTGAAGCGAAGCGGAAGAAGTGAATTGCGAATTAAAGTGTTCTAAGTGTTAAATAGAGTTTGAATTTGTACTTCGGTGGAAGTTTTATTTATCCCGAAGACCAGCGCGCAACACGCGCTATAAGTCGATACGACCTCATGTCCCTGAAGCGGACATACCAAGGTTGAACTCACCCAGCGCGGTGCCATGACTCTTCAAGTTGTCCAAAGAGTTGCTGTGTTGATTTTGTTCTTTACTGCAATTGAAATAACAGACAATTTTAAGTTGCGTGAAAAGTAGGCAGCGGCTTTACTGTGCCCCTGACATTGCTGATATCCTTGAACGACGGTCAATGTTTACCATCAGGTAGGACGTATGCTCGTCGTCTATCTGCAAGGGCAATAAAAAAAACTAATATTCTATTCGACATTGGAACGAAATTCCTTAGCGAGGGTTGCATTAGGAATTAACTGGTTTGGGGTGAGCCACGTCCTGGTCTGTAGAAGTTCGAGCGCGAAGAAGTCAGATGCAAAGTCTAATCGAGGCGTGGTCACGTCGCCAGCGGGGGACGAACCGTAGAGACGGTCCTCCCGGTCCTCTCGGACTGGGAAGGTAGGCTAGTCAAGGATACGCTGGCGACGGATACAGATGGATCTCATATGAACACCGCCTCACGGAGAACGGTCAGTTCTTGAGTCTAGCACAGACGGTCACCGCCTATTTTGCTTATATAACGAAATACTATCATCAAAGTTTGAAATAATTAGTTTGGACGTGCCGATTTCTTCTTTTTTCGCAGTCGGCAATCGATTTCTTGCGATATCATTGTTGCCAGTGTCGAGTTTATAATAATTGTCGATTCATAAATACTTGTGTAATCTGCTATATGAAGAATTGCACGGATTAGAATGAGATAAAGCTGATTTATTTGATTCACTTGAGACGAAATTAGATGATATGAAATCTCAGTAAAATTGTGGTTATTTACTGTGACTTCAGCGAACTTTTTGATGGAAATCGAGAAGCCAGGAGATTTGTTTAATTTCCCTACATTTGTGCACTTTCACAGAGGCCCTGAAGAAACCTTAATAAAAACTAACTCATGCAACTTACTGGTGGTAGGACCTCTTGAGAGTCCGCGCGGGTAGGTACCACCACCCTGCTTATTTCTGCCGTGAAGCAGTAATGCGTTTCGGTTTGAAAGGTGGGGCAGCCGCTGTAAATATACTTGAGAGCTTAGAACTTATGTCTCAAAGTGGGTGGCGCATTTACGTTGTAGATGTCTATGGGCTCCAGTAACCACTTAACACCAGGTGGACAGTGAGCTCGTCTACCCACCTAAGCAATAAAATAAAATAAATACTTCGGTCTTAACGTTACAAAAACACCAAAAACTTCACGTGATGACTAGCAATATGTAATGATAAGTTACTATATTGCTGCATTTACCTGTGTTCGCCCAAATTATTTAGCGAAGTCGACAGACGACAGCCGGGCATCGAGTTCTGCAGGTCAGCCAACGAGCAAGCCGGACGTAATCTCGTCACTAATCTATGCTGTACTGTCAAGCCATCTGTCAAAGTCTCGCTGACGTTTGACGTTAACTGCGTCTGCACGTCCTTGTCAAGCTTCCTACTATGACAGTTACAATTGATGTTGCCAGCCCGAGAATTTCCTGCTAAGCTGGTAGGGTTACGCAGTCGCCTCGACGCGTTGGTTGAGTTGTGAATGTTTGGATCCGATGAGTAGATTTGTCTGTATTTTTCGGTAGTTTCCGGTTTCCGTTTGCTCATCATCGACAGTTGGTATTGTCCTTTCCTGTGGATCGAAGGTGAGATGCTGGGGGAACGGTTCGGGGAGGCCGTGGCTGATGCGGTCTCGGTGGGACGTCTTATCGCCGTTTTGATCTCGTATTCTGTCGCTATCGCTTCGAAGACCTAGAACAAGGTTCGCGTTTATAATCTGGATAACGAAATTGTTTCATTGGAATTCTCAGCTCGGACCTATTTTCACAGTCTTACAAATAGAACTGTATTTAATGTAGAAAATAGGCAAATTGACATTCTGGTGGTAGGACGTCTTGTGAGTCCGCACGGGTAGGTAGTACCACCCTGCCTATTTCTGCCGTGAAGCAGTAATGCGTTTCGGTTTGAAGGGTGGGGCAGCCGTTGTAACTATGCTGAGACCTTAGAACTTATATCTCAAGGTGGGTGGCGCATTTACGCTGTATATGTCTATGGGCTCCGGTAAACACTTAACACGAGTTGGGCTGTGAGCTCGTCTACCCAAAAAAAATCAGTTATGCTAGCAATAATAAGGTAGATACGTTTGTATCCTCACATCGTACTGAGTAAGTACCACCAAATTGCCTATATCTGCCGTGAACGCATGCCAGAGGCGTGACGATTTAATCTCGCGCGCGGAACACAATACTTTCGAATGTAAATTACCTGTTAATAGTAAATAACAAACCACAAATTCGTCTGCTCATCTAAACTCAAGAAATACCAGCTTCTGATCAAGATGCAGCGGCAGACAGCGAGAGATAATGGATCGTACCTGTTCGGCGACTAAGTTTCTGGAGTAGGGAGAGTTCTTCGGCGGGAGCGGCTCCCTGCACAGAGCGCATCGTTCCAAACGTGTCCAACAGGCTGGGGATAAAAAAAGATGTGTGGTGTCGTGGGACACCGGATAGGAACGAAGTTCCTTATTATAAAAATATTAATTTAAAGTTCTATTCGAGGTATAAAGAAAATAAAACTGGAGGTTTCGCAACAAACCACGGTTACTCGGTAACGTGCGAACTTATTGTGGTACACTTCATTCACGGTTGTGTTCATGAGAGTTAGTGTATTGCGCAAACGAACGCTCTGAGATCGTGGTCAATGAATGTTAAAAAAAAGTGTTATTTTTTGTACGTTATTACAAAGTTAAGTCGTACACTGTGTGCATTACTTATAAAAATCTTACGCTATTTTTTCCCGGTTAGGGTACCCCTCCGCATGGTCCCATAAAGAACTTCGTTCCAAAAATCAATCGATTTACTGATATTGGGAGCCACATGGGCGGACCCCCGATCAGGCCTACTTCTGTCGCGAGGCAGTCAAGCCTGCAGATACACACTTTCACAGTACAGATGGGATCTGGCGCAGTGCAGGGCCCTGGTGGCAGTGGAGGCGCAGACGCAGCACGAGAGCGCCCTCAGCACTCCGGCGAGCGCGCGGCGCGACCTCTCCCCCCTGCTGCCGCCGCCGCAACTCCACAGCAACTGTGCAATCGTCAAAAACCTCTTCAAGCTCCTTAATCAATGGCGTCTTTACAAAGTATTTTTGTAGTGAGACTTCTAATGGACGTTTAACGCTACCATGGAATAGAAAGAAAGGGCAAGAGTGAATGCGTGGCACTCGAACGCATGCGCGTAGTATACCAGCATATAGATTATGATACAGGCCAGCGCGAGCTTCAGCAACGAGTAGCGTCCAATATTTTAATGAAGTATTTTATGATTTATGAATTAAATGTTTAAATGTTTTCATAATTTTGCCAATTTTAATTTTAATTTTAATTTTACTAACATCGTTACTATGTATTACTCTACTTACAACATATGGACTTAAGATGGTCTGAATGAAATGAATTTTGTTTTTTTTTAATTTTTTTAAAAAATATATTGATTTTCTATATATAATTTAAAATATAAATAAATAGCAGACCCTTTAGCCACACGTTGCTGTGGATAAGGTTTTTGTTTCTAAATAACACGCGGCCGGCTATGCTAATATCAAAAATTAACAAAGTAAGAACAATCGGATTTTACTGTATTGCGTTTACTACGAAATAAATTTCACTTATACTTTAGCTACAGCAACACGTGGTGTTTGTGCCATTAAATTGTAGCTTATGTGAAACGTTGGTATTTTTAACACAGCGCCATCTATGAGATACTAATGTCAAACAGTATTATAACTGTCTTTAAAAACTAATTAAAGACGCCATCTGTTTTAGACTTATGAAACTTACAATTAATAACAATAATCAACTTAAGAAATCATTTTATTGTTAATTAATAAATATTGCGACCATTCATCGAAATAAAAACCATCCTATGGCCTAAGTTGGAACAAAACACATATTTAAAAAAAAAAAAAGTTAAAATCGTTTCAGTAGTTTAGGTGTCCATCGCGAATAAACAACGTGACACGTAATTCATATATTATAAGATATGAATGTTGAAGATGTCTCATCTCTTATACACAACATTCCCTATTACAAGAGCAATCTGATTTAGGGATGAAAAATGAAGAAAACCACAATACTGCACATCGAAAGAGAAATTTCACTTCATTCACGCGCACCAAATTGCACATGCACCGTTTTCTTTTCAACCGAGGCTTGTGGAGAGTACTTAATAGTAAGCAGCGGTTTGGCTCTGACCGTGGCATTGCTGAAGTCTATGAGCGACGGTAACCACTACTATCAGGTAGGCCATATGCTCGTCTGCCTACAAAGGCAATAAAAAAAAAGATCGTCCAAGAATCTCACATTCTCTCTTTCAGCTAACAGATGTTCACTGATAAAGGCCTCTGCAAGCATTCTGACAGGGCGCGATCGGGTGCCAAGCCAAACGGCTGCCCGTGACCTTAAAAAGGTCCACGGTAAAGTGCAGTTCATAAAGTTGCAACAAAAAACTTACCTCGGGATCATCCTTGGGATCGACGCCGCAGTTCCAGACGAGGAGAGATACTCCGCCCCCCGCGCCGTCCCCCCGGATCAGACCGGCCACCTGTCCCACCTTTAATGAAAAAAAATAAGAAGAAATAGTTTATATAATAATATACCAGCTTTTGCCCGTGACTTCGTCCGCGTGGAATAGTTACTTAAGACGCTAAATTTTACCCACGATTTCATTTTTTTTATTGCTTAGATGCGTGGATGAGCTCACAGCTCACCTGATGTTAGGTGGTTACTGGAACTGATAGACATCACAACGTAAATGCGCCACCCACCTTGAGATATAAGTTCTAAGGTCTCAGTATAATTATAACGGCTGCCCCGCCCTTCAAACCGAACCGGTTGAATTTCGCATTTATTATCCTCCCTCTGGTAATTTTGGACGTTTCGTGTATTGCATAATTATCCCATGCCGACATGGGACTGCCGTGGACTCTTGCTCAAGCATCTGATACCCCCTGCAGGTCAGAAGCCGGGCAGAGTAAGAGGGATACCGCGATCAACACTGCAACCAGACGCGTGGGTCACCTCAGGGACACCCAGCCGACGGAGACTTCGAGTAGATCCGATTATTGACCGACTGCGTGCCATCCCTGCAACGCTTTTGTAGCCGACTAGCGACCCGCCCTCGCTTCGCTTCGGAAACATTAAAACACACATGAAACCAAAAAAAAAAAAAAATTTTTTTTTAAAAAAAAGTAGCCTATGTTCATCAGGGACAATGTCGGCTTCTAATGGAAAAAGAATTTTTCAAATCGGTCCAGTAGTTTCGGAGCCTATTCGAAACAAACAAACAAACAAATCTTTCCTCTTTATAATATTAGTATAGATATCACATCCCTAGAATTATTGAGAATATTCCACACATTTCGAGTATTGTGTTTCCGCTATCTGACAATAGATGGCCTTGTACTTCTCGAGCGTTCTAGGTGCTACTAGATCCTTCGATATTCGTTCGACTATTCGGCGATAGATGGCGTTACTCTTACCGGCGTAACAGTATCTATGTAATTAAGCTCAATTTGTCGTAAAGAAGACAGTAGGAAAATAATGTATTTACCGGTAATCCTAGGAGATCTCTTCCGTCGGCTTGCAGTAGACAATCTCCGGTCTTCAAGCCTGCAGCGTCAGCTCTGGACCCCGGAGTCACTTCACGGACCTGCCGTAAAACAACTGTCTCTAAACACCGGGCTATTTCTGCCGCGAATCACTCATGTGTCAATTGCAGTTAATTGCAAATTTAATTAATCAAGTTAACATAGTCGGAAGGTGTTTTACCCACGGATACGGATCCCACAGCGTCCTCGTCACTCTGAAGCCAAGCCCCTCGCCCTCGTCTTCCGGAAGGTTGAGCTGCCAACGAGAAATAGCAGGTTTAACAGCATCCTCTTGGTGATTTAAGTTATTTTACTTATTTCTTAATTGAATGAACCTTATGAAGGCTGCAAACAGATATAAGTAGTTTTATTGAAATACGTATTTAGCTCATGTTCCACTTACTCCATGGAGGAATAACATCGTGCTATTAAGCAATTTTTTTTTTGTTTAATTGGGTAAACGAGCTCACGGCCCACCTGCTGTTAAGTGGTTACCGGAGCCCATAGACATCTTCAACGTAAATGCCGCCACCCACCTTGAGATATAAGTTCTAAGGTCTCAGTATAATTACAACGGCTGCCCCACCCTTGAAACCGAAACGCATTACTGCTTCACGGCAGAAATAGGCCGGTAGGTACTACCACCCAGCCTATTGCTACCATGAAGCAGTAATGCGTTTGAAGCCTGGGTAGCGTCACGGTGACCTGAGTTCGTCCACCCATCCAAGCAATAAAAAAACTGTCTCAAGTCATAGTGTCTCAAAGTTTATCGTTTAACATATTGAAGAGATGAACCGTTCTTACCACAATGAGTCTGACGCCGTCATTATCGGACTGGTTCTCCATATTTCTGCTGAAGATCTCGCCAGTGGACTGGTGAGACATCTATAATAGCACATATATAATTAAAATTAAATTAAATATCTGGATAAGATCAAAGAACGCAGGAATAGGTAGACCTAAGAAAAAATAGATTGCGTGTAAGACGATATGTGTAAGAGGGAAGTGAGAGAAATAATGGCATATGATAGAGGAGTAGGTATGAAAGGAGAGAATAATTATGTTGCGCCGACCCCAAATGACTGGTAGAAGGACAGGAGAATGATGATATGATCCGGATAAGAACCGATAAATAGTATTTCACATCGTCTCAGAGGATTACAAAGATAATTAATAAAGAATTTCTAGTTTAAAAAATTAACGAATTGTAGCGGTTTGTGTAGGTTTAATTTCGCGGGTTTTTTGTTTGAGATTTTTCACTAAATTCGACTATAATTAATTTAAATTATAAGTTTGAACATTCTATTGTCACATTTCTATTATAATAATTATTATTGTTCTACAATCACAGATTTCGCCAAGGACACTATAGACATAATGTTAAAGACAAACCATATTAATTATTTATTCTCAAATTGACCACAGAAATTAAACAATAAACAAAACAGTATATATGCGAGTGTGTGTCAAATGCATGGTAGTGTGTGTAATGTTCTTTTATTGATTTAATAATGAATTTTATATATTTTTTTTTATTTTAAATTTAACATTCTTCACTTCATATTTCTTATTATTATTAAATTCTTAAACTATAGTTTAGTGTGGAGAATCTCATGTTTCTACCTCCGCGGAATTTACATAAAAAGGAGTACTATAAAGTTATTGCTTCACGTATTAATATATAGAATATAGAATACATTATAACTAGTACCGAGTGACATATCGCGTCAATATTGCCACGGTCATAAAGCAATCCGCACAACGCGCATTCTAAAACACTTTGCTCATTTATCGAATCAAAGTCACAACAATATCGGATCTGCTGAGGCGACGTTTCCCAATATTTCCCCTTCACTGAGGAACTAAGCGTTGGTATCTAATAATTCGATTTGTTTATATTTTTCTTCTTCAAACGTTCCTAAATTGTGATCAAACATGCTTATGCTTATAAGTATTATTTTTCTACTTATTCACTAGCAGCCTAAGGAGTTTATTCCAGCTACGCGGGGACGAGTAGGTGAGCTCACGGGCTCAACCTCAGAGAATTTGCTAACACTAGCCCTAGCAAGAGCAGTGCTTCATTGAATCTATCACCGTATCGGAATCACGACCCACTGAGAAGTTCCGACTAAGAATTCAATGGGCTTGCACTATCAATTATCATTGTCATTATCATTGTCATTGAGAGCGCGACCCGGTTTCTCTAGTACCGGATTAGACGTGATAGATAGCCGAAGGTTGTTAAAACCTCAAAGTCGCTTATAAAGAAAATAATTATATTAAATTAATAATTAACTATATACAGTAAGGTACGTGACACAATAAGTGACTAAATTTAATAATTATATATTTGTTTTTTAATCACAGTTTTAATATATTCCGGATCCAAACAAAATGAGTTAGATTCTCACCATACGGTCATCCAAAGTAAACAATATTTTAGAATGAAATACGAGCGATCTGAGCGGTCAAGTTCCAATAGGCCTTCGACTTGGGTCTATCAGTAATACTATTTCAAAATACTATATCAGCAGAAGTAGTAATATCTCTTTCACCGTGTCCCGCGTCTTCCGAAAAACTCAACTAAAAAAACCCTTCAATTACAATTTCACTACAACTTTATCACGTTAGCTTATTTAATTAAAACTTACGGTCAATTATAAAACGAACTTGTGACACTTATTTTCGACTGAGCTTTCACACTGGCGAGCTTCGACTGTGACGCTTATTCGTTTAAGACACGGCGAAAGGACTGTGCGATCAGTTGTCGATATAATATTTAAATTAGACGCGTCGAGCGGTGAGATCAACTTGTATTGCCTTTTATTTTATTTTTTATTGCTTACATGAATGGACGGGATCACAGCTCAGGATTACAACGGCTGCCCCACCCTTCAAACCGAAACGCATTACTGCTTCACGGCATAAATAGGGGGGGCGGTGGTACCTACCCGCGCGGACTCACAAGAGGTCCTACCACCAGTTGTTACTTTGTAACTATACTGAGACCTTAGAACTTATATCTCAAGGTGGGTGGCGCATTTACATTGTAGATGTCTATTGGCTCCAGTAACCACTTAACACCAGGTGGGCTGTGAGCTCATCCACCCAACTAAGCAATAAATAAATAAAAACGCACACTAAAAACAGTCGAATCTATAACCTGGTTTTTCTGAAGTCACTTACTGAATACTAAGTATGATAGTTCTAGAACACTAGTACTAAGCAGTGCTAATTACCGTTAGCTGTATCGATACTTTCCCATCACTACTCGGACTGGTTCACCTTAAGCTCACGGCCACGCATCGTTACCAATACCGCGGCTCGTTACTCAATCACTTCAATAGTTTAATTTACGAAATAACATTTAGCAGATCATCATTCTCCTGTCCTTCTCCCAGTCCCTTGGGGTCGTTGCAACATGATTTCTCCTTCCACACTCCTCTATCAAATACTATTTCTTTGCTCACTCCCTTCTCACACATATATTCTTTCACGCAATCCATCCATTTTTTCATAAGCATACCTCTTCCTCTAAATAAAATTTATAAATTACACTGAGCAGATACTTCTTTTAAATCGTCATGATTGATGGGAGCTTGTGTTCGCTTTGAATTTTAACCAGATGACGTTCGCTTATATGGTCATTGGTAATCGCGGCTCACGCTGCTGTCGCAATGAAACCTGATAAATTTGCGAGTTTAATTTATCCGCCATGAGATATAAGATTGAATTGAAAAGTCCTAGATTGAATGCACTCGATCAGTATTTATTTACACGTCATTATGGATCCTCCCGATCCACTAACGGTGCTTATAGATATAATAAGCACCTGTCACCGTTCTCGTCGAACCCGTCGCTTGCGACGAAGGTGTCGACGAGTAAATTAACCCTCAGACACAGCCCACTGAGTTTCTCGCCGGATCTTCTCAGTGGGTCGCGTTTCCGATCCGGTGGTAGATTCTGCGAAGCACTGCTCTTGATAAGGCCAGTGTTAGCCACGCTCCCGGTTTGAACTCCCTGAGCTCACCTACACGTCAAGGAGAAGCTGAAATAACTGTTTTACTGGTGGTAGGACCTCTTGTGAGTCCGCACGGGTAGGTACCACCGCCCAGCTTATTTCTGCCATGAAGCAGTAATGCGTTTCGGTTTGAAGGGTGGGGCAGCCGTTGAGACTATACTGAGACCTTAGAACTTATATCTCAAGGTGTGTGGCGAATTTACGTTGTAGATGTCTATGGGCTCCACTTAGTAACCACTTAACACCAGGTGGGCTGTGAGCTCGTCCACACTTCTAAGCAATAAAAAAAAATATAGCCTCTCAAGGCTATCAGCATAGGTAGGGGAAAAAAAACAGTATTTTTCCCGAGCAAATAAATGTATTTACCGCGAAAATGTTCCCCGCGCGAGTCCTCCCGACCGACAAAGCGGGATCGTGCCAACTACAATATTAATAATGTATTTAGTTCAAAAACTATAGAGACACGTTTAAATAGTAAGCCCGAGTAACAATTAATTTATTTTCCAGTTTGTATATATTAGAGCCAAGTTGTAAAAATGTTGTTTCATCATCGGACCTTGACGCGCGTGCGAATTGTCAAGTTGATCAGACGTGTTGGAGTCGGTAGAAGTGACGCTCAATGATTCCGTCACAATTTCTTTTTTTCCTACCTATTCTAGTAACCTCGAGGGGTTATTCTAGATTCGCCGAGCTAGTAGCTGAGCTCACGGGCCTCAAACCTGACGACGTTGCTAACACGAACCCTAGCAAGAGCCGTGCTTCGCAGATTCTACCACCGGATCGAAAGCGCGACCCACTGAGAAGATCCGGCGAGAAACTCACCGGGCTGTATCTGTGGGTTAATTTACTCGCCGAGCCCTTCGTCGTAAGCGATGGGCTCGATGACGACCGGTTCCGTCACAAGCAAACATACCAAACACACCATACGCGTTAAAAAGACTCTTGTATTTATAAAAGCTTAGTAAGTCCGTCGGTCTATCGAGCAATAAACCTCATTTACCGTAAGATTGCTCTGTGTATACACGCCTCATATATCCGCGCGCTCCGTCCGAGCAAGGCAAGGCTACAATAACATAATATGATGAATAACTAACTGCGGAAATGTTTCTTATTTATTGCTAAATACAATTTAGATAAAAAAGATTGTTAAGTTGTTTAGTTCCGACTTGTACAGGTTGGAGTGATATGAGGTGGATAGCAGTAATCATTAGTTATTTATTCATTTAATGCTTTGGTCGGTGGACGAGCTCACAGCCCAGCTGGTGTTAAGTGGTTACTGGAGCCCATAGACATCTACAACGTAAATGCGCCACCCATCTTGAGATAGAGTTCTAACATTAAAAAGAGTTAAAAAAGTAATAAAAAAGTCATAAATAAAAAACAGTGAATGTGCGTAAATTTATTTTCAAATATAATTCCTTTTAAATATACATTTTATATAATTAAAAGTGCTTATTATTTAAATTGTACTCCCATTTTTAAACATTATTAATTTGACTTAAAATTCATTTTATTCCGAGCTGTGTAATTGCGATCCTTTCGGCTGACAATGACAGTTCCGCTTTCCTCGTCCTGTTGCGTCTTCAAACCTCACTGTAGACATGTGTAGACATATCGAGGAGTGAAAGGCTTATTGGGTTTAAGCGAAATTTTTGCACCTTTGCAAAAGAACCATATAGGGTTTAAATTTTGGAAAAAAATATCATAGCAACAAAAAACTTCTTCAGATATTTCAATGGAGTAAGATTAATTATTTTAATTATTCACTTAAACCGTAGCGAACTTACCTGCGTAAGTCATTAACAATGTCAATAGACAACGCGTTTTAAAACCTAAAATAAACTTGCCGTTCCCGACTCCTTCCCCGAGCGAATCACAATTACACAGCCGAATATTTTCACAATAACAATACGTAATTTTATTTACAAATTACATTTAAGAAAACTTGTCGCATGAACCTTTCATTATCTAACGAGCTGATCGCTTCAGAATCGTCCTCATTTGAAGATTTGAGGAGCAAAGACCAGTGTTCAGTATGGAGGGTAGAAGTAAAAAGGGTCACCTTGTATAGAGGAGGACTTTTTGGCGGGAGCGCGAGGAGTGAAGTTGTGTGATTTGTTTTATTTTGTCTATTTAGTGTTTCTTCGGGTTTAAATGTGTAATAACGGTGGTTTATTAACTGTTTAATATGTGTGAAAGTGCACAAATGTGGAAAAATGAAACAAAGCCGCTGGACGTAACTTCTCGGGATCCTCCAAAAAAAACCCCTGAAATAATCTTAGTAAATAACCACCATTTTTACTGCGATTATATTTCATCCCATTTCATTTCATTTAATTTCATCCCAGTTGATTAATGTCTCAAATTAGTCGTCTTCATTTCATTTCACTCCATAATATCATGTTTCATAAAAATATGAATATAAATTAAAATAAGACATGACTTAAAGGTCGCAGTTACCAGGTCATAAAATCCCTTAAAAAAAATTGTATAGAGGAGAAAGTTGAAGAAGTGTCCGCCTGTAAACTGGGAGTTGTTTTTGGAAGACTCACCGACATAGCGCTAGTGGAGGAAGTGGAAATGGTATGAATATAGCAGTTTTAAACAGAGCGAAATGTACCGGAGTGAACAATTTAATGTTTTTCGAGCCTTCTGTACTTAAAATATAAACAGTATTTAAAATCTCAACTGTTTATTTTATTACTATTGACGTAGGAAGTGTTTCTTTCGTTCTTAATTTAATATCCTACTCCAATAGTTTATGGCGCTGTTTGTAATATCCTTCCACTTGCTACGGTGGCGCCATCTTAGCTAACTTCCTTTCAACGGACCTTTTTTAAGACACTGAGACGGTGTTACTAATTTCCCGGTCACCGCCCTCGTCGAACCCGTCGCTTGCGATGAAGGGCTCGACGAGTGAACTAACCCACAGAGACAGTCCTCTGAGCTTCTCGCTGGATCTGCTCAGTGGGTCGCGTTTCCGATCCGGCGGTAGATTCTTGCTAGCAACACTTCCGATTTGAGCCCCGTGAGCTCACCCACATGTTAGGGTGAAGCTGAAATAGCCTCTCAAGGCTATCAGCATAGGTAGGGAAAAAAAACTAATTTCTACCCTCCATAACGTTAACAAAAACACATTACGTTTCTCATTCAAATAAATAGAGTCTGTCCCGTAAAATTTAAACATCAATAGTGTATTTCCGCCAATTGTCTCATCCAGTCTAGTGTCGGGTTAGTGGAACATCTTCCTGACAGTTAAATACAGTAATCTCTCCTATAAGACGTAGGTATCACTCGCGTTATAGGAATATTCTCACATAACGCGCTTGTATGATCCCATATAACGCGTTATATACAAATATAATATAATCAATGCACAAATCAACTAGGAACACAAATTTAATAAATTAATTAAATTTTATAACGACACAATTGGCACGCGGAGATACGCGAAATTAATTATCTACTGTACAAATCATTATAAATTTGACAGCACATACAGAAATATAACGTGTGATATCCCCGCGTTATGGCGAATGGGCGAATACCCGTGTTACACGAGAGACTGAAATCGCGTAATATGAAAATGCGTTATATAAGAGTACCGTGTTATATGGGGGATTACTATAGAAGTAATTTGACTACATTTAACTGCATTATATATGTGTCGGGGAGACCGCTTTATTAAGACCATCGTCAGACATCATAGGGGCGAATAGCTAAAAGTCTAAAACGAAAAACATTGATAGTTTACTGAGCGAAACGCATTCTTTCCCATTCCCGTGAGTTTTAGGAGTTCCGCGCAAGAAATTTCAATGAAATTGTGAACAAAAACCCACTCAATAGTATTATTAATGACGGACGAAGCAAGGCCATCTTACTTTAGGGCATTTCTGACATCAATAATCATAATTCATTGAAATCAAACGACTGGTAGATAAGCACTGTCCGTTCCTGCAGTCAATGTTACCTCCGCGCGTCTCTTTCTTCTTCTACGCGAGTTCACGTACCACCGAATCCTCCTTCTGAACTGACAAAGCATCAGTCCATACAGATTCCCGCTAGATTTGTTATCAAGGTGCAGCAATACTAACAAGTGTCCATTTAAAACAAGGCCTAACACCAAAGTAAATCTTCTTACGCACGCCAATAATAGTAACAATATATTTCAGTAAAAACGAAAAAAAAAACACAATTGCCTCTTTATTCGCAAATACAGCCTATGGACATTCGCAAAGACAGCTCCTAGTGCAAAAGTATGCTATTCAAGCCGGAGCACGATGAGATCATTATGGTGTTGCAAATTGACAAAACAACGGTATCCACGCTTTTTTTCACGTGCACCCTTCCGTAAGACTCTAAAGATGTAGCCTAAATAGGCCCCGGGCTACGAGAGACCCATCTTTAGCAAACTTGGAAGCTCACGCAGCAAATCTCAAAAGTCAAGTGCCGGGACGCATCCCATGCCGCTTTTAGTGCAACGAAAAATACTGAAAAAGAATCATTTCCGCGACTTACTGAAAGTTATCCCGCAAGAGATCAAGTTATACGACCTGCTCTATTATGCATTTTAAATATCAACAATAATAACTAACCAACAGCTTTATGACTTGGCGCGAGTGGACGAGACAACAAACATTAGACACGCAACTAAACCGATTTAATGTTAGTCTTCAATGCGATTCGAAACAGAAGCACGCTCTTCGACTTACCGCACGTGACAGCTTCAATGCCGATCACCGATCCCGGAGTCGATTTAAAAAACAAAATTACGGTCGGATTATACCTTTTCAATTCAAGATTGAACTTGCAATCCACTCTGTAGATTGCTCCCGATTAGGTCACATTTTATTATTTACACGTAACAAAACAAACCATGTTAAAACACCACCATCCATATTGTTATAAAATCTCTAATCTTAGACACAAGCGACGCCTTCCACCAAATTCCAATAAATTTCACTAACTCAAATGTTATCAGTTAAAAACCAGTTTATCACTTTAAGTTTAGTTTCTCACTCCGACTCGGAGTCCGTCTCGTCGGAGTCACTGCTGGAGACCGGCTCGCACTTTATGAACTCGATCTCGACCCGTTGCTTCCTCGGGCGTCCCCGTTTCTTGACGACATTCGGTTCACCGCCTTCACCTATGACGGTTTTGACCATTCTCGAGATCCTCTTCATCTGTTGCTGCTCGTGCCTCTGAAGGTGGTTGCTCAAGTATTTCTTTAATTTGAACTTCTTCCCGCACTTCTCGCACTCGTGCTCGTAGTTGCTCTCGTCGATCTCCATGTGCACCGCGTTCTTGTGGCGCGTCAAGTAATGGGGATGCGCGAATTCCTTGTCGCACTTTTCGCAGCGCAGTTTCGGTTTGGTCGGATGCACGATCTTCTTGTGCTTCTTCAAGCGTATCGCTGAATGAAAGTATTTATCGCACAGCTCGCATTTAACTTTAGAATCGGCCGATGAATGCACTTGCATGTGCTCACGGAGGTACTGGTCGTTCTTGAATTCCTTTTGACATTCCGGACAGTTAACTTTCGACTCTAAAGGCGGATGGATGTTTAGGACGTGCCTCTTCATATGATGCCGCGATTTGAAGGTCATCGGACAAAACACGCAGGGGTGTCTCTCGACTGGCGTGTGCTGGGTCTGCATGTGGCGTTTCAAATTCAAATGATTTTTAAAGGGCTTCTGACACAATTGACATATGAACTTCTCCCTGTTCGATGTGATGCAAGACTCCATGTGATACCGCAGCTTGTAGGGCACCTGGAATTCCTTGCCGCACTCCACGCACTTCAGCTCCGGTAACGTGTTCGGATGGATTTTCTTGACGTGCATTTGGAGGGCCTTCCTCGTCTTGAACTCGTGCAAGCAGAACTGACAGTAGCATTTCTCAATTTCGGAGTAATGCTTATTAATTTTGTGCATGTACAAATAGTGTTTATTCTTGAACGTCTTGTCGCATATGTCGCACAGCACCGCCGCCTCCTCGGTCGAGTGCACTCTCGTCGTGTGCAGGTACAGGTTCTGGTAATTCTTGAATTCTTTATTGCATTTATGACAGATATATCGCTTTTCGCTTTTCGGAAACATTATTGGCTTCCACGTCGACAGCACCGACTGGTACATGGCGCGCTGCTCCTCGGTCAGCGCGTCGCTGTTTACGCTTATAAATTTAACCACCTCGTCTTTGGGTTTCTTCAGGGCGTGCGGTTGTGGCAGAGTCGACTCGGAAATGGAAGGTGGTTGGCTTGGGTGCTGGTGCGGGTCCGGTGGAATGATCTCTTGTTTTATGGCCATCGGCAGCTGTAATGCAACATTTTTGTGATTATTGACTTCATACCTGCATGGTTCTAGATTTTTTGGTTGGACGAGCTCAGGGCTCTCCTGATGTTAAGTGGTTACCGGAGCCCATAGACATCTATGAAGTAAATGCCGCCACTTAACCTTGAGATGTGAGTTCTAAGGCTTCAGTTTTTTACAGTACAATAGCTACCCCACCCTTCCAACTGAAACGCATTACTGCTTCACGGCAGAAATAGGCAGGGTGGTGATTCCTATCCGTGCGAACTCACAAGATATCTACCACCAGTAAAAACCACCTCCAGTAAGTATTTGGACCGGGCGCCTTATCCTTTAGGCCACGACTACACAACTTTTCTTTGAACTATACTTTGACGGTCTCATTGAATCACTTTTACAGGCAGGAACTAGGTAAATGATCTCATGCATCATCATCAGACCGCTTGCATAATATCTAACCTTGGCACAGAAAGTACTATCATTCTGTCCAGTTCTGCCGAGAAGCAGTTATACCTACAGTTTGAAGGGACAATATTTACACAGTAAGCATTCCAGCCTTAACCTCTTAAGGTGCAATGGACAAGAAAAAGAACGTTATACAGAAATTCTATCGGTTATGACGTTGCAAGACTTGATGAGCTAAAGCAAGTTACCTTGAACTGAATTCACATTTTGAATGAAACAACTTCAAAGTATCTGTTTGACAACAAAGTAATCTCCTCGTGGTTATGTGGATTGAGTTGGTACAGTACCCGGTAATAAATATTGCACATTAACCTTTAGAAAGAGACAACTGGCCGATTCCAACTTGACATAGCATTATCTCTGTTACACATTACCTATGTGAACTTTGTAAACGTGCCATAGTGCAGAGCAGCATAAGTAGGGTACTTTTAGTGTATGTCATGCGACAGAGACAATTCTCTATGAAGCTGAAATTAGTTGTGTACTCCAGTTTGAAAGGGTAATTTAGAAAGGGTTGATTTCGGCATTAGTCTCTAAATTCACCAACATTCTTAGAATTTTATTGTGGACAACGCAACATTACTATTAAAGTTACCAGATTTACCACGATAAGAACCACAACAATAGAAAATCTATGTTCGAAAAACATAATGCTCAGCATAAAATTAGATCAACTTTTGTTAAATCTATGCATATTGTATGTCTACAAAGTTTTTATAACTAAATTTCATTTGACAATGAATAGCCTCTCTTTGATTATGTAAAATACATAATTACTTTACCACACAAATACGAAAGGATACAGAACCTGTCTTTATCGAAAAACCACCCACTATTCAACGCTTTTTGGAACAGTATACGGTATTCTAATAATGATAATAATTAGCTAGACAAGTTATCATAATGTCAAACTCTTGAGTATTTAAACAAAGAAGTTATTCTATTGAGTTTATTCAAAGTCTAACATTATAGAATCCAGATTGTGAGATAAAAATGATCAACAACATACTAATATTGTAACCGTATAAAGAGTCCAGGTGGCGTAGAATAAAAGAAATGTAGCAAGTAGTCTGGACTTTGCCTTGCTATAGTTTTGATTGTAGTCGAACTAGGAACTGGGTTGTCCTTATCAAATAAAAGCTCTAAATACTGAGAGAATTACTTTCTCGTTCAGATTCGTGAATTGGTAGGTGGTCGTGGTAGGACCGCTTGTGAGTCCGCATGGATAGGTACCACCACCCTGCCTCTTCTGCCATGTAGGAGTAATGTGTTTTGGTTTGAAGGATGGGGCAGCCGTTGAAACTATACTAAGACCTCTTAGAACATATATCTCAAGGTGGGTGGCGCATTTACGTCATAGATGTCTATAGGCTCCAGTAACCACTTAACACCAGGTGGGCTGTGAGCTCGTCTACACCTCTAAGCAATAAAAAAAATTGAAACCACAACAAGTGGCAATGAGCGTCATAATATTGTCAGCCACCCTGACACTGATGATGAGGTATACACATTTTGGGATTGATCAAATATTATGGTTAAATATAAGTTTAACAAAAATTATTTGTTTTAATTCCAACTTTAAAATACTACAGTCATTCCATAATTGTAGGGCCTTTTGAACTATTTAACTGTTCACCATACGACAATAATATCTTGTATATTTAATTAGCAATTGCATAAAACGGTATCGCGTATAATTATTGACTTACTTGAGGAGTTATCGAGTTTGAGAAATCCATTGTTTTCCGATTAAATATCCCTATGACTTTAACACGTCATTATTTTTGTACAATTTCAAATGAATCTTCTTCGTGTACCTATGTAGTAATTGAAATCTTTCGGTTTGGATTTTTCAAAATGGCGTTTCACACATCAATCCGGACGGGCGCACATTCTTCGTCTAATTATTCGTTTCTATTATGATAACAATTATGATTACGAAAGTTAAAAGTGTACGTAAATGTTTAATGTTATCAAATTGGAAATATTGTAATCTTTGTCGAATTATTTGACGGTGGGGTTTGTTTTTGACAGACAGTTGACAGCTGCGGTAGGTAGTCTAATTGTAGTTGTATTTTTTAACTGGAAAGGAAAAAGTACAAAACCATACAGTCTTATCTTTTATAATTCATTTTTTTACGAAAAATCATAATATAAAATGAAATGAAATGAAGTTGATTAATTTCGAAAATTAATAAATTGGCATGAAATGAAATAAGATGATATGGGGTGAAATATAATCTCAGTAAAACGGTTGTTATTATTTACTGAAAATTTTTCTAGTGAACTTTTTGGAAGATCCCAGGAAGCTACGTCCATCTGCTTCATTTCATTTTCGCACATTTGTGCAGTTAAATTTAAAGCTGCACTTAAATTAATTTAAAGCTGAAGAAACACATAAATAGACAAAATAAAACAAATCACATAACTTCGCTCCTCGCGTTCCCCTCGTTCTATTTCAATTATCTATGGTCTTTTTTTTATAATACAGAAAAGGCGTACGTAGACTTTATAATTTAAAGCATCCAACAAAAATATTCCATAAATCCATCACATGAAAAAGGCAATGAAGCGATTACAAAGAATTTAAAGTAATTTCCTTTTTTTCCTATCATACTAAATATGCACCTGTGGTATCGCTGCGTCTCTGCCAGCGCAGTGGTTGTATTTCAATGATTATCAAGTTTATTTACTTTACTAGTTTGACACTAACTTACTAGTTTGACGCGGTTAAACATACATTTTTATTCACAAGAGATGATTTTAGTTTTTCGTATTAACGTCAGATGGTACTTATTAAAAAATATCACAACTCGCCTCTCAATAGAATAATTGTACATCAAAAGCCAATATTTTCGTTAGAAATAGTCCTCGTATTTAGCTATGTTTAATAATTTATCACGTAGGTACGAACAGCACTAACCTTGACCTATATACATTTGTTTATTAAATGACCCTACTAGATGGCGCTGTTATAAACTTTTTACGTATCACACCAGACATGTTTAATCTAATTTCAACTAAAAATATCACAAAATTGAATTAATATTTAACAAGAAAACACTTAAACGTGACTTTTATCAATAAAACTGCAGCAACTTCGCTTCAATCATAACCCTGAAGCGTTCAGTGGGACGCGTGAGCGATGTCTTAAAATAGTCCGTCTGTCACACTCCGAGTTGTATAGTTTTGCGTAAAGTTAACACATTTTAATACGAGAATGCGTGAAATAGTTCATTTGCAGACCGGACAATGTGGCAATCAAATAGGATCGAAGGTACGTAATGTGGTCGATGGAACAATAATGATCTAATTAAGTTTATTTGCATCGTATTGTTTTTTTTTTACTTCGATCAGCGATTTCCTTTTGCATTCTTGGCATCAATTAAGACATCATTGTAATGTTGCACTGCTCTAGTTTGTCCGATTGTGAGGTGTTGTTTTAAAATGGTGACTTAGAGTGTAGTAAGTAGTATTTGTGATACCCGGTCATGTAAATTTTTTACTTTGAAATTTGAGGTTGAATTACGAGTTAGACCTTTTTCCTGCTCTTGCTATTGGAATGATAGGAGAATTGCTCGATTGAAATGGGCAGGACAGCAACAAGCAATCAGCTGTGAGCCCGCAAAGGCGTTGTTAGATTTTCATGTATAGATGGCGCTTGAAATATTGTTATGGCTCGAAGGAACAATCCTAAACTGGTTTTACCACCGCCGCACATACTCTCAACAAATTCACGACAACCTTTCATACGTGCATGAAAAAAATACATATAGTAAGCTATATTTATTTAGTAAACTATACAATCTATATATTAATACGTGAAGCAAAAACTTTGTAACCCTTTTTACGAAAATTGCGCGGATGCAGGAGTATGAAATCTCCCACACTTATAGACAATATAGAGAAGGAGTGCAGAATGTATTTTTTTTTTAAATTGTGCATAAAAAATATATTAAATCAACAAAAAAACATGTATTTGACACATCACGCGTGCATACTATTTGTTTATTGACACTGTTATTGGTGGTAGGACCTCTTGTTGTAGTAAATTTAGTAAATTATACATCATTATTAAGGCATACCTATATGTACAGTTAACATCTAATAAACAGTTGTATATTTACCGCGTGCGTACCGCTGAGATGTCGTTCCCACGAGTTACCTTTATTAAAAGTCTTTCACGACATACTTGGTTGGTTTTTTTTCTTTACCTATTGTCTTGTAGCCTAAGAGGCTATTCCAGCTACGCTCAGACGAGTAGGTGAGCTCACGGGCTCAACCTGAGAGAATTTGCTAACACTAGCCCTAGCAAGAGCATGCTTCATTGAATTAATCGGATTCGCTGAACCCACTGAGTTTCTCGCCGGATCTTTTCAGTAGCTCGCGGTTCCGATCCGGTGGTAGATTCTGCGAAGCACTACTGTTGCTAGGGTAAGTGTTAGCAACGACTTCAGGTTTGAGCCCCGTGAGCTCACCAACTAGTTCGGTGAATCTAGAATAACCCCTCGAGGTTACTAGAGCAAGTAGAAAAAAAATCGGATACCCGACCCACTGAGGAGATCCGTCGAGAAACTCAGTGGACTGCTTCTGTGGGTTAGTTCGCTCGTAGACATGGCTTGCGACAAACCAATGAATATATCTTGGCGTTGTAGTTAGGAATCGCAGCCCACGACTCAGATTAATTATTCATATCTCTAAGCCGATAAATATTTAACAATAGAACCTCGTAGTGTTCCGTTAATCTAGGACAATAAAAAAGAGTCAATTTAAAAACATTTACAACTTTTGTTGAGTTTTCCAATACGTAACAATAAGTAGTTATACCAGTGGTAGGACGTTTTGGGGTACCACCGTCCTGCCTATTCCTGCCGTGAAGCAGTAATGCGCTTCCGTTTGAAAGTTCGAGCAGGCGTTGTACTATAAAAACTGAGACTTTAGAACTCATGTTTCGAGTTGTGTGGCGGCATTTATACTGTAGATGTCAATGGACTCCTGCAACCACTTAACACCAGGTGGGTCGTGAGCTCATTCATTGAAGCAATACATAATTGTAAAAAGACATGCGTTAACAAAACCGACTTCAAATAGAAAATAAAAGATACTCTAAAACAAATTAATATGCACTAAAAACAATAGCCATCAATATTGGTTGGCGTGTGAGTTATTGAGTTATTCATCCATTTGTCGCGCACGTACTTCATGCAAATTTAAAACTTATAAGGTTTTCTCATGGATACCATTATAAGAACATACTAAATTGAAATGGGACTACACGGGAAGCGTCAGCTTTCGAATAATAAAAAAGTAATCATCTAAATCGATTCCCCCATTCAAAAGTTATGAGGTAACAAACATAAAAAAAACATATAGTCGAATTAAGAACCTCCTTCTTTTTTGAAGTCGGTTAAAAAATAAATAAAAGTGCAGTTCAGAGTTTCTCCACTCCTGCGTATAGATAGCGCTGTCCCATATTTTCTTACAACTCAATGTTGAAGTTGTCGAAATAAGCTGTTAAAAATATATTATTTCCTTCCTCAGTTCTGGGAAATAATTTCGGACGAGCACGGGATCGACACGACTGGACACTACCACGGAGAGAGTGACTTGCAGCTCGAGAGAATCGGTGTTTACTACAACGAAGCTGATGACGGTTCGTATCGATACAACAAGACTGTATTAGAAAAGCTATTATTAATGTGTTTTATTTATATTTCGCATTTTCCCTCTCTTTATTTCATTCAGAGCTTCAACCAACTGGTTGCTTAGATAGCGGTGATCCGTTAAGAAAATAAGCTAATCAATTGAATTTTTTTTATTGCTCAGGTGGACGATCTCACAGCCCACCTGATGTAAAGTAATTACTAGAGCCCATAGAAATTTACAACGTAAATGCGCCACCCACCCTGAGATACGAGTTCAAAGGTCTCAGTATAGTTACAACGGCTGCCCCACCCTTCAAACCGAAACGCATTACTGCTTCACGGCAAAAATAGGCAGGGTGGTGGCACCTACCCGTGCGTACTCAACATGTCTTTCCACTAGTAATCCTTATCTTGTAACAGTGCTTGCTCAAATTTGATTTTGCAGGCAAGCGCTTCGTGCCTCGCGCCGTTCTGGTGGACCTGGAGCCTGGGACCATGGACGCCATCAAGTCCTCGACGTACGGAGCGCTGTTCCGGCCGGACAACTACGTGTTTGGACAGAGCGGGGCAGGTGAGGACAGTGGGGAACCTTTATCAACATGTGGTTATGGTTAGGTTGAAGGTTGCTGGTAGGATCCACTTCTGACCCAAGTGGGTGTCGCCAGACACAAACTGTTTTTTCCCTGCCTAATCGTTGATAGCCTAAGGCGCTATTGCAACTGCACGCGGATTGGTAGGCGAGGTCACGGGTTCAACCTGAGGGTATTGCTAACACTAGCCCTAGCCAGCGCAGTGCTTCGCTAAATCTATCACCGGATCGGAATGACGACCCACTGAGAAGATCCGGCGAGAAACTCAGGGAGCTGTTTCGAACTGGATTAGTTCGCACGTCCAACTCTTCGTCGTATTTGATGAGTTAGAAAACTATCAGCTTAATAGATACGTATAGTAAACTAAAAAGATGATAATCAAAACCCGCACAAGCTTCCTCTAATAGTGGATAGTGAACGAAAATGAACTGAAAGCAGGGACTGGAAAAATACATTGCAAATTACAAATACACTGGCATTGCTGAAGTCCATGGGCGACGGAAACCACTCACCATCAGGTGGGCCGTATGCTCGTCTGTCCACAAGGGCAATAAAAATAAAAAAAATAAAAACATTAAAGTTATAAAATAAAAACATAAAAAAATACTAAAAAACGGAACTTCATAAATCACTTTACACTTATCTATGTAATACTAAGCAATGCCGGGATGTGTTCACTCTAAAACCTGACGTGTTTTACTCTGCGTTATCTTTATTGGTTATCGCACGTATAACAAAAGAGCGACTATATTCCAGGGAATAACTGGGCTAAAGGTCACTACACAGAAGGCGCTGAGCTGGTGGAATCCGTGCTTGACGTCGTCAGGAAGGAGGCCGAGGGCTGCGACTGCTTGCAGGGTAATGTATTCAGCGTGTGGGACGCGCGTCAGCCTGCTCCTCCGTTATAATAGAGGATGAACCTCCAAGGCCTCATGCACATCGCTTTGAATACCCTTTTTTTCATATTATGCTGATAGCCTTGATAGGCCATTCGAGCGTAACAAGTAGGTGAGCTCACGGGGCTCAAACCTGACAACGTTGCTTACACGAACCCTAGCAAGAGCAGTTCTTCGCAGAATCTACCACCGGATCCGAATCGCGACCCATTGAGAAGGTCCGGCGAGAAACTCAGTGTGCTGTATACAAATGCGAGAAACTGCTTTTATGTGTGTGTGCAATTTTTAGCCAACTTTAATTAGTTAACATTTCACAGGCATGGCTGCTAACTTCATAACGCAAAAGCTAACTACTAGGCTTACTTATTTCGGTTTTACTTTTTTACAAAAAAAACTGTAACACTGTCCACAAACAATTGGAGGATATGTGGTTTGATTCCAGGCTTCCAGTTGACCCATTCCTTGGGAGGGGGGACGGGGTCCGGCCTTGGAACCCTCCTCCTCAGCAAACTCCGCGAGGAATACCCCGATAGGATTGTCAACACTTTCAGCGTTGTACCCTCGCCGAAGGTCAGTTAATGTCACGGCCAAATAAAAATGTTGCATCAGCTCCCAAACTGTTCTATTTTATAAACTGAGATAAGAAAATGAGCAACATAAATGTCATCATCCAGTTTGTAACCTCAATTACTGTAGTACCATGACTCAGGTCGATGTGAAATAGTTCCCTTGGCGTTGCTGAAGTTCATGAGTGCCGGTGGCACGCGCGGCCATTGCTCGTTGACAGCTGTCACTTTTGACAGGTGTCAGATACCGTCGTGGAGCCGTACAACGCGACCCTCTCCGTGCACCAGCTGGTGGAGAACACGGACGAGACGTTCTGTATCGACAACGAGGCGCTCTACGACATCTGCTTCAGGACGTTAAGGCTTGCCTCACCCACCTACGGCGACCTCAATCACTTAGTTTCAGTGAGTCTTCATGTGTAAGGATAAAGTGTGGTCCCGAGCACTGCGACTAACTGTAGCGCGCAACGGCGGAGTCTCTTGTACTGGGATTGGACTTGTATATTGTTACGCGCTAGGGTTCGGGATAAATAATATTAATTAATAAAATGAATAATATAAATTCTACCAAAGTACAAATTAGAACACACACAGAATACTTAAAAATTCTTAATTCACTTCTGTGATCCGTTCGCTGTTTCGCTTCCAGTAGTTCCGATTTCTAGGTAACTTCGTGCCATCTCTGCAACGCTTTTATAGTCGATACGACATTCCTAGAATTATCGAGAACATTCCTCACAAGTCGGGTATTATAGTTACCGACGTCACAATATTATTACTTCAGTATTACGAAAAGATCTTCGTCTCCGCCGGTTGGACGTTCACTGTACAGCCTTGAGCCATACGATCAAAGCTAAATACCTTAACAGATACGTCATACATTAAAAGGTAGGCACTTTTTTCTAAATTAAAATCCATTGGTAGAAAAGATCTTGCGAGTCTTTGTTTCCCACCGGCAAGCTCGGCCCAAACGTGCCCATCTCCATGAGATACAGCTGTGTTAGCGAAACTCTATTCGAACGTGCACGTGTCAGTGCACATGCATAGCTCAGAGAAGACTTGGTCTGGTTATAAAGCAATTTGTGACTGCGTGTTTCTAGTTGACCATGTCCGGGGTGACCACTTGTCTTCGTTTCCCGGGACAGCTAAACGCGGATCTACGGAAGCTGGCTGTTAACATGGTCCCGTTCCCGAGGCTACACTTCTTCATGCCTGGTGAGTAGTGCGGGACTAGCGGGCAGGTGAAGGTCGGGTGTGACTGTCAACTGGATTGTTTCTCGTCAGGTTTCGCTCCACTGACGGCTCGTAATAGTCAAGTGTACCGCGCCCTGACCGTCCCAGAGCTGTCACAGCAGCTGTTCAGTCCCGTGAACATGATGGCGGCCTGCGACCCTCGGCACGGGAGGTACCTCACAGTGGCCGCCATATTCCGCGGCAGGATGTCGATGAAGGAGGTCGACGAGCAGATGCTGGCCGTTCAGGATAAGAATTCGAGGTGGGTGACGATGGTGGTAGGTGGGTGGCGGGTGTACAGTCCCGAACGATAGTGTCATCCGTGACCGTTTGTCGAGCAGCATCATGCACTTAGCGTGACGCGTACAGTCCTCGTAGTTCGCGGCCTTGCCGAATGTGAGTGACTGAGTGAGCATTTGGATGTAAGGAATCGAGTCAGGACTTTTGTCCGCGATGAACTCTGAAACCAACTATCTGTTTGTGACGTTTTTCTTTCAAAACGTGTGCCTTGTTCCAACTTGAGATATAAGATAGTTTTTATGTGTACGAATCCCGCAGGCGGGTACCAAGTTTTCTGATGAAATACGTACTTAACAAATGTGCACGATTGACTTCCACGGTGAAGGAATAACATCGTGCAATAAAAATCAAACCCGCAAAATTATAATTAGCGTAATTACTCGTGGTAGGACCTCTTGTAAGTCTGCGCGGGTAGGTACCACCACCCTGCCTATTTCTGCCGTGAAGCAGTTATGCGTTTCGGTTTGAACGGCGGGACAGACGTAACTATACTGAGACCATAGAACTTATGCTCAAGGTGTTAAAAGTGAGACCTTAGAACTCATGTCCCAAGGTGGGTGGAGGCATTTACGTTGTAGATGTCCATGGGCTCCTTAACCTTAATTAAACCTTCACCCGCCGAACACTCCTTCCAGTTACTTCGTGGAGTGGATCCCTAACAACGTGAAGGTGGCGGTGTGCGACGTGCCGCCGCGCGGCGTCAAGATGGCCGCCACCTTCGTCGGCAACACGACCGCCATCCAGGAGATATTCAAACGGATCTCGGAGCAGTTCACGCTGATGTTCAGGAGGAAGGTAGGCGCGAGTCACCAGCACCGAACTGCGGTGTTGGCTGCTGCCCGCGGACCACTTCTACAGTGAGCGGCTGGATATTGGAGTACATAGAGGAACCCGCAACTGTAGTATTGTAACGAGAGGAAATGGTGCCTGTCCACGCTCAGGACAATTATTAAGTCGGTGTTGTAGTAGTGAATGATATAGAATCTACTTTTAGTTCGACAATAGTAGTTAGGTAAAACATTAGAAAAAAAAGGCGCCAAATCGTGTTTTTTTTTTAAGGGATTTTGAGTTTGATTTTGATGACCTGGTAACTGAGACCTTTAAGTCATGTCTTATTTTAATTTATATTCATATTTTTATGAAAAATGATAATAAGGAGTGAAATGAAATGAAGATGATTAATTTGAGACATTAATCAACTGTTATGAAATTAAATGATAGAAAATGAGATGATGGGATGAAATATAATCTCAGTAAAATGGTAGTCATTTACTAAGATTTTTTCAGTGGACTTTTTGGGGGATCCCGAGAAGTTACGTCCAGCGGCTTTGTTTCATTTTCCCACATTTGTGCACTTTCACAGATATTAAACAGTAATAAACCACCATTATTACACATTTAAACCCGAAGAAACACTAAATAGACAAAATAAAACAAATCATACAACTTCACTCCTCGCGTTCCCGCCAAAAAATCCCCCAAAGTCGTGATTGAACGAAAAATGCACAGATAATACAAACAAATTAGGATATGCGTTCCGTTTGACGTTGTGAATGAAGATCTTGAACAGTGACTATTACTGCTGCGGGTTTAAATTACCTGATGTCTCAAAGTAGGCTGCGGCATTCGCATGATGTCCATGGACCCTGATAATCACTTAAGATTATAAAACAAAATAACCTTCACGTGGCTTACAAATAACTATGGTTGATGACAGTTTGTAAAACCCTCGCATGTTTCCGAAGGCGTTCCTGCACTGGTACACCGGGGAGGGGATGGACGAGATGGAGTTCACGGAGGCCGAGAGCAACATGAACGATCTCGTCTCCGAGTACCAGCAGTACGAGGTGAGCTCGCGCTGCACTTGAGGGTCACACGGCCGTCGGTAACTCGACGTTTTAGCCAATCTATTTTCATTTTTAATTACCCAGATATTTATTTAGACAAACGACCCGACGACCCGCTTCCAGCGGCTACCGTCCCTCTGCACTGGGGCGGCTTCATGAGAACGAAACAGATGATGGACCACAATATTGAATCGCACTTTTTTTACTTACCTATGCCGATAGCCTTAAGAGGCTATATCAGCGTAACCGAACGAGTAGGTGAGCTCACGGGGCTCTAACCTAGCGAAGTTGTTAACACTAGCCCTAGCAAGAGCAGTAACGATCCGATCAGCCATAATGCATTGCAGGAGGTTGGCGTCGACGACGGAGACTTCGAGGACCAGGAGGAAATACCAGAGGAGGACTATTTAGAAGAAGCCTAACCAGGACGCAGCCCGGAGACCAGTCTTGGCGGCCTCCTCGCGTGACGTCATAACTCTCAGACGACCGACCCATAGACAGACGCACGTTTAGCCACGTGTTGCGTCCAATTAAAATGTAAATTATAATCATTAAACTGTACAGATTGTTTTAATTCCATTGTATCCTCAACTTTAGGTTCTGTTATCAGCGCCGTGTCGATTGCTGCTAAGTTTTTGAAGTGAAACTTCTTTAGGCGCGTTGAGGATGAAATTTAATTCGCGACAGATTCGTTACTGCTAGAGAGAAAAGATACAATTTAAGAAGAGTGAGAGTGAGAGAATAGACTCGACCGCGAAACACTCGACCGCGGAGAGAGGGAGAGGACAAAGCGAGCTAGATCGTCTCTCTTATATACAGCATTCCCTATTACAAGAGAAATTTGATTTAAGAATGAAAAATAAACAAAACCACAATACTAAACACTGCAAAAGAAGTTTCACTTCTTTCACGTACAGCAAGTTGAACGCGCACCATTTTAATTGCTCCACGTTTGGGATTTATCCTTCGTTTTCGAAGTAAACCTTTACGCACGCTTGACTTAGGGAGCAAGTTGGTGAATGCGTGACGGGAGCGTTACGAAAAATGTGATCGGAGGAGACGAACGGAAGTTGAGAGGGAGATATATGATAATGAAGGCAGGAAGAGAGACAATTATGTTTCGTATATCTAAGACACAGTGTAGGCCTATTGTCTTTATCACACTGTAGGGACAAGAGAGAGACAAAATACATATTCATAACGGTTAATAAAAGTCAAAATATCGTTATTATTTATTTATTTAATTACACTTTGAATCGATTGGAAATAAATATTTATATTGTTGACTTGTGTAATGAGTAATATGTACATTAGAGGGTTTCACAGGCGGTCCCCCACAGTGGGGCGATTGGGAAATTCAGTTCAGTTAATTGTCATAAGCTACTCAAGTAATTTTGGTAAAAGTTTCAATATAATATGTTATATGTGTGTGTTGTTCCTGTCTCCCTCGGTTCCCCACTCCGGGGAACATTTCCATTGGATGCGTCAGAGGGCGCGCGAGTAAGCGTCACTGGTGACGCAGTATCTGGTAGGGGGGCAGTGGGGGGTCACACGGGGGACTCCCCGATGCTAGTCTTGTACCGCTCTGTACAGTCCATAGTTAGTTTGGCGAGCTTCGTACTGTAAGAGGGTCGCTTGCTGATAGGGGGGGCGGCTAGGGGGCGGCGGCGCGGTACCTGCGGGGGCGGGGTCGCGCCGGGATCTTCATGTGCACGGTCCGCACGTGCGCCTTCATCTCGGCGCTGGTGGCGAAGCCCTTGTCGCACACGGAGCAGGCGTGGCGCCGGACCCCCGTGTGCACCTGGCGACACAGGAGCACGTGAGCGCGGCGTGACGATGAGGGGACCACTACAAGCGCTGTACTCACGAGGTGGTGTCTGCTCATCGCCGGGTACGTCTTGAACGTGTTGGGGCAGTACTTGCACTTGAAGGGCCGCTCGCCGGTGTGGATGCGCACGTGGTTCTGCGGCGGACCAACGGGCGAGTCAGTGGAGGTGACCGATACCAATATCAAGATATTTGTATAAGTTAGTTTGAAGATCCGATGAGTTACTCAGTGCTGGTGTACTACTCCAGCGCCACTCACCTGGAGCTGCTCCGGCATGCGGAACCGCTTGGGGCACTCGGAGCACGCGTACGGCTTCTCCCCAGTGTGGATCCGCTGGTGGTACACCATGTGGTACTGGTCCTGGGGACGCAGCGAGCGTTACATCGAGACGAGCAGAGGTAAGGCTTAAATTCGTGCCATGGCAGTTCCACCTAGTGTGGCGGCAATTCGAATCGCCTGCCAGGATGACAGAGTCTCCCATGCCGATGTCACTGTTCCGGAGGGGTTTGTCGGGAGGGAGGTAAACGGATGCGATGACGATCGGCTGGTATCCCGTCAGCGAGATACGACACATTTACGCCTCGATGTGTAAGAGGAATCTAGCGTGGACTGAGCATTGGGAGGTCAAAGGGCACTTTTGGAAGCTTTTATTAAATATCAAAGCTCATTTTGTAGTTGCCTATCGTTTGTTGAGATTAAAATTCGCTTTTGAGGTCAGATGTTACTTAAGGTCATGGGGTCAGGAGGTCACTGTACTCACCGCTATTATCTTCCCACAGATGTGGCACATGGCGGGCGCTACCTGTAATGTTTAAATAGATTTTTTAAATATTTCAAATGCGCATGAGAGTGCGACCCCCCCCGGTCCCCCCGCCCCGCCCCCACCTTCATGTACCGCTTCCTGCCGGGCGGCGCGTCGGCCTCGCCCTCGCTGTGCTTCTCCAGCAGGTGGTTGTTCAGCTTGCTCTCATGGCTGAACGTCTTGTTGCACTGGAATATCAATATTTGTCGAGTCATGTCTACGTGGGACACAGCACGGCACTGTGGCTGAGGGCGGCTCACCTGCGCGCAGGAGTACTGCACCTTGTGCACGGCGAGCACGTGGTCTCGCAGCGCGCGCTCCCCGTCGAACCGCTGGGCGCAGTGCACGCAGCACGCGCCCCCCGCGCACCGCGCCGCCCCCGCCGGTCCCCCCGCCGCGTGCCCCCCCGGCCCCCCCGCGCCCCCCGCCGCGTGCCCCCGCGCCGCGCGCTCGCTCAGGAACTGCGTGCCGCACTCGGCGCAGCGCAACGCCGCGGGCAGGTTCAGCACCTGCGGGGGTCCCACTTTGAGACTTAAAGGCTTCGTCAAACAGAACGCGTACTTAGCGCTGCGTTTTAACGTCGCGTTCTTTTTAGGTCACATAAATTGACTAGATGAGTCTAACGCTCCTTGACGCAACGCATTCGCCAAATCATAGTGCCTTTCGATAGCAGTGTGAAAATTTAAAAGTATTAAGATGTCGAGTGATTCAGATGTGGCATTGTATAAGCATGGGTATTTTCTAACTATTTATATCATTTTTTCGGGCATTAACTAGTATTTTAATACACATTCACTCGGACGCTAAAATAAAATTTGTAAAAAATTACAACGCCTGACGTCAACAGAGCGCTGCGTACTTATAGCGCTGGCGCTTTGTTTGACGGTATGTTACCATAGTAGTACAACACATCTAGGTGTCATAGCGCGGCGTTAGTTTAGCGTTCTGACGCGCGCAAGTACGCGTTCTGTTTGACGAAGCCTTAAGGGTGAAGATTCAACCATACTACAGTGTTCAATAACAACTCATCGCGGTTGAACTAGGCGGGGTGGCGGTGACCCCAGTCCGTCACGCAGCGATACGAGCACGCCGGGCGTCTTACTCATGAGGCCACGACAAATTCACGGAGCAGTAAGTGCCTGCTCTTCCACCAGCATTATTTATTAACAACGTCACCTCTTTGTGGAGTCTCTCCATGTGAGTCTTGGTGCTGATGAAGGCGTCCCCGCATATCCTGCACCAGGGCAGCTCGGAGCCGTGCTTGCTGCGCACGTGCGTGTGGTACGTCGTGCCCTTCGTGCTGCAACAGCAAGGACTGAGCCCGCGCACCGCCGCACGTGCCGGCTCCGGGCAGGGGGGCCGCGGGGGCACAGGGGGCGGTGTGGAACTCACAGTGTTAAATGAAATCTATACTAATATTATAAAGAGGAAAGATTTGTTTGTTTGTTTATATTGAATAGGCTCCGAAATTACTGAACCAATTTGAAAAATTCTTTCACTGTTTGGAAGCTACACTATTCCCGAGTGACATAGGCTATAATCTTTTTTGAAAAAAATTAGGAATCCTTACCAAAACTTAAATAATGTAACCCAAGGTGTAAAAAAATTACCTACAATATTCTTTACATCGCCTGCCCTGCGAAAACTATTATTTAAAAAAATAAAACAACGTCAAATATCGTTGAAATTTATGTTAAAGACCTGAGCGGAGCCGGAGCAGGCCGCTTGTTACGTTAATAAATGTATTTATGAGGCGAGGACTGTGTCTGAACAGCATCGCGAGGTCACAGGGACCGAACGTGAAGGCGAATTACTGGAAGACGCTATCAGTGTTTGAGGATCATGACGCCGTGTTCTAGAAGTGTACGGGAACATAGATGGCGGCTCGGAGGTCGTAGAGCCGTCCCGCAACTTGAGACATGAGGTGCGACCATTCAAACCGGCTCTGAATATCGACAAGTCACATTGGGGGTCCTGATATGAGATCTTCACGATTTCAGACCCTACTGCTTCTAAATTTGTATTAGTTATTGCAACAATGATAAGCTAGCTCTTAATCCATTTAGTGCTAAATTGTCAGCGCGGTACACCTGGCTCCAGCTGCAGACACGAGGCCGCAGTGCCATTTGCCCTACTGCTTCACGGCAGTGTGACCGGTGCGGTGGTACCTGCCCTTGCGGAATCACAAAACACCTTAGCACCAGTCATTGCATTTCCCTAAATCTACATCTGTTATACCTTCATGGAAGTCTTCTGTGAATATCCTTAGAACGATGTATACATATCTGCGGGACTCGAAGGACCCCGCTGACTGCAGGAGGACATGAGGATAAGCTACTCACTTGAAGACCTTCCCGCAGTACTTGCACTCGAACTTCTGCGTGTGCATCTTGGAGTGCTGCACCGCGTGCTCGCTGCAACATCACAACCACTTCAACGTGATGAGAGCAGCACGGGGACCAAGTTCTGACCGGCACCTGAGCACAGGGCTGCGGCCCAATGCCTTGTCCCATTGCCGCCACACCAACAAGACGAGCTCTTGCCTCCACAAGTAAAGATAACACGACACCTTCCTACTGGTCATTCTTTTTTCTTTACCTATTCTAGCAACCTCGAGGGTTTATACTAGATTCACCGAGCGAGAAGGTAAGCTCACGGGGCTCTAACCTTACGATGTTCCTAACACTGGCCCTAACAAGAGCAGTGCTTCGCAAAATCTACCACCGGATCGGAAACACGACCCACTGAGAAGATCCAGCGTAAAACTCAGTGGGCTGTGTCTATGGGTTAATTTGCTCGCCGAACCCTTCGTGATGACTGGTGTTTGGAGCACCTAAAACCACCGTTAGTGAATTGGGAGGATCCGGAATGACGTGTTGGTCATTCGAGGTCAGAAGTCACTCACCGCATCCTCGTGGTGATCCCGCAGGCCCGGCATATGTACTTGTACTTGTGGTGCCTCCGGTAATGCCCCGACAAGTTCGACCTCTCCTTGAACCTGAACTTGCAATACTCGCAGACGTGCTCCAGATTCTACCGGCGAGAGAGGAGTTTCAGGTTAGTGATGCACACACAAACCCTCGACAACTTTGTCTAGTCCTTCTCCTGATTCCTCTGGTTTTTATTGCTTAGATGATTAGTGAAGCTCATAGTTCTCATAGCTGGCGGTGGTACCTATCCATACGGACTCACAAGACGTCCCACCACCACAAATAAGTAGAGTACTCCATATCAGTCAGAGGGCTGGTAGTGGGCGCACTGGTAGCTACCAGATAGGCACCCCCCATCCCCTAAGACAGCTTTTTTCGAGCTTTAATGTAGTACCATCCAATTCAAAAAGCACGAGATAGGAGCAGAACTAGAGACAACGTAATGAACCGTACTTACAACATCATGTTTATCTTTGACGTGTCTCTTCAGCGTATCCTCGTGTATGAACCCCTTGTAGCACTGCTCGCATTTGTTATGGGCCCTCAAGTACTTCTCGCTGTTCCTCCTGTCCGTCATCTCCTGGTACTCGTCTTCCTTCCTCATAACGACGATGTCCACGTCGTACCGCTCCGAGAACTTGGCCCTGTCGGCGGGGTCCGTATAGAGATTGTTCACCCTGCTCTTCTTCGGTTTCAATTTCTCCGTTTTGATCGTGCTCAGAGGCTGCAAGTCTTCGACGTCAAACGAGAACTTTCGCTTGGACTTTTTAAGCTTCTTCTTTCGTTCCGGACTGGGAGGGGGCTCTTCGTAGATCATGTCTTCTTGTGGTGCTTCTATCGATGGTTCCTCCTCGATTTCCGGGTAGGCAACGTTCGTTGGAGACGTTTGATTGCATGGATTGAGACGGTGCGTCAATCGGTCTACTGTTGATATGCTGTCCACTGTTAGCTGACGAATTTAAGCAAATATGGTTTAGATTGAACATTGGATAACATTATCCGTAATAAAGTATTCCTAATGTGAATAAGCCTGATTCATAGCTCAGATTATGAAGACAAAGGCAAACATGAAAGTAATCTGTTAATTCAGATAACACAAACTCATAATCAAGTATGCGTTTTTTTTATTGTTTAGATGGGTGGACGAGCTCACGGCCCATCTGAGGTATCATCCAAGTATTTACCGGAGCCCGTAGACATCTACAACGCAAATGACGCCACCCACATTGAGATATAAGGTCTCAGTATAGTTACAACGGCTGCCCCACCTTTCAAACCGAAACGTATTACTGCTTCACAGCAGAAATAGGCAGGGTAGTGGTACCTACCCGTGTGGACTCACAAGAGGTCCTGCCACCAGTAATTACCACCACCACCCACATTTTTATTAAGTTTTGTTTTGCTTATTACCCATAAATTACACAGCACAAGAATAGGTAACTTCAGTACATGTTGCAAGAATTTATATACGTCAATAGATTTGATTGTGTATTCCCACTTGTGTTCGGCACAAACCAAAATCTGACACTTTTATGCCATTACCGCTCATAAACATGCACATACCAAAAGAATTCACACTTCGCATGGAATGAATAATTTTCATTTGTGTACATCTCACAGGACCGCAATGAATGTTATCTTTTTTTTTTTTGCTTAGATGTGTGCACGAGCTCACAGCCCACCTGGTGTTAAGTGGTTACTGGAGCCCATAGACATCTACAACGTAAATGCGCCACACACCTTGAGATATAGTTCTAAGGTCTCAGTATTGTCACAACGGCTGCCCCACCCTTCAAACCGAAACGCATTACTGCTTCACGGCAGAAATAGGCGGGGCGGTGGTACCTACCCGTGCGGACTCACAAGANCCTGGTGTTAAGTGGTTACTGGAGCCCATAGACATCTACAACGTAAATGCGCCACACACCTTGAGATATAGTTCTAAGGTCTCAGTATTGTCACAACGGCTGCCCCACCCTTCAAACCGAAACGCATTACTGCTTCACGGCAGAAATAGGCGGGGCGGTGGTACCTACCCGTGCGGACTCACAAGAGGTCCTACCACCAGTAAATCTCTTGGTATCAGAGCCCAAGATAGTTGTTCTACATCATTCTATGCACAGTATTCAGTCACGGTAATTAGCAAGGACTAATTATTTATATCTCTTTACTTCAAACTGATACTCACAACCGGATTAACTTCTGCCAAACTCTGTAGGAGCATCTCGGCTTCGAGACATCGTCTTCTGAACGAGGTGTACTTGATAAGTAGGGCTCTACACATACTGCAGAGTTGCTGGGGACGATTTGGATCTGTCAACTGGAAAAAGCATTGGTTTACATAAAAATGTATAAATAATACATTTTAAAACTGACATTCAACCACACAAGGCTAAGATTTCTGTGTTGATAACAGGTACAAGAGTAATACAATGAATGCCAAATATCTTCAAATGCCTGATGTTAGGTTATTTTTATAATATTGTCCAGATGAGCTCACAGTCTGCTCAGTTTCAAATAATTCCCTACTGATCTGTTCTTTGAAGACATTCAGGCATTATGAGGTGTATGGGCAGCTTGCATTACTTATGCATTACATTAATTGTACTGTATTAGTTTGTTTCTAGTGTATGATTTACATAAATAAATTAAGAAAAATCATAATTATTATCATGTTATGTAAAGTTTAAGATGCAAAACATAACTAACCAATATATTCAAAATTGCCATCCAAATGACATGCGACTGATCTAATCACAGCACAGTCAAAGTTTTCATAAAAAAAATTGATTGCACCACATGAAGTATATAAGCCCCACAATTTAATGGAATCTATTTGGATCAGAGTCAGTGTAGGGAACATGTGTTGTAGGGAACAGTGTAGGGATTCATGCTACACAGTAGGGAATATGTTAAGTGGTTTAAAGAGCCCATGGATATGATGCCCAGTATCAGAGGTCTTGTACAATTCCAAGCCAGATCGACTGAAAATATGAACATTTTGAATGACTCTGTTAGATTTAATACAAATAAGTGATCTTGGCCTTGATCTACTCTCCTATCCACTTACATTACTTCAAAACTTATATACATCAATGGTACATGAATGAATAAGTACACATTAAGATAATGAGATAAATGTTCCTGAAAAAGTTCCTCCAAATTCCCGGCACGAAGCCAGTAGGCGGCGTTAATGCACGAATTTATTGTCAACTAATTATAATTAGTCGCCGAACACTCTATGCACATTCTGTTTCCAAACTTGGTCTGCAAAAAAAGGAACTTGCCTCAATTCCGGTGAGCAGTGAATAAGGCTCCGCCAGTCCGTACTGGTGCATGTTGTACAGCCTGCCCGTCCCTAAGCATCCCCTACAGCACATCAGTTCGGATTTTATCTCGTGTTTCGGCATAAAAATCGCGTTTTGAGTATCGTTCCACATAATTAAGGTTTAAAAACGTTTTTTAAATGAATCTAACCGTGTGAATGAATTAAATGAATGTCTAATATGTCTTCATAATGGACTTTCAACACTTTGTAATTCTTCTAGCGTTTTTTATACATTTGCTTAATTTCCAAGTAAATCGACAAAATTCTTCGATTAGCGTAAACACACTGACTGTCAGACTGATATGTTCTAAAACCATGACTTTAAATTATTTTTTTAAAACCTTGGAGTGAGCTTGTCAATTTTGTGTGCTTCAAGATAAAATAAATCAGAAACACTAACATTTGAACGCACTATGTTTAAGTATGGCAAGTGGCTTCTGTTTTTACGATTTGTTTACGGCTTACGGTTTCTTGACCTTATAGCTTAGCTTAAATATAATTCGTTATATTATTATATACGTAAAATTTTACAATATTCTTTTATACGAAAAACAATATGAAACGAAATGATATTAAGTTGATTTATTTGAGACCGCAAACAATTGGGATGAAATAAAATGAAACGAGATTAGATGAAATAAAGAAATGTTTCGGTAAGGTGGTGGGTGGTGGTTATTTACTAAGTTTAATGGACTTTTTGGAGGGGTCCAAGAAGCCACAGTTTCTTACATTTGTGCACTTTGACGGACGCTAAGCAGTTTTTGAGCACGCCACAATAAATGTACTTTTAAAAGTGAATAAAAACTAAATTAACAAAACGTTATCATTAGCATAACTTCCTTTTCATCTCCCGAAGCGAAGCGCTGCACTTGCTAGGGCTAGTGTTGGCAAATTCTCTCAAGTTGAGCCCGTGAGCTCACTTACTCGTTCGGTTACGCTGGCATAACCATCTAAGGTTACCTACCTACCTATAAACCTAACCAATCCACGGGGCCGTCCTCCAGCCAACAATTAAAATAACATAAAAAATAAAACAATATTATATTTTTCCATTTTAATTATCAACACGTACAAATTTCCTTTAACATTTTACATAATAATAATTTAAACAATATATACAATACATGACAATATATACATTGTTCAAGCATTTCCCGAACATCTGAAGGCTCCTCATCATCGCGCGATCCACGCGTTCGATTGAACTCATTTATATACGACTTTACGTCTCTGGCGTTAATATTCATATTGCGTTGTGTTTGATGCGAAGCGGTAATGCAGGTACAGGGCGGCTTGAGGCGACCTCACGACTTCACGTCAGCACCCCTCGTAATTCTCGGTCTTCATATCGTTGAGCCCCAGCTCCTCGTTCTGTTCGAACGTGCGCACGTACCGCTCGACCTTAAGCCCTGAAATGATATTCAATAGTAAATGACAGTGGGTCCCCGGGGGGCGCAGCTAAGTAAGGAGGGGGGCCGGCGGGCTCACCGTCGTCGGGCGTCAGGGGGTCGTCGGCCAGGCTCTGCACGTACGAGTTCCCGGCGGGGTCGTCCAGCACCACCGTCACCGGCTCCTTCAGCTCCAGCACGTCGGTGAGCCGCTCAATGAACCTGCGAGTTATAATTACGTACGTAAAACAATAGAACTTGGGGTCTTGTATCGTGAGGTCTGGTCGCTGCGTACCGCTGCAGGGCGGGTTGCGGCGCGCTGTCCCCGGTGAGGGCGGGGCAGTGTCGGAGCTGGTCCCGGGTGGCGCGCAGCAGGCCCTCGGCGGTCGTGAAGCGGCCCCCCAGCGCGCGGCCCCCCACCTCCAGCTCCAGTGACGGGATGCTCATGCTGCACGTCTCCGACTGTCGGCGGCACATGCAACACGACGTTTACTATCTAGTACGGCTCATCACACATATGAGTCGTCTATTATCAAAGGTGGAAATCTGTGCATTTGGACAAAAAAATGTTATTGATATGTCAATACAGATTGATTTGAATATAATCGTCTCCTTCAAAGAATACGGTTCAAAACCTGCATTAAATAAAGGTTAATACTTAACCTGTTATTTATCTAAGATGTCGTTCCGAAGAGTTTTGTGACTGCCAATGGAATACAAAGTCAATAATTCGTTTTTCTGATTTACCAATCATTGTCCAAAAGTCAGATTGCCGCCTTTGATAATAGTCGACTCATATATGAGTCGTCTATTATCAAAGGTGGCAATCTGTGCATTTGGACAAAAAAATGTTATTGATATGTCAATACAGATTGATTTGAATATAATCGTCTCCTTCAAAGAATACGGTTCAAAACCTGCATTAAATAAAGGTTAATACTTAACCTGTTATTTATCTAAGATGTCGTTCCGAAGAGTTTTGTGACTGCCAATGGAATACAAAGTCAATAATTCGTTTTTCTGATTTACCAATAATTGTCCAAAGTCATATTGCCGGCTTTGATAATAGTCGACTCATATACAAGAAGCGTCGAGTCCAAATATCGTCTCTGTCGCACCCTTCAAATGTTGATACTCCTGATCGAATTGAAGCAGGAATTCACTGAGCGGTTGAGTACACTGTTCGCGTTCTCATAAGAAGACAGAATTTAAAAAAAGTCTGTTCCAGTCGCTTTGAAATAGTCACGCATTGGTAAACATGCGGAGCGCGGGACGTGAACAACCAACGATTAGTATTTACTGTGTTGTCTTTACTTATTTCACAGTTTACAAAATTTATCTTACCACTCGTATTGGAAACATATGACTATATTATGATCCTCCGAGCCGACTTGTTTACGTACCTTGAGTATATCTCTGGAGAAGTCGTCTTTAGTGGCCACCCGGACCTCAAATCTCACGCCCATGTCTTCTATACCGCCACCGGATTTTACCTGCACAAAAACATATCACTGGCATTTGCAGCAATACGCGCAGAAATAGGCAAAGATAAGTACCATTCTGTTTATTTTTGTAAAAAAGTCGCGCGTCCCAGTTCTAACGGTGACCCCCGTGTGACGATAAGGCTGGTCCGCACATGTAGTTTCCTAACAAACCGACCTTGAGACGTGAGGCCAAACTCTCAATTGCATCAGAATGTCTCCCTCCCAAGTGAAGGCCTTTTCATCTCAAAACTATTTGACGCTTCGCATAAATATTATTGAAATGAAATCAAAACCTCAACCTAGTGTCTCAAAGCGCGTCCTATTTCAGTAGCACTACCACTAGCTAAGTTTTCGTCCTGCTGTAGCAGTAAGTCCTTCCTGTTGTGACTCTCGCATTACACGAGGACGTTGACTCGCAATAAAAATCGATCTACTCTCTTCATCTTCATATACCACTAGTGGTCCCCCCGGTCCCCCCGGGGGACGGCGGCCGAGGATGCTCACCTCGTTGGTCCGGTGTCCGCAGTAGTCGCACGTCGTCGCCATGATGACAACTTCCTTGAAGTGCGGTATTTCTGTGGGCAGGGGGACATTTAAACATACTGTTACGCGCTAGGGTTCGGGATAAATAGAATTACACCGAAGTAAAACTTCAAAACTGTATTCAACACTTAGAATACTTAAACACTTCGCAAACACTTTAAAACACTCAACAAACACTTTAAAACTCTCAATTCTCTTGTTCCGCTTCGCTTCAGGTGATCCGTTCGCTGTTTCGCTTCGAGTAGATCCGATTACTGACTGACTGCGTACCATCCCTACAACGCGATACCTCATCCCTAGAATTATCGAGAATATTCCACACTTCTCTAGTAGTAGTTTCCGTTATCTGACAATAGATGACGTTGCAATTCTCGAGCATTCTAGATCCTTCTATATTCGTTCGACTATTCGGCGATAGGTGGCGTTACTCTTACCGGCGTAACAATACGTCTACTGTAAACTAGTATTTTACTTCTAATGAGTATACCATCACAATAACTCACTGGTGATCTTCATATTGGTGTTCGCGGGCGAGTTGCAGTCGGGGCAGTTGGTCCTGAACTGCAGGACCTCGTCGGCCGTCATCTGCTCCAGGCTGCACTCGGCCGGGTCCGCCGGAGTCAGGAGCTTCTCCGAGAAGGGTGTCAGCGGGGTCGGGGTCAGGTCGTCTTGAACCTGAGGACGGATATAACGACACCACTGAGACAATTTCAAAACATACTCAGAAACAACCTCCTTTTTTGAAGTCGGTTGCGAATAATGAGGTCAATGACCTCGTGCGCGCCATAATTATCCTACATTGGACACAATTAAAACTACTTCAGTGTCAGTGTTCATCATATTGTTAATAACCGGCACTGACAGCGTTAATAACACAGTAGTTACTCCAGAACTCACCTCATCGTGCATGAAGATGCCCAGCTGGTGATTCTGGGCTTTGCTCCGTTTGAAATCGGTCCGTTCACAGCGAGGATCCTTCTTCGGCATTTGGGGGTTCTCGATGAAGCAATTCCCTGTTAAGACAGCTTCATTTGTAGTTCATAAACACAAAATGAATTGAACATTCTGCCTCACAGGAGATGTTAAGTGATTAAGAACCAACCTAAATTGAGGCTGAATGACTGTGCGTAATGTGTCCATTAAAAAAAAATTCCCTTCAAATCTTTGAAACCCCATTGAAACCTTTGTTCGGAATATAACTAACCGCTTATATCCTCAAGCTGTAGTGTCCAAGGAGTAGACAGATCCTTCAATGCTTGAAGCTTAGACACAAACTCGTCAATCTTAGCCGCCGCATCGGGATGCTGACTCCGTCTAGATTCTTGATCTTGATTCAGACCGGTTATAGCTCGAGATATAATTCCTTCGACAGTTGTCACCTCTGGAAATTTTCGTAATTTAAACACAGAACACTATCAGGAGACGAGTGAATGAGGTCACGGCCTGTCTGATATTAAGTGGTTATCTGAGTCCATAGTCATACCGACCATAGACATAAGACAAAGACATATGGTAAAAACTGGTTGGTGATAGTCATTCTAGATCATGTCTTCCGTCAGGTTTTTAATAACTTTAACTATATATTCGAGGGTGGTGGCATTGATCTAAGGGCGTCAGTAAGCACTTACACCGGGTGGCCGCAAGTTCCATCAAAAGTCATACTCGTAAGCAGTTTCCTACAAATCCATTCAAATTTCTACTACTATACTATACTTTACTATAATTAATCAATTGAATCATATTGCCTCCACAATCTCATAAAAGAATCTACCTTGCTACTTAGTAACGCTGATGATAGCACTGTTTCTACGATCAATTCTTTACAACTCTGTTTGTTTTAAGTGATTTGACTGATTCTTGTATACAATAAGGGTAGACAGACCGACTCACCCCCTTTCTGACTCTGTGCTGCTATCTCAAAGTCCAGCTCGGGTATCCTGACGCTGGTGTAGTCACTTTTGACCACTTGCCTGTTCAGATCCTGTTGGGATTCAACACGCAGCTTCCATCTGGAATAACAAACTCTTGGGTAAACATCTCATAGATTAATTGCATCATTATTTGCTGTATAAATGAAAGTATAAGGATACTATGTATGTATGTATCTATATATTAATACATGAAGCAAAAACGTTGTATACCTTTTTACGAAAATTGCGCGGACGGAGGAGTATGAAATTTTGCACACTTATAGAGAATATAGAGAAGAAGTGCATAACGCAAATATTTTTTTAAAATAATGCATAAAAAATACATTAAATCAATAAAGAAAACATTACACGCACCACATACCATGTATTTGACGCACACACGCATGCATACTATGTCAAACTTTTGTTCTTGATGTCTTGTCAAATTGAGAATAGATTAAATATTGTTTGCCTTTGTTAAAATTTTTTATAGTGTTGTAGTCTTGGTGAAATTTGAGATTATAGAAGTATAAAATACAATCATAATAGTGTACAAACTTAAAATTCCAATTAATTATAGTCGAATTTCGACTACTGCGGGACCTCTAGTTAATATTTAATTAGTAATGTTTGTAATTACAATATAGCACAATGATACAGAAATGATATTTATTTTGTGATGGTACACGTACTAACTGTTACATCAAAAATTACTTTGATTTGTTTTAATTGTTCATGAATTTTTGTAGACTCAATTGTAATATAATAAATCTATGTTTAGCTAAGACTGAGTTTAGAGAGACTCTGTTGTTCTTTAATAGACAACTATGTACAGGATATATCAGCGCTAAACACCCGCTCGTCTGACCAAGTCTGTTTGGTAGAGAATTCAAAAATACCTGACTCCGAACTCCTCATATTCTCCTCCTGGTTGAATCTCGTTGTTCTGATAGCCGCACTCCTCGCAAGAAAACGACATTATCACTACATTCTTGTAGTGCGGTATCCTGGTGAGCAATACCCTGGTCATACCCTGATGGCAAAAAATGGCAATTGGTAATGGTAATGTCACTTGGGTTATATTTATATTTCTTTTGTTATATTAAATTAGTACCAGTGTCGCAAAACAGATACTCAAAGAACAATTGTAAGCTATTTACAATTTTAAAAGTGGCTACAAATTACTAAAAAAGGTCACAGGCGGGCACATCACGATATTCAGCGATGAGCGATCGACTGAAGGAAGAGGGGGACCACACATGGACAGAACAATAAAGCTGATTTATAATATGTCGCCATCTAATAAACCAGTCATGGGCCATCAGATGTGATGGCTAAGCCACTGGCACTTAGTGCATAATATAGTCTGTCCAGGCATTGAACAAAATCATATAATTATATTTTTATGCTTTTATTATGTACTTTGTTTTTTTACAATTTTATATTATATATTCGATTGACATTAAGTCTGCGGCTTATTGCTTATGTTGGTGTTGCGCACGCGTCTGTGTCGCGTCTGTCTGTCTTCACGTTTTGTTCCGGGTCTCCCCGCGCTCCGCTTCCGCGTGCCCCCCACGTTTAGGTATCGTCGCCGACATAGTCCTTTAAGAGGATGAAAGGTGGTAAATAATTTCTTTAAGAAAATTTGTTTGTAAGAAATAATAAAAAAAATTTTTTTTTTTTTTTTTCGTGTCTCATAGCTTTGGCTATCTAAAATGCTTTATCAATTAAAAATCCTGTTTTTTCACTTTTACGTAATAAAATAATGTTATGAGTAAATGTTGCGTCTGTGGTATTTATTGAATCTCGGACATTCGATGAACTCTAATTATACTGCAACACAATAAAAGGACTTAAAGAGATTAGCTAGCTAGCGCGTAGCTGCTGTTGTGTCGAGCCTGAAATATCATGTTGAAACAGGAGAAACGGCGAAACCGGTAAAATTTATTAAACGTACGACACACTTCGACGTTCAGATTAAAATAACATTACAAATCTAAAACTCAATTAACTTGTTAAAAATCATTATAAAACACAAACCTCGGTATCGATATTAAAGTTTTGATTCACACGATTGATTTCTAATAGGATAATAATGGTTTTCGAGAAAAATCTCATGGTGCAGTTAAACTTACATTTGAATGACAATTTATGCAAAATGACTCGATTTCCGTGACTTCTGGGTCGGGGTCCTCGGCTGTAAGGTCTCTGAACATTGGTTTGAGGTTGGCGGAACACATTTTTGGAGACGAAAATCGAAGAAACAATACCGCAATGCGTATGTTTTCAAGTGCGTGGAAAGCAATGTCTCAAATATATTAAGTGTATAGTCTATGGGCAATGTGAAAATGACAGACAACAATGACAATAATGACAGTAGTAGTAGTTATATTTTTCCAAATGGTAAGGCAGTAGTATCATACTATATAGTCTAATTTTTTATATATTTTTTTTATGAAATATAATAGTATGAAATGAAATGAAGTTGATTAATTTAGAACAATAATAAATTGCTATGAAATGAAATGAGATGATATGGGATGAAATATAGTCTCACTAAAATAGTGATTATTTACTGAGACTTTTTCAGTGGAGTTTTTGGAAGATCCCGAGGAGCTACGTCCAGCGGCTTTGTTTCATTTGTGCACTTTCACAGATACTAAAAAGTTAATAAGCCACCGTTATAACAGATTTATACCTGAAGAAACACTAAATAGACAAAATAAAACAATTCAAACTTCGCTCTTCGCGTTCCCGCCAAAAAGTACAAGTCGCTGACAAATGGAAATTACTAGTTTGCTTCGCTCATTGGATAGGCAAAGAAATACGTACGTGACACCCAAAACGTGGATAAGTAAGAAGACTATTTTTTTTAAATGACTATGTCACGAAAAAAATTATCTGATATAGTAATAACTCAGGATAAAATTGAATAAGATCGAATGGAATAAAACGAGATGAGATGAAATGAAACAGTGTTTCAGTAAAATGATGGAAATTTACTGAGACGTCAGTGTACTTTTTGGATAATCCCAAGAAACCGCATCCAGTGACTATATTTCATTTCCCCACTCTTGTACCCTATCACTATACTGCATTAATAATTCACCATTAGACGTTTAAATCCAAAAGAAACAATAAAATAAAAACCCAAACTATTTCACACGGCCTAACTACTCGCGTACCGTTGCAAAGAGTCATAGACCCCGATATGTGTATAATTTGTAATAGAAGATATCGTTTTGATAAAGGCAATCTATTACATAATTTGTACATTTTATGAAATGCACGATCACATTTAAATTGTAAAACAAATATTGATAGATGGCAGCACTGTAAGCATCTGTTTTCCGACCATAAGATGACGATACTTTAAAATATATCGTTGCTCTGTTATGAAAATGGTATCGGTCGATATCTCAACTACATAATATTATTATATCGGCATAGCATTCCTTCAGATGTTTGAAGTAAACCTTAACTTTTCTTTGTATAGGAATTAGTTTAAGAAAGTAGTACAAGATGGCGCTATTCTAAATTTTCTAAATATACAAATAACAATTTTTTAAATTTTTGTGATAATAAAGTAGCAACTGAGGTGAAGGTTCAACAAGTCTTGAGTATTTGAGACGTTGCTTTTAATTAGCCACATACTTGCAAAAAAATGGAGTAATCCCGGACTGCATACATAACTGTCTTCTTTGGCCTTTTAGCGTTCTGCCAGTTTAAGTAACTAATTTATAGTGAAGCCTGCAATGCGTTACAGTCGACTTGAAAAAATATTAAGCTGGTTGTCCGGGTTTTTGTGTCTAATCGCTCCAAGACGGAAGTAAAATCGCATTCAATGTGTATTTTAGTACTTAAAACGCATTTTTAACTTTATTTTCAAGGTTCAATGATGTCACCGAAGTCGGCGTGACCTCGGAGCGAGGAGCCGATGACGTAACGTAAATATTTCGGTCGATTTCATAAAGATTCATTGAACACAGCTAAATTGAAAAGTAAATAGTTATTTTCGGTATCAAATTTCAGTAAAAACACATGAGATAAACTTTTTGTGGAAATGTAAGCTTTATTCCGATAGTCGAACGGATAAATTTGCGCGTCGTTCTGACATTGTGTCAAAATATCACGTTCGAAAACAGCTGAACGTTTTTGATTTTATTTAAAATGTAATCGGGTACTAATGTTTTTAAAAATAATATTTAATTTCTTTTTATTAATCATTATAATAGTTTTTATCTTTTAAGAGCTTGTTCTAAAGATTTTGAGGGTGGCGGATATGATATTTACACTAAGCGTAACATTCTTATAGGCAGAACAAAAACCTGATAATTCATATTTAGCGTAATTAAAGAGATTCAATATGATAAAGCTAGTAATTTAACTGTCTTTAGATAGTGAATGTTAGGTTTTGCGTGTTTCAGGGAGAAAAATATGGATTTTTTATTTGACAAACGAAATAATGTTTCCGAACGTAAATGTGTTTTTAATTTAGCCGCGTAGCGCGTGGCCGGCCGCCTTCATACAGTTTTTTGAAATGCAAATATTTAGTTAGCATTCATACTATTCCAATCATTGTACCAAAAATACTTTACTAAGACACATTATTACAGTTCTCACGACTCATTCTAATCGTAAGTAGCATTGAAGAATTTGTAGATTTGATTGAGGGTTGAGTTCACGGGTTACCATACGTTAAGCTGTCACCGGCGTCCGTCGAGTCGAGCCCAAAATCAGCCTGGTCACGTCCCGTATGCTCCATTACGTTATTTATTGTTTAAGACCAAATGCAGTTTTAATAAATATAGTTATCGCAGCGTCGATAACATTATTACGACACAGCTTCATGTATAAATATATCCATTATTGTCATCCGGAGCCCGGCGTTTTTGATAAAATTCTTTAATTTCATTAATATTGTGTAAACATTTGTGAAGACGTGTGGATATTTGTAAGTAAATCACGTGTAAGCTGTTGAAATGATTTGTCTGAAAATTGATAGATATAGGCAGACCATTTCTTGGATTAGCACATCGTATAAGTTTTATTCCGGTAATGCGTTCCTTGGGATAGCAATAGCAATGCGAATTTAATATTGTTTGACTTTAGTTTAACTTTAGTTCCGTGCTGCCAACAATAGATGGCATTGCACTAACCATAGAACCCACTATAATTCGATAATGCGCTCTCGTGGCTTATTAGTTCTATTTTAATTTCAACAGAATTACTATGAATTTACTTTGATTAATTAGGTAGGTAAACAAAATATTTTTCGGTGGAAGATCTTCGCTTTGTCGTTACTTTTAAGCTAAATTCGCAGGAAGTGATGGTGTGGGTGACAGAGGTTGGAGAGGCTTCTCTGTGTGTCCGGGGCTCAGAGAAACGTAGAAATCATAGATTGGGCCTTTGTATGAAGTGCTTATTTATTTATTACGACCGTTTATTTCTGGGGCACATTGTATCTGCAATTAGATCTGGAAGTTCTCTCTCTCTCTCTCTCTCTCTCTCTTTCTCTCTTTCTTTCTCTCTAAAAGGCATGTTATATAAAAACGAAAGGTCTGTCAAGTTAACTATAGGTAGAGTTGATTCGGACGATCGTCAGAAACTTCTCGGATCGTCCGATAGCACAGTATGCATCTGACTTTAACGTGGAACTTTTCATTGTTTTGTGTTTCAGAACAATGGGCAAAGATGATAAAGAAGATACAGGATTCGGATTCAAGGACAAGGCGAAGGCGGAGGACACGCTGCGGCTCCTGGAGGAGCACGACCTGAACTACAGGAGGCTGACAGTGAGAGGACTTCTCGGTAGAGCGAAGAGGGTTCTGTCAAGTAAGTCCCCCCTACGAAACCCCGGGACGTGCTTACGAAACCTCAGAATGATTGCCGAATTAGTGCATAATCGGACTGTCGTTGCTGATGTCCATTGGCGACACGGGCAACTGACCGTCTGTCTGTTAAGGCAATAGACAAAGGACGTCGCAGTTAGTCATAAGATCTTTACACGTATTCACGAACGACTTCCATGATGAAAGAATGTGACTATTCTTAGTATGTCACGGAAGACCGCGCAGGCTGGGTGCCCCCGTCCAGTCTGTTGGTTTTTCTTCTTTTTTTTATAAGGTAAGGATTATTGGTGACCTGGAGGCCTTCTCAGTTTCACGAAGACATATTGGGGAGCAAAGTCAGCAAGGAATAGGATTTGCTAACAACTGCCCGAGCGCCTTCAGGAGACCTAACTAATAAAAGGCAACTGTTTCGCGAATGAGGTGTCTGTGTGCGGCGAGCTGTTAGTGTGTAATGACCTCACGTCACAGAGAGCTCGTCTGCCATCTCACTCCTCCGCTAACTCTAACTCTTCCAGTGACGAAAGCAGAAGAGAAAATCAAAAACATCAAAGAGGCCATGGAGGTGTTCGAGAACTGGCTCGCGGACCTCGACAAGGAGCGAAAAGAGAAGCCCGAAAAGAAAGAGAAGAAAGATGACATTGAAAAAGATGATAAAAGCGATAAGGTACCGTTACGCGCTGGCGTTCGGGATAAATAAAACTTCCACTGAAGTACAAACTAAAACTCAATTTAACAGTTAGAAGACTCACAGAACACTTTACAATTCGTAATTCGCTTGTTCCGCTTCGCTTCAGGTGTCCGTTCGCTGTTTCGCTTCGAGTAGTTCCGATTACTAACTGCCTTCACGGCATCTCTGCAGTGCTTTTATAGTCGACTAGCCGCAGCCGTACTCGTCCGCTTCACTGGGCATTTAAAATTAACATTATTATTTATTGTCATTATTATTAGGGAGTCCAACACTCATATAAATATTAGGTTATCCATTAAATACATGTATTTTTTACTTGGATACCAAATTTCAAGTCAATCGGATACATGGTTCAGTAGTTATAACGGAACATCCGTAAAAACCACTGTAGATTTATGTATTAGTATAGATACGACATCCCTAGAATTATCGAGAACATTCCTGACAGGTCGAGTAGTTTTGATATGGGTTTCCGTTATTTGATAATAGATGGCGTTGTACTTATCGAGCGTTCTCGATTTTACTAGTTCTTTTTATATTCGTTTTTGATATTCGACGATATGCAAGCCATGATGCAAAAGAAAATTCGAGTCCATACTTGAATTGTCTATTGCATCATGGCTGCTGTCCATAACCGACTTAGAACTGTCGGTTCGTCTTACACCTTTTTATAATGTTTGTTATCGCGCAATTGGATTAAAATAACTATCGTCTTCCTTAAGGAGTCAGATGTAGAAATGGAGGAAAAGAAAGAGAAAAAAAAGGAGCTACCCTCAGACACTGTGCCGGGCCTAGGCTTCAAGGATAAGTCTGCCGCAGAAGGGACCCTCAAAGTGTTGGACGGGAGAGACCCGGATTACCAGAGACTGGCCGTCAAGGGCCTTATAGGGAGAGCCAAGCGGGTGTTGACTTGTGAGTATGCTCTCAAATCTGTGTCACAATTTCTTGAGTACTGAATTCAGCCAGCAGAAAATCATTCGTAGTGCATCGCAGAAATTATTTTAATTAGCGGTGACGATGTCAGTGGTACTTAGTGGTCACTTTGCAGAGCTCATTATGTCCGCGAAAATCTAGAACCTCATCATCTTTCAGGCACCCGAGATGAGACTAAGGTATCGAACATCAAGGAGGCCATAACGGTCTTCGAGAAGTTCCTCGACGACTTCGAGAGCTTGCATCTGAGCAAAGAGAACAACCCGTACCTGAGTCTCGGCGTGGTGCGGGCCGCCGAGCAGCTGGCCGGGGAGAGCGTCACTGAGCAGCAGGTCCGTATTGTGCTGGGAATTGCTTCTTCATCTTCTCGATTGTGTCAATCTTGATGGAGTGGTTCTGGTCGTCATGTAGTGCTGGAGGTGAGAGGCTTGAGGCGTCTCACGATGTCCCGCCATCTCTCCCTGCTGGAAGCCATCCTACTGCCCTCATTTAGGGGAAGTTTTGATTTGGTCAGTCCACCGCATTGCTTACCTCGCGCGTTGTCTTCTACCCTCCATCCTTTTCGGTAGGTAGCGGCTTGGCTCTGCCCCTGACATTGCTGAAGTCCATGGGCGACGGTAATCAGTCACCACCAGGTGGGTCGTATGCTCGTGTGCCTACAAGGGCAATAAAGAACCCTTTACTGTACGATGAGGCCTTTTATGTACCGGCCATCTTACTTAATTGGAATTAAATTACAGTAATTAATTCAACACGTCCGCGTTGTTATGTAGATACTGTTGTCTTCTGATGACAGTAGTGGATAGTCCTTGAACCAGATAGCAGCAGTCTCTAGATCCTTCCCATCAAACAGTACGATCGGATCGCTCCTCTCATCTTCTTGGGTGATCTGACTGAAAGTTTTCAGTAGGAAATCGGTGATGGTAAAAGTTACTCCAGACGCAGAAGCGGCTACATCGCTTCAACGAACAACCGCTGTCGAATTTACCTCTCGAAACTCTGAACCCCACAGAAATCGTTCATAGCGGCCTACTCCTCCGTCAATGGAGAATACAAGAGGCTGAGGACCGTGGAGGAGTCGGAGGGAGGCCTCACTTGGGACATCGTCAGGAACAACGCGCTAAAACCGCTCAAAGCCACGGTATGTTCTAGTTCATCTAATTGTAATGTTCAACTTTGTGCGAAGCCTGCGCTATATATCCGTCTCGCTCCCGCAGCATGCTGAGGCGAAGCTGTTCAACGAAGAAGGCGAACCGACCCCGGAACATTTAGAGTTAATATTGTGGGCGTACTCACCGGAGGCGGCCCGCCTCAAGAAGTGCCTTCCTGAGGCGGAAACAGAAGTTAGCAGGAAGAGAAGAAGCAGCGCGCAAGAAGAATCTCCGGCTAAAAAGAAGAAGGATTGAGTTTTTGTTGAATAAAATTTGTGTTTACTTGTTGTTTTCTTACAAACACTGAATTAAATAAACATTCTAGATATTAAGACCTCATACGTCATCATGTTTATCAGCCTGTTATAGTACTCAGTTGTACGCGACGAGAGCTGACCCCGTCATTTTCGTCTCAGCTCAAACGCTCAATGTCAAATATCTTAATTAAAAAGCTGAAGCAATGAAGAATCGAGGTTAGATATTGTATAGAAATCACGATCAGTAATCCCTACACAAACAAGGCTATCATATTTATCTGTGGTTTTTCCTATAGGCGTTAAAACTTATCAGCGGCCATTTAAGTGTGTGACAGGCCTGATTTGGACTTCTCATACAGTGAAATTCCTAAGATCGTTTCGTCCAGTTGTTACTTAACGCTAGAATCAAATCAATCTCTCCTGATGGAGAGACTCTGATGGATCCCCAAGTGTTATGATGTGTCTCTCATCAAACTGGGTTAATTTGTGAATGGGCACGCAATTCCGATCTGCTGCCAATCATAACTAGGTACAATTAAAGCTAAAAATATTCTCGTACTTGTCTCTGGAATAAACACATCGATTTGACGTTTCAAAGGGCGTTGAACTCTTCGCACGACTGTCATTCACAAAATATTATCAAATTTCAACTTTATTCCGTACGTAATAAGCTATTCTCAAGATTAAATGTATTAGCAGTTAGAAAATGGTGGTTTCTTTATCTAAGTTATTTCAGTGATTTTCAGAATAATTTTCAGGAAAATGATCGAAGTTATGAATTAAGATACCTTTATTAAGCACACGTTTGTATATTGAATGAGTTCTTTGATACATTTAGTGTTTACAGTTTTGGTTTTCTTGTAGGCGTGTGAGCCGCTAAAATAGCTATTTTAGGGTTTAAAATTAAGCTAAACATTGTAAAAGTAGAATATGTTTTAACTAAAAATACATGTTGCAGTTCTTTATGCTTTGTGTTTAATACATAAAGGCGTCAGGTGAGTGTTTAAATGATAATTAATAATCTTCAAATTTACGCTTTACGCACTTACTAGTTGCACTATGTACTAAATGTTAATTTAAATTTAAAATGTTTATGAAAAGATCAGAAAATGCGATCAGACGACCTGGGACTCTTAGGATCTTCTCTACCTCAATGTCTCCCTAATTCCTATCTTAAATAAGAGATTAAATAATATTTTTTTTACGTATATTTACTGGTAGTATTTATTACGCTCGAGAGCCCGCATTGGTAGGTATCACCACTTTGCATGCGTATACCGCGAACCAGTAGTGCTTGTCTGATAGGTGGTCAGATATATACAACTGAAGAGCCAATACACCTCATGTCTGAAGAAAGGTTCACAGCTTCATTCTTAAGTCAATTTGCTTCATTACCTTGATATTTCTAGGCATTGACATGTATTTTATTTGGCGAGGATTAAAACTTTGAACAGTTGTTTTGACTTGTGCAAGTTCAGGGTGTGTATGGCCTTGCCTATATCTGCTGGAAGGCTTCAAAGATAAGTTAATGAAGGCTTTTAGCACTTCATTTTATCATTAGTAAGGCTGTGACCTCAAAATGATATCTGCAGTTTTGTTATTGGTTTTTTCCTATTGGTTTATACTTTTTAGGTATTTCTTTTTAAGGTCCATGATGTCAGTAGGCGTTCCACTGCATCGAAGGAGTCTTGGGGCCAGCAGTGACACCAGCTATTGTAAGTGGATTTATTTTAAACACATTCTGGCCCCTGAAAAGTTGTTGGCAAGGGGCCTTTTGAGCCTGCACAGTTAGGTAACTTCAGATCTATTTCAGTGGAGAAGCAGTGATGCGCTTTTGTTGGAAAGGTAGGACCTGTAGTACTATAAAAATTTTGAGACTTAAACCTCATGACTGAAGTAACGTTATGGCATTTATGGTGTGGGTTTTATCCTTTGAATTCACTTAACAATAGGTAAATTCACACTACATCACACATTCGGTCGTGAGCATTCTTTACGTTTTAGGTGAACGCGACACTTGGGATGACTGGGAGAGCAGATCTTCACTCAGTCAAGTTGAAGAGGTAAGAAATAGGCTCCTTATGTTTCAAAGTTAACAATTACTTACTGATAGCGTAGTGTTAGGCTCTCTATGTGTTGGGTAGACGTGCTAACGGTCCAAACGGTGTTAAGTGGTAATAATCTAAGGCCATAGACATAATATTAAGATTGAAGTCACGATTGCTTGGTACAACATGAAGAGTGTAGTTCTTGAGCTTCTGCCTCTATTAACCACTTAAATCCAGTTGAACCGTCAACTGGTTTGCCCTAACATCGTTAAAATATGACTTGAAATTTCGTGTTCCATCAGTGAATTCGAACCCACATTCCTACGCCAAATCTCACTAAGCCACAAGTGTGTTCATAAGGAAATACAAGGAAGTATAAATATTTATTTATAACTGGCTCATATATGCTACATGTAGGTATGTATATTCCAATGCCTAACTAATGTTGAGAATCTCACCTTAGTCTCACTAAAGTGACTTCGAAATATGTTGGTATAACAAAATAAAAGATCATTTCAGAACGTAATATTAGTAAAAAAAAGTGTGTGTGTCCGCTCCGACGCACGACTGGAGTTTACTGGATATAAAAAATTAAACGAAACAATACGAGAAATAGTTCTATATTACGACAACACGATACACTACAGATTATTAACAAATTAACGAGACACAAAACAAACGACTAACAAATATATGAAAATACAATAATGAGAGAAACGCGCGATCAGTACGAGGCTTTGTGGCGGACTGCCGGCGCAGCAGCCCGGCGTCACCTGCGATAACGCATTTCGTGTGACATGCGCAATCAGGCGCATAACGCATTTCGTGTGACATGCTAGTACGATTTTGGTCCCCATAATTTTCATACCCCGGGCCTATATATGTAAATCGATTCTAAAGGAGTAAACTCCAAAAACAATTAAGACAAAAAAAATCGAGTCTGTTATATTTCGGATTATCTTTTAGGATAAAAATTAAAAGAGACAACAATCAAAACGAGGTCATTAAACAAAATTTTAACTCCAGTGACTTTTTGTATCTTAGTTAGGGATTGGTGGCCATTTGACATTTATTTGAATGTTACCAACTTTAACAAAATACCGAATTTTAAGGGTTCTCCCCTAAAATTTTATACAATCTTAATTTTATATTAATCACGGGTAACGGTTTTCCTGATGTCCAAGGACACCACATTTATATTAAACTTTTTAGTTTTTGTTGAGGAGTGCATGCGACAGAGATGCGAATGTAGAGATGGATGTGTGGAGTGACAAGAATGGACAATATAAAGAACGAGTATATCAGAGGAAGTGTGAAAGTAGCCTCGGTAATCTACAAATTAAAGAGCGGATGTTTAGCGTGGTATGGACATGTGGTGCGTAGAGAGAAGATGCATGTGCCTAGGACATGTATTGAAATGGTAGTGCAAGGTAGAGGGGGAAGAGGTCGACCGATAAAGACCTGGATGAAGTGTGTAAAAGACGATATGAGAGAGAGAGGAGTGAGTGTTGAGATGACGGTTGATAGAAGAGAACGGAAGAGAAAAATTATCTGTGCTGACCCCACCTAGTGGGATAAGGTGGAGAAAAAGAAGATGTTTTTGTTGCTGTCGATCGAGCTAGCTGCAGCCTCGTTCTGCTTTTGATTTGATTATAATGATAAAAAAACTTCCGATATCAATAAACTATAGGAAAGAACTAGCTTAGGTATAGTCGTGTTCCCGTTTTTTTTAAGACCAATGAAACTTTCATGCGTGATCTTTGTATCCCGAAAAGAACTCGGCAAATTTTATTCCGAACCAGACAACACTGACATTACGCCATAGCGCGCCGGCCTACGTCACACAGCTGCAGCGCTCGCGACTCCATCATCAAAATAAACAAAAAAAAACACGAATAAAACATTTAATTCGCGTAAAAAAACATTAAAAACTCACATCCTAACTTGTTTAAGTGCATAAACGTGTGAATAACAGTGTGCAGTGCGGGGAAAGTGTGCTAGCTGTGTTTCCTTGTGTGGCCTTTAAGTGTTTAGTTGGTAGTTTGGGAAAGGTGTAATATTTTATAGTTGTTTTTTTTCTTTTGATCCGGTGCTAATTGTTGCTCGCGTTTGGTTTTGTTCGTTTTACAATCGTCGACATTACGAAAACTTAACAATCTTATTATTGAACGATCCTAGTATTACTAAATAAATAATAATAACGGTACACACATTCTACGATAGTATTTCGCTACATTGTTATATTTGTTAGTGTTCGTATAGTCGCTAATGTTATTAACAACTTCACGTCCCGTGGATTGTAGCTGAAACAAGTCAACAAGCTTTTTAACTCATCAAAAGATTACGAACCGAAAATGTAACAAGAATTGCGTTGTAGTCATAGCGCCATGAACGAATGTACCTACTTGCTGCAACTAATTTATTGGGATTCCTTCTGAAAATATGCGATAACCTTGTTAGGGATTCGTAAGTTCAAATCTTTAGGTCGTTGTTTACAACATTACGTAGACACATTGAGTATCTCGCTGGATATTCTAACTGGGTCGCGGGTGGGTGGTTCAGCGAAGCACTGCTGTTGCTCTTAGCAGCATCTCGAAGCTACTGGCAATTAGATAGGAATAAAAGTACATGAGGCTTGGAATGTATGCTTTTTTCCGACTTATTCGCCGGTAGCCTAAGAGCTGTTACCACCGGATCGGAATCGCGACCCATCGAGAAGATCCGGCGACAAACTCAGTTGGCAATGTGTGCATTCTATAAACTGTTTTACGAAATTCGTTAAGTTGTATAACATACAGCATTTCCTCCGGTCTTCGACAGACGTAAACCTAACTTCAACTGCTTTTCCGACAGACCACTGTAACCACGGTGTGATTACTCAATAGAATTGCCTAAAAATTATATTCAGTATAGAGGGTAGAAGTAAGTAGCGTCATCTCAGTGTATTAAAGCGTATTAAATCTGAGCCAATAAAGATGGCGCCACAATAGCAAGTGGAAGGATATTACAAACAGCTTCATACACTATTGGAGTAGGATATTAAATTAAGAACGAAAGAAACACTTCCTACTTCAATAGTAATAAAATAAACAGTTGAGATTTTAAATACTGTTTATATTTTAAGTACCTACAAAAGGCTCGAAAAATATTAAATTGTTCACTCCGGTACATTTCGCTCTGTTTAAAGCTGCCATATTCACATCATTTCCACTTCCTACACTAGCGCTATGTCGGTGAGTCTTCCAACAACAACACGCTGTTTATAGACGGACACTTCTACTTTTGTTGTATACAAGATGTTTCTTCTACCCTCCATAGTATAAAGGTGAGAGCGCGAATTACAGTGCCGATGCGTCCATTGACGTCTCCGGAGAACACTGTACCCGCGCACTGACTCCGCATTGGATTGTGTGCATGTCTCTCTTCAAACGGGTACCGTGGATGCTTCTCGATGTCAGCGGCCACGACTGGTCCCCAGCTCTGCAGACCAATAACACCTCTGTTTTTTAAGGGCGAAAGTACTTTTGAGGGCCCCAAGATCGGATTTCTGTGCGGCATAAATAGCTGTCATATGTCGGCCTATAGCAAACCTCTGCTACTGCACGCTACTGAACACGACCCTCGGCTTCTCTTGTCGCGCTGTTGTCCACTTCCCTACTTAGATCGTCACTCCACCGAGTCTGAAGGCGTTCTGCCCTACGCTTGCCGATTCGCGGTCTCCAATCAAGAACACATTTACCCCAACGGTTATCGCTTCTCCGGATAATGTGGCTATGATGGGATATCAGAAGTTTGATGAGAACTTGGATCGTACTTGCGATTTCAAGATAAGCTCCCATATGTTCTCACACTCGTTCCACTGGAGCTGAAATTACCCCGAACTGTAGGCGCACTGTTACGACGACTCTCCGCGGGTACTTTTTAATAGATACACTTTCTGCTTTACACTGACTTTATTCATTGAAAGCTACTCATTACAATTGCTGGAAAAGTGACTGTACTAAAGTAATGATTTCCAAATAATGCCTCTTAAAACCACGTGTTTTTTTCTTCGATGAGTGGACGAACTCACAGCCCCTTGGTGTAAAGTGATTACTAGAGCCCATAGAAATTTACAACGAAAATGCGCCACCCACCCTGAGATACGAGTTCTAAGGTCTCAGTATAGTTCAACGGCTACCCCACCCTTCAAACCGAAAGGCATTACTGCTTCACGGCAAATATAGGCAGGGTGGTGGTACCTACCTGCGCGGACTCACAAGCGGTCCTACCACCAGTAATAGTTAATAGTGACTGTGAATGGTCACCGTGGCTCGCGGCTGCTCACCTAGCTGTACTAAAATGAGCATCCGTTACGTCACTAACAAAGGATCTCCAACACACATAAGTACCTATGTAATCTAATATAACATGTCCGTTCAGTGAGATAACAACGCGTTGTTTAGCCACAATGTTGCTGTTTCGTTGCCTAACTCACTAGATTAGCACGGCCCGTTGGCTCAAGGTGCAGTCTCCTGGGAGGTTTTTTTTTCCTACCTAAGCTGATAACCTTGAGAGGCTATATCAGCGTCGCCTTAACTAGTAGGTGAGCTCACGGGGCTCAAACCTGATGACGTTGCTAACACGAACCCTAGCAAGAGCCGTGCTTCGCAGAATCTACCACCGGATCGGAAACGCGACCCACTGAGAAGATCCGGCGAGAAACTCTGGGCTGTGTCTGAGGGTTCCCTGGTCTTTCTCTTCTTCCCCTACTTCTCTGAAGGCGCCAGAGTCCGAAATAACCCGGTCTGTTGACCCCCTCGACCGGATATCCGTAAATTCTCCAGCGTTATAAAGAAAAAGGAGTCCATCAACATCTCAACCAGTTTCATCTCAGTTAATGCTAATAAAGGCATTGTCGAATCATTTGGAGTTTGGAACTACTGCTGATGTCGTTTTTTTATATATAGATAAGCAATAGGGAGATAGTTTGATTGTATTAGCACTAGTGAAAAGGATAGCTTTCAAACTACTATTTAGATTTGTAAAGACGGTTCAAATCTGAATAGCAACTGAGGTAATGATGTACTAATTAAATTAAATGATATGCGAAAGTTACATAAAACACAACAAAGTGATATCTAGCAATTTTTTTAAGCATGTTTGAAAGAACAATTTTGAGATATGGTACACGCGGCGTACGACAGTAAAGCTTCCCGTCGGAGTGAATCTTACATCAGTCATATTTCGGCCGACCTACACTAAACCAAAAATTGATAAACGATTCCCGCCAAAATTACTCTTAGTTCAGCACAAAAAAGTTTTTAATAAAAATATTCCAGTGTTCTATTACCTATTTAAAACTACTAGGCACAAAACTTTTAAAATAAAAACTGCATAATGCATTCAATATCTCTATCACTCTTACTAATTAACCCGTATCTTAGAAAGAAACGGAAGAATGTTAACTTACAAAAAATATAATATAACATCGTTTTGAATATTTAAATTCAGACTTAAAGTCCGAGAAATAAAGTAACTATTTTGAAGCGCATATTAGTCAAGTCTCTTCCTCCAGGAAATACGAGCGTTCCAATTCCGAACGTTTTAGAACAGACACATTAATTGCTTTACGAAACTCGACCTTATGACCTGACCAATAAAATTACCAACTGCCTGAACTACATTTAATATTCAGAGGAAAATAGCCTTTATCATTTGGGAATAAGGTTTTCTAGGTCGTCTAATAATATAATATTGTTTGCATCGAATTTTGTTAAATGAAAATAGATCTTACTACATTCGTATAAGGGTGAAGTGTTTGTGAGATCGTTCAACGGTACCGTGACCCACTTTATTGCACCGTGACGTCACAGCAATTTGCTCCTTTTTTGGCGTGAACAGTTTTTCTTTCCTTCCCGTGATGGCAAAGGATGCACTTAATGATGCAGCCAGAATATTTTTATTATTATTTTTTCCTCATTAAAGTGACAGAGTAAGCTATTTTGAGACTAATGGGAATAGAGATAATGATTATACATTTTTGTAATTTGTTATTTCTAAAAATGTATCCGTTGAAAATGTTCGTATCTAATTTACAACAAATATTTGGTAACTTGACCCTATTGGCTTATGTGGTGTTATGGTAAAAAATAAATAAATCAAAACTACCTATTTAATGTTATCTAAGAAAAGGGGCTAGGAAATAGGAGATTAGTTTTTTATTTATTTTGTCAACGATTATTTTTCACTTAGATATATTAATTTTAAATGAAAACGGAACTTCGTGCCCCGGTCTTTAGATATGGTTCAAAGATTCTTGGTTAAAAACAAAATTAATAGTAATTACGCAATTCACAATATTAGCGGTTGATGACTTTTAAAATATTAGAGAGACTAGGGATGAGCTTCATTACAGAAATTGGCATCTGTCTGCGGGATTCGAAGTCCGGTATAGTCGCTTTTTTTACTTAGGCTGGTAGCTTTGGGTGGCTATGTCAACGTAACCTAACGAGAAGGTGAGCTCTCGGGGCTCTAACCACCGGAATCAGTATCTACCACCGGATCGGAGACGCGACTCACTGAGAAGATCCGGCGAGAAACTCAGGTGTCTGTGTCTGTGGGTGGGTGTGAGCGACGGGTTCGACGAGAACGGTGACCGGTGCTTGATGTACCTAAAAGCACCGTTAGTGGATCGGGAGGATCCGTAATGACGTGCTTAGGTGACGTCGACTGTTTATCATTCGGTCCGCAGGATCGGGAATGGGTGTAGTCCCGTCGCTCGATGCAAACACAGCGGGCGTCTTATCCTCTGGGCCACGTGTGGGCACGGACCGATGCCTCTCGCTTGCCCCAACTAATTAGATCATAGAACGTTTGCCGTCATGAAAATTATCTGCATACAAGACGCGTGACTCACTCCGCACATAATGACGTAAGATTCCACGACCGACCCAGTTCATAAAGAATTTCAAATTGAGCAATGTGCTTGTATGAGCCGGGAATTAGAGTCGTGTTACCAATACGGCCGCTAACGATCAGGCGGACTGCTTAATTCGAGTTTAGGTTCATAATAACTCATCCCTTCCACTTGAGGCCTATTTAATTACAAATCGATTCAGTTTTAAATCAATTTTATAAACAAACAATTGTATACAAATGTATATCGTTGTTTGTGTTATTGTTGTTACCGCGATGTAGTTTCGCATGAGACAGCCGCTGCGTTCTTCGACCAAATATATTTTTAATGCTTAATTGGTTGGACGACCTCACAGCCCACCTGGTGTTAAGGTGGTAACTGGACCCATAGACATCTACAACGTAAATGCGCCACCCACCTGGAGATATGAGTTCTAAGGTCTCAAGTATAGTTACAACGGCTGCCCCGCCCTTCAAACCGAAACGCATTACTGCTTCACGGCAGAAATAAGCAGGGTGTGGTTGGTGCCTACCCGCACAGACTCACAAGAGTCTTGTCTCCAGTAACTCGCTTAACACCAGCCAAAAGCTAGTTGAACTATTAGCGTAACAAAAGAATTGTACTATCGAAGGTCACACCACCCTCAGTGGGTGGCTTGCGGAAATGTACACAGGAGTAGGTCTCGTCCTTTTTCATAAGAGGTAGCGATTTGAATTTGCCCGCTCTTTTACTAACGTGGACAGAGTCCGCTTGTGTGCGCCGGTGTATTTCCGGAGGGTCAGCAACAAACAGGTCTTAATTTCGTTTTTAATATCACTATACAAACGTTTTGCACCCCCATAGGTGGGGGACGGGCACACCATGCGGTCCACCGACTTCCGCTATCGCTTAATATAAGCGGAGCCGTGTACTGATTTGCTACTGCGAACTACAAAACAACATACCGAATTTTTTTTCACGATCCTTCAGAGATCCGTGCGAGCAAAGGCTCAACCAGGAGGAGTGGGATTTGAGTACGGTTACCGGGGTCCCTAAGTCTGCTCCTAGTGTTAGAGCTGAAGGCGTCTAATGCAAAGGTTATTAGATCTGATGGGTCTGTAAGGACGTGAGGGATATAACCTCGAGTTGCCAAGGAAACGAATTGATGGATGATAAACCGACACTGGAAGTCTTATATTAGGATATCAGTTGCATGATGCGACATTTGTATTGTAAGTGCGTCGCCATTCTATGTGTGTGAGTCAGTCGTTTGTTACAATTATGGGAACGTTGACCAAATCCGATTGTTTCGGAGCCGACGGTAGCGTCCGCGGCCTCGATAGCGGCGCGCCCGGATATCTGATATTCGTACTAGTTCTTTGGTAAGTGAGGTGATCATGTGAGTCAGTGTCGTCCAGGGACTGCACCACCTTATCCTTTTCCGTAGACTTATTTTTTTAACAAATATTTAACGGGAAATTATCCCCTTAAAAATTATGTCTACGGCTCCCAAAGACCGAATGAAATGCTTTATATAATCTTCGAATGAGTAAAATAATCTGCAAACAAAATTGATAGGCAATTACAATTATAATGTATTCTCTTGCCTTCAAGTATGAATATCACGACGTGTGTTTGTGGTTAGATTTATCAGTGAGACGGTCTGCAATAGGAGGAGGATAAAAGGAGTGTATCATAATTATTATTTATCCTTTAGGCCACAATCAAATGTGCTTAGGACACGAAATTTAACGTAATGTTCCGATAACACATGAAAACAATTTGGTCAAGATGTGACTAAAACGTCATCTAAGTATCGCATAAAAATACGAACCGTGGACGGAACCAGAAGCCAAGGCGGGGAGCTCTCACGCTCCACCGCATATTACTATGGAGACCTGGAGAAGCTCAAAAGGCAGAAACCACTCGAGGATGTACCGGAACAGCGTCAAGAGACAAGCGAAATCTGCGAGATTGTTCCCCAGCGGAATGTCATGGAAGCCCCGAGGCTGGTCGAAGTGGGTCGGCAATGGAGTCTACCGGAATACACTACGCCGGAAAGTTCGAGAAAAATCGAGGAGACCTACTCAACAGCTGGCACCTTTCCGATGCCGGAGCCCAAAGAGAAGGAGCCTCTTCTAGCCGAGTTAGAAGTAGTAGGAAGACTCCCGTTGACGCAACTGGAAAGCAGTTCGGTCGTCAGACGCAGCAGGAGTTGGTATCTTTGCTGCCCTAACGTCGGTGATGAGGAGATCTCTAGAGAATCCTCCTGGAGGTACTCCAGTCTTCGGCCGGTTACTGCAGCACCGATTCCCGGTCAAAACGGTTTGATGGTAGGTTGACATAAAACGGCATAATCCACGATTACAATTCCACTTCCATCATTGTTTTAGCTCCAAATGATGTCACAGATAACAGCAGTCCGAATTATTATCTATATAACTGCTCCTAACGCCCTTGCACCTTTACTTAGACGGTATATTATTGCAATAGAGGTTAGTCTGCGGTCCAGAACTCAGACCATTTATGTTCAAAACCGTTATTACAGGTGGCAACACAGAGCACGGCAAGAGATGACGTGACGGCTCTGAAAGCAGAAAGAGACGCCCTCGCCAGAGCATTGGCGGCGGAAAGACAACGTGCGGCCACCGCGGCCCGAGCTCACGATGCAAGGCTGGCTGAACTACACGGGGTCATAGCTGAACTGGTGCGCAGGAGAGCCGATAAACAGGCCAGAGCGATACCAGAAGAGGATGGCTCAGGTTCGATGCTTCTCTTAGCCGCGCTCGGCTACGTTTGCCCCTGTCAGTAGTTTTGAAAGGCAGGGCATCAACCATCAAAAAAAAAAAAGGGCATCAACCATCTTAATTATTGGTAACTCGTTAAATCTCTCCACCGCAATCACCTTTCCTAATACATGAGTTATAAAGTATGTGACGTTTCCAGACGAGTGCGAGTCGACCACGCAGCCGGCGGAGGAGCTGGACAACGACGCGGATCCGTCCAGGACCGAGCAGGTGAACTAGGGGGAGATCTGTGTCAAGCATGATTTTTATACATCCTTTTTTCCCCTCCCAAAAGCTGGTAACCTCGAGAACAGAAGATCCGGTGCGAAACTCCGTGGGCTTTATCTATCCTATATCTGCTTTCATATTTGGCCGTTCGTCTTAAACGATGGGCTATATTTTTTGTTAAGTGCACCGAAGCCTACAGATAGGTACTACTGTATGTCGCCACTAATATGTAGGTAGTCTTAAATTACACTTCACAACTTCTGGGCCACGGGGCCACTGCTCTCACCGGTCAGCGCTGGCATCCTACACGGAGAACAACACAGGGGCACTCGCAGACTGTCAGTTGAACGTCAGGTCGTAAATCCTCTAACCTTGACGGGTCGCTTGTGGAGGACGCGGCCCGGGGACTCCTCGACGCGAGCCGGTAACGAACCTCGCTCCGACACAGCACATTGAGTGACAACTTCTTGGAATATGGAATTTTCAGAACGACACCTCCTCGTTGGCGAGTCCAGCCGAGCTCCCGGCGCCGCGGGGACCGACCGCCGGGGACGCGCCTGATGACGCGACCGACGCCAGCGGAGACGACCACAGCAGGTCAGTTGATGTGTCGAGCTCTGGTGAGGCTTCGGGCGCAACTTCGTAACGGAATTGTTAGAAACTAGAAACGGGATAAGCGATGGCTTCTAGCGGTGGGGGGGGGGGGGTAATGGGGGTCAACAAGTAAGGGAGAAGGTAGAGTGCGAAACGACAAGTGATCTATGGCGGTGATGCTACCGACATACAGGGGGCCCGCACTTGTAACTATATATGTATTGGTTACAGGCCGTGCAACCCGACGATAGAGGTGACGTCATCGCAGCAGGTCACGGACTGCGACACCAGTCTGAACCTCTCCGAGAGGGACTCCGAGCTGTGTCTGACCACGGCCAGGTGAGGGGGCGCGGGCGGGGGACGGTGGGGGCGGCGCGGGGACCGTGGTAACCTCGGGTGTGGTCCGCAGGTGCTGCCGGGCGGCGCGCCAGCCCCGGAGCGCCGGCGACAGCTGCGAGCGGCAGCGCGGCTCCCCGGCCTCGCGCGGTCAGTACAGCGACGACACTACACACACATTGATATATATGTTTAACTGTTTTAACAAAAAAAAAATATATAAAAATAATGTGATTGTGAATTGAGATAAAAACAATCCTATCTTTTAAGTTCGGACAAAACACACGTTTTGAAAAAATATTAATTAAATCAGATAGTTAGTTTCTGAGTACATTCCGGACAAACGAGCTGACACGTCATGTAATAGATATATCATATATTAACAAATAAATAACTCGCAGACACAGCCCACTGAGTTTCTCGCCGGATCTTCTCAGTGGGTCGCGTTACCGATCCGGCGGTAGATTCTGCGAAGCACGGCTCTTGCTAGGGCCAGTGTTAACAACGTCATCAGGTTTGAGCCCCGTGAGCTCACCTACTAGTTAACGTTACGCTGAAATAGCCTCTCAAGGCTACCAGCTTAGGAAATAAGTACATTTTTATTTATTAACACGTCATAGAGCACGTCGTCCCACGTGGCTAGTCGTTGAGCAGTAGTGCGCCGGTTCATTTTAGCCTCAAATGACGTCATTCGAAATGTGTATCGCAGGTCGATCGGAGACGAGACGAGCCAAGCTGGCCTCGCGCGTCCGGCTGCGGACGGCGGACTCGCGCGACCCCAGCACGGACGAGGTCAGTGGACAGCATCACAGCTGGCTGCCAGTGAGGGGTCCCCATGTGTGTACTGATCTGTCTTGTCGTCTCGGTCCAGGCGTGGTCGCTGGAGGCGGAGCGGCTGGCGCAGGACGTGTGCGCGCAGGCCGACCTCCGGGAGGCGCTCGTCGCGGCCGGCAACGACGGTGAGTGGACCGCCTCGGCAGCCTCCGGCGCCCCGGGCTGCTGCGAGCGACCGCATCTCATGATAACTTTGTTGCAGGCGAAGCTCTGTCCGCCAGCGTGGAAGCCTTAAAAGCTCACTGCCGCAAGCTGGAGGCGGACAACGCTGTGACCCAGGCGGCGCTGGAGCAGGCCACCGACGTGGTGCACAGGTGCGCGGACCGCTGCACACGCCCCCGCCCCCCTCCCGCTGCTCTCTAACGCTTGTGTCGTCCCGCAGGCTGTACACGTTCTGCAGCGTGCAGGAGTCCTGGGTAGTGCAGCTGTGCGCGGCGCTGCGGGCCGCCGACCGCACCGTGGAGGCCTACGACGTGCTGCTGGCGCTGGCCGAGACCGAGCGCCGCGCCGCGCCACACCAGGTACGCGCGCGCCCCCGCTCCCAACACCCTCCTACACCCCGCCCGCCCTTACCCACGGTCTGCTTCCTTGCAGCGCGAGGCGGCGGAGCTGGTGGCGAGGCAGCTGCTGGCGCGACTCGACGCGGAGCAGCGGTGCGCCACGATCGGGGAGCCCTTACTGTCGCCGGGGCCGTGGTTGGAACACGATAACAAGTGAGTGGTGTAGAATAACAATAAAACTAGCTTAGTAAAATTGGATTTCAACGCCATCTGTTGATCCAAAATGGAATCTGTGATGGACGCTTCTTAAACACTATTTAGTTTGGCGACATCTAGTGAGCATATATCTTATAGCGCCATCTAATGGTATAATGATAGATTATCGTTAGTAACCACCAGCTGCTACTAGATGGCGCTATTATACGAAAAATAAATGCTGTCCAGCCAAGTGCGGGGGCTGTGCGGGCTAGACCGGCGCCTCGTTACTCGTATTGAACACCTTAATGTGGTCAAAACTCTGACGATACGCTTGAATACACAGCTGTACTTTAGAGCGAACGTGTCGAGGTTATGTGCCCTGTGTCTGTTGACAGTGCGGAGGCGGGCGGCGCGTGGGGGGGCCAGCAGGAGGCGTCCCTCCGCCGCCACGTGGCCGCGCTCAAGAGCTCCGCCGCCGCCCTCCGGGACTGCCGCCCCGCGCTCTACTCCCAGCACGGTATGCCCGCGCTTAACTAACGACATGCCGCCCCCCTCTTTCTCCGCAGGGTTTTGAAGGGGTGGGGGACGATTGCTTCACTTCACTTCAACAATGCCCCATCACTAGACTACACTGTACTTCTCACCGTCTATGAAAACATCACAAGACGAATATCGCTAAGTGACCTTGAGGCGTGGGGTCGGAGTCTCACACGCGCACGCTCACGAGCTGTACAACAGCTGTCCCGCCCTACAAACCGAAACACATTTCTGCTTCACGGCAGAGCAGTGCTGCTACCTACCAATGTAGACTCAGAGCGACCTATCACCAGAAAGGCTACCGGTACCAGCTGAGGACCCCAGTAGGACTTAAACCGTTTCTCGACGCCGAGATGAGATGAGAAACTGGGAACCCAGTCTACCCGGGACCACTATAGACAGCGCTTACTGAGACTACTGCTCCCGGAGTGTACTCCCGCTCCGCACAGCGCGTCCTCTGTGCAAGAGCCGCTGGTGCACTCTTCCTGTTTGTTCGTTTATTGCGAGCCCTCATCTCCCGGACCTGCCCCCCGCAGACGGCGCCGAGGAACTGTCCGGGGGCGCGGCGGACTACAGGCTGATGCAGATGGAGGCCGCCATCGTGCTGCAGGTACCCGCCCTTGTACTGACACTCTCCTTCGTCAACTCGACGTGCACACTGCACGTGTGCCTTTGGACATCAACAAAGTGAACTCTATTTCTTCGAGGCGTGAGACTAAAAACTAAGTTTTTGAAGTGAAACTTCTTTAGGCGCATGAGGGTAAATTTTTTACAGAACGTCACGCAGGTATAGAACGGAAGTGACGTCAAACTACTATTGAAATTAAGTAGTTGTTAAATGTCAGTAGTAGTAGTTGTATTTGTCCAACTGGAAAGGCAAATGTATCATACCATACAGCCTAATATTTTATAATTTTGTTGTGAAAAATGTTAATAGGAATTGAAATGAAATGAAAAGAATTTGGAACATTAATCAAATAGCATGAAATTAAATTAGTCAATTCAATTGGTAAAATATTAGTCATTTACAATTTAGAAATCTAAACATAATGTGAATGTCAACACTGAGGTTTGAGATTGACATTTGACAGACTCGTGGCGGGAACATATCTTCCTTTTTTCCTTCCTCTAAGTCTCGGAAATCTAAAGTTTTAGATTTGTATCAATGTAAGCAAGACTTATAAATTAATTCGCCAAAAAAGTTTCACTTCTGACATGTGTACTTTGTACGCAAGCACTTTTTTTTTGTTTAAATTATTTACGTCACCTTTGTTCCCGGGGCCAAGTGCGGTCCTGCCCGCGCCCCGGGACAGCGCCGCGCTGCAGAGCTAACACGACGCTACTTGTTTCTAAGACCGATATTTCCAGCAGGAGTCCGCGCAGTTGAAGGAGCGCGTGGACAGCAGCAGGCTGTGCGAGGGGGCCGCCCCGCGCCCGCCGCCGGACGCGCGCCGCTGCAGTGATGCGATTGACAAAAGGAATCTCGAATCCAAGGGCCTACGGTCGGATGTCCGCGCCTCCAATGTCGCTAATAATTATTCGTTCTGATGTGTCACTAGCAGGTAGTGTGCCCCCCGCCCCCCGCACCCGCCCCCGCGCCCCGGGACCGCGCCGGGCGAGAGAATCGAGGAAATCATGGAAACATTATGAGTAACCGACGCGGCTGATGAGTTGGGGGGCGGGGGAGTGGGGGGGGGGGCGTCACGTAGTGGCATGGACAATCTCTGACGTCACCACGTCTGTCCATTGACAGTGTCGATAGCGGGAGCACGCGAGAGCCGGTGTCCGTCTTGAATGAGTCTAATATCAATTATGTAATTGTACAAAATAATAATAATGGAGCATTAAAGTTTGAAATGTTTAAATCCTTGTTGAAGTATGTCGGTGCGCGCAGTGAGTGCTGATGCTTAGTCAGTGGATGTCGCTGTCCGCGGGCACACCGGCGCGGCTCGCGGCCGAAACTAAATCTTAAGTAAACACAGCCGGGGTCGCACTGGCAAGACGCCCGGTCAGGTGTAGGAGTGTGGGAGCCGCGTGGTCGCTGCGCATCAAGAGAGCCGTGAGCTTGTCGACATGTCCGGATCAACAAACCCGACTTCAATGACTATCAGTGACCAACCCGCCGCCCTCCAGCGCCGCGAGCTGTGCCGGGATGAGACTGCGCTTAACGCCAAGCGAGCTGCTTGCTCGTCTAATATGTTTTGTATAATATGGTTGGCTGGCGGACAGCGCAGGGTGCTAGTGCTAATATTATAAATAAAGTTGAAGCATTGAAGTGTTGTTTCATTAGTCTCTTCAGACCCCCTACAAGAACAGGGCCGCCTGCGTGCCGTGACAGATGGAGGTCCCTGTACGGCGTCCTCTGCACGCTATGAGATGAGGTTTAGAAAGTCCCTGGCATGCCGATGTCCACGATCGACGATACCCGCTAACGTGGGGGGGGCATTACCTCAGCCTCTCTTATTTTAAATAAGTAACATGTAAACGATGTTCATCACGACCATGTCCCATTTGGTTTCAATCGTGATTAAATGATGTCTCGATAAGTAACGAGGCGTTCCGTCCCGGAGGCTCCCTCGCTGGGGCGTACCGCGCCGCCGGACCCCCACTTGTAACAGTCCTCTCCGTCAGAAACATCTTTTCTTTATTTATTGCTGGCGTTAAGTGGTTACTGGAGTCCATAGACATCCACAACGTAAATGCGCCACCCACCTTGAAATAAGTTCTAAGGTCTCGGTATAGTTACCCCACAGCCCACCCGTGTCCCAGATATTGAGGAGTACGAGCCTTTGTTGGACATTCTGCTGACCACCGATCCAGCCGGATAAGTCGTTGTGGCCTAACGGATAAGACGTCCGGTGATTCGTGTGTAGCGATGCACCGGTGTTCGAATCCCGCAGGCGGGTATCAATTTTTCTAATGAAATACGTACTCAACAAATGTTCACGATTGACTTCCACGGTGAAGGAATAACATCGTGTAATAAAAATGAAACCCGCAAAATTATAATTTGCGTAATTACTGGTGGTAGGACCTCTTGTGAGTCCGCGCGGGTGGGTACCACCACCCTGCCTATTTCTGCCGTGAAGCAGTAATGCGTTTCGGTTTGAANTCCGCGCGGGTGGGTACCACCACCCTGCCTATTTCTGCCGTGAAGCAGTAATGCGTTTCGGTTTGAAGGGTGGGGCAGCCGTTGTAACTATACATGAGACCTTAGAACTTGTATCTCAAGGTGGGTGGCGCATTTACGTTGTGGATGTCTATGGGCTCCAGTAACCACTTAACACCAGGTGGGCTGTGAGCTCGTCCACCCATCGAAGCAATAAAAAAACAGTGTGGTGGTCGACGCTCCGCTTGGATCGTCTGATCACTGCCTTATCCGTGCTGCCACACCACTCTCTCGTCCTAGTCGTCGAACGATCGCAGAGTTTGGTAGTATTTGTCAGCAGATTGGGATGGATTGCGCGAATTTTACGCATCCTACCCATGGGGGCGGTTCTGCTTTTCCTCTGCTGATCCTGACGTCTGTGCGGATCGTCTTAAAGACGTGGTGCTAAAGAATTGTTTATCCCCTCCTCTGAAGTGCACGTTGGGGGTCGCAGCAGACCCTGGTATAACAATTTCAGCAGGGATGCTGCACACCTCAAGCGGTCCGCATACGTTGCATGGGATGATGCCAGGAGACGTCGGGATCCTAACATCTCAGAGGAAAGGCGGAAATATAACGCCGCTTCCAGGTCCTACAAGAAGGTTATTACCAGGGCAAAATCGGAGCACGTTGCTAGAATTGGCGAGCGACTGAAAATCTATCCCTCTGGGAGTCGTGCTTTTTGGTCGCTCGCCAAAGCTGCAGAAGGAAACTTTTGCAGGTCTAGTCTCCCACCACTACGCAAGTCCGATGACAGTCTGGCCCATAGTGCGAAAGAGAAGGCTGACCTTCTGGTCAAACTCTTCGCCTCGAACTCGACTGTGGACGACGGGGGTGTCACACCACCGAACATCCCCGGTGTGATAGCTCCCTGCCGGAGATCTGCTTTACACAGTGTGCAGTCAGGCGGGAACTCCGACTCCTGGACGTCCATAAGTCGAGTGGGCCAGACGGCATCCCTGCAGTGGTTCTGAAAACGTGCGCCCCTGAGCTGACGCCTGCGCTAACGCGTTTGTATCGCCTCTCTTATTGCGCTAACAGGGTTCCGTCTTCATGGAAGACCGCCCGCTACAACTCCTGAAGTATCTTGAAGATCGCCAGCTGATCAGTGACCGACAATACGGTTTCCGTCACGGTCGCTCAGCTGGCGATCTTCTTGTATACCTCACTCACAGGTGGGCTGAAGCCTTGGAGAGCAAGGGCGAGGCTCTTGCTGTGAGCCTTGATATCACGAAGGCCTTCGACAGGGTCTGACATAGGGCACTTCTGTCGAAGCTACCATCTTACGGAATCCCCGAGAGTCTCTGCAAGTGGATCGCTAGCTTTTTGGATGGGCGGAGCATCACGGTTGTTGTAGACGGTGACTGTTCTGATACCATGACCACTAACGCTGGCGTTCCACAAGGTTCGGTGCTCTCCCCCACGCTTTTCATCCTGTATATCAATGACATGCTGTCTATTGATGGCATGCATTGTTATGCGGATGACAGCACGGGGGATTTTATTTATTTATTTGGGAAACAAACAGTACAATACAAACATATAATATTTAAAAAAATATAGCTAAAACAATAACCAAAAATGTTTCCGCAATCAAAATCACATATAAATAGAGAGTGAACAAGAAAAATTTAGAAATTTAAATTACAAAAAAAACAAAAGCAACACAATACGCACATATTATTTTATACATCAACTACTACTTATCGGGCTAAATCACCTTATAAAAGTTTTAAAATAGCTTTTCTATACGCTACAAGTGACAAGCAAAAGATGTCAGCATTAGAGAACTTAGCATCATACAACCTACAAGATCTACGGACAAAAGAGTTAGAAGCATATTTGGTTCGAGCCGTGGACATGTGGAAGGTCTGTTTAGAACGCGCGGAAATGCGACTACATTTAAATGACATTTTGGAAAGAAGATAGCTAGAATCAATCCCGTTATTTATTATTTTATATAAAAACATTTGATCCCTCAGTAGCCTACGATCGACTAGAGAGACAAATTCTGTCGGTTCTGGAAAGTTAAAGCGACGACAATGGTATAAAAGATGCTTAAAAAACTTTTTTTGGACTCTTTCTAGTCGCTGAATATAAATATTATATTGGGGATTCGCGATATATCGGCCATCAGAGTCTCTCTCGGAGCGTGTTGCAAGAGAGACGATCAAAACTTGTGTCTGAAGTGGAGAACTCTCTGGGGCGAGTCTCCAAATGGGGTGAATTGAACTTGGTTCAATTCAACCCGTTAAAGACACAAGTTTGCGCGTTCACTGCCAAGAAGGACCCCTTTGTCATGGCGCCGCAATTCCAAGGAGTATCCCTGCAACCTTCCGAAGTATCGGGATACTTGGGGTCGACATTTCGAGCGATGTCCATTTTCGGAGTCATTTGGAAGGCAAAGCCAAGTTGGCGTCCAAAATGCTGGGAGTCCTCAACAGAGCGAAGCGGTGCTTCACGCCTGGACAAAGGCTTTTGCTTTATAAAGCACAAGTCCGGCCTCGCGTGGAGTACTGCTCCCATCTCTGGGCCGGGGCTCCCAAATACCAGCTTCTTCCATTTGACTACATACAGAGGAGGGCCGTTTGGATTGTCGATAATCCCATTCTCACGGATCGTTTGGAGCCTCTGGGTCTGCAGAGGGACTTCGGTTCCCTCTGTATTTTGTACCGTATGTTCCATGGGGAGTGCTCTGAGGAATTATTCGAGATGATACCGGCATCTCGTTTTTACCATCGCACCGCCCGCCACCGGAGTAGAGTTCATCCATACTACCTGGAGCCACTGCGGTCATCCACAGTGCGTTTCCAGAGATCTTTTTTGCCACGTACCATCCGGNGCCCGCCACCGGAGTAGAGTTCATCCATACTACCTGGAGCCACTGCGGTCATCCACAGTGCGTTTCCAGAGATCTTTTTTGCCACGTACCATCCGGCTATGGAATGAGCTCCCCTCCACGGTGTTTCCCGAGCGCTATGACATGTCCTTCTTCAAACGAGGCTTGTGGAGAGTATTAAGCGGTAGGCAGCGGCTTGGCTCTGCCCCTGACATTACTGGAGTCCATGGGCGACGGTAACCACTCACCATCAGGTGGACCGTATGCTCGTCTGCCTAGAAGAGCAATAAAAATAAAATAAAAAATAAAAGTTACAACGGCTGCCCCACCCTTCAAACTGGAACGCATTACTGGTTCACGGCTGATATAGACAGGGCGGTGGTACCTACCCGTGCGGACTCACAAGAGGTCCTACCACCTAATTAAGCAAATTATAGTTTTTGCGAGTTTGAATTTTACACACAATGTTATTTCTTCACTGTGGATGTTGTCCGTGAACATATCAGGTCTACACCTGCGAAATTTGAATATAATAATATGCCGTGTACACAGAAAATGAAAAGCCATTTTTTAATAAGTAAAATATATTTCTATCAATCAAAATATGCAGTCATAGTATCGATGCATCTCTACCAGCGCAATGGTCATATCTTCATAACCTTAGAGAAGGTAAGGGTACGAGAGACAACAAACTTTCCGAAGGCATTCTGTACTACCTCTTAGTAAGTGATCTTTGCTCTGCCAAGAAGTTGTCCAAACTTTGGAAAATATAGGAGTTTATCGGCAGAAGGTTTGGTGGGTGAGGGGGATGAGGCAGTACTCCCAAGCCCACCTTATGTAGCTTAGAGACGAAGGGCTCGACGAGTAAATTAACCCACAGCAACAGCCCACTGAGTTTCTCGCCGGATCTTCTCAGTGGGTCGCGTTTCCGATCCGGTGGTAGATTCTGCGAAGCACGGCTCTTGCTATGGCTAGTGTTAGCAACGTCATCAGGTTTGAGCCCCGTGAGCTCACCTACTAGTTAAGGTTACGCTGATATGGTATCTCGAGATCATCAGTCTAGGTAGAAAAAAAATTTGCATAAAATGGAGAGGTCTGTGCCCAGCAGTGGGTGTCTAAGGGTTGAAGATAATGATGATGTTGTTGACTTTACTTTAAGTAAATATTTTATTAGAAAACTTAGTACCCACCTGTCTGCGGGGTCCGACCCCCCACAGTCGCGTCGTTCCATCATGAGCTGTCCTCCTGTTCCCTACACCCCCCACCCACAGTATCGGCATCGCTACACCAGCACGTTCCCCAGTTAGACCCCCCCCCCTCCAAATAAAACACAAGTGGTGAGTAATAAATATCTGTATTAACACTGCAGCAGCCGGCCGCAGACGAACACAACGTGCGCCGCCCCGAGCCCCGGGGCATCGCCGATACCAGGACCTCATGTCTCAAGACCAGTAGCCTCACGCACAGTGCCAAGGATCTCATCTTGAGACACGGGCTCGCAGCCCGGTTTCCCGCCACCGCTTCGTTGAGTACTTTCCAGGTGCTCATCAGTCGAGCGGCGGCCCCCGGGCGACGGCACTGCTACTGACATGGCAGTAGCTACTTGACCACGTCGGCAAGAACGGAACCTACCCTTAACTTACTTTAAACAATTACATTACACATATACTTTATTATAACTATACATGTCTTTAGGAGTGTTGTCCTGGGGCACCGGGGGGGCCGCCATTCAGTGCCTCCCGGGGGGCGGGTGGTTCTGGCACTTCATTTTTAGATAAAACTATTTCATTTGATTGTATTACGTATTTAAATTTCATGATTTCAATTATTTCCCCGCACCCCGCGCCCTCCTGGCGGCCCGCGCGAGCGCAATGCAACACGTAATTTAACCTAATTTTACAAGTATATACATAAAATTATACTCTGAACGCGTTCTCGGCAAATGTTCATAAATGCTCACGAACACTCAAGAGTGCTCACAGGTGCTCAGAATAACTGTACATATTCCATCAATTTAAACGATACGAATTATCCGTGGTCCACCTCGTAACTCCTCCTCCCCCGCCCCCCGGGGACGGGAGGCCGGCGCTCCTGGTGCGTCAGACGCCGGCGGCCCGCGGTCACAACGACAACAATGAGATCGTAAAATAAGATTCGTTCCATAATTCCATATTTACATACAGCACTTGACATGCCAATATCGATGCCAGAAGGCGTCTGATGATTACTCTAACTTACACGCTAAGGTACGGGGCACTCGGGATGGGGGGCGCCCTCCCGGGCCCGCGTGACTACAAGTCCGGGTACTTTCTCACAGAATTTATTATTTTATATCTTAGACCAGTGTTTCCCAACCTTTTTTGTGCCAGGCCCCGCTGGAACCTTTCTAAAATTTTTGTGCCCCCATACATAATTTTTATTTTAACATTAAAAATTTATTGGTTCCCTTAAAAAACATAAATGAAAGGTTTTAGGAAGAAATCACTATGAAATTGTTATCAGAACACAGTAAGTAATATTTCAAAACATATAATAAAAATTTGAAATTGAAATTCAAAATAATTTTAATAAAGTTTTTTTATATTCATTTAATGCGATTTCCCCCCTTAATTATCAAATTACCCCCTTGTGGGGCGTGAGCTCCACGTTGGGAAACACCGTCTTAGACAATATTGCTTTATCATTTTAATATTAATGTTCCCGGACACAGGTCCGTGCACTTCACGTGTACAGAAGTCACAAATTCGGTAATCCACTGACAGGCCCACTGACATGTCAGTGCGGACGAACACTAAAAACAATATTAAAAATAAAAAAGAATGTCGCCAAGTGTACAGTTCATGGGAGCGGCTGGGTTCACTCCTCCGAGTCGTCCTCCGGCTCGTCCTCCAGGAACTCCAGGTAGAAAGAATCGCCCTCGTTGTCCGACGCCGCTCCGGGCAGGGTCAGGACAACGAAGGGCCCGTCTCATGCGTAGTTGCTGGGGCTGTGGTCGCGGCACCCCGGGGGGGCGTACGCCGCCTCGGTCCTGGGGACGGCGCTTTAGTTAGTTCGAGGGGCCGCAGTGTCCCCCGCGCTGCTCGGCCCGGGGGGCGGCCGCCTCCATGCTGTGACCACCGTGCCTCGTAAATGATAATGTACATTATTAAAAATTATTAAACTTACATGAATTCAATTTCTCTGTTCCTGAATGAGTAGAGGGGGTGCCGAGAGCCCGGAGGGGGGCTGGAGGGAGCGAAACCTGAACAAAATAATTAGTTCGACAATTAGTGATGATTCGCCTTCGCTTGAGAATGGCGGTAGGGTGGGGGTCCTTGGGGACTCACCGGGCGCGTCTTGTCGCTGGCGCAGGGTGCCGGCCTGGTTGCGGCGGAGCTGGCGCGTCTGCGGCGAGCCGTACTCCAGCGCCGAGTACGCTGCACACATTCACAAGCTCGGTGTAGTCGCGCGCATCAACTAACTGTACGATGATTCAACGCGACATTCAGCCCTCAACCGCTCAGGAGTCAACAAGAGAGCACGCTGGGATTCAAATTTATCTTAATGTGAATGTAGATTCGTGACTCCGTATGGTGACGGAATAAGCATACAATGTGTCCCCACCCCTATACTATCCCTGGGAGTCGTAAGAACCGACTATAGGAATATGCACAAGACGTCAGTGCAAGAGATGGAAAACTCAAAATTAAGCCCCGAACCAACCAGTCTAGCCAGCGTGGTACAGTAGGCTAAATACCTTTATGAATAGTAACAGAGATACCAGGCCCTTAGTACCCGGCGACCCCGCTATTCCCGACTACAGTAGCGGTTACGGTAACGGCGGGGCAGGGGGTGCTAAGAATACCAGGCAGAGACACGGCTACCATCCCCAAAAACGACGACCACTGGCCCTGGTAACACACAACGTGCACACTCTGAGGCTGGACGAGAAGCTCGTCGAGCTGGAAGAAGAGATGGACAAGCTGCGTTGGGACATTGTTCGTTTATCAGAAATCCGAAGACAGGGAGAGGATACGATAACCTTGCAGTCCAGCCACTTGTTCTTTTACCGAGTGGGAGAGCAGAAGTTCCAAGGTGGCGTTGGGTTTATCGTTCATAAGTCTCTCATGAACAACATTGTGTCCGTCGGGAGTGTGTCGAATAGGGTAGCGTCTAAACGATATTCATTGCAGGTCATACAGGTTTACGCTCCCACAGACACACGCAGACGATGAGGGGGAAGGTTTGTATGAGGACGTCAGTAGGGTCCTACATAGCTCCAAAATACATTTTACTGTTGTTATTGGAGACTTTAATGCGACGCTGGGCTGTACAAGCAATGATTAGTTGAAAGTGAAGCAATTCGGATATGGGCAGCGGAACTCCAGAGGATAGAGGTTGGCAGACTATCTGGAGAAAGAAGGACTCTATATGATGAATTCTTTCTTTCAGAAGCCGCCTCACAGGAAATTGACCTGGATGAGTCCCGACGGTGTAACCAAAATGAGATTGATTTTATCATGAGCACCACTAGACAGATATATTATATTCAATGATTTCTCTGCGACCACCGAATTTTAAGGGGCATATTGAGTATCAATGTCAGATTGGAAAGATCGCGTCTGATGAAGTCCACGCTCCGGCCGCCGAATGCACATATTCAAAACCCCGAAAACTTTCAACTTGAATTGTCGAATCGCTTTGAAGGACTAGACAGCAAAGCATCAGTGGATGATATCAACAGCAGGCTGGTGGAAACTGTCCATGCGGTAGGGTCCAAGTATTTTAAAGCCCACCGCAAAAATAGATCTCAAAAACTATCAGACTACACCTCGAACCTCATGGCTAGTCGACGTTCTATGACACTCCAAACTTCTGAGGACGCTGAGTCACATAGGCATAGAAAGGGAAACCTGAAGACAAAAGTGTACAACCAATGTGTGTTACTAGTGATGACTTAAGGTTCCGAGACGTGGTGCTTCACAAGGGATCTTTTTAGGAAGCTCAGCTTCGCGCAGCGAGCCATGGAGAGGGCTGTGCTTGGTATTTCTTTACGAGATCGAATCAGAAATAAGGAAACCCGTAGTAGAACCAAAGTTGCTGGCATAGCCCGTAGGATTAGCAAGCTGAAGTGGCAGCGGGCAGGCCACAGACCGAAGCGCGAAGATCCTCGTGTGGAGACCACATATTGGCAAGCGCAGTGTGGGACGGCCACCTACCAGATGGACCGACGAGACGGTAAGAACCGCTGAGTCACATTGGATGCAGGTGGCAACGGACCGGCCGCACTGGACATCAGTTGGAGAGGCTCATGTTCAGCAGTGGACAGTGGCAGACTGAGATGATGATTTTAGATTCATAATGTTTAATTAGAGCTCGAAGCAGGTGGGCACTCACCCCGGATCATGGACATCTCCACGGCGGCGCGGTGCTCCTCGGCGCTCAGCCGGGCCCTTGCCGCGGCCTGCGGACAACATGCGAGCGGATCAGCACCGGGCCCCCGGCCCAGGCGGGCGTGAGCAGCGGGTGCGGGACCCCTCACCGCAAGGCGCCGCCACACACGAGGGCAGTCTTTGCTCGGTGCTCTCCGAGCGCTGCGACGTGTCCTTCATACGAGGCTCGCGGAGAGCACTTGGCACCGACATGACATTGTTGATGTCCACGGGCGACAGCGACCGCTCCCGGCGACGCGGGGGCAACGAGCGCGTCCGGCCATTCCGTGCTGGACAGACGGAACTGGTGTTGTGGCGCGCTCCCTTGAGACATGAGGTCCTCTAGTGGCGACAGTACGAGGACGGCACAAGTGACCGCACGCTCTCCCCCGGACACGGCGGGGGTCACATCGGGGGCGAGAGAAACGACGACGCTGTTTGTTCCGAGGTCGGGTCTGGTATATGTCTTAATCCGTTTTAATGTGTATACTGGTGAACGACCCACCTGGTTGTAAGCGGCTACCGAAGCCGCAGGACATCAGCATGGAGTCGGTGGCGCGGCGTGCGCGTCCGTCTTTGAAAGCGCTAAAGAGACATGAGGCGAAGTCTCCACTGTGCCGGCGGGCCGGGGTGTGGTCTTGGTGCGGTCTCGGCACGTTGCTAGGGTTAGTAGAAGCAGGTCCATTACCGGCGCGTGTCCCCGGGCGAGCTGCGCCGCCGCGTGAGCCCGCTGCGCCCGCGAACCTGCGCAGGGACAGACGCTGTGATTAAGGCAAGAGGCGGCCCTCACGGGCAGGGGGCTAGCGAGGGACTATTGAGCTATGGGGCGGACGAGTGCACGGTTCACTCTATGGAAGACGACCCTCGTCCGGCGCGAGGTCAGTCTCGGTTACCTTTTCTTCAGACCGGAAATTATTGTTCGGTAGCATTCTGCAGCAACAGACATGAGGCTGTGTCACGTCGTGTAACTCAGCAGGTACTTAGATCAGTCATACTACGGCTGCGATACGCGCACGAGCGCCGCTGCAGCGCTGTGGAGACTCCAACCCGAGGGTTCCCGGAGCTCGGCGCCCAGTTAGCGGCGGACGGGCGAGGGGTCGTCCCCCCCGCGGGCCCCCGCGGCGCGGGTCACGTACCTGGTCGCGGCGTGTGCGTGGCGCCGTCCCCCAGGTCCAGCTGCAGCACGGCGCCACCGTACTCTGCGGACACAGCGCCGCCACGTCACCAAGTTTTTTAAAGAACAATGATAAAGGAATTTGAATCTTAAAACGTCAGTATTGAGGGTCGGATTCTAATAGCTGTGCGTACCTGCGGGCAGCGGCGGCCTGAAGTAGTCCCTGTTGGTGAGCAGGTGGGTGTTCGCGTTGGGAGCCATCGCCACGTCCGGCACGGCCGCCGACAGCCGCCCCGACCTGCGGACACGAGGGGGCGGTGAGTGGGGCGGGGGACACTAGCGGGGGTGGGGGCGGGGGGTTGGGGGACACGTACCCGCTCCTGCAGTCCGGGGGCCGCGGCTGCGTCTCGCGGCGGTCGGCGCGGCCCTCTGCAACGCAACAAGCCGCGTGAGTGGGGCGGGGACTCCGCGGTTCACAAACACATTTTACTGACAACAACTTCTATATATTAAGGTCTTTACTCGTAAAATTGTCGATTTAATAATTCTAATATAAACACAATAAAGACTCCAGTAAAATCAACAACACAATTATCATGATCACACATGATGATGATCAGCCCTGAGACACCCACAGCTGAGCACAGACCTCCTTATTTTATGCCACAATGTTCGGTCATCCCAATTCTCATCCACATCTCATCTCAAGTTTGGACATTCAATACTCGAGAGCGGCACAGCCTGCCTTTGAAGAATCTATTGGCTCTCGTGCACCAGATTTCTTCAAGTAGGACATCGTGAGCATTGCACTGCTGATGCCGAGAGCATGGATATTTGGATTTAAAGAAATAAAAAAAAAATCTTAATGTATACTAAACGACAATTTCATAAATGAAGACCTAAAGCTTAGTATGTGCACTCACCGAGGGGAGCGGGGTGCGCGGCGCGGGGGCTGCCGGCGGGGGGGCAGCGCTCGGGGCCGCTCCTTCTGCCACACAACACTCGGTCAGACATGCGGCCACACTTACAGAACAGTAACTTACTCTACATGCAGTGCACAGTGACGTCACTGTACAGGCGCGGCGGCGTGTCCCGGCCGGTACAGTGACGCGGGTTGGGCTAGCGGGTGTACCTGCAGCAGTCGCTGTCGGGGTCGTGTGTGCGCGGGGCGCGGGCCGGAGCGCGCCGGGGCTCCGGGCCGGACCTCTCGCCGCCGCCACCGCCATTACTGTGGAACACCGTCATGTTACGTGATGCTACTGCATCGCGGCACGTCCAGTGCTGTGCCGGGGGAGCAGTTGCACAATTCATTCAACAAGTTCCATGGTCCCTGAATATATTACCATTCGTTCTCAATGTCGCTGATGAGCAGGTCCGCGCAGGAGTCCGGCAGCGACATCTCCCGCACCGCCCGCAGCGCAATCTGCGGACACACGCACGGTCTCACACCCCCCGCCCACCCCCCGCCGACTCCGTGCGAGGCGACCGGGGTAGCTCGAGGCGAATATGGACACGCTGTTTAGCTCCACATTTTAATAAGATCATAAATTTCATTAAATACCTTAATTCAACGCAATTATACAATATAAGTAAGCGCCCCCCCCCCACCTGTCGGTAGAGCATGTCGGCGTGGTGCGCGTGGTGGTGCAGCGGGGCGGCGCGCGCGGCCAGCTCCCGGGCGCGGGCCCGCAGCGCCGCCAGCCGCCGCGCGCCCACGCACTGCGCTGCGCCCCCCTCCGCACCCCCCGCAGCGCCCTCCGCGCCGCCCGGGGGGGACTCCCCGCGCGCCGCCGCCACCTGCACGCAGCAACGGGTCAGACTGTGCGCTGTGCGGGCGCGTGCTGCGGGCGCGGGCGCCGCCTCACCATGTACAGGGTGTCCGGGATCCGGTGCATGTAGCGCTCGCGCCTGATGCGGGCCACCTCCGCCTCGGGCACGGCCTGGTCCTCCAGCAGCGCCTGCAAGCACGGGGCCGTGGTGAGGCGAGGGAGCCAGCGTCGCGCGGCAGTGTGGGTCCACAACGCACCCTGAGCTCGTCCAGGTAGGGCAGGAAGCAGCGCGCGGGGCGGTGCGCGCCGCGGCCCAGCCACGCGTCGGCGGCGCCCCCCGGAGGCCGGGCCCGCGCGGGCAGCACGCCGCGGCGCACCAGCTGCGCCAGCACCTCGTGGTCGGGCGGGATGTGCTCCACGCGCACGAGCGGCACGAGCGCGGCCACGCTCTCCCGCAGCGCCGCGTCGCCCAGCTCGCGCCGCCGGGTGCCGCGCCGGGACGCGGAGTGCGCCGTGTGCCACACTAGGTTCGGCTCTGGGGCATACGGCTCACGTTAGGGTAGCGCACGCGGCGACCTCAAGCCGACCTCACAGCGTAAATATGTCGTACTCAAGCCCCGAGCCCTGGACACGTTCAGTACAAGACGCGAGGCTGCGTGACTGACCTGGAGCGCAGTGTCGGCCTGGTCGCGGCGGGGGGTCAGTCGGCCCCTAGTCACCGAGGGATCGCGCGGCCCCGCAGGACGGATTAATGTAATATTCACAAACTGTACTAGTTCAGCGCGAGACTCATACCCCTGCCGCGCCCCCGCTCCCGAAGACACAAGGGCGAAGTCTTCACGGTTGTTGAATGGTCCCGGGATGCAAGGCTGCTCCGCGATTGAAATAGGCAAGGTGGTTCTGCCCACCGGCACTTTGTCCCCCCGCGCTATTGAAAACTCTAAGTCTCGGACATGAGATTGGCAGTCGGTTCATGTACAAACATATCTTTACGTCGATTCCCAGCAGTAAACAAGTATTTCCCAAACCGACCTCAAGCCTCAAACATGAAGCACTCAACTCGCTTAAGTGACATTCACAAGCTAGTGTGGGGGTGTGCAGACCGACCTGGCGGCTGTGCTGGCTGCGCGGCGGCCCAGCGCAGCAGCCCCCGCAGCGCCTGCGGCTCGGAGGCCTGCAGGAAGGGCGACTGCAGCGCGGCCCGCAGCGCCGCCCGGGGCAGCCGGCCCGCCGCCGCGCCGCTGGTGACCCGGGGGAACTCGTCGCGCAGGTAGCGCATGGCCTGCCGGTGCACCCACTTGGAGGCGTGCGGCGCGGCGGCCCAGCGCAGCACCAGCGGCAGCGTGTCGGCCGACAGCGCCTCCACGATGGCGTCCTCGCAGCCCTGCACCGCGATCGGCATCTCCACGAAGCTGCAACGTGCCGAGCGTCAGCGCACGGGGGCCACCAGTCCCGCGGCCCGGGGGCGGGGGCGAGAGGGGCGTTACCTGGCGATCTCGTAGAGCTGGAACACGTCGTCCAGCGCGGGCGCGGCGGGGCGGGGCGCGGCGGGGCGGGGCGCGGCGGGGCGGGGCGCGCTGCTGCGGGCGGCGCCGGGCCACGACTGCGGCACGGAGGGGAGGGGGTACAGCGGCTGCGGGGACACGGGGGGTCCGCACGGCGCAGAACACCAACGTGTCTTTTTGTTATTGTATGCAAAGGGAGCATTCGATTCATCTGGTGGTGAGCGGTTACCACGTGGTGGATGAGCGCAATGCCAAGGTCACAGCCAAGTCCCTGCCTTCCGCTGAGTACTCTCCTCAGCCTCGTTTACAGAAGGACATGTCATATCGCTTGGGACACTGCAGAGACGCCAGACTGCGCCAGAGGGGGGGACGGTAACCATGATAAGAATAATCTACATTGGTGGTGGGCAGTGAAATATCCTTTCTAAAATGCAAATGAAAACTTCAACCTCACGTCTCATGATGCTGTCCGGACACTAGACCACACTCGGAGACCTGTCGCGGGCGACACTTACCGACATGCCGCCCCCGCCGCTGCTCGATGACGGAGACGAGCCGCTCCTCCCTATCAGGCTCAGGTCGATCTGGAATAGACGAGACGACAAACAATCACACACAGCACGCGTGTTATTGAAACGGGGTTCGAAAAGATTTTCGAACAGCGCTTATGTCCAAGGGCGATGGGGACCGCTCACCGGCAGGCGGGCGGTGCGTTGGTGTTTGCTAACAATGGCCCCACTGGTACAGCCGCCAGTGCCTCACTGAATGATATCCGAGGCCCCCGGGGGCTCCATGGCGCTGGTCACCGGTCCACTTGTGGGTCGCTCGGTGCCACCCGGGGCGCGCTGTACACCGCGATAATAACTGTCCCAGGTCGTAAACTATCGTTGTTGCAAATTTGGCAGCCACCCCCCGAAAGGAAGAGGGGCTGCGTCCATCTGGCTGGCGCGACGTCCCCCGGCCACTGACCTGGTCGGTGTAGGCGGCGTGCAGCAGCGCCTTGGCGAACCTTCTCGGCAGGATCTTCTCGTCGACGCAGATGGCGCCGTTGCTGCTGGTGCGCCGACCCATCACGTTCCTGTACAGAGCGGTGAGGAGTTGCAGCAAACGTGCAGGGAGCGCTGGAGTCGACGTGGGTGCCGCAGCCCGCTTCAAAGCATGAGGTGAGTCTCAAAGGTGTGGCCCCGCGGCTGTCCCAAGCTTTGAATCGAGATGCGAGGCACTATGGTGGCGCATGACGCCCCTCCCCCGCCCCTCGCAGGCGGGCGCGGGTCGGTTCCGCAGCTTTCGGATATAATAATTGGACATGTTGCCATAGGCTTTCCGATGACTCCCTGTAGCACGAAAATGTGTTGCGCGAACACCACGCGGCCAGGAGGGTGCAAGCTCCTCAGATCTGTAGGGGGTGGGGGCCGAATTCCAAAACTATTGCTCGGTTAACAAAGTTACAAAATAAATGAACATTATTCACTGACCTAAAAAACCTAGACCTCGCCGCCAGTATGAACCGGTGGCAGGGCAGGTCGGGGCCGCGCGCGCCCTCCCCCGCCCACACCAGCCGCGCGTCGCACAGCTCGCCTGCAACACGCACACTACACTGCGGGGGGGCGCGGGGCGGCCGGGTCCCCCCCCCCCGGGCCCCGCACTCACCCGAGTCCAGCAGGCGCCGCACGTCCCGCAGCAGCGCGTCCGGCACGCAGCCCAGCGCCGCCGCCAGCCGCCGCGCCGCGCCCCCCGCGCACCCGCCCCCCGCGCCGCCTGCGCACACACCACGCTACACGTCTCGCCGGCTACTCACCCGCCGCCCCGCCACCCCGCCGCCCCGCCGCGACCACTTACACTCCGCCTCGTCCGCCTCCGCGCCGCCGCTCCTCTCGTACTCTGCTAACGGAACAGCAACAATTAGTATAGGGGACGTCACACGCGGCCCCCCGACCCCGCACCCCCGCGGATACATACTTATATACGATTAACAGAGCAAACAAGCCTGTTCATGACACAAGCCCACGCCCGATGGGGGCCGGGCGGGTGATGAGACCACCCTACCAGACTCAGTTATATCGCACGACGTTATGCATTCCTAATGTAAGTAGTTCATGAGAGAGCTCGTGTGGGGGACGCGTGCAGAAGGACCGAGCGACACAGGACAGCGCCGAGCGCACTTACTGTGGCACGTGTGGCAGTACAGCGGCCCGGAGTACAGCATCCTCACGCCGGCCACCAGCTCCTCGCGGGACAGGCTGGCGCCCGCGCCTTCCAGCGGCACCCGGCAGAAGCCGCTGTGGCAAATGGAATATGTAATTACAGGTGCTCACGGACGCTCAAATGTGACCTGAAATGCTTACAAACGCTCAAAATGAAATACACATGCTTGAAATGGCCATTGATTGATGATCCATTCCTACAACGAGAAGACAGCCAGTTAGTTTATTTTTCTATTATGTATCTCTAAAATTGAGCAGGAGCAAGGAAGATCTAATCTCAGAGCGTTAAAAGGACGAGACTGAGAGCCCCGCGGTCTCCTGTGACGTCACCTTGCGTGTTCACCATGTTCTTACAATAACAAGTGTATTCATTGTAAGTACATATGTTAACAAATCGGAACGCTTCATCCAGCGCTGACTCGCGACTCTGTCCCTGGGGATAGCAGCCGACGCGAGGTTCAAGGTGGGCCGGAGGTCGTGTGCTTCTACTTACGGGGGGCGGCCGCGCAGCAGGTCCCTGAAGTAGTGACTCCGAGCCGCCAGCACCGCGCGGTGCGCTGCCAGGGACCAGCCCGCCCCTATCAGCTCCACGTCGCACCAGCACCTGGAGGGGAGCGGGGGCTGTGTTAGCGGCGTGTCGCTGTGTGAGTGTGCGTGTGCGAGCGTGTGTGTACATACGCGTCGTGCAGCAGGGCGGCGAGGTCGGCGTGCAGGGCGGGCGCCGGCTCCCGCGCCAGCTCGGCCTGCGTGAGGAGGTCCCGCAGCGCGGCGCCGGCCTCCATCTCTTCGCACAGCACCACCACCTCGGGCAGCTGCCAGTCCCCCACCACCGACCTGATGTAGCGCCCGTGCTCGCACCCTGGGGCGCACAATACCAGACTAATGAACCGATGGCGGAGCACGCTGCGCCTTCAGTAGCCTGCCACTGCTACTCCATACTGATCTTTCAATGGATGCATGTTCGTGCAAGCAGAGTCGTCTCAATTCGAGGGGGATGACGTCATTTGTCATTACAAGCGTCACACGCCCACAACCAAATTTAAAAAAGTCAAAGTTGCTTTAAAGTGTCTTTCAGCTTTTGAAAGTGAAACATATTTAGCACAGTTGCGATTCAAAGCTGGACGAAACGGTAATGACAGTCAAATGGCGATACTAAAAAGGGACAAACATATACATTTGTGGGGGGTTAGTCTGCGAAAGAGGGAGAGATGGAATAAATTGTACGTAATTTTTCTATTACTTGTGTATCAAAAAATTAAGCTATAGGACAATGCCCATTTTCTATGGGCATTTGGGCCCCTAAAAAAAGTTGTCACGTCATGATGGTTTTAACTTATTTTGATAGACAAAGAAATATCGTTTCATATTCAGAAAACTATTTTTGTATTCTCACCCAGGTTTAAGAGAAATCTGTTTTTTTCTGCAGCTAAAATTAAGTTGTTAATTGTTTTTTTCGAAATCAATAATCGCTTTCATCATTATTTACAGTATTAAATAAGTTAATTGTGGTTAATGTTGCTAGAAATAAGCCCTTACGTACATTTTATTATTATTATATCCTCATAATAATAATAATAAAATGAAATGAAAATCCGGAAGCCGACAACGATATTGTTGTTGTTGTTTTTAAATTCGCCAATAAGCAGGCAAAGAGCGTAGCCTATACAGCCTAGTCTGTCGTAGTTATATTATTTTATGTCAATAAAAAGCCGGTGTATCTCTTTTTATTGCTTTTTGGGAGTTTTGACGTCAACTCGATGAGTGAGCATGAATTTCCGCATACCTTTTATCTTGAAAAAAAAAAACAGTCACTGCTATGTTAGCCACAGTTTTATTCCAATGCCTCAATAATCGTGAACAACGATTATTGACGTTTAATACACAAAACAACACCCAATTTATATATTACACATCACAATAAACTATTAAAAAAACATTAAAATAAAACTTCAAGTGACGCTTCACTCGGGTTGCTGCCAAAACTCTGATCATATATAATAAGAATAGAGTAATGGTAGGCCATTGATATTTTTACTAATGGAATGGAATTAAATAAAATAACTCATGGTTTTAAGTAATAATTATTATTACAATATATAAATATTGAATTGAACAAAAATAAACTAAAAAGTCTGAATTATAGCCATTAGTTATTTTTTTTTATTTGTTGTTCAAGTCACAGACAACTCTTTCGTTTGGCAGCATATAGGTTTACTATAAGGCTGTATGGGCTAAGCCCTTTGCCTATTGGCGAATTTAAAAACTATGCCACTAAGTTTTGGGATGTTATCAAATAAGTAATTTATTTTTTTGTAAAACAATGCCAGGGCGAAAGAAATGTTGATACATAAACAAAACAACGTGAAAAAATAAGGCATAGTTTTTCAAGTACAAATAGTTTTGACATAAAGTTGGCCCACTTTTGGGCATTGTCCTTTGTGAAGTTCTTTACACTTATTAACCAATAAATATTGTGAATGTTGAGGCGTTTGATACTTCAATTACGCCAAACAACTGACGCGCGTAAATAACCATGCGATTTTTATTATAATAAAATTTTGTGTCTTTATTTGTATCATTACATCAACTTTACGCCTAAAATTCGATGGCGGTATCGTTAGAGGTCCATCCATTACTGGCCTTGCAGGGGTGGGACCCTTATATACCGCATTAGGCAAAAGCTAAGAAATTTTTAAGTTCACTCAGATGGACAAAGAAGTTTAAAGCTGTACTGGTGGTAGGACCTCTTGTGAGTCCGCGCGGTTAGGTACCACTACCCTGCCTAATTCTGCCGTGAAGCAGTAACGCGTTTCGATTTGAAGGGTGGGGCAGCCGTTGTACTGCAAATACTGAGACTTTCGAACTATTATTTCAAGGTAGGTGGCGGCATTCACGTTGTAGGCAGCACCACCAGGTGGAGCTCGTCCACCCATCTAAGAAAAAATCTGGTTGATGATGAAAGCAGACGAGGTATGGTTGTTACGGGCTGAAAGGCAATACAGATGGTTATATAGTCACCTCGGTCTGGCTGCGAGTCCCTGGGCCTCCTGGTGGCGGCGGCGAGGCGTCTCCTCAGCGTGCCCAACGCCGCGCCGCCCGCTTTCTTCTTCCTCTCCCTGTTCACACACCACACTCAACAACTGGCGCGAGATGAAGCTGCACTTGAATCTCATCACGTGCTCATCACTGCTTCGAGAACCACTTTACCACAACGTGCCTTCGCTACAGATTGCTTGTGTATCGCTCTGATTACACTTTCATCATCATTCTCCTGCCCTTCTCCCAGCAACATGTTGTCTCCTTCCATACTTCTCTATCATACACAATTTCTTCGCTCAGTCGACTCTTACACATATCGTCTTTCACGCAATCCATCTATTTTTTCTTAGATCTACCTCTTCCTCTAAAGACACTAACATTTTTTCATATGTAGAGATTACATCTGATCTTGATCTCTTAACCAAGACGAATGTAATCGAACTGAGAGGCTCAGTCAGGAGGAGGTGGTTTGATAACAAGCTCCGACACCCGCAAAGGAGGTACGGTTCGCTTCGCGATAAACTTTTCCTATTCGCTCGTAGGTAGGTAGTGGGTAGGCCTCCAACAAGAAGGACCGAGGATCTATTGAGGTTCGCGGGGATCCGTTGCATGCAAGCAGGGCAGAACTTGGCTTATGTCCAACAGTGGACGTCTCCGGGCTGATAGAAGAATAAGAAGAAGAATTCGCTCACACTACTCGGCAGTATATTCCAGATTTATTAATTTTACAGTCTTTCGTTAGTGTTACATGGTTCCGCTATTTGACGCATGATGGCTCTCTCAACCTAAATACGGTAAAATTCAATCACCATTGAAAAATCTTAATCGAAATATTAGTTTCCATTACTGTTCTTGTTCGTAGCCCGCAATGCAATTTAGTTTAGCTTTACATTGCTGATTCACAAAATATTCTATTCTAATAATACCGTGTTTCATTCTGACCTAGACAACAATCCGGTGACGCACGTGTACCTACACACATTAAACTACCGACCTGCCTTCGCAGCGCTTGGGGGACTAAAATTTACTATTGATTTTATTGAATTTCCTTTTATACAAATCTGAACCTGAGAAAATAATGTAATATAGGATATTGTATAAAGAATTGTTTGTAGTACCACCATGACGCTTTAGCACCTTTTTTTGCCCTAGTGGGTATACGAGCATACCGCCCACCTGATAGTGAGTGGTTACCGTCGCCCATGGACTGCAGCAATGCCAGGGGCAGAGCCAAGCCGCTGCCTACCGAAAGTATATTAGTGGTTAAGCTTTCTTCAATTTTCTAATTTTCCGCGCAATTTTCTTATTTTTTTTTTTAATTAGAACCTTAGGTTTACAATAAAATGCCACATATTCCTTTGTGGAATGCCAAGTAAATGCGTAAGACATTTATTTTTTCTGTCAAATATGTGCTCTCCAATTAGGCATATTATGTACACAAAATGTGACCATGTCTTTCCAAAATATAAAACAAAAAAGGGCATATTTACCTTAATGACACTTATGGTCCAGTACACAACCACTACTCGCGCGGGCGATGCCGCAAATGACCAATAAGATTTTGTCGCGCCAATATCATCCAAAAAACGAACGAATGGTACAAAGACACTTTTGCCATCTGGCGAAAATAAACTGAATCTAGTGAATGTCTTTGTTCCTACAGGTAGAAATTAGTTTTTAAGGTACTTTGGCATATTTAACTCATTTTCAGAAATTTTAGCACTTCGGCCCTTGTCTTACCGAAGGTGCGATATATATAAATATTGATACTAGCCTTATAACGTCGGCCATAGTGGGAGGCGCCGGAGGTCCGCCAACACCATCACATATATCTCCCTCCTGGGGACGTGGAAACATCGAGTACATGGTAAAAACAACAGCCATTAGATCACCAACAGGAGCAGTAGTGCTTGGGACGATCATATCGAGGGTTGAAATGTTATTTGACTTAAACAACATTTTTGCAACTTTACACCACCCACCTGGGACATCAGGTTGAAATCTCAACTATCATTGATAGCAGCTGTCCCACCTGCAATATAGGATGCCTATTTGCTTCATGGACTGCTTACACAGATCGATAGTAGCTGGCAGTGCGGATGGATCACCAGGCCACCGCTACTGATAACCCAAACAGAAACATGTCTGTTGATTTTCATAGTACAATATTATTGAACGTGGAAGTCATTGGTGGAATTCAGTTAGATAGTCCCGGCAAGATTACAATAGTAATTTTCGAGTCACTCAGAATGGGCACACTGATCAGTTTATATGTATTTTTTTTTTTATTGCTTCGTTAGGTGGACGAGCTCACAGCCCACCTGATCTTAAATGGTTATCGCAACCCATAGACATGTACAATGTTAACGCCGTCACCCACCTTGAGACATGCGTTGTAAGGTCTCGCTTTCAATAGTAACTAGTGTGTGGTTAGTACCTGCGGGTGCGAGAGCGCGGCGCCCATATTAGCGACGGGCGCGCACAAACAGCACAGCAGCCGGCTCATGGGTCGAGCCCCGCCATCACAGCCGCGTACCTCCTCCTACAAGACCGGCAAATATTGAAACTACCATATCACAACATCAGGAGCAAAATATAAGTAGTTGATGTTTTTTTTTAGGATTGAAGGAATAGTGGTTTTTTTTTTTTATCTTTATTGCCTTTCTAGGCAGACGAGCATACGGCCCACCTGATGGAGAGTGGCTACCGTCGCCCATGGACTTCAGCAATGCCAAGGGCAGAGCCAAGCCGCTGCCTACCAGTGGCCCCATGGCCTTTCCAGTTTCACCAGGACAGGTGGCTTAGCCAAGAGGGGTGGGATTTGCTAACAGCTGCCTGAGCACCTCTGAAGGAAACCTGACAACTCAAAAGCAGCTGCTTCGCGAATGTTAATGTCACCCATGGACAGCGCTAGTGTCTGACAAGGTTTCATTATATACAGCATTTGAAAATGGACCTACTGAACTAATATGATAAAAGACAATCTTCTTGGATTTTCACTAGTCATAGATATAATTTAAAAAAACTTTTATACATCATAATATTACGTTTAATGTAATCCTCAATTTTGTTATTTCCTATGGGTCAAATATTTCACTTTTCATGATCATAAGGAGTGTTACATCAACATATGAATATTATGCTAACTAGCATCTTCATTATACAATATGGTACTCAGGAAACTATATATTATAGACATCTTTGTAACAATATGCCACCAGTGTAGTGATGTGAGATTTATTGGCAGCAGTATTTAAAATATACTAAGTCAAGGAATTTGCTCAGAGAAGCAGTAGCGGTTCCATGTGGTTGCCAGTCATGTGACCTAGATTTCACTCTCTCTCTTCATTTGACTTCAAATCAAACCCTGGTTGCAGAGGACCGTAATTCAAATATATATTTACCAGTTGCAATGGAAATGCACTGGCATACTTTGCTACAATGAGATGAAGCATCTGAGAAATGTTACCATAAGCAAAGATCAATGATCAATGTGGCCATTGTGATATCCTACACTTCCAGTCAAATATATGTATGATGTACATAATTAATCCCAAGACAAATTATTTGGTAGAATGCAAAAGTAGACTGAGCCTCCATCAAAAATAAGTCTCTCAGACAAATAGGATTTGCATGGTAAGTGGTAGTTATGGTAAGGCTGTTCGTAACCTCATAGAAAAGATCTTAAGGTCAAACTATGTTGAAGGTCTGAGCAGTATTCTTTATTCACCAGTAACTTGCTTATTATTCTATCCACCACTTTATGATTTTTTTTAAGTTGGTTTGTAAAGGTAAAAATTGGTGTAACAACTGTTTTTCGAATATCTCAGAAAACTAGCAGAAGGCTAATAAGTCTATGGAAATTACTTCATTGGTTGGTTTTCCCATTTTGTGAACCATTAAAATTATGAGACTTTCCAAATGTCAGGATAATATTGAAGTCTTAGAATACAAGGATACTGAACCCTCTGCCTAAATAATATTTAAATAAACTACCCATAAGAAGACTATGTACAAAAATATAATAATTATTAGATCTTTAATTACCATATTTTTTATTATGGGATTTTTGTTGAACAATAATATTGTGATCAGCTGACTGTCAAGTGTTTTGATAGAAGCAAATGCGTACAAAAGGATACACTCAGAATTAGATCTGATAGTAGATTGCAAATATGACAAAACAGTGTTCTGTGCCAAGGACAAAAATGTCTAAATTACTTACATTTCTTATAGTTCTTAGAATATTAGTTTATAAAAACAAGATTTTATCTATGTAGGCCACTGATAATTGGGCCTTTTTAAGACTTCAAATACAACCAGATCTTACAGTGATTGAGGCCATAAGCCTAATGAATGAGAACACATCATGTGTAATTAAGATATGCTCATAGATGAGAGCAACTTGGAATATAAAATAAAATAATAAAAAATATGGTATAGTCAGTAAATATCCACAAAAATCTTTTACTGAAATGGAAATTAAACAATAAAAAAGAGGGTGGATATGACTCTGATCCAGAACTACTACCAGTGATTATAACTTCAGCCCATGGACTGGATATCTTTTCTCTTGGATTTCCTTGTTGCTCTAACATACTGTAACATATAACTGAATTTGATTCTGAGGCAAAATCAGTATCATTATTCAAAACAAATGTGTGTCCAGTACAAAGAAGACAAACTTTGTTTTTTTTTTTTTTCTTTATCTTGATTACTGTTTGTGATTATATTATGCAATTTTATTCTCTTCTCCATTCTTTGTCACTGATTTATTAACTACTCGACATTGGCAGGAATGTGCTTTGAAGAAGAAACAGAAGCTTTAATAAGAATAGCAGTTTGGGGACAATCAATGTCAGTTTTTTCATGTCCATTTTCCTAATATGCTATATACTAATCTTTAGTATTAAGAAACATTTCTGTATGCAATGGACCTTTAAAATACAATCAACATTACTTTTATAACTTTATTTATTCTAAAACATATTTGTTTATTCATACAATGCACACAAATTATTTAACTATTTTCAGTGACATTTAATGTTTAATGTGTATGATTTAACTTAAAAAGTGATTGTTTTGTGATGGGAATCAAAGAGGCAACAATAAAATCAATTCTAAAGTTTTCATTACAGTGAAATTTTATTTTATGTTGTTCCGGATCCTGCACCAGCAAACATATAAGCTCTTGTTCCAAATTGAGTCAAACATATTTTGCTAGAATGAAATGTTGTTTGTATGTTGTTTGTTTGTTTGTAGTTTGTATGAAAATTATTGAATTTAAATGCTGTTTGTGGGATCAGTTTTTTTGTTTTTCAGTATACGTTTTAATTTATTTTAGGGGTGCGTCAAAAGGTGGATTTCTGACGTCAGTGCGCGCGCATCTGACCTAAACTCTATCTGACCTACATTTGGAACTTGCAACATCGTATTGACATCGTTATGTGGACATTTTTGCATTTATTAGCTAATGCGAAATGAGAGCAATAGAGAAGGACTGTGTAAAAGAGCACAAGTTCAGTACAACACCATATTCAAGCATTTAATTTATTCCATCGCGGATTTCCAAGTGCTTTAAGCTCACTCACTGCAAACAAATTGAGTAATATCGATCACTCTAATTTTTGAGTAATTTTAATATAAATAAAATCACTAACCGCTGTACAAGTACATTACAATATTGCATGAATATGTGGAAACACGATTATTTTCTTCATATAAACACTACCGAACATCCCCATTCGGTCGCCATGATATCAACAAATGATCAACTTGTAAATTTAAATTTCACTTCACTAGAGATATTCATCACTGTTATTTATGTTAAATAATGGTAAAGTAATAACATTGAGTATATTATTACATAAATAAGTCACGAATACAAGCTCGATTCGTTTTAAATTGTATAAAAATACGGAATGAGCAAGGCCCGTTATCCTCCTCCTTTATCAGATTTGACACTAAATTTAGTACTGCCGGCTTTAAAATTGGAATCTGCGTGCTGGCCTAATTGTTGCCGAAACAAAGTGTATTTTTAAATAAAAACATCGGTAGGTATTACAAGTATATTGAGTAGTTGTCAATAAATTTATAAAATTTATCAACTGTCGCCGCGCCGGTAGCGTTAGGGAATTGAATAATCTTAAAAGGTAGTCCTGTAATATTACTGGGAACCAGTCTTTCAGTACGGTTTAGAGTTATAAGACAACTATTAGATTTAAAATACATTTAATACTGAACTGTTATGATGTCTGATGAGGACTAGTTAGCAGTTCTTTTTGAGAAGGCCATGAAGTCAGCTGAACAGGGACTTTTTATTTTCCGAAGTGTGGTATTAGGTAATAAAGGTTACAGAGTTTGTTCGTACCTGATTAGTGTATTTCCGAAGTGCGTTGGAAGAGATTCGCTCAGATGCTTTACATTATGCAAATTAGGTACCGTGATTGATACTGGTATTTCGTCTATCTTTAGAAACCGCATTCCAGAGATAAAGAAACTTACAAGATCTGCAGTCTAATCAGGGCCTAGTACATTACAAATTTTCTTTTCATTAAAGGTGTAGGATCTGGAAGGACTACATAATTATAATGTGAGCCAAGTTTTGTGCATTGGCATTGGGATCCAAATTCCCAACTAATCTGTGGAAATATTTGTCTTCTGGTAACCCAAATAATTACTCTCAAATTGAAAATTTTGATGTTTTTGATGAAAAAGCGGTTTATTTTATAAAAATTGACAAGAAATAATACACAATAAGCATTAAAACCAACTAGTATTAGCACATGAATTAATGTACGTAAATAACGAAATTAATTTGTCCACTAAATGTTACAAAATCTAATCTTAACGAAATAAAAGTTAAAACAAATGGCCATCAAATAAATGTAAACAATACCTACGTAAAATTTTACAAACAAAAAATTGTTTCCGCTTAACAAAAAACTTTTTTTCATTGATACATTTAACGGATATTAGTGATTGTTGCAGCTATTGACCTGTGCAAAGGGTGAGTAGGAATTTAAAATTAAATATGTAAAAGTCCTCAGTACATAACCCGACTAGGTTTTTTTATATTCACTAATTATAATAACGTTTTCTAAGAAATTGATAAATTAGCACTGTCGAGCATCCCCAAACCTCAGACCACATGATTGAGAAGTGGTTCAGTGTTAGAAGATGCGATCGAAGCTCATTGGTATGAAAACTCGCATGCCTCCGCCTATCTTGAGACAAATTTGATAGCTGACAGAAGCAGTGGGGTAGTGGGCTGAAATTGGATCGACTACAAACCCAAACCAACTGGCATACCTAAATCTAACCTGAAGGACTCCTTGTGAAACGATGATGTTACATTTCAGTAATAATTTATCTGTCTCAATAGTCTCAATGATAAAATTTGTGTCAAATTGATCACAAAGATCTAAGGTTGACAATGTTAATTTAGTAAAATGAATGGTAAAAATCAAACCATCAGGCTATCTTATGTGTGTGATTTAAGTTATATAGGTAGGGTATTTTTGCAAATTCAATGTACATCATAATTATTGAATGTTCACAATACAGTATGCTTATGTTAAGAATAAAACGGTGTCTGTTTGACATTGTACATAATATGGTAACAGCCCTAAAACAATCTGCAATCCCAATTAGTGGTAACCTTAGGACTATGCTCAGCAATCATGCGTTACAATTTGTTGAGTTGTTGGATTGACACAGCTGTGACTCTTAGATGTCCAGCTGGACAACAGTGTGCTATGAGCAGCTATGAAAGCTAGCTAAGACATAATATCATGCAATTGTTGAGGACTCTGTAATGTCATTTGGCTGTGACTATGGTGCTAGAGATACTCTAGTGTGACCACCATTCTTCAAATAAGTATTTATCTTTAGTGAGAAATTTGTGGGTAAAGAGCTTCAAAGATGCAGATGATAAATTGTATTTTTTTTTATTTTTAATGTTTAGGTGTGTGGACGAGCTCACAGCCCACCTAATGTTAAATGGTTATCAGAGCCTGCAATTTTATTATACATAATTATAAGATGGAACAACAGCTGGTATGAGGCCAACTTTCATTTCATTGCAAACAACCGCTAAACAGTTGTGTACCCAGGTCTGATACATGAGGCTGTTGATAACTAAGACTTTAAGCTGATGTCTCAAGGTGAGGGGTGGCATGCATGTTAGGATGTATGGGTTTCAGTCACGACATATTGCGGTGCGCAGTGAACTCATTATCCATCTAAATGTAAGAGATAAATGTACATAAAAATACACATCTAAGGAAGTTGGTGGAGGTCTGAGGTGGGGGTGTATCGCATTCTGGCCCAACGGGGTATCCCGGAACACCAGCGGCATCGCCCGAGCGGCCCGGTAGTGCCGCCGTACTGTGGAGACCGACGTCGTTGGTCGTCGACTATCGCCTCGACGACCCGTCGGTCGAGCATCCTCAGGGTGGCGCCGCGTGTCTGGTTGTAGTGTTGACTGCAGGAACCGCCCTACTCTGACCGGGTATTGACCCCGAACGGAGATCGGACGTCGGGTGTAAGAGTGCAGGGGAGTCGTTTAGTGGGTGGGCCCTAAAATTCCTTGGGCCCGCGGTCTGCTTCCAACGCCTTGCAGATCGTTGAGTCCCACATACCCCGCGCGCCCCATAGGCGCGGGGACCTCGTAGGAGGCTCGGCCCTCGGCCCGAAAAAAAAAAAAGAGTGAGGTAAAGGATTTGTTAAATTAAATTAATTGGAAATTCAAATTTTAGATAATTATTATTTTGCGTTGTTTGTTGAGCCATCAGCAGTTCTATCACTCGTCTTCGTTTCCAGGAACATTACTAACACACCTTCTCTGTAATCAAGAAAAGGATGACTTAGACCAAAAACATTTTCTCTGTTCCCAGGTAACCCAATGACTACGAAAAATGAGCCAGTATCCCACCGCACAGAGCCAGGGCACAGAGTCACCGGGGAGTCCAAATATATTCGAAGAACCGGAGCAAAGCTTCGCAGCAGCAGAGAATGACAACCAGATAGATCTGCCATCGACTAGTCGAAACCATGATCACGATCCCTCCGAGGGTCCGTTAGATGTGCCCAGCGATGAGCCCATACAAATAGACTTGGCCGGTCCCTTGAGGTACGACAACGATGACAGCAACGACACGGTGCTGAACATCATCATTAACGGACCAGGACACCTCCCGGCTCAGAGCGAGGACAGCAACCTCACCGCATTCAGCGATGAGAGCACGAGACAATCTATAAATGAAGATTCGAATAGTTGCGCTTCGATCAGATTGAACCCCAGGCCCCCTGATGACATCGAACCCCCAGCCAAACTCAGGAAGATGAACGAAGTCGAAGAGGTCGACGGCGAAACCTGCCCGATTTGCTTGGACTCGTGGGGTAACTCCGGTGACCACAGGCTAGTAGCACTGCGATGCGGTCACCTTTTCGGTTCAGAGTGTGTGGAGCGCTGGCTAAAGGCTCAGAAACTAAAAGACAGAACGTGCCCGACCTGCAAGGGGAAGGCCAACTTGAAAGACCTGAGGTTCATATACGCGAGGCGCTTGGTAGCGGCGGACACTTCTCAAATTACGGCTCTACAAAAACAAGTTGAGATTCTTCAATCAGACAAGAGCAGAACCGAACTGGAATTAGAAAAGATGAAGATAGCACATCGCGCTTGCGTGCAACAGCTCGAGGGCCTACGGAGCACCCTAATGAAGTCTCAATCTAACAAGGAGCAGCCTTCCAGGAAGTCCTGGAGGTTCGCCTTGGAGAAGAACCTTGAAATATGCAAGGACGGAGGCTGCAGAGTCCTGACCTACAACTGCCGGACCTACGAGTTGTATGTGTCCCAGAAGAGCGTCAACTATCTCTTCCCTGGATTCGGGATAAGGAAGATCAGCTGTGTCGACTACAAGCTGGGGCAGTTCGTCCATCTGCACCCGAAGCCGATCCGCGACATCACGTACTCCCAGCACCGGGACCTGCTGCTGAGCGTGGCCCTGGACAGCACGGCGCGGATAGTCGAGCGCGGCATCCTCAGCGTGACGGTGAACTCGGGCATGCCGCTCTGGTCCTGCTCTTGGGACAACTTGCGCAGCAACGAGTTCTACGTAGGCGGCGTCGGAGGCGTGATCCACCACTATGACGTCAGAAACCCTAGCACCTACTTACGGATGCTGAGCTCTCCGGGGGACCTGTCACCAGTTGTGTCTTTGTGTTCTACAGAATATGGTCTCTTGTCGTGCCAGTTGAACTCATCGAAGCTGTGGGCGGTGAACACAAGGCAGTGTGAGCCGAGGGTCTTGCCCGTGGAAGGATCGTTCATGTCTCTGGCCTATGATAACGCGTCCCAACGCGCCGTCATAGCGTCCAGACCGAGTTCGAATGGTCTAGAAAGATCTAAGTTGAGCGTCTGTAAATTGAAACCGAGCATACCGAACGGCGAAGTTATTTGTGACGTGGTAGAAACATTCTCGGGGTCGCTCAGGTCCTCGTTGATGTCCAAAGTGGCCTGGGTGAGGTTAGCGAGCTCTGCGTGGGTCGCCGCTCATTCTGAAAGCGATTCAGCGCTTTATTTGCACGGCGTCGACGGCACGCGGACCATGTCCCTGCCTGCGTCGGAGCCCGCGCTGGACGTGTGCTCGGTCGAGACGAACGGAAGCAATATACTGGCGGCTCTGTCAGAGTCCCGGCTCAGGCTGTACAAGGCGGTCCCCACCAATACGTGACACGATTACATCATTCCATATTAATGTAACTTTTATATTGCTTGACGACGTTGTAGCGTTCAAATTGTCTTGACAGCTGTCATTTTTGACAAGAGTCATGAAAAATTAAATTGAGTGCTTGTTGTCTCTTTTGCTCCCGAAGCTGTGACTTCAGCATGCAGCGTCTATGGTCACTTGCTTATAACAGCGCGCTAAGTACTTTGATTTGTATAAATATAATAATTCTTAAATGATATTTTAGACTTTGTAATATAATTTATATTTAAAATGTTTTGTAAATATTAATTGTGTTGAGAAAGTAAAATTTAAACCTTGATACTGTGTTATGTTTCTCTTTGTACACCCATATTAAAGAGCTGAAGTTCTTACCCACAGAACCCCAAGTTTGAACGTAGTACATGGTGCATGAGGCAGGTGATTTCAGAAAACTGAATTATGGTATGTTTACCAAAATCAAAGACTTGCGATTGTTTAAAATGTCAAGAAAACTAATTGGATGAAATTAAGAATTATATTAATATCAAGTGTATTATCAATGATAATAACATGGATAATACACTTATAGACAAATATAGAATTTTGCTATATTAATGGTATTAGATTTGAATACTCTTAACGAGGTAAATAGCTACTGAATTTTTGTCTTTGACAATAAATAATGCTTTATATATTTAAATAGTAATATGGAACATTCTTTCTTAAGATTAGGCTTTAAAAGAAAGGATCTTCGTACCAGGTCGATCGGCAGTTCATGTACTGGTATCCAGTAAAATGGATAGGCATTTTGTGAAAAATTCACCAGTCAATCTCCTTCGGATCCTTCTGACCTGCAGATCAGACCCGATACAGGCTTCGCCCAATTTAGATTTTTACTTAGGATAGCATACTGCATTAACTGTGGGAACCAGACTTTTTTTTGCTAAATATCTTCTTGGCTTGGCCTTTGTAGTCATAAGCCTTTTCTTGACTTTGATTTCACTGTCAAAATCAATATTGTCAACTGTCGATTGAAACTTGTCAAAACTCAAAACTGAAAATAAACAGTAGGTGCACTTTTGTTTCTAGGTTTCCAATACGAAAGTCTGTTTTTTTGAAAAGAAATTCTTAAATTTACCATATTAAAGTCGTTAATTAAGTAACATTTTTATAAAACTCATTATTTGAACTGGTACAAATCATCGTAAAAACGTAAGTAACAGTATTATTTGTGAGAAATGTACCGTGTGCGCGAATGAGGTCACCACCATTGATTAGGTTTTAAAAAATAGTAAAATGTTCTTTTATTTTCGGTTTTCATTCAAAAATTCTTTTCTTTTGCGTCATACCAGAGTTTCATTCTATATACCTTTTTTCTCAGCGGGTCTAAGCCGCTGATGATGCCGGTCTACGTCCGTGCAGGTCCCACGGCCCACGCGTGGTCACGTCTTTTTTAGATAATTAAACCAGTTTGCTCACCATAGCAGTTTAATATTAAATTCTGTAGTGCGCATTTACTCTCGTATCTAAATTATAATTTCTAAAGATTAATAAGCAACGGTAACTGCTTACATCCCACCTCTCTGGTACTAATTACTAAAACTATTAGTCTATATTTACTCCAACTGCATGTCTGAAGGGAAGCATCATCTACAATATGGTTAGATAAGCAACTTGGCCATGTTAACTGCTTACTCTCTCTAGTAAGAGTGCTAGAAAATAATTGTAAAACAATCTCTACAATAACTTAGATAACTGACTGTAATTGTGTGGCACTTAAACATAAATTTGACAATTTAAGAAGGTTTAGAGTTTATAATATTGAAATGTTTGAAATAACATAAACAACAATATCAAACATGATCTTAAAATTAATTTTAATTTTATCGATACCTCGCTAAAACCTAACAAAATACAATGATTAGTTGTAAAACTGAGAGTAAAGTGAATGAGTACTCATAAATAGCAGCACTATGTCAAAAAATTATTAAAATATCATGCAGAAAATTCATTTATTCATTTAAGAGTGAAACTTGGTATGTGCATATTCAAAATCATAATTTTTTTCGGTAATGATTTCTTTGCACATAACAAATGAAGAATGAAAGTATTTCAGAAATGTTGTACGTTATTGTGGATGTTTGAAAAGTTTTGGGGTAGTTTTTGCACTGGTAAAATTGACAGTGATTGTATTAATGTAGTTATTGATAAATTAATCAAATATTTAATAGGTCAGACCATATATTAGTAGACTATTATCAAAGCCGGCAATCTGACTTTTGGACAATTATTGGTAAATCAGAAAAACGAATTAGTGACTTTGTATTCCATTGGCAGTCACAAAACTCTTCGGAACGACATCTTAGATAAATAACAGGTTAACTATTAACTTTTATTTAATGCAGGTTTTGAACCGTATTCTTTGAAGGAGACGATTATATTCAAATCAATCTGTATTGACATATCAATAACATTTTTTGGTCCAAATGCACAGATTGCCACCTTTGATAATAGACGACTCATATATTGTATGATAGTTTTATTACAAACTCTAAGTGACAGTCATCTATTTGTAAATAGAAACATCAATTATGTTACGAAGCGTAACAAGCAATTCCAAGTGTAGTAAGAGCAGACAAAAAAAAACCAATCAGTTCCTTATAAATTAAACACTCAGGAAAAATCATTCACGTCCTAGAGCCAGAGGGTAGAGTGTGGCAACATTGAAATTGAAGTTTAAAGAGCAAAGCGAAACAAATTTTAATTAAAGTGGAGAACAAAATATGACATGCTATACCATATTAAAGACTATGTCACTACTACTAGGTATATAATTGATACTAGCGAGTACTGAACGATATTTTATGATATCGATTCATAGAACTGTCAATACATGTGTCTTTGATTAAAACCGTTTCGTTGTTATTGAACTGTAGCTCGTATAAATATTTATCATTTTTTATCTTTCACCGAATACTAAGTATAGGCAATGTGATTTTTTATCGTAGTCTTTTAAATTGTGCCTACTAAATTTGTTTATATTTAAATGCTATAAGCTTTTTTTCAGTAAACACAATGGCGAACGTGGACCAGTTGCTGCAGCATGTTGCCCAGAATGTAGAGAGACAGATTGACAGTGAAATTGAAAGGTAAATAACATGGTACTGAAATCTTAGAACATATACCTCAAGGTAGGTGGCATTTACGTTGTAGATGCCTATGGGCTTTGGTAACCATTTAAGATAAGATGGGCCGAGAACTCGTCCACCCATCTAAGCAATCAATAAAAACAGATTAATAGTATTATTAAGAAGCAGATGCATCGATAGTACGTTCTGTAATCGATTTGCGTGTGATGAGCTCCCAGTGGTATAGGGACGCTCGAAAAAAAGATTTTTTGAATCTATCTTTTTTTTATTGCTTGGAAGGGTGGACGGTCTCACAGTCCACCTGGTGTTAAGTGGTTACTGGAGCCCATAGACATCTATAACGTAAATGCGCCACCCATCTTGAGATATAAGTTCTAAGGTCTTAGTATAGTTACAACGGCTGCCCCACCCTTCAAACCGAAACGCATTACAGCTTCACGGCAGAAATAGGTGGGGTGGTGGTAACTACCCGTGCGGACTCACAAGAGGTTCTACCACCAGTAAATTCTGTATCTCTCCATATTACAGATTAGACGCTCTGGAGAGTGGGGATCTAGAGGCGATCAGACAACAACGCATAGCTGAAATGAAGTTAAGAGCAAAGCAGAAACAAGAGTGGTTGGCCATTGTAAGTGTTGCCAGCACAAAATTATTTTATATTTATTCGTGTTTTCTACAGAGAGTGTTGTGACCATTTCCGTGAGAGTATTGTTTTAAATTGACGTTTCTGGTAAAATAAGAGGCAACCGTTCTCGAAATTAAAATCTATCATAAAATATCGTTTCGTACTATATAGTATCTAGTAGCCGCTAATAGTCACTCTGTCTCACTGTGCTGTACCATGTCGTACACTATTACTCTGCACTACGTCGCTTTGCACTTCGTGCGAATCCTTTTCTCCCTCTAGAATCCAACCTCGTAATTGACGCGTTTGTTTGCACGTATACGCTCCACGCCATGGCTCCGGGCCGCAGACGATACTCGCTACATCTGCTCGTGCGATACGATTTTTGACAAAGTTTTGATTGTTCAACGTCCTGCTTCTGCTCCTCACTACTGACGTTTTCATGTTATCGATTAACGCCCGTGTTTGCCAAGAGATGGATGTCCTCCCAAGCCACTCACGGTTCCATATCCATGAGAAAATCCTTTACAAGTAGAGCGTCTTGTGAGCCCGTCTTCTGTGTATGGTTTGGCCTTGAAGCAGTGGTGCGTTTCGGTTTGGAGGTTGGAACCGCCATTGTACTATAAAACTGGACTTAGAACTCATGTTTAAAGGTGGCTGGCGGTATTTATGTTGTTAAAGCCCATTAGCTCTTGTAACCACGTCATTTTGGCTGTATGCTTGGCCACCAGTCTAATCAACAAAAACAATAATAGCATCTCCATTCAGGGTCACGGAGAATACACAGAGATCGATGGAGAGAAAGAGTTCTTTGCTGTTTGCAATAAAAGTCAGAATGTCGTGTGCCATTTCTACAAGTCGGACTCGCCCCGCTGCAAGATCGTGGACATGCACCTCAAGATCTTGGCCAAGAAGCACATCGAGACGCGGTTCGTGAAGTTGGACGTGGAGAGAGCGCCGTTTCTGACCGGTGAGGCGCTGAAGCTTGCACACATGGTTCGTTTATCAACGTCTATAAGCCATAGATACTAATACTCGATACGTATTCACAGGTCGGCTTAAAATACGCGTGATCCCAACCCTAGGACTAGTGAAGGACAACAAGACTAAAGACTTCATAGTCGGTTTCACTGATCTCGGTAACAGGGACGACTTCTCTACGGATATACTGGAGTGGAGGATCGCCAGGTGATTGATTTTGCATTGTTTTATTCGTTTGGTAGTTGGGAACGACTGTGGGTAAGAAGGCTTCTTGTAATGGAAAATAAGTTTGAACCTTAGTATTGTGTTGTTATTACTCCTATCTATATATTTATGTGACAGAATATTTAAATGCGATTTTCACTGACTTCAAAACGTTTGATTGCCTTGGTAATTTGGATACGTATCAAGGACTTCACCACTTGGCGTAATATCTAGACCAGGATCTTAGGACCAGGACATTAGAAGACATGAGGTGTCAGAACTGTTCGCGAGTAAAATTTACCGTGTAGGCTCCCTCCAACCGTGCACTCACCATACTAGCACCACTGTAGTCATTGTTATAAGAAGTGTGTTGCGAAGTAAGTTATAAACTGGCTTTTTTAAATTTTGTAGATCTGAAGCAATAGAGTATTCTGGTGACCTGTTGGTCCCTCCATCGGAAGCCAAGAAACAGAAGTCCTTACACATTCAGAGCAAAAAGACTATCAGAGGCCGGGATGAGAGTGATTCTGACGACTTTAGCGATTAAACAGTATTTTTTTGTATGAAGAGTGTATCATATTAAGTCTCCCATAATATTACAGCGCTATGGCTAGTCCATATACTCTTGGATCTGCCACTGAAATTTGGTGGAAGACTGAAATGAAGAAATAAAGAAATGTACCCCTAATTTTGTCATTGTCAATAATCTGTTCTCTCGATCAAATTGTTCGTATTTTTTTAATAAAATTATGTTTAATAATTGTCTTTGTGTTTTTTATTTTCATTTATTATTATTTTTATTATGTCCTAATATCTAGGATTTGGATGTACTAGAGACGATTAAAATGTGCTGCTAAAATGACTTCCATACTCGTGATCAACGTCTGATAACCGGCTAATTAAGCGTACTGTGAGCCATTGCTTATGTTGCGGCTAATTCTGCCGCCAATCGGTTTTGGTTGGAACGTGAACAGGCTTTACACAATAAAACTGATTTTGAGTTCATTTGTTTCCTATGGACCCAAGAAACCATTTAAAGACGTGAGTGAATGAAGGGGTTAAGCTATTTAAGAGTTTTGAGTTTTTACATTAAAGGTGCTATGTAAATATAAACCATATTAGACCTTAAGACTTTGGGTTTAAAGGCTATTTTTAGAAATTGCATGTGAAGGAGTTATGTGCGAAGAAAATATTATCACGTTAAATGAAAGTGATATGGGTACTTAACGTATTCTTTAATTTTAAATAATTTTTGGGATGCTGAACGACAAAGGGAAGATCTTCCACCGAGTGGGTGATGTTGCTCGGTAGACCGATGGTCCGAATTTTGTTGCTCGGAACTTGTATATATGCAAGCTTATCTTGGTAATGTCGTAAGCGAGATTCAGGCATCTGTCAAATATCTTGCGTTGTACGATGGCTACCCGCCACAAATTCTTAAACCAATATTCCTATGATTTTTTTCGTTTTCTTTCTTCATATTGGTAAATTGACAAAATTGACAAATTGTATCATATCCCCTGCATCCACTCATGTCTTCATTTGTCCTTATATAATAAATAAAAAAATATGCGGCTACTCCGAATACAAATCCGAATACAAATTTTAGAGTAAGGTAATAATGCAGGCCACTGCAGCTAAATCTACGAATCAACAACTAGAACATACGGAACCAAAACAATGTCGAGCTTGTAAACTTCATGTCTCATGTATGTAAACCTGAGAATAATAAAGAAGTGATTTTTTTTAAATTTAGCATCGCGCAGTATGCGCGCATAAAAAGAAGTGATTGTTACAGCATATGTGAATAGTTAGTGATTCCGCATAGAACCACTCCATCCACTTCCACTCCGGTATAGAAGTGATTGTTCTGGAATCGATGACTTGCAGAGCTTACTATGGTTAATTTTCTAATACTGATATTAGCTGTTCCTAGTATACTAGAGTGTACCTAGATACCAATTCGTCATTTCTCTATTCTTATCAGCTGAAGTTTGTTTTGCTGACAACTGACAAGTGACAGTCATCTTCGGTTCGAAGTACGAGGTTGGCCACGATCGTTACGACAATGTTCTTTATTTATTTATTCATAAATCGAAATGTAAATTAATATAAGAGAATTATATGTGGGTTAGTAAATGAACTTGAAGTTATTTTTTAAGTTTGAAAGTCTGTGTCAGTTAAAAAAAAAGTTGGTGACAAAGAGGAACCTTTTAAGGTTTTGCGTAAGTCTAGTAATGAATTTATAATATCACATTATCGTATGTCCTGAATAACTCTTTGTTTCTATATTATTGTATGTAACAGTTTATTTCAAGGTTAAGTGTTATTCAACCTTTGGTCTAACGAGGTGTAAGTACTAAAAATAAACATTAAAATGTTCTCTCGGTGAACGCCCTCGAAAAGCAAAAAGGTTTTCATTCTTTCGGACGTCTCAAAGGCTTAAGTAGTTTTAGCTGCGGAGCATTTTCAATTTTTATCTTTAAATCAGCGATAATTTATATGGCACGTATTGTGAGGCTTAATACAAGAATATGTTTGTCAATTCTGTTATCATAGTGATTATGTTTTGCATACAGTAAACGTGAGTTTTGATTAATCTTTAAAATGATATATTGTTAGGTTACTGTGTGTGTAAGTAATTCTATGGAGTATGTGGATAGTTTAATATAGGTAGATCAAAATAAAATAGAAGTAGGTACTAGAATTTTTGAAAATCATTGGTTCAACTCATGAACTCATTGGTTGATCCCAAATTAAGATAATAATTTTATTAATATAAGTTAATACAATTCATCTAAAATTTATACGAGATTTCAATTAACTGTTATTTACAAACATCACCATCCCATTGAAGTATTCTATCTGTAGACTAATGCAGTATTTAAGTTCTCTTACATCACAATTTTTGTGTTCATGAATTAATTGTTCATCTTGCCCTTAGGTATCCCACTTAATGTGGGATCGGTACTGTGGAGTTTTATGACTGTCAGGCTGCCTGGCTTATTTCAACACTATTTGGGTTATATCTCCAGTAGCATACATACAGCAACATGCTGTGATGAGGGACTATTTCAAATGCTTCTTTTGGTGCACCTCTTACTTCATTCTTTTTCAGTTCTCTGATTTCCATTGAATTAAAATTCAGGCTTTGAAATACCAATAAAAAAAGGAATATTTTATCTGTTTTGCTATGTTTTAACATTGTTAAAAGACTAGTATAAATGATTCACAAAACGTTTTCTGTTTGTTGTAGGTGATGTGAAATAGAGTGATGGCTGTTAGAGAAGCACGAGTCCCCGTGCTACATGAAGACAGACCCACACACGGACCGCACGGTGGGTAACAACCACCAGTAGTAGCATTTGTTGTGGCCATAGCCATCAGAGAACACAAGATATTAATTGACAGATGCCTGAATCTCGCAACATTTTCAAGATAAGCTTGCATATATACAGTTTCCGAACAACAACATTCAGACCATTGGTCTATCCAGCAATATCAGCTACTCAGTGGAAGATCTTTCGTTTCGTCGTTATACCTACAGCTGGAAAACGTCATAAGCGAGATTCGACATCTATCAATTAATATCTTGTGTTCTTGGTGGCTACTGCCACATTTGTCAACAAAAACAGTGTCATAAGATAAATTCTATGGCCATCGATTCCATTGGTAGTGTTGTTGTCTGCCCCTGGTTGCTCATCAGGCATATGGTTACATGACCCTCTTTTTAAATAGATTTGCGAGTTCACGACTTTTCTGATAATGAGTGTTTCCTGCAGTCTACGAACATAATAATGTTAATATCCCTGTCGACCTGATGTGAGATTAATTCTATTGTATAAGCACTGTCTCACCCTTAAATCTGTATTATGAAATAGTCACCAGTATTATGCATATTCAAACAGTTTATGGCTTTGATTTTAATACACATTTGGGAGTATGGACTAAGCGAAGACCTTCCACTGAGAGAGTGAAATTGCATGGAGGACCAACAGTCAATTTTATTTCTTTAGGTTAGAAGGATTTCTGTTTGCTTCGAGGTCAGTTTCACTAGAGCAAATGGTCCGAATGTTATTGTTCGGAACTTGTATCTATGCCAACTAATCTTGAAAATGTCATTAGCGTGATTCAGGTATTTGTCAAATGTCTTGCGCACTGGAGTAGCTACTGGTACAGACGATCCTTCACAGAGGTCGTCAGGTCAAGGTACCTGCCCTCGGCTCCTTGTCCTCAAGCATTTTGTCCTTTACCCCGGCCGGCGACTCGAACGTTCTACGGAATTCGATAACCTCTTAACAACGAGTGGGCCGCGCGCTCGTCTACCCAACTACGCTAATGATCTCGTAATAGGAATGTCGAGTTTATCATGATAACGCGTTCAAGGTCCGTGCGGCTGATATCGGCGATGTGATGTGACGTCACTCTGAGGGCGATAGTGACGTGGTCTGCCGCAGCGGTGAGGGGCGCGCGGGGGGTCGCTGGGGGTGGGCTTATCTTCGTTATAAGTCAGATCCAGTAGCTGCAATAGGAACTAATCTGTATAGCTCGCTCCGAGCCGCGTTCGGAGGAGTATGCTCATCTGTCAACGAAGACAGTGGAGTAGTTACTTCGAGATAACGCTAAATTTTACCCGCGACTTCATTTACGTAGAAGGTGAAAATATTTTTGAATAATAGAAAGTTGAGGAGCTATTTAAGGTACCAAAATCACGCTTTTTAACCAACTTCAAAAGAGGAGGTTATCAATTCGACCACAATGTTTTTTTTTCACCGATTTCTCGAGAATGCTTGCGCCGAGTCTGATAACTCTTTTTTTCTTTTTTTTTGTTCGAGATGGTAGACTTCCCGAATGGTCCTGTAATTATTAGGATCGGGATCTGATGATGGGATCCTGGAGAAATCCAGAAAAATATACAATTTTTAAAGCCTATCTCGAATTGATTTGGGTGTTTCTTGTTATTGTTCTTATTATGTGTCGTTGTGCACCGGCGCGGCGGTCGGCGCCTTGTACGTTATTATTACGCTCTTGATAATTATTTTGCTGCGATGTTAAGATGTTATTGAGCCTATAGCCTTCCTCAATAAACGGGCTATCTAACACTGAAAGATTTTTTCAAATCGGACCAGTAGTTCCTGAGATTAGCGCGTTCAAACAAACAAACTCTTCAGCTTTATAATATTAAGTATAGATGTTAATTAAACGAAGTTCACAGTACACGATTATATTTAAATTAATAAAAGAAAAGCAAAAAACGAAACTGATCATCACTGGTGGTAGGACGTCTTGTGAGTCCGCACGGGTAGGTGCCACCGCCCTGCCTATTTCTGCCGTGAAGCAGTAATGCGTTTCGGTTCGAAGGGTGGGGTAGCCGTTGTAACTATACTGAGACCTTAGAACTTATATCTCAAGGTGGGTGGCGCATTTACATTGTAGATGTCTATGGGCTCCGGTAACCACTTAACACTGGGCTGTGAGCTCGTCCACCCATATAAGAAATAAAAAAAAAAGAAAACTGAGCTATCTGAACAACAAGAAGGTTTATTTATTCGCTGGCTCTTATCTCATTTAATAGTTAGTTTAGTTGCAAGCTCCTTAGTCACTATCCTTAGATACATTCTATAAGATATTCCTGATAACATCTCGACTGTAATGTATCTACAATTCGTCGAGCTCACACCAGATGGCGCCACCAGTGCGCTGTCCGCTAGCGCCGCTGTTGTCCATAGACTTCTCTCTTACACACTCTATTGTTATGACAGGACTAAAATTTGTGGTTGTTAGTGATTCGAATTGTAGAGGGAGAGGTAGACCTAAGAATAAAATTTAACAAAAATAAAAACCGACTTCAAATTTAAAAAAAAAAAAAAGTGTGTGTGTCCGCTCCGACGCACGACTGGAGTTTACTGGATATAAAAAATTAAACGAAACAATACGAGAAATAGTTCTATATTACGACAACACGATACACTACAGATTATTAACAAATTAACGAGACACAAAACAAACGACTAACAAATATATGAAAATACAATAATGAGAGAAACGCGCGATCAGTACGAGGCTTTGTGGCGGACTGCCGGCGCAGCAGCCCGGCGTCACCTGCGATAACGCGGCCGCGCGTTGGCTCCTGATTGGCGCGCGCACGCATCACGCAATCAGGAGCCAATCAGGCGCATAACGCATTTCGTGTGACATGCTAGTACGATTTTGGTCCCCATAATTTTCATACCCCGGGCCTATATATGTAAATCGATTCTAAAGGAGTAAACTCCAAAAGAGATATTCCAAAACAAATGAATATACACTAACAACAATAACCATCGAAATCGGTTGGCGTGATATTGAGTTATTGAGTTATTCATCTATTTGTCGCGCACCTACTTAATGTAAATTTTAGACTTATATGGTTTTCTCATGGATAACATTATCAGAACTGGACTAAATTGTAATGGGACCACACGGGTCTGGTGAGTCGGTACGAGTAGCTACTACCAACCCGCCTATTTCTGCCGTGCGGCTTGAAGGGTGGGACAGCCATTGTTATTAACGTCCATGGGCTCCGGTAAACTCTTAACACCAGGCGGGACGTGAGGTCGACCACCCATTTAAGCAATAAAATAAATTTCGTTTTTACTATCATGTACATTTTAAGTATTGTGTTTGATCGTTAGATGTGGCCCGCAAGTCGGAGGGTGGTGGAGCAGGCGTGCAGCTGTCGCGGACGGCGACCGTCGTGACGTCACTGGCGGCGGGCGCGGCGGCCGGCGCCGTCGCCAAGACGACCATCGCACCCCTGGACAGAGCCAAGATCAACTTCCAAACATCGTAAGGCCGGTCCCGACGCTTGTGGCCGTCCGCGGTCTACTCAGGGTTGCGAGCATTCGTATAGAGACTTAAAGCACACCCACAAAGTTAGCAAATTTTACCCAGAGAGCGCTAATTGTATAAAGCCATTCGCCGGGGAGGAGTTGGTACACTTGGTACAACCCTATGCCTTTTAAAAACCTTCGATTTCACAATTTTTGTTCGACGTCAGCAGCTACATTCCTGCTGTATCCCTGAAGTAGACACCTCAATTCATCCTTTCAACTGAACATAACTGTTAGAGAAATACTTCTGCTAATTCGTTGGTGCAGTGACCTCAAGGGGACCATGACTTGGATACCAAGAGATGCCATCCCATGAAATCCGGACACGGGTAGCTTATAATATATATCGTATACTAGTATAAACCATACATGTATACTAGTTAGTATAAACTAGTATTTACCACGGATCTTGACTCGGCGAGTTCAATGACCGCGTCATCGCGGGACCACACTCGCGCTACTGACCGTCGTCGCAACAATCTCTAAACCCATTTGATCCAGCATGTGCCGACACGTAGACCGAAGACCACAGACTGTCGTGTTCCAACAGTCAGATCCCGTACTCGTGGCGCGCGGCGGTGCGGTTCCTGGTGCAGAGTGCGCGCAGCGAGGGCGCGGCGGCCCTGTGGCGCGGCAACAGCGCCACCATGGCGCGCATCGTGCCCTACGCCGCCATACAGTTCACCGCGCACGAGCAGTGGAAGCGCGTACTCGCCGTCGACACGCCGCACACCGCGCAGTCAGTATCCCGGAGTCCGCCGGGGGGCAGCGGCCGCCTGGCGTCCGGCAGACAGGTCGTGCTCCGCGGGCGAGGGGGGGGGGGCAGTGTTGAGAAGATGATGACGGGATCATCTCAAACGATATATTATCTAACCACATACTCTCCCCTCCGACCGGTCAGCACGCACAATATATGTCAAAATCAACTAAACAAAAAAAAAGTTCTTGCGTACAAAGTACACATGTCAGAAGTGAAACTTTTTTGGCGAACTCATTTATAAGTCTTGCTTATATTTATACAAATCTAAAACTTTAGATTTCCGAGACTTAGAGGAAGGGAAAAAGAAAGATATGTTCCCGCCACGAGTCTGTCAAATGTCAATCTCAAACCTCAGTGTTGACGGTCACATTATGTTTAGATGTCTAAATTGTAAATGACTAATATTTTGCCAATTGAATTGACTAATTTAATTTCATGCTATTTGATTAATGTTCCAAATTCTTTTCATTTCATCTTAATTCCTATTAACATTTTCACAAAAAAATTATAAAATATTAGGCTGTATGGTATGATACATTTGCCTTTCCAGTTGGAAAAATACAACAACTACTACTACTGACATTTGACAAGTACTTCATTTCAATAGTAGTTTGATGTCACTTCCGTTGCATACCTGCGTGACGTTCTGTAAAAATTTTACCTCCATGCGCCTAAAGAAGTTTCACTTCAAAAAAAACAATAATATACCTAAGAGAACATTTTATATCAATTAGCCCCTTGAATCAGCTCACCCCGCGAGGGACGAGTCTATAAGTATTTGAGCATTGCAAATGAAGCGCGTGTAGTTTTTATACGATAACATAGATTGTGGTCCAGACAGCATCCGATCAAGCACCTGATAGCGGGGTCCCTGGCGGGCGTGACGTCACAGAGCGCCACCTACCCGCTGGACCTGGCCAGGGCGCGCATGGCGGTCACCAACGCCACCGAGTACAGGACCCTGAGGGCCGTGTTCGTGAAGGTGGTGCGCGAGGAGGGCTTCCGGCGGCTGTACAGGTGAGCGGCTGCTGTTGCGGCCCGGGGGCACGTCGCTGCGGACACTAAACGCCAGTTCCTTCCCCAGGGGCTACCCGGCCACCGTGCTCGGGGTCATCCCGTACGCCGGCGTCTCCTTCTTCACGTACGAAACCCTCAAGCACAAGTACACAGGTGAGGCGGCGCAGCTCCAGACGCAGCGCCCCGCTGGTCCACTACTGCTGCGCGCGACAGTAACCGCGTCCGTGTGTCCGCAGAGCACTTCGGTCCCCCGCAGTCGGCGCTCAGCAGCGTGCTGTGCGGCGGCGCGGCGGGCGCGCTGGCGCAGACGGCCAGCTACCCGCTCGACATCGTGCGCAGGCGGATGCAGACCCGCAGCTACCCCACCATGCTGGCCACCTTCCGCGCCGTCTACACGTCAGTACCCGACACAGCTTGTGCACTGTGTACACTATCATATTAAAGTTATCGAAAAACAGATACTAAAAGACTCGTCCCACTTTTGTTTCCTCCAGGACTGAAGGATGGCGTGGATTCTTCAAAGGACTGAGCATGAACTGGGTGAAGGGACCGATAGCGGTCGGCATATCCTTCGCCACGTACGACTCCATCAAGGGGACGCTCCGGGACCTGGCGGTGACGCTGCAGAGCTAGCGCAGACTGCATCTGCAGAGTGTAGTTCCGACTCCCTGTTCACAGATGGCGTTGCTTACGATGAAGCGTGGAAACGAAAAATGAATGTTGTGATATAAGTATTTTTAGTTCAATAACAGATGGCGCTGTGAACAGACGCCGTTTTGTGTTTGCACGCACTGAACCTAAATGTTTATGTAGTTGTCGGTAGATGGCGCTACGATCAAATATAAAGGATTTAAATAACACTGAGCTCTTAAGAACAGCAAAAAACGAATCCTCAACAATAATTACCGATGCTCCGAAATTTCAAATTCTTGAATAAGTCGCCCTACATTATGATTAGATCGGACGGTGCTAGATGGCGCTGTGCGGGCGTCGCCATTACCTAACAGTTTCCTCTGCATCTCCCGCTAGATGTCGCCGCGCAGTATATTCACTATCCGGCCAACAGATGGCGCTAACCGTAACAGACTAAGAAGTAATTATTTCTGTATATCTGAATATATTATATTAATAAATAAGATTAATGACTGAATCTAAATGAAGCGACAATAATTGACAGACTCTCGTAGAGCGCGACTGGGAACGTTAATGTTTATTGGTGAATAAGAAAACTAATATTGATCTGTAACTTATTGTGTATACGTTGAACTTATAGTGCGCCCCCGGGGGACCGCGGGGGAGGCCCTTTGTTGTCTTTAAAGGGGGTAATATAGGCAAAGAAGTGCTGAGTACAAATAATCACGTGTTAATGAGTGTAGCACAGTTGTCATCGCGAGGGTCATCTTACTTTATGTGCTGGCTTTAGAATCGGTCCTCCCCGCCGCGTCCCCCTCGCCCCCCGGTCCCCCGGTCCACTGCCTGTTGTTAATTGTGAAGTATAGTGTTGTCGACGTTGTAGCTATGAAATGTTTATAAATATATGAAAATAAATGATTTATTGTTTTGTTAATGTGTTTAATTTGATATGCGGATTTATTTGGCGTTGCTGGATGCGCAGACACTCCCATAGTGGGTCCCGTGTTGTCTGTAGAGGCGACACTGCTTGTGGCAGTGGACACAGAGACCTACTGTCTTTTTATCGGTCTTTTTATCTGCCATCTTTAAGTCCGCACAGGCGATGCCCCACCTCCGTACCCCCTGCCATGATGGAAGAGGAGTCGTCGGGGAGGTAACGGTCTGGGACCCCGTAGGGCCGTATCCCGATTCAGACAGTAACTTTTTTATTGCCTTTGTGATACTATACCATGATGATGAACATACGACCCACCCGATGGTGAGTGGTTACCGTCGCTCGTGGGCTACAGCAATGCCAGGGGCAGAAGGAGGACATGTCATAGCGCTCGGGAAACACCGTGGAGGGAAGCACATTCCAAAGCCAGATGGTACGTAGCAGAAAAGATCTTTGGAAACGCACTGTGGATGAACGCCGTGGCTCCAGGTAGTATGGATGAACTCTACTCTGGCGGCGGGCGGGGCGACGGTAGAAATGAGATGATGGGATCATTTCAAACAATTCTTCAGAGCACTCTTAATGGATTCCCGCCTACACTGTCTCGGAGCGCTGCAACTTTTCACCGACAACTGGATATCTCGTTAGATATCCAGTTACGGCCAGTAACGGCTTTCGGTTCTAATGTTAGGAAAGAAAACCATTTTTTTACTTAAGGAAATGATTTATTAATTAAATTAATAATATATTTTACAAATCTTATCGCTAACTATTGCACGTGTTAATGACAAATGACAATAAATCTAATTACCGACTAGAATATATCGCTAACAAAAGCTAACTACGAGATTATTGAACAATTTAGACGAAAACAATGTTATGTAATTGAATTGTTAACCGATGCTACCCCGTCATGACGCGGGAGCCCGGCCCTTCGACCTGGGAGCGCACGGGACGCGGCTGTGGGTGTCAGCCTGCACAGCCGCGTCCAGGATGTAGCAGGTCTCCAGGAGGCTTTTATTTTTACTTTTTATTGTTTTGATGTGTGGACGAGCTCACAGCCCACCTGGTGTCAAGTGGTTACTGGAGCCCATAGACATCTACAACGTAAATGCGCCACCCACCTTGAGATATAAGTTCTATGATCTCAGTATAGTTACAACGGCTGCCACACCCTTCAAACCGAAACGCATTACTGCTTCACGGCAGAAATAGGCGGAGCGGTGGTACCTATCCGTGCGGACTCACAAGAGGTCCTACCACCAGCTCAATCGTGAGCTCATCAATCTAACAGTATTATTGTTCTCTGTTGCCAAACAATATCTATTTGTAATAGGACGGCCTATTGCGACCCTACTATTATGATGTCAGTAATATTGTTCAGTTTGTGTTTAAAATCCTCCAGCTATTTGACTAACAACGCTCCCCCTCGCTTCGGGGACTGAAAAAATCAATAGCCAATAAGCATTCGTTCAAATGATGAATCATGTTACGTTTTAGTCAAATTAGGTTGACGTCGCTGTGCGCCCGCGGACCGCGCCACGCTCGCCGGCGACCGTGCACGTTTTAACGACCCTTTGTTGGTTTAAACCGAAAGTCATCGGATAATCTATTTAACAACAAATAAAAACGATTCCATTGTTATAGCTGGATCCGCCATCTTGTGTTAAATTCAAATTTTAGTTTATTAGTTGTGTATGTAAACATATGGTTTTAAGTAAATTTTAATACATATTTCAAATTGGTGAATTTTGATGGAGATTAGCATTGTAATTAAACTTTATTATACCTACGTTTTAATTCCTCGTTTTTTATTGTTATTATATCGAGGGATTGAAAGGCTAAAGGATGTTTGACTTAAGTGACATTTTTGAAATTTTACAGGAGATCCATATAAAGTTTAAAAATTTAGAAAAAATATCATGACAAAAAACTTTTTCAGCCAAACATTTGGATGGTGTAAACATAATTGAAGGTCAATTAAAAACAACGAATTGTTGATGTTAATAGATACCAAATAAGATCTTTAATTACAAAGATAAAGGTCGCGTGCTAAGCGAAATGTTGCCTTAACCAAATCATTCGCACCTCTACACGTCTTGAGCATATCCTCCGGTTTTCACGATACAATTTAGTTTTATTATTAGTTTTAAAAACATCAGAAACAATAAAACGAGTATACGCGAGTCTAAACTTTTGTTAAATTCACATCCCGCTCTTGTAGTGCGAGTTATTTAATTGAGACAGTCGCAGGCAGGGCTGCCAGCCCCAGCATAGAGTAAGACTGTAGATATGCTCCAAAAAAAGTGCAGAAAACTGTAAATATCAAATTAAAAACAGTAAATCTACATATTTATCTGTATGTTATAGTTTGTATAATTTAATGATAGTAATAAATAGAATAGGGAGGGCATTAAAAACAAGAAAAATCGTGTAGTTAATTATCAAAGTTTTAATCTAATTAAATGTCTAAATCAAAAGTCTCAAAGTTGCGATTATTCCAGTGCCTGCGTGTTAGATAGTATTACGAGCTACTATTTCATTTTGAATTTGTCAGTCTTCTTGATTTACCGTTTCATCTTTACTGTTGTTGAAATCGTACATAGGTATTTTTTATTGAGTTTTTGAAATAAAAGAAAAATAATTTTTAGATTCTGACTTTGTGTGCAAGGTACCTTATATTGGTATTGGTAGCCATTACCTCCGGTTCGATAGTAGTGGGTTTTACTGAAGCTGACTTACTGTACGAACTAATAAAATAGATGACGCTAGATCTTACTTATAAAACCGTAGATTTCAACTGAAAACTAAGAGAATAATTTGAACTATAGGGCTGGCAACAGTGGTCGCGGGTGTTTGCGCGGGAAACTCAGCGGGACATAATGACATAACCTCATCACCAGTGACGTCACGTCGAGCCCAAATAAATAATAATTCAAGTTACAAGCTGACGCCGACCAACGTGTGTTCGACTTGAATAACGTTGTCGAGGTGTGAAAGCGACATTTTATTATTTTACATATCAGCATCAATAGTTCGATGTTTTTAACTGAACTTTAATTAAGTATACCCCATTGAAATAGCTTTAACCGAATTTCCGCTTAATACACAACATTTATCTTTGTAATTAAAGATGCGTTTTATTTGGTATCAGCATCAACAGTTCGAAGTTTTTGATTAAATTTTAATTAAGTTTACTCCATTGAAATAGTTGAATAAGTTTTCTTGTTATGATATACCAATTTCCAAATTTTAAGCTTTAATTGGCTTTAATGTGAAGTAGCAAAAATATCGCTTAAGCCAAATAGCCTTTCCACCCCTCGATATAATGACGGGAGCTGATTTAATTTTGTGAAATAAAATTGTTCATATTTCACTAAAACTGAGGGTTTTCTTCTGATTTGCAGCTTGTTGTTTGTCGGTGAGGTGTGGCGGCTTGTCGAGTGAATAACGCAGTTACACTAAAATTATTCAATGTTCGTAACGGAAACTTTATCAGCCCTCAGACGAAGGAAATGAAATTAAAGATACACATTTTGAAGCAAATTATAATCTGACCGAATGTAAAAGTTTAATGTTACGCGCACAGTTGCTCCATTCAAATTCGACAATATTACGTTTTTAATTTGATTGAGTTATATTTGAACCTCAAAGAATTTGTAGTATTTAGTAATGCAACATGTTACTACGACGAATTAAATGACGCAGACATTTACTTCTAGTTACAAACACTAATATCATTAATGTTTATAAAAACAAATAGTATTTACAGTAGTAAGTAAACGCGTCACTTCGATACTCCGGGTCGGCGTAGACATTGGCGCCTCCTCACGCTGTGTTCCGTGGGCAGTGCTCAGAGGGTCACCTCTCCTCACTAGCGCACTCCGCCAATCGAGCTTCTGTCATCTCTACCGTCTGTAGCAGCTCCGTGCATCCCCTCCGCGACGTGTCCCGAGCGATACGACACGTTCTTAGCGACCACTTACCATTAGATGTGGCTGGTTGTGGGCGCGACCGCTTAATAGCGGCGATGATATGTTCTGAGCATGTCGCGAGACAACTACATACGTCCACTAAATGTATTTGGCTAATTATTTAAAATTCAATGTTCAATAATTAAGGTCGGCCGCACACTGTCGGGCGTGTCTCACAACGTGCGGCCGGAGCGTCTCCGGCTGGTTCGCTGAATCAACTCCCGGAGTCCGCGCGGCTAGACGTCGTAGTGCGGCAGCTGGTCGAGGGGGTGGTAGTAGCGGTGCGGGTAGGGGGGCGGCAGCCGGCCCCCCGCCATGCTGAACAGCGCCTCCGGGTCGCACACGAACTTGTACACGTACCGCTCGCCTGCGGGGGGACAGGGGGGGGGGGACGCAGTGTCAGCTACATGTGCACTTCGGTCTGAGACTGAGGTCGGGTAGAGACGACGAGGCTGAGATCAGACTTCATTAAAATTATCACATTCCAAAATTAACGCGCAATCTATAATAATATTTCGCATTACATTGCTGGTTAGAGCTGGCTAAAGCAAATATTATGAAGGGGGGGGCATCGTCACCTGCTACTTTCTGCATGATCCCCTTCTCGTAGTAGTACCGCAGCGAGCGGGACAGCTTGTCGTAGTTCATGGCGGGCCGGTTCTTCTGTGCGCCCCAGCGCCGCGCCACCTGCAGCGTCACACCACCACACTGCCTCAGAGTGTCTTTGTGTAACGTTGATGTGTTCTATTTAAACGCACTAAGCGAGCACCAATTGCAAGATCGGATGGCAATGTGTGGCCAGCCGTTGCCTCACTATATATGTCTGCGGTTGACGGTAGCCCGTGGTGACTCGTGATACATTCTGCGCGTGGTGGGTACCTCCTCCGGCTCGTGCAGCTTGAACTCGAGCCCGCGGCCGGTCCAGGCCACGCAGCGCGCGCCCTCCGCCAGCAGAGACACCAGAAACTGCCACAGCTGCAGCGAGCCGCGCCGCCCGCCTGCACACACGAGCACCGGTCACCACATCACCAGATTCAAACTGCAACGCATGCTAGCTGGACTGCAGAATAAAGACTTTGGACTTTAGGTAGTATGGTTCGGTATCCAACATTACAAGTGTAAGAACTCATTGAGTCCACAATAAAGCAAGTACACCGTGCGGTAGCTTATTTAACGTGATGGCTGGGGGCGGCGCTAGGGGTGCGAGGGCACGCCGGGCTGCACTGCGGTGCTAATATACAATTGCTTCAGTCTAGACGCAATCCTACAGCAGTAGGATCACAATCACACGAGCCGGAATAGCAGCAAGTACGCCGCGGCATCTGAATGAATACTAAGTTAATTAACTTCATTATACCGCAAACAAAATCAGCTGACGCTCGAGGTCAACGGCCTTGCGTGAGACGGCCACACCGCGCGCCGGGACGCTGTGTGTGTACCTGAATGTGTAGTGGTGACGTGCTGCGGGCTGGCGGGGTCGGTCCGGCTCGACACGGCGAGCGGCGTCGCACACAGCGAGCTGCTCACTGCGCACACAACGACCGCGTTACGTGAGCTCATCGGGACAACGACGCTCGGCATCAGGCAGCCTCGCACCCTGTGCAGTGTGCTGTGTAATCCGGTTCAATAGTGTACAATACGGTTGAGACTACGACCTCACAGGTGACAGCGGCAACATGCGAGGGACGAGATCGGGTCAGTGAATATCTGATAGTATCGGATGCAGCGCGGGGCGGGGGGCGCGTCGCTATCAGACGTGTTGCTCACGAAAATAAGTCCTAAATACATCTAACACTGTTTTTATGAAATTATAGTCCTTAAAACGAACGAAATAGATCACAGATTCTCTCTGATTCAATCGGCACTGCAGCGTGCCCCCAAGGGGTACTTAATGAGCGCCAATGGGAGCCACTTCGACTGCACAGACCTTAAGTATTAAGTGTATTATCTATGTTACAGACAGCGTCAACTATTAATGTGACAGGACTTCTTGGCGGGAACGCGAGGACCGAAGTTGCGTGAATTGTTTTTATTTTTTATTTTTTTTATTGCTTAGGTGCTTTATTTAGGCTTTATTTTGTCTATTTACTGTTTCTTCGGGTTTAAATGTGTATGGTATATTAACTGTTTAGTATCTGTGAAAGTGCACAAATGTGGGTAAATGAAACAAAGCTGCTGGACGTAGCTTCTCGGGATCCTCCAAAAAGTTCACTGAAAAAGTCTCAGTAAATGACCACGATTTTACTGAGATTATATTTCATCCCATATCATCTCATCTGATTGAATTTCATGCCAATTGATTCATCATTATCATCATCAGCCTATAGCAGTCCACTGCTGGACATAGGCCTTTCCAATTGCTCGCCACTGAGCACGATCCTCGGCCTCTCTCATTCAGTTCCTGCCAGCCACCCTGCACAGATCATCACTCCACCGAGCTTAAGGGCGTCCTGCACTTAATGTTCCAAAATTAATCAACTTCATTTCATTTCACGTTTTATTATTATTTTTCATTAATAAAATATATAAAAGATTAGGCTGAATGGTATGGTACCTTTTCCAGTTTGAAAAATAGAACTACTACTACTGTCAATGTGACAGATGACACTGGTCAAATGTCAACGTTGCACCGACACAGTGGCGACCTCGCTCAAGTCGACCATCATAGCACGTATACGTTTGTACCTAGCTTCTCGTCCCAGCGGTGGTGGGGCTCGGAGCTGGAGACCGGCTCCTCCCTCGCCTCCTCGTCCTCATTACATTTACTGAACGGGATGCCGCATCTGTTCCGACACAAGACTCAGTTAGCGGGCAATATTTGACGTGAAGTCGGAGACTACTTCGGAAATCTTTACGATTTGTACCGCTGGTGGGTCGCCTTGTGTGCCCGCTCGGATAGGGACCACCGTCCGGCTTCTTTCTAGCCAATCACGTTGTCTACGGTCTTTATTAACCACGCGTGTAAGAAATAACAACAGCCACAACTGGCAAAATTGTTGACAACGCAACGCGGGGCTGCGATCCTCCCCCCCCCCCCATGCGGACTGCCCTCACCTGTGTAGGTACTGATCTCTGTAGTCCAGCCTGGTCTCCTCGCTGTCACTCTTGCACCTGAAACATCACAAGTTAGCGGTCGGGTCCGGCTAACGTGGACTTGTACTGGAGGCGCGGCGCCTTAGAGCTCTTGTAACCACTTAACTCTAGGTGGGTGGTGAGCTGGTCTAAGCTGTATGTTCAGTTTGAAGTCTTTAATCAGGAAGTCACTACAAAACGACATAGTCGCAGAACTTCATTCGAGAGGGTTGAAGGGTTGAGAGGTGAGTAGAAATGTCGAGTTTAACTTTGGCACGCAATGTAACTCTACCGAGAAGGCGACGCGCGGGGTCAATACACTTTTGTTTGACGAACTACCGTAACCATACATTACGGGCTCACAATATGAACTTGCTGTAAGGATTCTTAGAGAAGAGAAGCGTTTCTTTTCTCTATCACAACGCACCACTCGCCACGGGAGCACAGTTCAGTTCTATTACTCGGAGCCGCTATACCACAGTCCGTAGAATGAATTCCTCAACAAGTTTTCTTCAAATGCGCTATTTGGGACGTCTTGGGTGGATTCTCGGAATATCATCTCTACGCGGGATGGTAATAAAACAACAAGACAAGTGTCGATAGTGGTAGTTCCTCACGCGTGAGGCTGGGTCTGTCCGTCGGGCGGCGCGTGCGTGTGCGTCCGGTACAGATGCGGGGGCGCGTGCGTGTGTGCGTGCTCGTAGAACGACTCCCGGCACGGCGCCAGCGACCCGCCGCACTCCCTGGACACAGACCAGGCGACACGTTACGAAGCTGCGGTTAAAGCTTTGGGGACGAGAGGTCCTGGCGCGAGCAGTCCTTGATAGCTTCGATGCTGCTAAAGGTTCGGCCTCTCTGCTATACGTGGAAGGAGACAGAGTAGGCGAGCCCAAGTCCAGAGTAAATTGGAGTCGTTGTGGCCTAAAGGACAAGACGTCTGGTCCATTCGTATCTAGCGATGCAACGGTGTTTGAATCCCGCAGACGAGTACCAATTTTTCTAATGAAATACGTGCTTAGCGATTGACTTCCACGGGGAAGGAATAGCATCGTATAATAAAAATCTACCCCGCAAAATTATAATTTGTATAATTACTGGTGGTAGGACCTCTTGTGAGTCCGCACGGGTAGGTGCCACCGCCTTGCCTATTTCTGCCGTGAAGCAGTAATGCGTTTCGGCTTAGAGTGGGGAAGAACTTAGAACTCATATCTCAAGGTGGGTGACGCCATTTACCTAATAGATGTCTCTAGGCTTCGTTAGCCACTTAACACCAGGCGGTCTGTGAGTTCGTTCACTGAACTAGTTCAGTACTACCATATTCGTATCCTGTATAGCGTGATATTCCCGCGGCAAGTCCTGTGCGGGCCCGGCGCGGCGCCGCGCGACTCGTAAGGATGTTATTTCCGGTTCCTGCGGCGCGCCGACTCCCTGATTCGGTTTTCGTGCGTACAAATTGCCAATGTCGTTGTTGTTCAAATGGATTTCCTTAACTCGATGTCACGGGGCGCCGCCGCGCACGAGCTGTCTCTTGACTTGTGTCGGGCGCGTGCGTCTATGGGTCACACGCGGTCGTCCGGGGTCAATATATCGTAGACACTCGTGTATACACCGGTATCGTGTGGCATTATCCATGACAATGTTTGAAGTTGCAAGTGGGAATACATTCGATGATTCTAATCTATGGAAGGCTGGTGCAATACGGCCAAGCGAAGCTGAAACAATCTCATATTGGAAATGTTCATTTGCCATCTTTCTTAAGCTGACGGCACTTTATGTACAATGTTATGATGAAACTTGGAGGGGGAAGAGGTCGACCGAAAAATATATGAATGGAGTGTGTGAATGAGAGAGAGGAGTGAGTGTTGAGATTACGGCTCATAGAGGAGAATGGAAGAGAAAATTTCGCTGTGTCGACCCCACCTAGTGGGATAAGGCGGAGATAGAGAAGAAGAAAAAGGTTTTTAATATAGTGCATAGGGACATTACACCGCGCGCGAGGCTCGACTGGACACAGAGACCGGAAACAGTCGCGCGCTGGGCGGGCTGGTGAAGTGGATCGCTCCATACAGACTGTGGGCGCTGACCTGTACTGGTAGTGGAGGCTCCAGGGGAGCGCGTGGGGTTGCTGCGACATGCTTCAGGGCCCGCGCGCCGCCGTCATCCCGCCGACCCACCCTCACCACCGGACCCGCACACTCAGCAAGTCTGCAGATATGCTGTTCTGTAGCGGATTACATACAACAGTTATATCATGTGCAGTTGACTAGCAGATATATAGACACTTTGGGTTCGTTATAAGTGAAGTCGTCTCAACGTGACGACCTCATCAGCGCAGGCCTCATTGTACCCAGACCATGTGTGCACTATTATATATATTAATTACATAAGTAGACCGTATAAAATACATCAGATCATAGTCGTGTTCAGTTAAAAAATTACCGGGAATGATTTATTTAAACTTTTTTTTGTTATTAGATCGCCACAACTATTTTCCATTTGGGTTAGGAGTTTAAGTTCCATCTGTTATTTAGATTAGACAAATTATCTTAAATTATGCATCGCCAATGGAATTACGTGTTCGGAGTCACTAAAAATATAACAAAAGGCTTACAGTGAATCGACTCTATCAAAAACATGTGCTTATTAGTCGTAAAAAGTGATCGAGATGTGATGGAAGACTTGCCTCGCCGCGGTAAGCCGTCAACGTCTGCAACTGAAGTCAACATTACAAAAGTGAAGGAAATAGTCACTGAAAATACTCATTCTAGTTTGAAAGAGATAGTCGCCGAACTTTCTGTAGGTATCTCACAAGTCGATCATCGAAACATGTGTCCCCTCGGCTAGTCCCAAAAAACCTGGAAACATTCATCCAAACACTCAATCGCATTAGAGTCGCTGAGGACACAGTGCTGCTAGAACTAGTCATGACGCGCGTTGCTACTGGTGACCAGACGTGGGTCTACCAGTCTGACCAACTCAACCGAATCTGAAAAAACTGCACTAAAGTCGACCAAAATTCAAAGTCCTGTTGATTGGACCCTTTGACTATCACAAACGCTAAATAAAAAATATTATTTGAGCGTTATGCCGCGTGTTAGAGAGCAAAGTCGATAAAAAGGCCAGATTTGTGGAAAGAAATTTCTTGGATTTTGTAGCCCGTTATCTTTGAAGCGCCTTCGCACAGGGCCGTCATTGTCAACGAGTTTTGGACCAAAAACTCAACAGATTCATTCGAGCAGCCATATTATTCACTAGATGTGCCAAATTACCCCTAAACCACCACTTCACGACACACGGTCTCATGCGACATGCCCCCGACCGTGCTCCGCCGGTGAGAGCGCGCTACCAGAACTAATTTATCGCAAATATTAGACACTTTATTAAAATAAAAACAATCTCCAAATAAACTGTTTTTAACATCATCTCATCATTCGCGACGCGTCGCCGCGGCGGGGCCACGCTAACGTAACTTGTTACTTTAAAAGAGAGAGTCTGTGAGTGACTTCCAATCTGTTCCCGAGGAGACATCTCGCACATCAAAGAGAACTTATTGACTGACGGGCGCTCTGCCCCCCGCTCCCCCGCCCCCCGAGACAACGACTCATTAATTACGATAATCAGAACAAGGAGTTGTTGGCGCAGTACATTCCTACCACGAACCGGTGACGGTGGCGGCATTTACGTTGTTGATGTCTATGGGCTCCAGTAACCACTTAACATCAAGTGGGTTGTGAGCTCGTCCAACTAAATAATAATAATAATAATAATATAGCCTTTTATTCAGATCTCTTAGTACAATGAATTATTCAACTTATGTAAAAAAAACTAGCATTAAAATCTTTAACTTAATAGATATGAATAAATTTAAACTAATATTTGTTGCTTGGTTATCTTTACTAGATCTGTTTGCCAGTCGACAAAGGCCTCCTCCAACCTTTTCCATTCCTTTCTTTCTTGAGCCACTCTGTTCCACGTGACTCCTGCCACTTGTCTAACGTCATCGTCCCACCTTTTCTGTGGTCGGCCTCTTTTCCTTTTGCCTTCCCTTGGGTACCACCATGTCACTCTTTTGCTCCATTTGTCGTGTCCTCTTACCAGGTGACCAGCCCATGGCCATTTGAGTCTTTTGATTTTGCTTATTATATCGGTAGTTTTTGTTTTGATTCTAATGACGATTTTTTTTTACTCTGTCGGACTTTTTAATGCTTAGCATACTCCCACTCGTCCCACTACCTAAGTAATAAAAATAAAAACAATCCATGGCGTTGTCTATGGTTGGCGACCGCTTTACATCGACTAGACCGTGGCTCGTCCACTCAACTTAGACAATGAAAACGAAAATATCAATCAACGTCAAATGTTTTTGTTCTTTCAAAATTTTCTCTTATTGTAAGACGAACCACCCTAATGCAGTTTAGCGTGAGCCGGCGCGGTCCCCGGGCTCATATCCGCTCGACACCGCCGCCGCTTCCGACACGTAATTTAGTTATAAAGTCAATGACGGCGTAAAATATTCAATATTCATTTGTCGGCTGCGTGGGAGGTGTCCGCGGTCTACACCGCTACCCTACCTATTCATGTTTCCTTTAATTAGGATCTTCAACATTCATTGAGCACGTATTAAGAATGCGCGCTATTTATTAACACTTCGCATCGCGTAGAAGTTCAATTACAAGTTATCTGTCGCCTTTATGTATTTATTTTTCTATTTAACCCAAGAAGTCACGACCGATTACATTGTTTCGTTTCCCCAAAATGGCGCGACTTCACAAATGCTAATCGCCATTATAAGTTAGAACCCGTAGATACAGTAAATTAACAAAACCCACTCGTTCCCGCCAAAAAACATAACCTAATCGTTTTTCGGCACACTACAATAGAACTACAGGACAAACTATAACTGTCTGCTTCAACCAGTTGCACAGTGCTCCAGTGCAGCGGCTCCTCACAGGGTTGCAGCTGGTGTCGCAGATGCAAGCACCAACCAACGTGCAGAAGAGGCTTTCTATCTAACCAAAGATCCCACTTTACGGCCGACAATATTGAAGTTTAATATCTAAAATCAATAACGCGACGCAGAGACAAACAAAACCAGTTACTTTTTTCAATGATTTTCTTGTTAACAAAATCCATGTATGAGTATTGGGCGCTAATCGCCATTATTGGCAATAATTAATATGATTTATAGTTTGGTTTTTCTATGTTGATATATTATATTTGTTATGAACATGTTATTCTATATTTAGTAGACACTATTTTGATGTAAAATTGTTCAGAAGATATTTAATGTTAATTTTATTGTTTAAAAACACGAATAACTGTCAAAATATTCAAATATCAATAAGCATAAATAGGTATTAATAAAAAATAATATTTTAATTAACTGCAATACTTTGCTTAAGTAGGTATCTATATATTAATATGTGAAGCAAAAACTTTGTATGTACGATTTTTTACGAAAATTTCGCGGAAGAAGCAGTATGAAATTTCCCACGCTTATAGAGAGTTGCAGAATGTTAATATTTTTTTAAATTATGCTTAAAATTACATTAAATAATAAAACAAAGACATTACACACACTAGATGAGATGATATGGTATGAAATATATTCTTAGTACAATGGTGGTCATTTACTGAGACTTTTTCAGTGGACTTTTTGGAGGATTCCGAGAAGTTACGTCCAGCGGCTTTGTTTCATTTTCCCACATTTGTGCAATTTCGAAGGTATTAAACAGTTAATAAACCACTGTTATTACACATTTAAATCTGACGAAACACAAATTAGACAAAATAAAACAAATCACACTTCACTCCTCGCGTTTCCGCCAAAAGTCATTGTTTTCCTTTAATATTATTTGTCTACAGCGTTGTCTTGGCGAAATCTGTGATCATAGAAGTATAAGAGTGTTTTGCATAATGGAACCATAATATTTAAAGTTATAATTTCAATTAATTATAGTCGAATTTCGACTACTGGGCGACCACTAGCTGTAATTGTTATGCAAATCATATTGATGGTGCCATCTATTATTAGGCTGGATAATAATATTAGTTTAAATTAGATTAAAGTAGGTACATAATTTATGTAAAATTAAATTCATGTCAGAGTCATGTAAGAATCCCTAAAATATTTATTGTAAATATTATGCAAAATTTTATTAATTGTTTCGCTGTAATTTCATTTGTTTGTATATTTGGAAGTTGTAGTTGCTATAACCATCACAAAAAGGATTAATTGTTTAAAAACTAGGACGTGGTTTTTTGTAATAATCAAGTAATGTTAACGTTACATAGAATTTTATTGTATTTTGATTGTAATAGGTCTCATGTGTAAAAACCTATCATCCGTGTATAGTAGGCATTAGAGCGGAAGTGTACCAGCGGTTTCCAATGCCGCAGAGACTTTGACCTTATCTTGAGGTCGGCCAAAAGGTTCCAGTAATCACCTATATCGAGGGCTCAGAGCTCACCGCCGTCTTAATGAGAATAATAATAATAAAATCAGCCACAAGCCGCACCATTTTGTAGTTTCACATTGATACATTTCACTGTTGACGCATAATATCACATAATGTCGCACAGCTAGGGGGCATGATCCGGAACGTGATTTATTTTGAATATCCTTCATTGTTTTGATATAATAACGGCTTTTTTCACAAAAAAGAAATCAGCAAGGCACCTTTATATTGCACGATTGTTGCCAATAGATATTAATAATAATTGTAATTCCGTGCACGCTCGCCCGAGGCGCGGATAATGCTAACAAATTGAATGAAAACCAAATTTGCTGCCTCGACGTACAAATACAAATGTTTTCCAATCGGACGGATTTGAGTTTTGTGTTGCGATCGATTCAAATTGAAAGTTTAGGAGATATTAGTTATTTGTAATAGATCTGGATAGAGGATAGTTCGTAGTGAGTCTGATTCCTCATGCCTACTCTCCGATACCGAGGAGTATCATGTATTCCGGTGGCTCTGTCTCCGCGCCTGCACCGCGCGCACCTTACCGCGCGCTGTGGCTTGGCAAGTCACTGTCTCTACGACAATTGCATCACAACCGCCTGTTGTTTGTTGATTGTATTGCGATGGTGTCATGTTAGACCGTCACCAGGACCCTCGCGGTCTATTTAATTCAATTCGAATTGTCAGAAATCTTCAGGAAGTCTTGTTTAAAAATTTATTAGCTTCCTA